TGTAGCCAGTGCTTTTAGTCGGGTGCACAGCCTTCAGCTCAATTCAAGCTCTTTACTACTACTGCAATATTACCTTATTATAATAAAAAAGAAAAAAATAATAACTTATATCTTTTATAATTTAATTAATTTGAGGATTTAACCTTTAATTAAAGCAAATAATACTCTTTCTTATAATAATTGATTTTTTATTAACTTAAAAGAAAAGAGCCTTATTTTTTATAATTTAATTAATTTCGAACTTAGCTTTTAATTAAAGTAAATAATGCCTTTATTTTTATAATTTAATTAACTTTAAAGTTTAATTCTTAACTAAAGTAAATAATGCCCTTATTTTTATAATTTAATTAATCTCGAAGTTTAAATCTTAATTTATAAATAATACTTTTTTAATATTAATAATTTGAAATTTGAAATTTGAAATATAATAATTAATTTAAAGTTATTAATTTAAAATAAGAATATAATAATTAGCTTCGAGTTTTTTATTTAAAATAAAAGTAATTATTTTAATTAAATTATCCTTTATATAATTACTTTTTAATTAATTCAAATAATTCAAATAATTCAAATAATTCAAATAACTTTATATTTATAAATAAGTTCAGTTTTATAAATAATATTTTAAATAATACTAGTTTTAAAACTAATTTTAAGGCTTTAAAAAAGTAGTTATATATTAAATAATAATTATTAAAAGCTAATTATTTTAGGAATTTTATTAATATCTTATTTCTTTTATATATTTAAATAAATATATTTAAATTTAATATTTAAAAGAAATAATATAATACTATTAGCTAATATTATATAAGATTAATTATTACTTAATTGGTTTTATTATAAGGCTCCTAATATAGCAGGGTGCTATGCAAGTAGTCAAGGTAAAGGAGTGGAATATAGGGTAAAGTATAGAGTGAAGCGTGGAAGTATAATTGATTCCAAGAACTGGTTCTCAGTAATAAACTAATCAATACCCATTTCCAAAGCTCGCATGCCTCCATATATAGAATCTAGTATTCCGCTGGATGTACGGAAGCACTAGTCCCAATTTGGGAGTGCGATCCCACATAAGCACTAGCCTAATTAGGCTACTAAATCCAGCTGGACGCTCGTTAATATATATATTACATTTATTTAACTAGCTAGTATTTTTATTATTTTTATTATTTTAATTAATATTTCTTTATATATTTTTTTTCTTTTTTCTTTTCTTTTATATTTTATATATTTATAAAATAAGAAATAAAAATCTTTAAGCCTTATTTTATTATTTTAGCTTTATTATTATAGTTAATTAATAATAAATTAAACTAAATAATTATTAATTAAAGTAATTAATATTAGTATATAAAATACTAACTTTATATATATATATATATAAGAATAAATTTAGGCTTAAAAATAAATAATATAATATTAAAATTAAAGAAAATAAAGAGCTAATATTATATAAATAAAAGAAATAAAAGAAATATATATATAAAAGTAAATATTAGTTTACTAATAATATATAGTATTATTATATAATATATATAAAGTACTAGTTATATTCCTTTATCTGGCAAGAAATAGTTTATACTAGTACTCGTATATAAATATCCCTTATTTAGTAAGAATATAATAATCTCCTCTAATTAGGCTATTTATATAATACAGCTACTAGTATAGATTATTTCTTGCTAGATAAAGGAATAATTAGTAAAATAATTCTTATTTAGAAATAAGAAATATAATATTATAATATTAAGATAATTTCCCTAAATTTGCTAAGCCTAATTAGAACTAGTTTATAAGTTAAGTTATATATATAATATAAGATTATATAATTAGTAAATTCGTAATATAGCTTTTCTAATAATAAGCAAATATATATATAATTATTTATTATATAATAATAATTAAATTAAATACTAATAATATAAAAATAATTATTAAATAAACAAAATAAAATATAATAATTAAATAATTAATATTTTTTTAAAAAGTAATAATAATAACTTTAAATATTATATATATTCTAAAGTTTTAATTTAATTTATTATATATTTAAGTAATTAGTAAAAATAAGCCTAAATTTTTAATAATAACTTATAAAAGTTTCTGTTATATATACGGGTACTAGAGAGCTTAGCTTTACTTACTCAGTAGCCCCCTTTTATTTAGCTAGATCCAGAGGCTCTCTTTAGAGCTTCTTTTAATCAGATAACTACTTATACAAATTACTATTCCTTACTATTTGCAATAGTTTCTATTAATTCTTTAATAATTTTTAAATTATTTAAATAGTTATATATTTCTTATAAATAATAATATTATTAATAAATAACTATATTACTAATATATACTAAAATATTTGTTATGCTTTACCGCTTCACTGGTAAATTTAGCGTCACGTGACCGCGATGAGGCATGCGGCTGGGGCTAGTATTTAGAATACCAAAGCTCCTATACTTAGAGCTTCTCTCCTTAGTTTAGAATTCTCGGATTAAGAGCCACTCTACCTTGCTTTTCAAGCCCAGAGACCCGGTTTCGTAATAATATTAGGCATTTATTTTAATATAACTAATAGATATATAATTAGTAAAATATAATTCTATTATAATCAAAATGAAATATACTAATATATTTTATTATTCCGAATATAAAAGTAATTCTAATAAGCTCTCTAAAATAATAAGGCTTTAAATAGTTTTTATAACTATTATCTTAACTAAAATAAAAAGAAATTAATATATTAAGTTATTAGAAAATATAAAGTTTATTAGAAAATACTTCAAAATTAAATTAAGGAAATAATACTAAAAGTAAAAGTTATAATAATATAGTAGTAATTATTACTAAAGAAAAAAGTAATAATTTAATAATATATTCTAAAATTAAAAATATAAGAATAGTTACTAATAGTTTATAAGAAAAGAACCTCGATTTTAATAAATTAATATATATAAAGCAAGGTATTATTATTTATTTCTAAAAAAATTTGGTAAGTATAATATAGTATATATTAAAACAAAAATATATTATCTTACGAGTAATTCTAGCCGTATTATAAGATTAAAATAAATATATAGTTATTAGAATATTAAAAGTATTATAATATATTAATATATTAAAGGATTTGTAATTATAATAAAGGTATAATTAAAAATCGATTTTTTGGGGTGGGCGGTTAGGTATGGGCGGTTGGCTAGTGGATACTTCTATGCGCTGGAATATAGTCCGCTCAGAGGTAATAATCGTGCGTCAGGACTTGTACTAAATCCCCTACGTCCCTGCGGGTTTAGTGCGTATTAGCGATACGGTCAAAAATCAGCGATACGGTCATTTTTTTCACTATTATATCGATTTTAATTAATTAAATATTAATACCATGGCCAAATTCGACCCAGAAGAAGAGAAAAGGATGGCCCAGGCCTCCGATTTCTATGCCAGGAACCCATACGTCAAAAATTTGCGATTGCGCGTTAATTCAGGGTCAAATTGTGCCTCTGGAAAGCGCGGCTCGCTGGCCGATTACCACAAAACACCAAAGGGGGCTTTAATAAGGCCCTTTATCGTAATCAGGAAAATGCCTTAAAGCAGTTTATCGATTTTTTAATCTACTTAGGCCATAATATTAACCTCAAGAGAGTGCAGGGGATAGCTAATAAGATTCTGGGAGAGAGCGCATCCACCCACCAGGCGACGTATATTTGCACATAATAATAAATGCTAGGTAGAGAACTTGGTTTTGTCAAGCCACTCCCCCCTTCCCCCTTTATTTTATAATAATGGCTTTGGTAATATAGTTAGATTAGCTACTAATAGAAAGGAGACAATTATTAGGTATACGAATTAAGACATGGTGGTTGTGTAATTAATTAATTTCTTAGAATCGAAGTATTTTGGGGGGGTCGCCGACAAGGTAAAGTGTATAATATTTCTAGCATTTTATACTGCGTATATATGTGATGTGAAAGTAAGAGAATTTCAATTATTAATTATAGTATAAACTCCATATAAACTGTAAAATATTTTTCTTTGATTTTCACCAAAATTCCGAAAATTAGTGTTCTAAAAAAATGACCGTATTACTGATTTTTGACCGTATCGCTGATACGCACTAAACCCGCAGGGACGTAGGGGATTTAGTGCAAGTCCTGACGCACGATTAGCCTTTCCCCCGCCAGATTGGATAGCAAGCAGCTCAACCCCTTTGCGAGCCGAGAAACTAATAGAGCGTCTTTAACTAGTGATATAAGGGGAATTAGACAACTTCTGAAACGTTAGCTCCTTGAATACTATTGAAATTAGGGGCCTGAGGCCCCTAATAGGCTTAGTAAGCCCTGGAACCGAACGCCATGGGGCTGTGCGCTAGCTTAATACCCTGTCCAGATGGAATACCCTGTATAGCTGGAATACCCTGTAGTATGCCCTGTAAAGCTGAATTGGTTCAGCTGGCATAGGTAAAAGGCTCAGCAGGTTTAGGGGTTTAGTGCATGTGATTTAGGGGTTCAGGGCTATATATACGGGCTACTTACCACTGTAGAACAGCAGTCAATTCAGTACGTTTTACTTGATTTGCATTGCAAGCACGTGACCCTAGCTTCTTTATTTAGCTAGTTCAACAAATACCTGTGCTTGCGGGGGGTCAGGTGTGGTGATCTTACGCGGCCTGCGCTAACCCAATCTGCAATCTGAGAGTGCGAGAAGGGTTCACGCCCATCCCGCTCAACCGCCCAAAAATCATTTGACTATAACCATACCACGAAATGAAGAAAAACATCTCAAATTTTTAGTACTCCGACTGGGGTTGACAGGGATATAAGTGGGCGGTTGAGTGGGATGAGTGGTTGGCTGGTGAATCCTTCTAGCGGTAATTGAAACAACGTGGAGGGAACAAAAATAAGTGATAACAAGCCTTTTCCCTCCCGTCCCTCCTGGCCATCCCTTCAATTGTAACTAAAAGAATAATATATATTCGGAGCAACCCTTGAAAAATACTGGCACTCATCGAGATGGATCCTATCAGCGCAGTGGGCATCGCCGCTGCATCCTTACAGTTCGCTGGGGTGGCTGCCAAGGGCATCCTGGGCGCAATCGGATTCTTGAAGAGCCTGAAAGAAGCCCCAGTCCGACTAACAGAACTTCTCTGCGACACAGAAAAATCAGTCGCGCGGATTATCCACCTGCAGCAGACCTTACAGGACCCCAAGTCTGCACTGGTTCAACGACTTTCCCACAGCCAACACGCGGCTCTTGCCACCATCGTAAATGATGCATGCCAGACGACAATCAGCTTGCAAGAAATGCTGGGGCCACTTTTTCGGACTCAGAATGCACAATCGCAAAATGTTACTAAGTTGTGGAGGAGCGTGGTTTCGGTGAAAATGGGACGTGACATAGAAAACAAGATTGAAAAGATCCAGCGACTCAACAATCAGATCATGAGAGAGCTTCAGCTCAGCGGTCTTGATATCCAGATTCAACTCTCGTGAGCGACTTCCGTGTAGATATAACAATATTTCTGACGAACATTATATAGGGATACTTCGGAGAAAGCTCTGGCAGCAGTGGAACAGTCCCGTTCAGAAACAGAAACCCGGTTTGACAGCTTGGAAACACTCACAGAGGGCGTCCATAGCGAACTTAGAGAAGCAAAATCTCATGCTGCTCAGGCGCAAATTTGCAGCACCGCAAATGCGGCACAGCTTGATAGGATCGGATCTAGGATTGAGGAAATAGGGCCTAAGATGGATGAATTAGGGGCATCTTCACACGAGGTGCATATGAAGGTGGATGGACTTGGCGAGAGGGTTATATCAACGCAAAGTAAAATAGCCTCCCAACTGGAACTAACGGTCAGACAAGAATCTAGCGCCACAAAGGAGGAACTCCTAGAATTGCGAAACGCCGTCATGCCAGTCATCATGGGAATCCAGACTAAGTTATCAAGTCTTGACAGGGCGGCTGCCTCCAGGCTTTCGGACGGAGATAAAGCAGACCTAGTGACGCAGCTTCGACGGGAGCTTATGTCTCATCCGGGCACTCTCCGAGATGCCTGCGATTATTTGACGCTTTGGGATAATTTGTCGCCAGCCCTTGCACCAAAACCATCACAGCAATGCCGTTGCCATTCTCAATGGAAACAGAAGTCTGTGGCACGTGGTCCCTTCTACTTCCGCTTTAAAACAGGAGGAAGCCATGAGCCGACATGCCCGCAAAAATGCCCCTCCGCACTTTCATGGAAATACCAGCTAGGCATCCAGCTACTTCCTTTCCTGAACAAGACCGTGGAGCTGACATTTGGAGCAACATTTTGCGGCGGGGGTTTCCAGGTCGAGTCGCCGCTGACGGTGTTTGCAACGGTGAAAAGATCGGAGTCACGCATCTTCCAGCTCTTTGAACAGTTTCCAGACCGGTGCGGGGCACGGAAAAGACGTGTGAATCAGCCAGCCGCTTGGTGGAGGCTGCAGAAAGGTGACCGCGAGCAAGACTATGAAATGTTCTTTGGCTATACGTGGGACGTCGAAGTCGCAAAACACCAACTACAGCAGGTCCACGGCTCCCTGCTCGAGGCAAGTGAGAATGGTATCGGCTCTATCAGCGATAAGGATGAATATGGACACACTATCCTGCACGTACGTAGTGAAGAAATAGGAGTTTGACCAAAACTGTCAAAGCACAAACACACCGCTAACGAGACAAAAAGGAAATTATTACATTAATTGGATTACTTGCTCCAGTTTATGCAAATTTGGTCAATGAAATTGATACGCTGCTAGTACTAGCTGACAGATACGGGGTTGATCAAGATGCCGTCGCGAACAGTAAAGTAGGATCCCGACGATATTCCACTTTTGAGATGATAGGCTGGAGTGGATTCAAGCCCAACGATTTGAAGTAGGTTAAGAGAACTGCCAATTTTTTTGAAAAGGAATAAAAAAAATCAAATGGGCATTAGACCTGATTTTTCTAATAGGAACTGGACGGTCGCAGATGCTGCTCGAAACTGCGTGAAGATGTTCAATTCGGAGCTTCGAGAATTCTCATTTCTCAGCCGTCTCTCTAGTTTCCGCATCGATTTCCAGAGATGCATCCATCAATCCGGCGGTGATGATGGTGATGATACGGAATTTCTGTTAGCTAGATTGGTAAAGGAGCAAGGTTTGAAGATTAGCATCAGGTCTTCGATACTGAGAACGGTTCAGCGAGAGCCGTGGTTATCTAACTGTAAGGTTTCCCCTCTCATTTTCGTGGTCCGCAATTAAATTATATCATTTAAGCCTAATTTTCTTTTATTCAGACTTTTTCGAGGGCGATCTTGCACGTGCCATCTTGAACAGGAATATCGACCGCTTGGGGCAAGCCCTCCCCATTATCGACTTGGAAGCAGGTTTCGGTTCCAGTTGCATGCCTCTCAACGCCCTTGATCTTGCAGTTGGTTGGCCTGATGGCCTACGACTCCTCTCTACAGTGTGGACGGACGGCATTTCTGGCACAATTGAGTTAGCTGCTTACGAGAACGACTACAACTCCGTGACCGTTCTACGCGAATTTCCGCTTCCCCTATTCAAGGATATCACGGAGTCGATGAGCTATATGAGAGCTTTGCTCTATCACTTTGGTCAATTATTTCTCGTCCACCCTCTAAAGCGGAGACGAGATAGCCTAGCTGAACTTGCCCGTGAATACCTGTCGCCAGGCGATCAGGCCCTCTTGGGTCTTACTGAACGGAAGACTCTGGACGCGCAGGCCAACACAGTCTACCAGCTCCTCAAGAAAAGATCCGTTCCAGTTCCTGCTGGCTTGAATCCAGGCCCGGCTATTTCAGTATATAGCCTCGCTGTCAACACGTATAAACAGCATTCCGAAGCCTTCTATTTCTCAAGAATAGTAGAAACCCTGTATGCGCTTTATGCTGCGGGATTTTGCGACATAGACGAAAGAGATGACAATACTTCCTACACCCCACTAGAATCAATTCTAAATTCCAATGTTAGCAGTGATGAGATCTGGGTAGAGATCAGTCTCTGGTTTCTGAGGATGGGCGCTTCTCCAACATTCCGCGGCCCAAACACGGTCAACAATATATTATTTGGTGTTGCCAAGTCTCTCGCTTCTTACACCGAGAAGCGTTACATTGAGAACTTTACTTCGGGTCGAATGACGGCGTTAGTTGAGTACGCGGCTGGTTTGTACTCACCAGTAGAGACAGATCAATGCACCTGCTTCTGTTCGTCGGGGGGATGCTTGCCACTACACTATCTTCTTCGCGACGCGGGATGGTGGACTGATTGCAGCTGTCACGACCACAGGGGCTACCGAGTCGTTTCCTGGATGGTCTCCTGCGGCATTAAGGTTACAGGCGGTGGTGATGAAGAAGTCGAAGAGCTCTATCTCGAGGAAGCGACGCGGCTGGAACTCTTCAACCGTCTCGGCATGATCCACACGTGCTGTTCTTCTGGGAAGCCGGTGAGGAGCCACGCCGAAATAAGACGACTTCAAGAAGATGACGATTCAGAGCTGAAAACCCAACTCGATCTATTCATGACGTCATATCGGAACTCGCGCCGAACATGGCCAGTGCTTGAAGAGGGTTTTGTATTTGTCACGCCCTTGCAGTGCGGATGCTGGGATGAGACGAATCGCTGGAAGAAGTATGCAAAAGGGGGTCTTGTGGCTCATTGGGACTGGTGGTGGACTAAAGTAAACCGGATCTTGCTCGACACTCTCGCGCATAGGCGAATAAGGGTGGTTAAAGATTATTCTCGCATCCAGGCCGATTTGCTAAAACAATTGGGCTATGATGGCCTGGAATTCACTGAGGTTATCCGGCGGCATTTCGCGGGCTACATCGACTTAGATCAACCGGCCCTCGACGGCGAGGAGACAGAAATGGACTCGGCGGGTCGCGAGGAGGAAGCTGTGTCAATTGAGGGCGGTCTAGCTAAACCAGACGCAGGTGCTGGTCAGAACGAGGGGAGAATCTTCGTCCCTAGGAAGAGGACGGAATTATTGGAAGCTGTGCTCAGGTTCTATGAAGAGGAGGATTTCTTCCAGGATGAGAGTTACGAAGAGCCGGCTGCCGAAGAGTGCTCAGAAGAAAAGACCGCAGAAATCTGAGTACATTTGTGACAGGGTCTATTGGTTGGGCAAACCATTGTATAATAGCCATTAGATAACGTCCCCCGGTCGAGTCTTATCTGTGGAGGAATTCTACGCAAAGTTTCTAGAAGCGGTTAGGGGAATAAATTTAGCATCTTGAATTGTCTTCGGAAGAGTATTGGCGGGCAATCTTTTTATATATGCATCGATGGTGGCTAATGTAGTCGTTACTCTCTGTGGTCTACCCCAGCAGTAGCTGAGTGCTGCATAAAATCCCTTTTCGTCTTTCTGAGATATACGTAGATGAAAGAGCTGCTTGCTAGTCGCTGATCCAACGTAAATAACTCGAGTTTCGGTCGCAGCTCCCTCCAGCCTCTCGCATACAAGCACTTGGATGTCCTTCAATATTCCTTCCGTCAAACACTCCACTTTGTCCCCCCTTTCCTAATGTACTTAGGGCTTTCTTGTATCGGCCGTACCATTTGTCGTCATCTTTCCGAATACCTTTCTGGAATATTTCCTGGAGCTTCTCGGCCTTCACCTTGCATGACTTCAGAATGTGTTCCAATGCCTCCTCTGCCGTCTCGTGGAGCGCTTGTGCCACTGCTTTAGCACTGCAGAGAATATCAATAACTAGTAGAAAATAATATAATACTCTTTATATTTATATTAATAGCCTTGTTTATAAAAAACTATTATTTAAATATAAATCAAAGTAATAATTATTTCTTTAATTATAAAAAGAAATAATTAAAGGCTTAAAATCTCTCTTGGATTTATAATAATTCTAATAATTCTAATAAATATAATTTTAAAGAATAAAATTATAATATATTTAATATTTTAAACTTATTTTAAACTAGTATTTCTTATAATATATATAAGTTTTTATTTTTATTTTATTTAATAAAAAATAAAAAATTTGAATTATTTATTATTATTATTTTATTATAAGAAATTCTAATTACTCGAGTTATAAGAAAATTACTTTTAAATATTATTCTAATAAATTTAAATACTTTTTTAATAAATTTAAATATATAAAAATTAATTAAGGATTTTCTAGACTTATAATAATAATAACTAATAAGTTTATATATAATTTCTAATATTTTAAGTATATTTTTAAATATATTTTCTTTTATAAAGATTTATATTTCTTATAAAATAATTTCTTAATTAATTTTTAATATATAAAATATATCTTTTATAAATTATTAGCTTTATTAAAATTAGGCTTTTTTTTTATAAAAGAAAGCAAATACTTATTATAATAGAAATTTTAACTTTATAATTATATAGTATAATTAAATAACCTTTAAATATTTATATATCCGGTTTTATATATATATTTCCCGCTTTTCTTCTCTATTTTAGAATTAATTAACCTTTACTAGTATATTAAAGAATTATTTAAGTTATTCAAGTTATTTATAAATAATATATAAATAACTTAAATAGAATATAAGTAATAAATATTATAATTCAGCTTTTGACCTTATTAGCTAATATAGTTATCTAATAGTTACTTATATTCCATTACCTATATTTCGTTACCTATATTTCATTGCCTTCTAGATATATATAATACGGCTACTTTATTAGAAAAGTATACTTGAAATATACTAGAGATATTTAGAAAGCTAAATCTCTTATAAACTAGTATATTATAGGATATATATATTTCCTTATAGCTTTCTATATTCTAATTTTCCCTTCTTTAGCTTTAAATCGTTTTTATAAGAGACTTTATACCTTACTTTTCAAGCCCTAAATACTATATTTATAATAATAAATATTTTAAATAACTTAAATAAAATAAAATAATTATAAATAATTATATAAAAGTTATATAGAAGTTAATTAATTATAATAAATTAATATTATTTAAATTTTAAAAAAAATTAAGGTATTTATTAAGTAGTCTTATATAAACTAAGCTAATACTTATATAAGTTTATTTAAATACTAATTTTCTATAATATATAAACTAATTATTACTAAGATTTAATTTATTTATTAAATACTACTATTATTTAATTAGATAATAAAGTACTATTAGATATAGGCCTTCCCGAAGCCTTATTCTATTAAGCTAGCTTAATTATATATATAGATTATATATACTATTCAAGTTATTTATAAATAACTTAAATAATATATAAATAAAATAAGAGTAATAGCTATTATTTTATTCTACTCTATTTATTTAATATACTAACCTTTACTTTTTGGTTTCACGCCTCACTTGTATACTATAATTCCATACTATAAAGGCCTATTTTATTTTTATATATTTCTATTATATTATTATAAGCCCAAATATATAAAGAATAATATAAATAAACTAATAAATAATTTATAATTTATTTATAAATATATAAAAGACCAGAAATTATAATTTTAAAAAAACTTTAAAAAGAAACTTTTTTTAAGCAAGTAATTTTTATTTAATTATATAACTCATTTTTATAAATTATATAAAAAATAAAAGTAATATATTTATTATATTTATAATTACGAAAAAATTTTAAATATTAGAAAAAAATCCCTTAAATCTTTTTTTAAGTTTCTATAAGTTTTTTAATTTTATAAATTATATATTATATTAGCTTACTTTATATAAATAAATCTTATTCTTTAATAAGTCTAAATTAGGCTTTTAATAGTTTTTAGAAACTAAAATTATAGCTACTTTTATTATTTTTCTCGCTTTTTAATAATAAATACTTATAAGGTATTTATTAGTAAATAATAAAATAATAGAATAAATTAGTAAGTTATAAAATTATAGTATTAAATCCAGTATAGAACCAATTTCTGTCTCTTCTATAAGGTTCAGAAAAGCTTCTAATAATATATATATTTAGTAATTTATAAGCCTAAAGCCTATAATATAAATAATAGTATAATTATAATATTAAAGGGCTATTAATCTCTCTAATTAATACCTGTAATATCCGAGGTTTATTATATATCTTTAGGTTATATATATCTCTCTCTATATCTTATAATACTATTATATACTATTATATAATTGGTTTTAGCTAAAATCTTAAGTTAAGATCTAAACTAAAATCGATATTTTAGTATTTTTAGTTATATTTACTTATATATTATTATACTTTATTTCTTTTTACCTTAAATTTAAATTCTAAAAAATACTGAATTTTTTAATTTTTAAGCTTTATTTTATTATTTCATTCTTACTATTATATAATTTAAACCTCTTATTTTATAAATATAAATAGTAATATTATTAATTATTAATTAATTAAAAATATTACTTATTTTATTAAAACCCTTATTTATTAGCTTGCTTTTATATAATATATAATATATTATTATTATTATTATTTATATAGTATTATTTATAGTTCTTATAAAATATTAAAAAGCTCGATTTTAGCTAGTTTTTTACTTTATTATTTATTAGAACTCTTACTCTTATAGGATTTTTTACTTCTTTATTACCTTTACTAATATTTTCTCAAAAATAAAAATCTTTTAAATGCAAGTTTAGTGCGAATTCGATAGTTTACGAACTGAAATTGCTACCTTGCGAGCTATACTCGCTAGTACCCAAGCCTAGTTAATAGTATTTACGGCAAAACCCAGTTAAAAGTCGAAGCTTCCTGATCCTGAGAAGTTTGCTAGAAGTACGTACAAATTCGATACCTGGCTTCTGTTAATTAAAGCAAAACTGCGAATTAATAGTTTGGTAATTGGGGACTTTACTGTCCAGTTTTACTAGATTTACTTTAATCTGGAGTCCTTAGTTCAATTAATAATGGTTTTGCTACAGCTCTCCTATATAAAGGATATGCAATTGTGGGATTACATTAACCTTTGTGGGTATATAATAATCCAAACAAGTAATTGGAAGCAAAGGACAAGCTGCATATACTCTGCCAAGGCAATAATTCCCTCCCTGCCTATATTACCAAGTTTGAATGCACCTTATATAAAGCGGACAGCCCATTCTAGCTAGATATTAATAAAATATCTAGTTTTTGCAGTGGCCTTAACTTTGCGATTCGCTCTTGCCTAGTCTAGCAGCTTACCCTCCTGCGGATATATACTGATTTCTTACGGACTGTCTAGTAGCTCTTGTTCAAAACTGCCGCTCCGCCGTATATTATTGCTCCCAAGATTGCCATCGATCCCATGGACATTAGCGAACTAATAATTGGTGCTCTCATATAGCTCTCTGAGCCACTTTTACTGGCTATAATAGCCCGTTTAACCTCAAAGGAGCTCTGCCAGCTATATTGTCAAACCGGCAAATGTGTTAGATGTAGGTCCTAGGATTACTTTGTAAGGAACTGCTCCCTAGCTCCTGCAAACGCTGCTTCTTCCGGTTCTGGCAAACGGGTTATGATTGCCGCAATTAACGACGATTCTGGTTGCGATTCTGGAGGAGTATGCCCGGATATAAGCTAGAGAAGGGGCATTATTACTAGTGTTTGGAAATAGAGTTCTTTTCCTTTATTTTATTGTTTTTACTATATTTACTTTAGCTTTCCCTTTGTTTTGCTACACTATACTATCTTGGCACTCTGGCGCTCGTGGATGAGCTTTTTTGGAGGCAGGGGGCGGGCCGGGCCGGCGGGTGGGGGGTAGTGTGACGGTTGGTGTCATATGGTTGGTTTTAGCTAAGGTGACAAGCTCGGCGTTCCAGTGGTCTTTGCCGTACCTACTTATCCACTGCCACACCTCACTCCTTCTCTCCTTAGCTTTAGATTCTGAAAGACACTGGAATTTTAGATCTTTGAGTCTCGTTCCATTGCTTCGTTCCTGCCGTCACAACTACACAACTTGCACAAGTTAGATCGAAACTTATAAAAATAGATCCGGAAGATAAGGGCACCGCTATTCGATAGATGCAGTAATGTCGGGTGGCTTAGCTGAATGTGTGAAGTGAGCTAGTTTTGCTCTTCCCATTCTAGTCGTGTTCCTATCTCTTACCCCCAGCAAAGAGTCGAGGCGCGGACAGGGATTGGCGAAGGTATGTCGCTGTGCCGGGACAAAATGTCTTCCAGCGCACCTCTATGGTGACCTCGTAAATCCCAGCCTCGGTTATCTGTGTGCAAGCAAAGGTCGCCACGAATTGATGATTGGCTGCATACCTAGGGCAGGCGGGATCTGCTCTGGGGTCTGGAGTACTGTAGAGCAGATTTGGAAGGGGGAAGCTAATCCCAGCCTACCGGGGATCGGGCATCGCAAAATATTTAGATAGTCTTTCGTTTTCAATTGCGTACAGGTGTTTTTTTTAAAAAAAAAGGTTGGATGGAGTACACTTCCGTAGTTCGACTAACAAAAATGAAATATCCAATTGAAGCTATCTATGAATATCGCGTAAACGGCCTCATTCGTCTGCTTTGGTTTGACTAATCACTAACAGCGAGGGAGTGTCACTGACGGCACCCTCCAGCTGAAGGTGGGACTATACTCGCCGTAGGGATTCGGTTGACTCGTGCCCATGTTCTCGGCATGATTGATCAGGGTTCGGATTGGTGGCTTGGCGTCCAAAGTTAGACGTCACAACACCAAATCAGCGAATCTAAGTCCTCGTGGGTGGGCAGCCGCCCTGTTATCACGGGATGGCTCCAGCGCTTTCCGGCTCTATTCTCAATTCTGAACATTCCGCAGACCTCTATGGATTTTCAAAGCTTGGTGGCCCCTCTTGCATCTGCACTGTAATATTGATTTGTGAAAAATTGAATACGAGCCTGGGTTCCTGTCCTTTGGATCGAGCAACCTGCTCCGTGCATACGAGGACTTGTCTTTTCGCCCCCCAATCTTTCTCGTCAACGACTGCTGTCCCAGTGCAAATTTAGACTTTAAAACTACTACGCTTGGATCATCGCTCTGAGGATAACGTGAGGGTGAGAAGTTAAAGTCTCCACGGGGGGGTATTCTATTGAAGTCTATTTTAAGCCGGGTCATTGGCTCGAGTGTTTAGAACAGGATTGAGTCCCCAAGATAGCAAACACCCACACCGCTATCGTCCTAGAATTAACGCTTAACTGCAAATAGAAATGGTCACAACTGCCAAGCCTTCCATGCCTCAAGGCAGGGGGTCCACTGCTCCAAGCTATGCAAGGAACGAGTCCCAAAGATTGGTATGCTTCCAGCGAAGAATACCCAGTCAAGGTTTGGCCTGGCACAGCAGCCGCCTCATAATCGGGGCTAGCTGAGACTTTCAGCCTTGGACTATGAACGTGTTGAAGTACTATTCGGTACCCTTCGTCTCTTTCCCCCTCTGAAAACTTTCCCTTTCCTCAACTATTATCAACATTATCCCACACATCCTCTACCTCTCACTTCTGCATGACGGCAGGTCCGAAGTCTATCTGCCTACTTTACATTGTGGAGTGTTCAATAACTCAGTGTACCATATATCCCTGCTTCTCAAAATGAGTCTTTTCAAATCGTCCTTCAAATTCCAGTGGGCTACGAAGGAAGCTGCACAGTCGAACGGAGCTAAAGACCAGACCTCAAGTGGTGATGGTAGCAATGGGACTTCTCGCAGCGAGCCTAAACGCACACACTCATCGATGTACCCCGAGGGAGACTTTCGCAGATATTCCAAAGAAGATATGGAGGGGATGCGAGGCAACATGATGCTGGAACAACTGTATAACGAGCAGAGTCGCAGGTTGTGGTATACTTGGGGTCCAAGTCAAGGTGTTGTTCTGAAGCAGGGTAGAGGGAAATACGTTGCTTGCCCGCCGCAATTGCAGGCGGAGTCGGGCGGTCTATTTGACCAAATCGTCATGATGAACGCCCGAGTATGCTCAGTCCTACTTATCTGAAACTTTTTACCTCAAACTGATTTTGCTTTAAACAGTGTGCTATGACGATCAATACACATACCACTCAATTGTTTCTATCGGTTCAGCAACACGACCAAGCCTCCATGCGAAACGGCTTGGCTATACAGATTCTGCCAAGCGTACAATACCTCCCGCGATGCTTCAAACACCAGTTCGCGGCCTTCATAAAGGACCAGGGATGCCTAGTTGTGTGGGACGATGAACCGGAACACCTTGTCAGTCGAGCAGTTGAGCTGGAGTCATCAATATTAATCACGATCTGGAATGGCGACGAGATGGAAGAGATGGAAGGGAAGAAGGAGAATGTCTCAGTTGATGCAGTTCCGGTTCTGGACTCTCAAAATGAAATTGACCTTGAAGCCATGGCACCAGAGCCCAGATCAATCGTCCTATGGAGTCCAACTATGGTTGCTGGGACATTGACACTGATGTGTTCAGCGCTCGGGTTGGGGTTTCGGTCTCTAGCCCTGGAGATTGCGGTAGATGGCACATATCTCCGCTTGGCTCTACTTGCTTTGTTGCCTGTTATTTTTTTCATGGGACTGGTGAGTTATTTCATGTCGTACTTCATTATTCCCTGCTTAACGTTCTTCTAGTTTATGATGCAAAGTGTTATGGGATGTTTTATGCAAATGTTCGGCCCAGTTAACCAGATGATGAGCAATTCCAAAGCATACTCCGGCAAGCCACCTCCTCGGATACAAAGCGGTACCCTGCCACATATCACAATTCAGATGCCAGTATACAAGGAAGGCCTCGCTGCCGTCATCCGACCGACTGTGCTTTCTCTCAAGGCTGCCATTTCTACGTATGAGCTACAGGGAGGCACTGCCAACATCTTCGTTAACGATGGTAAGCAGTTTGCCAACCCTTCCGCCCTAAAGGACTGATACTAATGTTCGAAGATGGTCTCCAACTCCTCCCTGAGGATAAGGTGAACGAACGTTGCGAATTCTATGCAGAGCATAACATCGGCTGGGTCGCTCGCCCGAAACATAATCCTCCACCCAAAAAGTCGAAGAATGATGACACACCAATCGACGAGTCCACCCTTTTCGTGCGCAAGGGAAAGTTCAAGAAAGCTTCAAATATGAACTTTGCTCTCATGGTGAGCAACAAAGTCGAAGATAAGCTTCTAGCCCTCCCACGAACTCCGGTCTGGTCTCAGAAAGACGAAGACGCTGCTTATCAGAAATGCCTCGCCGAAGTCCTCGATGAACTGAATGGCAGAGCATGGGCGAAGGGAAATATTCGTGTTGGAGATTACGTCTTACTCATTGATTCGGATACTCGCGTACCTACGGACTGTCTTCTTGATGCTGCCAGCGAGATGGAGGCGTCACCGGAAGTCGCTATTCTGCAGTATTCCTCGGGCGTCATGCAAGTCACAGATACTTTCTTCGAGGTTCGTGTCTTTTCTTTTTGCAATGGGTTATGATGTCTCGCTGGACAGAAAATGGCCTGGGCCGTAACCCCGGGCTTGATCGTTGAATCTGTTCTCTAAGAATGATTTAATTTCAGTATACCTTTCACTTTGCAGTCGACTCCAATGTCAACATATCCGCTGACACTTGGTAGAATGGAATTACCTTCTTTACAAACTTGATCTACACCATGATCCGCTTCGCCGTATCGAGCGGAGACGTCTGCCCGTTCGTCGGTCACAATGCCATTCTCCGTTGGTCCGCTCTACAACAGGTCTCATACGAAGATGAAGACGGATACGAAAAGTTTTGGTCCGAGTCCCATGTATCTGAAGACTTCGACATGGCCCTGCGGCTCCAATGCTTTGGATATAGCATTCGCCTCGGTGCTTACCACGGCGACGGGTTCAGAGAAGGCGTTTCACTAACTGTATACGACGAGCTTGCCCGTTGGGAAAAGTACGCTTATGGCTGTAACGAGCTCTTATTTCATCCGCTTCGATTCTGGATTCTACGTGGACCCTTCACGCCTTTATTTAAGAAATTTATTGGGTCGAACATGGCGATTGGAGCGAAGCTTACTATTCTAGCGTATATTGGGACTTATTACGCTATTGGTGCAGCTTGGGTCATGACCCTTGCAAATTACTTCATCTCCGGATGGTTTGTTGGACATGTAGACAAGTTCTACATTGGGTCATTCCAGGTTTATTTCTCGATTATAGCAGTGTTCACGGTCCTGGGTAACGTCGCACTTGCAGTGCTGCGGTATCGAACTTCTGAAAAGGCTCTGTTGCCATCACGTACGTTATCCTATTTTCTCCATCCTCTAATTGTTTAATATCCCCCTTCAAACAATGGCAGATAGTTAACTAGCCGTATCCTCAGTTTTCGAGAACACGAAATGGATCCTCCTCCTCACTATTTTCCTCGGCGGCATCTCCTTGCACGTCTCACAAGCGCTCCTCTCACACATGTTCGAGATCGATATGTCGTGGGGCGCAACCTCCAAAGAAGTCGAAAACACCACCTTCTTCGAAGAACTTCCTCGCCTCCTTAAGAGATTCAAGTTCACCTTCATCTTCTGCTTTGCGATGATTGGTCTTATGATCGCTGGTGCGGTCGCTTTCCCGGTGTTTTGGACAATTACGACATTCAATGCGATATATCCGTTGGCTGCAGTGGTTTTTAGCCACTTGTTATTGCCTATTGCGTTGAACCCAGCATTGATGATGTTTAGTTGGTGATTTGAATGTCTAACGTTTGGTAGTGTTAATGATGGCTATGATGGATGGATATCTAGAGGAGTTTGATGTTGGAAATATAGACGGGCATTTTGAGATGATTAATAAAGGTCTTGGAGTTTAGAATAAGTTTGCTTTACTCTGGAGCGAGGGATTTTGTCACAGCCAGGTGTTCTCCTTATTTCCTGGGACTAGTTCTTCGACAAGTGAATTTATGAATTTTATCAATTGCTGTGCATATGGTTATATGGAATTGAGTGCTTCTATTGGTGTCTGTTCCGTCTTACTCGCGAATCGGTTAGTGTGAAGGACTGCAGCTCTTTCTCATCTTTCACCAGAGTGGGGTCAAAAACCCCTGGGGCTTTGGTTGCCTGTCCCTGGTGTACCTGTCCCTGGTGCCGTTCGGATGGATTGCCTGCGAACATGCATAAACGCCACCAATACTGAGGCCGCCAGGACGAAATCTAGCTCGCGAGCGGCCTCAGTAAAAGCGCCACTAACTTAAGTTATGGCATCAATTCTTAGGATTTTAGCCGCGGTATATACAACTACTCAGATTAAGCTACGTCCACACCGGTCTTCCGAGGTGTGTGCATGTACTCCTTCATAATTCGTTTGCCCCTTTCACCTATCTTTGCAGCGTACGTCAGCAGAGCTCGTTGTTGACGCCACTCTCTACCTCGTATTCTGCAATCTTACGTCTTGCGAGCTTCCCCTTAATTACTCTAAGCGAGCAACGGAGGTCCCGAAAAAAGCAATGGCGGAGAGCAAGGGGTCCCAGTCCGTACCCGCACTACCCGAAAACGCGACCATTGCACCGATTGTGACACGAAGTCTTTCGACCAAGTAATACGTGATATCCAGCTGACACTTTCGGAAGGACGTCTTTGAATCACACTTTGATTTTATTATGTACATTTACACTCCACTTCTCCACTCTCCTCTCCTCTACTCCGTCCCTCAACGTATTTCGGTCTGGGTTTCTGATCCCAACGAGCTGAGTTCAACCCGTGCATCAAGAAACCATTCAATATCAAATTCCTGAAAACGATTTTCAAAGTACTTTTCCCAATTCAACACCAATTCCATGAAGTTCATGCAAAAGATCAAACGAGAATATGCTTATTCGATATTACCACCATGCTTGCCGCCCGTTCTCTCCGCCATTAATTTCCTGCGTTCTTTGTCTTTGGCTGTTTCGTTGTCAGTATTGGTTTCGGTTCAGGGAAGGTAGATAGAGGGGAGTGAGGAATGGGGAAGGAACATACTGCCATCATACACAAGGAACTCATGCAACGCACTCCCAGCCGGCACCATGGGTAGGACCGGGACTTTCTTATCCGTCACCACCTCCAAGAAAGCTGGGCCCTCACTCTCAATCAACCAAGTTAAGGCATCCTTCACATCCTCCGGCCTGATGCATCTCCGGTGCTGGATACCCATCGCGTCGGCAAGCTTCATGAAATCCGGGTTCTCGGAGTGGGTATGCGCGTATCGATCTTCGTAGAAGATATTCTGCCATTGGGTGACCATGCCTTGCTCCTCGTTGTTCAAGACGATGATCTTGACGCCGATATTGAATTGCTTGGCTGTTGACATTTCGGTGAGTGTCATGTTGAAGGAGGCGTCGCCGTCGATGTCGATGACGAGAGCATCAGGTCGGGCGACCTTTGCTCCAATGGCAGCGGGGAGACCAAATCCCATTGTTCCGAGACCACCAGATGTGATCATGGTTCTTGGATGCCTCCAGCGGAAATGTTGCGCTGCCCACATTTGATGTTGGCCTACACCGGTGGTGATGATGGTGTTATCTTTTCGGTGAGCAGTGAGATTTGAGAGCTCTTCAATGAGAGTTTGAGGTTTGATGAGACCACCACGAGCTGCCTTTTCGTAGTCGTTGAGAGGGAACTTCTTCTTCCAGAAATTAATCTGGTCGAACCATTCTTTTCGGTCCTCCATGCTCCGGTTCTCGATGAGTGGGTTGAGGAGAGCAAGGTTGTCAACAACATCGCCTTCTACGGCCTCAGTTGCTTGAACAACCTTATTGATGTTCTTGGGCATTATCTCAAAGTGGACGATGCCTCCTCGTCCCTCGGCAGCGGCAGCCTTAGCCTGTGGTGCGAATTTCGGAATACTTCCAGTCACACGATCATCAAAACGTGCTCCGAGAGCAATAATGAGATCTGCATCTTGCATTGCTAAGTTGGCATATGCTGAACCATGCATTCCAAGCATGTTTAACGACTTTCCATCAAGCTCATCAAAGCCGCCGAGACCTTGGAGAGTCGTTGTAACAGGGATAAAGGCTTTATCGGCGAGCTCCTTGAGCAGTTTAGGACCTTCGGGAAGGGAAATAACACCCTGTCCTGCGTAGATCACCGGTTTCTTGGCAATATTGACCAAACGAGCCACACGGCTGATTGTGGCCTTGAGCTGTCTCTTCAACACTTCTTGTGCTGCTTTTGATGCTTGGCTAGGAAGGGCTGGGATAGTGCTGGTCATCGGAATGGCCTTTCGTAGGACGGCGGCCGTAACATCCTTTGGTAAATCCACCAACACGGGACCGGGTCTTCCGGATGTGGCAATCTCGAAGGCTTCATTTATCCGTTTTGGAAGCTCCGCCACATTCTTAACCATCACGTTCCATTTTGTGCATGCTCTCGAGATACCGACAACATCTGCTTCTTGGAAAGCGTCGCTGCCAATAGCTGCCGTGACTACCTGGCCGGTGAAAACGATCATCGGAGTTCCATCGGAGAGGGCATCCTGCATCGGTGTAATAACGTTTGTCGCACCAGGTCCTGAAGTCACAAGTACAACACCAGGTTTTCCGCTAGCCCTCGCATACCCTTGTGCCATATGCCCAGCGCCTTGTTCATGTTTTGGGAGAATGAATTGGAAATGTTTTGAGTTGTAGATAGCATCGAAAACGGGAAGGATGGCACCGCCAGGATAACCGACTGAGACGAGGGGTCAGCAACATCGATTAATTAGAACAAGATGATCACTCACAGATGTGCTTGACACCTTGCCTAAGCATCATTTCATGAAAGATCTCTCCTCCAGTCTTTCCAATAAATCTGTAGGCCCGGTCAGTATGAGCATTGAGGAGTGGCGGTGACTCAGAACGCACGACTCGTCCATTTCCAATTGTCGGCCATGTTTGGCGGTTTCTAAAGGGTTTTCCCGTTTGGGTGCTGTGGAATTAAAGGCAGAACTTGGACTTGTCTGTCTATACAATTGTCAGTATACTGTGAGTCACTGAGGGGGAATCCTACGGTGAAGTGGCTGGAGCGGTCGCAACCGTTGCCTGTGTTCTTTTACCTGCGGGGTCCTTTCGCACCAATGCGGTACCCGCCGCCGCTGGTGAGGACGAGAAGTGTTGTGTATTGCATCTTGATTTCTGCCTCAAGGCGCGGACGGCGGTCCTCGCAGGATAGGATCGAAGCATTTTGAGCGGCGTCGGAGCGGAGAGTGGGAGAAGGAAGAGAAGTGTGAAAGAGGGATGCCTCGATTGGCTCAGCTCAGCTCTTTATGGGGGTTGGCCGTAACACAAGCAGGACGTGGATTGTTCCTTGCCTTTGGTGTTTCGTTTGGGCGGGAAGTATATTGTGGGTGTTGGATCTCTTGGATCTTGGAGATGAATCACTCTGGGGCGGCCAGACAAAATGTTCGCCCGCTAGCGAGAATCGGAGCGTGCAGGGCTTTGCAGGGTTTTGATGTGGGGAAGGGCAGAAAGCCGGGGCAGAAACTGAGCAGCCAATCAGCTGCCGAAGAGAATGCCGTTGACATGATTCGCTGAGACGAGACCAGCCATTTCATTTGTCCGAGACTCCGTTTGTCCATGCCTCGGCCTCGCTGCCCAGCACTCCCCTTCAAAGCGTCAGCCTTGTGCACGAGGCCAATGGTCCAAGAAAAAGCAAGTCTCGTTGCCGGACACCGTAACACACTCACCTTCTCCATCAACACCGCCGCGTGTTCCACAGACCAGGGAAAGGGCTTTGCAGCAACAAGCGCACGAATCAAACCCCCTCAATTCCGCTCCTCGGCCCTTCCGTTGGACGAGATGGCGGGGCGGGGCTCACGCAGGAACCATTTCGCGACAGTCACGCGATAAATAAGAATACTTTCACCTCAGCTGCTGGATAGACTCACATCCCACCTTCTGTCACTACCTTTCCCCTTCCGTTCTCCTTCTCTCTTGTTGTCCCCAAATACCCACGAAATCAGCAGCTCGGAGACAGTCGCCCGAACCCCACTATTCCTCGAATCCCGACACAATGGCAGGAGCAGTCCCCGTTGCGAAGTCATTGAAGGACATATATACAGAAGATGCGTTGCCTATACAGACGGAGAGGTGGGAGAAGCTTTTGAAGCAATTCGCGGCCAATTACGGCAATAGCCCACAATTCGTCTCTCGCTCACCAGGCCGAGTCAACATCATCGGAGAACACATCGACTACTCCCTCTACTCTGTCCTGCCAGCAGCAATTACCGCAGATGTACTCCTCGCAGTCTCGGTCATTGAGGGAACCTCTACCGATTCCTACAAGATCAAAGTCTCCAATGTTCAGTCTTCGAGATTCCCTTCCCACGAATTCGACATCCCATACAACTCGGTAGACATTGACGCGACGGTTCACGAATGGACCAATTACTTCAAGTCGGGTCTGCGAGGGGCATTAGAGCTTTTGCGGAAGAAACACGGTGCGGATTTCAAACCGAAGAGCATGGAGATATTGATGGATGGCACGGTACCAGCAGGAGGTGGACTAAGCAGTTCAGCAGCCTTCGTCAGCGCATCTGCTCTTGCCGTTATGTTTGCGAACGGAGAGACGGCAGTTGACAAGACTGAATTGACAGAGCTCGCCATTGTCAGTGAACGCGCGGTGGGTGTCAACTCAGGAGGAATGGATCAATCCGCCTCGGTCTTCTCTCTGCGCGGTTCCGCTCTTCTGGTCTCTTTCGTCCCATCCCTAACAGCGCGGCCCATCAGATTCCGGAAGACGAACCCCGAGCTCAACTTCGTTATAGCACAAACCTTTGTCACATCAGATAAACAAGTCACGGCACCTGTATGCTACAACCTTCGAGTCGTAGAATGCAGTTTGGCAGCCGAATACCTCAACGCGGTTCTGAACCAGAAAGGTACACCCCTCCCCAAAGACTCCGGACCCCTAGGCGTTTCCCTCCGAGGCTTCCACACAAACTACTTCGCCGACTCTGCCATCCCCTTCGAGAAACAACTCACAAAACTCATAAATCTCACAAAATCAACACTCACCCAAGAAGAGGGTTACACGCGCGAAGCAATCGCCTCCGTCCTGAAAATGACTGTCCCACAACTAAACGCCCGTTTCACCTCAACCGTACCTATTCGAGCAGAGAAATTCAAACTTCGCCAAAGAGCACTGCACGTCTTCTCCGAAGCCCTCCGCGTGCTGCAATTCCTCTCCGTCCTCGAAAATCCCTCTGCTTCCCTGTCAGCCGACTCGGGCTCCTCAACCGAAACCTTCAACAGAAAACTCGGTGATCTGATGAACGAGACGCAAGAGAGCTGTAGAGCGGACTACGAGTGCAGCTGTCCCGAGCTCGATGAGCTTTGCAAGATTGCGAGGGAGGCGGGCAGCTGCGGTTCTCGGCTGACCGGCGCGGGATGGGGTGGATGTAGCGTGCATTTGGTGCCTGGGGATAAAGTGGAGGCTGTGAAGAAGGCGTGGGAGGAGATGTACTATAGTAAGAGGGAGTTGACGGCAGAGCAGAGGGAAGCGGCGGTTGTGGTTTCTAGGCCGGGTGGAGGGAGTGCGGTATTTGTTGTTGAGGGGGAGGGCGTTTTGTAACCAATACTCACCCTGGCTAGAACGAGAATGAGGAGAGGAGAAAGAGTGGACGATGAACTAATAGAAGTTTTGTACCAGGTTATCCTCGTACATTGAGGTTGTCGGTCGACTCGAAGCTCGCCGCCCGCTCGGCTTGTAAAAAAGCCCTTGAAGTACTTCTGGTGTAATCCTCGTCGCACTCAATGTACCAAGCCTTCTGGTACAAAGGGATGTCGATCTACTCCAAATGTTGCACATCCACTCGATGCTCTATATGTTTCTGGTACATTGAGGTGGAAATTGTGGAGTCTCTTTTCAGATGAAAGTGACGCTGAACCGCTTTTCATCTGATCATTCTTCTGAAGTGAATCAATCACCTGTACTTCGTATTGGAATCTGTTGCACATCGCCTCGATGTCCCGAACAAACCTGGTACAATGAGACCTTCAATTCCATGTCATTTACTCATCTCATCTATTCACCTTAAGCAAGCTTACTCTAAGCACCCTGAACTCCCCATACATAAAACTCAGCCATGCATAGCTCACATCACATTTCATTCCTGCCCATCCCTCCCCCCTCTGCTCTGTCTTCATCCACTCTCTCAAACCACACACCCCACAATTCACAACTTGAAATCACCATTCGCCTTCTCGCCCCCTCTCTCCGGAAGCGCAGCGATTTTCTCCGCGAGGCCGATCTTCAAAGCCCGCGAGCGCTCGGTGCAGAGCTCGTAGATGGTTGAGAGGTTGAAGGTGAGTGCGTGGAAGGAGGAGTTCTCTTCTACTAATGCTTCGAGGATTTCGCGCGCCTATATAGATATAGCGAGTCAGCAAGGTAATGCGCAACAAGAGGAGAGGGGAAGGGGGACAGACTTCGGACATTCGACCAAGGTAGAGGAGGCAGACACCGAGGTTTTGGCGATACATTGGTAATTCAGTCGATTCCGGGCTGGAGATGAGGTTGTTCCAAATAGTTACCGCGGAGGTGAAATCTGAGTCTGCCATGTGTGCGAGGGCGAGGATGACTTTCGCTTCGTTCTCTTCTTTCCTTACAGAAATGCAAGAGCGTGCCGCTTCTACGTCGCCTAGGCATAGATATAACAACGCTTTCTGGCTCTCCAAGGCCGAGCTCAATGATGCCGAGTCGGATGAGGGTGACAGTGTGGATAAGAACCTCGCCGCGCCCTCAAGATCGTCCATCTCCACCAACGCGCTCGCGACTTTGATGCCCAGCTCCTGGAGTCGTGTCTCCCACTTCTTAATCTCCGCCTCCAAAATGTCATCCACATCCACATCCACATCCGCCTTCTCTTCTCCATCACCATCTCCTTCCAGAGATAAAGTTAAGGTGCGGGATTTCTTGAGAGAGGTGAGCGTGAGGCGTGCTTCGCGAGCGAGCTCATAGTATCCCATGACACCTCTTCGAGCGTCGTTGAACCCCATTCCCTGCAATCTTACAGCCAAGACTCTCAACTCCCATGGCACGAGATGTCGTCCTTCTTCGTCGCGGTAATAACTCGAATTCAGATCTTCCAATGCCTTGACTTCCTGCGCCGCCAGGGCGGTCTGTCCACACAGCGTCAAGCAGGACAACCGCGTGTAGATCAAGTCAAAGATCGTTGCTATATCGGCTGGCAAGCTCGGGCTGAGATCCGGCGAGGTAAGAAGTTGAGCCGCCTTAATCGCTGCACTGCGGAAATTCCCAGAGCCAACGAGATCAGGGAGGGGTGTCGCAGGGTCTGGTTGCAGACTTGAGACTCGGAAAGGAGGTGGGACGTCGAGAAGTGTGAGCGGGTGGTAGATCTCAGGGCGGAGCAGAAAGGAGAAGTTCTTCGTTGGCGCTAAAGATGGGGACCGGGAGGGGGAAAGGGGGTTTTGGGAGAGTGTTGAGTGGGCGGTGCGGAAGGAGGGGGAGGTTAGGGTGGAGAGGTTGGAGCCTGGTTGTGGAGAGGGGAGGCGGGGGGTCATGTATTGAGAGGTTGAGGGTGAGAGGAGGGAGGAGGATTGGTGTGGGAGGGAGTGCCCGGTGGAGGTGGGTGAAGGGACTGGTATTGGGGCACTGGATATGTTAGTATGCACGATATATGTGACGGGAGGGGAAACGTACTCGCCGATGTCAAGGGGACCACGGGTTGAGCGTCTGGGGAGAGCTAATTAAAGTCAGTTTCCAACGTGAACCAGTTTTGAGTGTATGAACACAACGATGACGATGTTTGAGAAAAGGGTGAGTGGCGACAGGATCCAGATTAAGAGTGTGGCAGTGCTGGTGCAAATCCAGGGAAGCATTGTCCAACATCATCTTATCCTTTTCTTATCCTTGATGCGAAGTCATCTTTTGTTGCACGTCGTCTAAGCGCCTAGACGCCGGTTTGAGTTGTTATACACTTGTTTAAGGCTCTAGCCGCGATGGTTGAGATGTATGTCTTGAAGCTTCGCCACGTGACCTGGGCCATCACCCTCTGACCAGACGACACTAAGCTCAACAGAGGACACATGCATGCTTGCGCCATCTATTCTATATTTGGCTTCGACGCTGAGCCGCAGTACAGTGCACCGGAGCAGTCCCGAGGGCCAGGTTGTGGTATTTTCGATCCCGTGACCGACGTCGCAGATTTGAATCAAGGTTCCGACAACGTGCTTGGAACGAATAGGTGAGCTTGTAGATGACTGACCTCTGCCTGATGACCCATGCCTGGAATGCCTCTTTGGCGTTGATTCTCCTGATGATGAGGTCTCCATAGTGGGTGGGTGATTTGATGACGTTCTGTTTGAGGTTTCGCGATGACAGGAGGTCAAGCATTAATTTATACAGGGATGACATAAGTTAACCGAGATTTGCATAATGAATTATGAAACTTCGAACGAAAAGCATAACTTCTTTCAAAATAGCATCGCCATCGATATTCATGATAACCAGCATCACAACGGTGGATGATCTCAAAATTGTACTAGTGATGCCCGAATATCCACAAGATAGCTCTCAGCGGCCATCGGTGTGGTGAGATGTCGCGTGGCCGGCACTACATAGGGTGAAACCCAGTTTTGGACTTGAGGATTTCATGAATCGCATTCAAGCCGACCCTTTCTTCTTTTTTCTTTTCGGGCGTGGCACTGCCTCGAGGTGGCGGCCGGACTTGTTGATGGCGTCAAGACCTTGGATAAGGCTGACGTGGATAATGAACGGCCATCCAGCACGTCTCTGCTTCCGATAGTCCCCGTCTCAGTATAGGTCCATCTAACGGCTGCTCAATCAGCTGCTAACATAGCAGCACTATCATCCGTGACGGAGAGCAATGGAAGGGAATTTCTATGGATGAAAGACCTGAGCTTGCGCTGATCCGTGAAAGCTCACAAATCCACTTTGGAATGGTTGGCAGTTTAAACGCAAGCAGTCTTTAGCGAAAGAATACTGACTCCCAGAGAGCCATTATTTCAAACCTTGGAACGAGATTCTTTCTGCCAAATGGAATAATGTGCACCCAATGCCCCAAGATAAGGTGTTAATTATTTCTTGATATTATATGTCACGTAGTGACGTTGGCTAGAGAGTGAGGTGTAAAAGCTTGTCTATTGCGAGGATGCTCAAATCTATGACTATCGCTTAGAAGTATCCACTAGCCAACCGCCCAAACCCCCATCCGCCCACGCCTAAAAAAATCGATTTTTAATCACACCTTCATTATAATTACAAATCCTTCAATATATTAACATCCCATAGTATGTTCGACATTCTGACAACTATATATTCAATTTAATCTTGTGGTGCGGCTAGAATCTCCTGTTAAAGTCGAATTTTTATTTTTTTTGGTACGCGGCCGGCTTCCTTAATTTTTTTTGATGCGGGCGCGTACCAAAAAAAATAAAAATTCGACTTTAACAGGAGATTCTAGCCGCACCACAAGATTAAATTGAATATATAGTTGTCAGAATGTCGAACATACTATGGGATGTTAATATATTGAAGGATTTGTAATTATAATGAAGGTGTGATTAAAAATCGATTTTTTTAGGCGTGGGCGGATGGGGGTTTGGGCGGTTGGCTAGTGGATACTTCTAGCTCGCTAATGGCCTCAGTACTTCCTCTTATGCTAACTCGTAAGTATCGCCTCACTTGCATCGCAATCCAATCTGCCCATTATGACCAAAGGCGCGTATGAAGGTTGGAAGGTTAGTACAAGATCAAGTCGCAGTCCCTTTGAAGTCGACGTCGCAATTCCGTCTCAAACATGATAGATTCTGCAGTAGCATGACGATTCTACCCTCTAGTCGCTTACGCGCTGGAAAGGCAAATAGCTGAGGTTGCCTATACTCGTCCGTAAATAGATGCGTTGGCTTGGAGAATGCCTTCAACGCTGTTGTCGCGGTCAACAAGCGCACCGGCCCCCGTATTCCCATCGTGCAACTTGTCTTCTGTTGACAGCAGCGCTTCCATGAACAGCTAGACTACCGCATAGAGAGCGTCTGCCAGCATCTTTCCTACCCTTCCCTCTCGCGTACAGAACACTGTCCTCCCACTTTCCCTCCGAAGAGCCTTCGATGTGACGCTCTCTACGAAGACGAATGGGACCCTTTTGAAGAAGAAGTTTCCAGTCAGCAATAAATCCAAGTGGACGCAGACAAGCTTGGCTCGTGTCAGCTTACTGACCGGGATGCAGGGAGGACATATGATGAAGATCCGCCAAAGTATATACGTTACTCAATCGAATTGTAGGTCAAGCTGAACAACAGGGAGGTATCAAAGGACACAGAACAAGATTTAGTTCTTACACCTGCTTTTTACTGGCGACTCTTCCTGATGCTGAATTTGGAGAAGGTTCTTTTGCGCAAAATTGTAGCAAAGAATAAAACTGACAAGTGCGAGGATACAAAAATTATGATAACAAATGCCAAACGTGGAGATCCTGGTGTTACAAAAATATTTGATGACACAGACATTGATTCGTCAGTAGTAGAGAGGCAGCTCGTTCTATGGGGCGACCTATTTCGGGCAAGCAAGAAGTTGAGAGTAGATATATCATTCAACTACCTAGAGACTGGTCAGCCATCGGTCACATCACCGAGAAGGGCAGATACAAGACGTTCAACCACTCAGTAGATACTCACTAAACAAGCTACACAGCACGATGTAGAAGAAGAATCTGAACAGACATCCATTTGGAACAAGGTATACAGCTTCATGCGTTGTCTTAGACCACCATAGGCACTTTATCGAATTTGGGTAGTCGGGAAATCCCAGTTGTCTCTCTTTTTTTGAGAAGTAGTTCTTTGCAGGGGGCTTTACCAATTGCGCTTCATGTCGATGCAAGTAGCCTCCAGATGATAGATAGTCGAGTCGTCTTAGATGGTACTTCTTTAGCTTCTTCATTGATTTTCGCTATTAGTCGTTCTGCTTTGTCGTGTCCGAAAATTTCGTGAATTATCGATATAATCGATACCTCCAATAGATTCGAGTTGATTGAAGCCTTCGACGCCATTGACACTCTCAAAGAGTTATGCAAGGCTCCTGATTGAGCTATCGAAATATTTGTATCAAGATCCGCGCCATAGTCAATCAATAACTGGCATGCTTCGTACCAGTTGCTTTTGATGTCCTCGGGTATATATTTACTTCTATTTTCACGAGCACGCTCGTTCAAGAAGTCCATCCAGACAGTGTTCTGGTCCCCCTTTTGGTCAGGTCGTCGGTTTTTATTCGGGTCGGCACCGTGCGAAAGAAGTATTTCCAGCATTTCAGTATCGATAAGTGTGTAGATTTGATCCTTTTGATTCCTTGAGGGGGAATGAAATCCTACGGGAGGTACCAAAGCATATTCCCGCATTTTATCATCGGTGAATTTGCGGATTTGTTCCATTTTATTTGAGGGGGCTACGAAAGGTGCCAAAGCATGTTCCAGTAAAGTATATTCCTTGTTGTCATTGAGAAGTTCGGGGTACTCGTTCAGCATTTTGTCAACATATAATCGTAACCCTGCATGAATAGCAAGAGCTAAAATTGTACGATGGCTAAATTCTTCAAGTCCACCGAGGTCATTGAATTTGTGTCTCATACTGTTCCAGTGCCTTTCGTGACTGCAAGGATCGCCGATTTTACCGCTACGATAACAGAGGACACGATCAAATTCGTTGAGGAGTTTTATATTACTCTTGCCGTTGCGCTCCAGCTTCCGTGCATAACATATCAATTCGGCAGTCAGTGCTGATACGTCGTTTTCAAACTTGCGCTTGAGTTCGAGGTCCTTAGTACCTTGTGGCACTGGGTATCCTTTTATCAGTCCAAGTATGATATTAGACAGTGAAGAGCTTGTATCGAAAAAATGACCTGCCCACTCTCGTAGTTCGTTCTGGTAGTTATCTCGCAGAAAATCTATAACTGTTCGGTGTAGAAATTCAACTTTGTGGTGCATGATTGGCGGAGCATAGTTTGTGCTCCTGAAGTTCAGTTCAAGCAGATCGCTGCAACGGCTGTTAAGAAGTCTTTCCCACTTTTGCGCATTTTCCCATTCTTGTTCCCTAAAGATTGGTTGGATTTGCATCTTTAAGGCGTATTCTGGGTCCTCTTGTTCAACGAGCAAGTATTGTAGACCGAGTGCTGGAATCGGCGTCACTGCGTCCACAGTGATCCGAAATATCTTAGCAGTCTCTTCACGATGGATCTTGTCGATCCTCTCAATAATGCTGGCGAAATATTTCTCCAGTTCTGCCGGGAAACTATCCAATCGGCGCTGTAAGAGAGGGAATCCTTCTCTTCCCTTCAGATCTCTCAAAAGGTCACGAACAACAAGGTAGACCCATAGCCAAACACCCTGAGCCTTGTCTGCGATCTGTGGTACAAGCGTTTGACAACGAGAATCCCCTTTGGCGGCCTTCATGAAGATTTTATCTTGGGCCAGCATGTTATGCACGTATTTTTGCATATCATTATTAGTAAAATCCTCGAGAACCAGCTTCGAACTGCATTGTTCAAATACGTCTATAAAGGCGTTCCAAGGGCGGCTGGAGACGCAAATTTTGATGTTTGGTGAGGCAGCTAAAGATTGAAGTAGTTGCACAATATCTTCATGATCGCCATCGTATTCGTCGAGACCATCCACGAAGAAACAAAATTTTGAAGGAAGTTTCGAGCTTTTCGAGGCAATTGCCAAAGCTGAAGTCAATTCCTTTTGTGTCCACAAAACTTTTGGGTCCTTCGAAGATGTTTCCAATATCAGGGACGGATATGCCCGAAAGACCTGAAACAACAAGCTTTGGAGGAGTCCACGAATGGATTTCTGCATAGGCAGCCCAGCGTTCCAAAAAAAACAGCTTGCTGTAACAAGAGTTCGAGATCCGGCCCTGGTGGCCCAGGATTCCAGTGCGTTCAAGGTGGTGTCATGGGCACATATATATTTCATGAGGGTGGACTTCCCACTACCAGCCTGAGTCGCTTCAGTGACTTGACTTCTCTGTGACATAATGTAGGGATGAAATACCTTTCCTCTCACCCAGTAAATTCCACTGTCGGCCTTCAACCAGTTCATAAAGCCAGTTTCAGGTTTTTCAAACATCCAATTCAAAGTCATCTCATGTGCATCCTTAATCGTCTCCTCACGCTGCTTCATTTCCTCGAAGACTAGGCTTTGAAGAACGTCTTGCTGATGCTTCACCCTTTTACCTTCGTCCAGGAAAGACAGAAGCTCTTTGGATAGACTATCTAACCCGAAGTCTTTTCCCCGTGCATTTGATGTTGCCGGTACTTGAAGTTTCTCCAAGATATCTATTCTTAGCTGATTCAGATTCGATGTCAAATTTAATTTCAGGCCATCATCGACATGCGCAAGAGAATCGATGGCAGACATCACGTCCGAATGGCAGTTCCTATTTCACAGTCAGCTTCTACTTTGCTAACAGAGTTACACGATGACTTGCCTTTGAAGCATCCAAGAAGTTCGAGTCCTCAACCGCATATCCAGATCCATCAATCTGTGTTTCAAGATTTGTATTTCCTTCTTCTTTCCGGCACTTCTAAAAGTTTGATGCAAAGTCTTCAAGCCCCGAAAGCGCGCATCGTTTGGGACCTTGAGATCATTCAAGATTCCCAACAACTTTTCCGCCAAAGGCATGCATTCAGCTGCAAGTTTTCGAATAGTGTTCTCGCCAATCGAGTGCCCAGATAGATGTTTCGTCTCATTGCTAATATTTCGAATATCTTCGATGATAGCCTCGAGCTCATGGTATTCGTCTAGTGCGCCGTGCAGCGAGTTGTACATCTCTTTCCCGTCGGATAGAAGTTGCAGACCGTAGCCAAGAAACTGAGCAATATTCGCAGCAATGCTGAGGACGGTGAAGGGTTCTGCCATGTTGGTTGTTGTTGTTGACGCATCATGAGAAGGAGAGAAGGCTGCGAGAGCGTGAATAGGTGGGACTGGGAGTGAGGCTGTTGTCGAGGTTGACAATTGCGGACCGTGCCACCCATGTCTGCCGTCTGAGCGCTCAACAGGTTGCTGAAGTGGTCCGTGCACGGAGTGGTATCTGTATAGTACTTGGCTCATTCGTTGTCGCATGCACGATATTATAAGTATAATGACAATTATCTTATAATAGAATGGATCCGTTATAGAAATTCTAGCCAGAATAGCCTTATTAATCCCAGATTCAATTTTGGCAGAACTCTTCTAAACCTACTTGCTATCACGGTTTCATCCACCACAGCGCACTCGACGGCCTGCCATCAATTGTTGCCTCTTCAAACGTGAGTAAATTGAACTCGGATAATTCTGTGCCAAACTCAAACGTTTACTATCTTTAAGAGTTGAATGAGGTATTGATGGTAGACAGAGCAGAATTAATTAAATTGATATGTAGCCATATCGTGTTGGGTATTAAATCTACAGTCTTATATTTCGGTGTGCGTCTAATCTACTAGCTCACAGCAGGCATCAGTGGTATCTATTTTGTGAAGGAGTGAGGTTGTACAGCAGCTTCCGAGCCAGACAAAGCCCTGAAACACGAGATAGCCGCCGAAGAACCAACCCAACTGGATGCCTAAGACCTTGCCTAAACCCTGACTACTCCGTAAGGCCCAGCCTGACGCTCCTCGCCACGGCCCGCGCTCTCCCACAGCGGTCACCGTGTACGCATTAATTTGAACAAGGAAGTGAGCCTTTTACGTTGGCTTTTCCCCTATGTTATAATCGAATCTCCGCAGGCGTTGGTCATATAAATCAAGGATATATTCGCTTCAATCTCAGTCAAGCTTGGAGCTCTGACTCCTGGCCAATCTGATTCTTGCAGCATCTCGACGTGGCGGTGCTCTGCAGGTAGCCCAGCAGTGCCTAGTTGAGCGTGGGGGCTGATCCCACCACGTCGCCCTTGCGCTTCGCGCCTCATCAACATCGACATGTAAAATAATCTATCCGCGGAACAGAAACGACGCTTTGTAGCCAAGAATATACTGCGACTTTATGCCCTACAGCCTGCATTCGACTCGGCATATTGATGATGATGACCGTCCAACGTTTTGACCGGCAATAGAATGGTACGTCCCCGCGAGGTCCACATCAAACCCCAAACGCAACACAGTACTGCAGCCTGACCCAAATTGATGCAGTTCTCTCGACCTTTCTCTCAACGTAGCAAATCCTCCACAAGTTCCTTAGAAAGGGCACTCAAGCGCTTATCAATATCGACGCAGCAAACGGACATCGACGCGCCTGTTGATGTTGTTGGAAGTCTGGGGCTGACTCTTTTGTTCCAGCCTTCGGAGCCTCTGATTGACTTCATATTCGTCCATGGGCTAGGCGGAGGCTCGCGGAAAACGTGGGCTTTGTCGAAGGAACCATTACATTACTGGCCTCAAGAATGGCTTCCTCGAGACCCGCCCTTCAAGAATGTGCGGATACATACCTTCGGATATGCCTCGAAATGGGCCGAGATCAAATCCAGTACTCTCAATGTCCACGACTTCGCGAAATCCTTGGTGGCTGCCATCCAGGATTCACCTCATATGGGCACAGGACAGCGGACACCACTGGTATTGATCGGCCACAGCATGGGTGGATTGGTGATCAAGAAGGCATATATAATTGCTCGGGAGGATCCTCTTTACAATGCTCTCGGTGAAAGGTTTCATACTATGATTTTCCTTGGGACTCCGCATCGAGGATCCGGATTGGCAACGGCCCTCAACTATTCGCTGAAAAGCGTGCTCATGCCTTATGGCTCCAAAGCATATGTTGACGACCTTAAGGATGATTCGATTATGCTTCAGCTCATTAACGATGGGTTCCGTCATGTCTCCGGGAATCTCCAGCTACCTTCTTTCTACGAAGCAGTGGAAACTCAAATTGGGCCAACCTCGAGCTTAATTGTGAGCCGTGAGTCTGCTGTTCTAGGATATCCCAACGAATATAGTGCCCTGATAAATGCCAACCATCGTGGAATCTGCAAGTTTCACAGTCCATCGGATCCCAATTACCTGACCATCCGGAATGCGCTTGCTTCCATCACCAAAGATATTGTGAGTGATATATATCACCAAAAACGAGAAGAGCAGCAAAAACAGCTCCGTATCTTGGAGAAGTACCTTGGAGTACCTTGGAGTACAAGAGATATCTGAAGATGACCTTACTGCTTATGAAGAACGGCAGATTGAAGGTTCTTGCGAATGGTTGACTTTCTCAAAAACATACTGCGACTGGAGGGATGGTCATGCACCGTTAAAAGCAGTCTTTTGGGTCAATGGTCAGCCAGGGTCAGGCAAAAGCTTCATCGCTACACATGTCATCAATTCGTTGGGGGATCTCAATATGGACACGAGCTATTTCTTCATCAGACATGGCGACAAGTCTAGCTCAACTCTTGAATCGTGCCTTCGTTCTCTTGCTTTCCAAATGGCACTCATGAACTTCAACGTAAGAGAAGAAATCTCGGCAATGCAGCAAAATGAAATACACCTCGACCGAGACGAACCGCGGGCACTCTGGCGAATGCTTTTTGTTAGTGGCATTTTCCGAGCATCGTTTCAACGCACACAATACTGGGTTATTGACGGCTTAAACGAATGTTCCAATAAAAGCGCTTTGTTTCCTTTGCTTGCCAAACTCGATAGTAGAGTCCCATTGCGTATTTTCATCACAAGTCGCACCACCCCAACGATCCAAAAAGGTTTCTCACAACTGCAAAATGTGGCAATTGAAACTGCTTCCCCGGAGAACACCCTTGGCGACATTAAGTTATATGTCAAGAAGAAGGTAGAAGAGCTCCATATCGATCGTATTGAGTATCGGCATAAGATTACATCGACCATTATAGAAAAGTCAGAGGGGTGTTTCTTGTGGGTTGTGCTTGTTTTGGAAGAACTCGAAAGTGCTTTTAGCGAATCAGAAATTGGACTCATTCTCAAGGAAGTACCAGTGGGCATGGATCCATTATACGCAAGGACTCTCGAAGGGATGTCTCAAGCTTCGCGAGGGAAACCACTGGCAAAAGCAATTCTCATGTGGTCAACTTGTGCAACTCGCGCACTAACACTCGAAGAACTTGAAGCTGCACTGCGAATACAAACAAAAGACAGGAGTATTTTCGCCCTGGAGAAGTTCATATCGTCTACATGCGGAAATTTGGTGTATGTTGACAGATACAAGAAGGTTCGGATGATCCACCAGACAGCAAAAGAATTTCTCCTGCGTGATGATCTAGATTCCGAATTCGCAATCAGAGGCCGCGATGCTCATAGCGCACTTGCAGATACTTGTCTCCACTATCTGATTTGCAACGAGATGAAGGCACCAAGAAATCGCAAACTCCTCACGCCTACAGAACAACGAATCAAGAAACGGTCCCTCTTTGCAGACTATGCATGTACGTCGTTCAGTGATCACCTTAGAAGTGCGGATACAGCAAGTGACAGCTACATGGTCTTGCTTGATAAATTTTTTCGGTCCAATGTACTCAGCTGGATCGAAGTGGCTGCTGCCAAAGGAACCCTGAGTCCGTTGATCCTTACCGCCAAAAACTTACGAGGTTTCTTGGAGTCTCGCAAAAAGCATGCGGGGCCAATTGGAAAACACTATCAACTCGTTGCTGAATGGAGCACTGATCTTGGACGCATTGCAGCAAAATTTGGAAGGCATCTGTTGGAGTCACCGACTGTTATATACTGGCTGATTCCATCCTTTTGCCCCCTGGAAAGTCCTGTCAAAGTCCAATTTGGGTCCTCCCGTGGTGGTTTCTCGGTCGCTGGTCTTTCAAACACGGTTTGGAACGACAGACTGGCATGTAACACTTATGGCAGCGAACAAGCTCGTTCAACGGCGTGTAGTGATAAACATTTTGCAGTAGGATTGTCAAGTGGCATTATTCATCTATATTTTCAAGATACCTGTCAGGAAGCGAGGGTTTTGAAGCAGAGTGGGCGACGAGATCCTGCAAAACTCATGGCGTTTGACACATCTGGGGGCCTGCTCCTTTGTGCTGGAGTTAGAAGCATTCGACTATGGAATACGACGAATGGTGCAGAGCTTTGGAGCTCGACACTATCAATCCCACCAGTTGCAGTCCTATTCTCAGACGGCGACACCATGGTAATCTCCATTTCGATTCAGAATGCCATCACCATTCGCGACGTGTCGACGGGCAAGATAATCTCATCTACGACACAACAAAATCCATTCGAGACACAACAGCTTGGATTTCGACGGCCTATTGACCGTGCTGCAATTTCGCTTGTGCACAATTTGGTTTCTGTGGTATACCGAGGCCTGCCAATTGCGATCTACACTATGGATAACAACGAATTTCTAGGTTCATGTGCTCGAGTGGAAGAGGTTCGAGAGGGAAGAGGAGACACCGCATTGTTATCAATGATCTTTAACCCAAACCCGGAACTGAACCTCATCGCTGCTCTCTACCTTGATGGAGATCTCGCACTTTACGATACTATGGAGCTAGAACTTGTCACTCTGGTAAATGGCGCAGATGCAAAGTCTCTTGCAGCTTCCCCAGCCGGACGAACCCTTGCCACCGGGGATGCTGGCGGTGTCATCCAGATTTATGACTTTGAAACGCTCAGACTCTTGTACCGAATCGTGGCAGCAGATCAATCCATTCGAAGTATGTCATTCAGTACCGATAGCATGCGGCTTCTGGATGTTCGAGGCACTCATTCCAACATTTGGGAGCCATCAGTATTGGTCAGAGAAATTGCAACTGAATCGGAAAGTGTGTCTGATACCTATCCAGTTGACCCCAAGCCCGTCGGCAACAGAGAACTATACGAAAAGGGCGATATCACGGCCGTTGCTACCCACCCAACGGAGAATGTTATATTTGGTGGTATTGGCGATGGTTCCTTCCCTCCTAACACACGAAATGTCTGTTACCCATTCGCAAGAGGATAACAATAAGATTTCACCACTGAATTCTACTCTTTTTATCGAAACCAAGAATTCGGCACCAACACTTCTGAACAATGATGCGGCTTCTTCGCAGGCCCCAATGCGTTATTCGGTCTTCACAATCCCGCAGAAACATTGGATCACATTTTTCATCGCCTTCATAGCCTGGGTTTCCACACTCAGTAGCTTGATCTACATCTACTTTCCAGCCCTCAGCCTCATTGCTTTAGATCTTCACACCAGCATCGAAGGCGTCAACTTGACTGCCACGTCTTATCTCATCGCCTCAGCCGTCATCCCTTCCATTATAGCACCAGTGGCGAACCTGACAGGATGCCGCCCAATATATATGTTTACATTCTCCATTTACATTATAGCGAATATTGGTCTTGTATTACAAAAGTCTCTCGCTGGATTGAAATTGCTGAGAGTGGTCCAGAGTGTGGGAGTCTTATGGATCAATTTTCTCTTTCTTGCGTATCGCAGTTAGTTAGTAAGCTTGCCGCTCTTGCTCATGCACTAATCACCCTCGCCTCACCCTCGGCTCAGTCAACTCGCCTGAGTAACCTGAGCACCCTGAGCAGCTCACCTGAGGAAGCATGATCGGAAGAGCAATGTTTAGGGTGCTTTACTAGCGGGTAATTTTGCGTACAGTGCCACGGGGGAGCACTCTATGGCTAGGGTTTGGGGAAGAACTATTGCACACCAGTTGTAACTAGTCGAGCGCATGACTCTCCTCTTTAAAAATGCAAAAACAACGATAACGCTAGAGGAAGCATGATCATCCTGAGCAAGATTTACCACATCATCACGTGCTTTGACTTCTCGCTTTATAGCCAATCACACTTGGACTGGCCTTCTGTTCTGTCATATTATTTTCGTGGAGTTTAACGAAGATGCTCAGGAGCCCAAACAAGTTCCCAGATCCCAAAGTTGACGCTTCCAAAAATACCCCCAGTGCTTGGAAAACGACACAATTAGGGCGGAGATCATGAAAACTAGTCTGCATGATAATATGAGTAATCTAGTAAGGATAATGGCTGTTACAGCCAAACAAGAGTCTAGCAGCAAAGCTTTTAGTCTCCTCTACCCCGTACATCCAGTTTCTACAAGAATTATATTAATATGGAATTCATAACCCCTTTCAACAAATCCCTACTCGACTTTGCAGGTAGTCACATTCGAATCGGAAGCGTCGTCGCTGCCCAATCGAGTTTGTTGCCTAAAGTGAGGCGGAATGTGGCGTCCCTAACGAGCCCAACCTACTAGTCTGTGTTGTTCAGGACCATTTGCTTACCTAGCGAGCCCTATCGCGAAAACTCGACCTTCAGAGTTTTCTAATAAATTCGTAAATTACTATCAAATAATATACTTTAGCTTCTTCTTGAATATATTATCGAGGCATAAGAAATATTACTTAGTGGTTATTTAGGGGATTTCAAGTGAAGTGAGTGACTTTGGTTTTTGGAGGCCTGAAAAGTAGCTTGAAGAGCACAGACTAGAACTCAGCACGCCGAACGCCTTCACCGGGGGCCTCATTTTTAGCGCCCTCGGAGCCCTCGATCGCATGAGCTGCGCACTTAAGCAGCCACTTCCTCCCGCGCTCAAGGAACCTTATCGCCATTGCGGGAAACCCTATGCGCACGGAAGGTCTCCATCATCTCTGACGGCCCTTTGGGCCGTCACCGAGAGCAACGATCTTGACAGCATAAACCCGGCCCCGCCGGCCCCACCCTCCTGAGGTACTCACAATTTCTGCCTCAGAACTAGTCACCCGCCCAACACACTTCGTAAATTATCCAACAGTATCCCCTTTTAATTATCGCGAGGGGTCTCAAGAGACCTCTCGCTTTCAGCAATCTAGAAGCGTTTCGACACGTAGTGGGGGCCTTCCTGGATCTGCTCTTGAATCTTTCGAGACGAGCAATCCGGAAGGGTTCGGATTTGAATATCCGAATTTCGACTCTGGTTTGCAATTTCATATTGATCTTAATCTTCACCATGTCGACTCGTATACTTATGCATCCCATCAAGTATTAATTCAGGCGTCAGAAGATTTGAGCCACTATCGTCATTGCATTCAACAGCGAACTCCCATCAGCAAGGCGTTTTTGAGGGATTTCCTTTTTGTGAAGGCCTACATCCTAATACGGGCGCCAGGAACGATTGTAGCGTGACCATCTCAGAGGAACTCAGCCTCGATACCTTGCTGGGAAATCCACCTGGCCCGCTACTGAATCATTTGGACAACCAAGCCGCCTTGGAAGAGGAATTACGGTCTGCCGAGACAGTCGGCAATTTCGCTCATTCAGCTGTTTTGGATATAAATTTTGTTTCCGGTGCGCCAGAGAGCTCGGATCTCGTCCCATTTGTTCCTCTCCCAACCCGTGGACACATTCCAACCATTTCGCCCGCTGATAATTTGCTGTTCGATCTGGATTCTCGACCAACGATTTCAGAAACCCAACACACAACCCCGACAACCCGACAACCCGACAAGTTCGTTGTCGAGCATTCCTTCACCTGACTCCGGGCCAGTGGACTCTGCTCAGCCATCGACTTTTCCTAACGAGACTGGCATCACGTGTGCATGGCTTGGCTGTCAGAAGGTCTTTAGCACAGTGAGCGATTACAAGTAAGTCCTGGATTTTCCTACTTCAAGAGACAAGCAGAGACTAGCTTGTCCAGTCATCATTGCAAGAGCCATACTCGCCCGCACCAGTGCTCCGCATGCTGTGCAAGGTTTGCAAACAAGCGGCATCTCAATCGGTATGTCAACGAATGCCACACGCATGCAGAAAAGTACTATTGCCCAGTTGCCACTTGCAAGCGATCTAAAGCTAGCGGCAGGATGCTTCCTTTCCTACGTGAGGACAATTGCCAGAAGCATATGAAGACGCATCGCTTGCGGGGCCTTCAGCTGATATGGTGCGATATGGACGAGTCCACGAAAAACGTTCGACTGAAGAGGAAGATCGAGAGACAAGCTGGTTTTTAGAGAGTTCCATACATTCGTTGTGCGTGGAGGAACGTGGTTTTGTGGAACGTGGAAGAGGCCATCACGTGAAGCTATCATCTCTTTCATCCGGTCACTACTGAGACCTTCAAACAACTCTGTCTTTAACATATGTTTCAAACAAATACAAGAATGCGGGGATCGTTTTGCAAATTGATTTATTTCAATGACATCTTATGACACTTCGCCATTGGTGCCAACGGCGTTGAGGCACTTCTAAATCTTTACGTTAGGCGCAGGGAAGAATCGGAGATACCGAAACTCAAGGATCGTGATAGGAAAGAATAGAGTGAGAGGACGGAGAAGGAATCTAGTGAAAATGTTACAACAGGGTGTGGACGTTTAAGCATAATTTATGCATGGATGACATAAGCCAAGCGAGTTTTACATAAAACAAAATATGCTTCAGATGAACCCAAACCGTCTTTTCACAACATCACTTCAAGATCGCAGGATCATGGAAAAGCGGCAGTAGATACTTGCTCTGAATGATCTCAAAGTATCGGTTGCTTCTCGCCGTCCAGACCAGCATCTGGCAACAATCGCATGCACCTCGATCACTTCGGTCCTCTCCTCGGTCCTCTCCTCGGTCCTCTCCTCGGTCCTCTCCGAAATCCCACCACACTCTGTATCACCAGCCTTGCGCCTGCTTCAGGGGCACTATTTATGTTTGCGGCGAAGGCAATTTGTCGATTTCGAGTGATCGCTTGAAGATCTACTGTATGGGATCTGGGAGGTCCTCTGAACAAGCGCAAACATCCGAGGGCCAGAGCGGTCTTTTCTTCACATCACGCCGCACGTCCGTGATGTTGAGATTGAAGTGTTGCGAGGTCTGGACCCGAACGGTGCCTGCACTTCTATTGGCCGCTTCGCATTTTAAGATCTTCGAAATATCATTTTGAGCATGGATCCGCTTCCTCCTTGCCCGATCGACTTGATAGGGGCGATTTTACTTTTTCAATGCGTTTTCCGTTCTTGGGTGCAACAGGGGCCAGCGCCGAGCTTTCCCAGCCACAGTGCACAATCAACCCACAACTAGCTTTGTGTAACGGCCGCCAACGCAGTCTTTTTGCTTTAGTCTGGGAAAGTGGAAGGAAGTGGCGCCGCCCTTTCTCCAACTTGGGGTCGAGCTCCACGTGTGAGATCACGGCAATCTCAGACAAAAGGTCAAGTGGGGAGAAGCATTTCAGCTGGCAAGGGGGTCTCTCGGGGATCAATCTGCAGTTGCGGTCCCCGAGACGCTGGTTCGCTAACCAGCCAACGACATCTCCGGGATAAGCCAGCATAGGGTTACATTTGCTGGGAGTTTCCGCACGTGATTGCCGGATGAGGGAAAAGTGGCTCGCTGCGGCTGAGACATATCGGCTCATTCCCGGATTCGGGGGCCCCATTTTCACCGGTGGTGTGGAGATAGCCTCAGCTCCTGACCGGGATGTCTTAGAATCGATAGATCGCGCGATCCATTTGTCAACACAACGAGGGGTATCCCTTGCACATAAGAGATACGCTTCCCCTTAAACTGCTCTTCCCGCAGTAAATTATGTTTCCGTATTTTTGGGCTTGAGACATGAATCTGCATAGTTCAATGGTTTTCGTTGTCTCGAGATGCTATGTTTCAATGTCGCGCTCTTGTATTTCTTCCTCTTGTTTAAGCCCGCAACGGCTGTGCAGATCACGAACACAAATTACGATGGAATCCAAACAGGGAGACCGTTTACGGTCACTTGGACAGGTGCATCGGGCTCGGTGACAATGTTGTTGAGGATGGGCAACAGCACCGACCTCAGTAAATTAAATGCAATGGCCATTTGGGGTACGTTCCCTCGGATCTCGAGAGAGACCGTGATACTAACTGACTCTCGCAGTTGATTTGACAGGGCCGTCCTTCGTCTGGACTCCTGGACCCATCCTTCCCACCGGCCCATATCGAATAGAACTTGCGGACACAGCAGTTGAGCCAGTGTACTCACCTCAGTTCCAGCTCACAAATGTCCCTGTCACAACCGTATGTTCAGATTGAATCGGAGTCGGTTCTGTCCTTACTGACTCTATTCCTCCAGACATCGAGCTCTACCATCGCATCCCAAACAAGCGCATCCATATCACGATCCTCAGACTCGACACTAACACCATCCACCCCTTCCACCGAAATACAAACTTCAACAGCAACATCATCAAGCACAGCGGCAGACAGCTCCGCAGCACAGATGGGCACACCAACACGGCACCAGCAAAAGACAGCTATAAAAGTAGGCGTCGCCATAGCCTTTCTCTTCCTCATAGGTCTTACAACCTATTTCGCCATCTCCCTCATCCGGCAGCGGATCGCGCGCAAAAAGCGTCTCTCCCAAATTTCAACATCAACAACTCCACCGCATGGAGATGGTGTCATCCCCAAAGATACAGATCTCGAGCACGGGCGAGGAGCAGAGATGTCAGGCGCGTTGGATAACGCAGGAAGTGTCAGCGCTGGAGTCAGCAGTCCGACGACGACGACGATTGGTAGTAGGAGGACGAGCACGAGGCCAACGACGGGCAGTGATATTGAAATGGCGGATGTGATGGAGGTGGAAGGGTCGCAACCAGAGCCAGAGCCGGTCGAGATCGGCAGTTCTGGATATGGAAAGGAGATGAGTGGACAGGAGAAGGAGAAGGCGGTTGAGATGGAAGCGAATCAGAGGATTAGGTTTGAGGAGAGGAAACGACGGCGAAGGGGGGTGAGGTTGATGGTAGGGAGGACGAAGGTTTTGTTTTAGCGTATATACATCAAGAAGAAAAAAATGGGAAAATTAATTTGAATAGCCGAGGTCCTGTTGCGCCGTGAGAGGAGATTCTGGTTCCTGCGAGTGCCAGGACGGGGTAAGACTTTACTCATTGGGGAGTCTGCCGTATTTTGGTTGACCTGAAGGTTGTGAGAGTAGTCTCCGTCTTCAACAGTTCCATCTTTCCTTGTGATGACTCAACCTACTCTGTTCTTCTTATCCTCTTCCCGTCTGTTCTTCAACAATCTTCAAGGACCTACAAATCTGCGAGTCACTCAACCAGCTTCTATTCAACTCTCGACGCAAGCTATTCTTCATCGAATCGGCCCGGGGACAGCACTCCACACCCGGTGTCGTGCATGATTTGAGAAGTCCTCAGTTCCAAGCATGCTTCCGGAAGCAAGATATAATGATATGTCGGTGTAAAACCCCACCACCGCGGGTGTGACGGCACGCTGCCATACGACTTCGGTCCGTCCCCTGTCAACCCGAATGGTCGGTATCCTGCCCATGGTCTCTGCCCATGTTCTCTGTTGGCACGATTTGAGAATTTTCATTGGCTGAAAGCGACTTCATAACTTGCTTACGGAAACGGCGAGTTAGCTACTAGGGCATCTCCACCTAAGCACCCTCTCCAACACGTAACAACATCATGTCAATGACACACAACAAAGAGAAACAACAATAAAAATTATGTGACTAAATATGCGAAGAACAGCTAGAAACAGTTCGGATTTATAGTCAAATTTCAAAAATGCGAGTAGCAATGAGAAAACAGGAAGTGTGACACGTTTAAATTGGAAGACCTTTGCTTCCATTCCTCTTAAGTCAGCTCTCGACCAACTCAACACAGCCATCTTCAATATTCGATTACAATACCTCGAGAAACTTGCCTCGAACCTCAAGATCGCAGCAATGAAGCTCACCATGAAGCTCGCTATTGCCCTCCTGGCTACTTCTGCTTTTGCTCTCCGAAATGGGACGCACTACACTGATTCAACCTTTGGACTCGTCCAAATTGCAGAGGACTTCAATATTAAAGACAAAGACACTTCAGCCGCCCCCAAAATCACCGAAACACCCAGCTGGGCAGGCGTGGTTCTCGGTCCACCACCCGAGAATTCGAGATACTACGCCGTGATCGGTTCCTTCACCGTACCTAATCCACGTCCCGCGAAGACTTTTGACGGCCAACCGAGCAAGTGGGTTGGTTCGGCATGGGTCGGTATCGACGGTTGGCTTGGACAAAACACTCTCTTCCAAGCCGGGATCGACTGGACCGTCAGCGTCGAAGACAACGGAACCACTAGTACTGCGTACCGCGCTTGGCACGAGTGGGTTCCCGACCTGCCTACCTATTTCCCCAACTTCGTCATAGAACCTGGAGATACCATCACAATCCTTTGTGAGACAAACTCGACGTCTTATGGAACCTGTGCAATTCAGAACCAGAATAAAGGAGTCGCTGCCCAGCAGGGATTTCATGCACCTGCTGATGCTGGTAATGCCACGAAGTTTGACCTGGAAGGCAAGTTCGTGGAGTGGATTGTGGAGGACCAGAAGAATGGGTATGGACCGCTTCCTTTCGCTGATTTTGGCAGCATTGAATGGTTCGACTGTCAGGCTGCGACCAAAGATGCTGCTGGCAACGATACCAAGTTCTCTCCGAGCGATGCACCCCAGTTTGCTGTTTTGACTTGGATGAATGTTGTCATTACAAATGTGACGACTGCGGGTAATAATGCCACGATACGCTATATTCCTCCGCAATAGTGGCGGTTTACGCACCTGCCTGCGCATCTGTCCCTGGCTGCAGCATAGGCCATCGGTATTTTGCAGCGGGATTGGTACTCAACCGGAATAGGATTTGCAGCCTGAAAGGGGTAGTACTGGAGGGTCTGAGAACATTGGATAACAATATACTCTACGAAGATCACGGCATAAAGTGACGGGACTACAGGGCATTTAGACTCGCTTGGGGCGCTCAGTGGACTATAGCGTGCAAATTGAGGGGTTAAGCCCGCTATAAGGCCTTATAACTCCAGGCCTCGTACCCTGAAATAGAGTATAAGACATTTGCAGGGTTATCGGAAAATACTCAGGGATTATAGCACTACTGGCGGAGCAACCATAGCACTCGAATACTATAAGGGTGGTAATTATAGGGTACCTTAGCGAACCTTCCCCTGTAAGTACAGGGATACGCCTTAAAAAGGTGTAGTACCCCTTACTTGCGATTTATAGTATTCGTTTAGGGCAGTAGCCTAGAAATATAGGGGGCTTTAGTGGTTGAATCTAGCAGAAAGTGGCCTGAAAGTGGACTTGTAGTTCAAATACCCTATAGTCCCGTTACTTTATACCGTAATCTTCGTACTGAACTATCTCTATAACCATATATATTGATAATGTAAAATTACTACTACGAAATGAATATAATTGCAAGTATTTATACTAGCTGCCAGTACTATAAGCTTTCCCTACTAGTATAATAAATAACTGGGAGCTTTCTAGAACAAAGAAGTCAATAAAGGGGTAAGTGAAGTATGGGTGATAATAATAATAACTATTAAGTATAGCGAGAACTTCGAGAAGTGAAACAAAGAAAAACATCCAGAAGAACGAGCAATTAATATGTAATAAATAACCGAATAGTCAACGAAAAATTTAAAGGTCAAGGATAGTCAGAGAATATTAGTAAAGCACTAGTTAAGATGTACGACTTCAATTCTTTCTCTCTAATCCCAATATTATAATATTTGAGTCCACTTATAACCAACTTGCAAATAACAAATATGAAGCTTATTACTATAAAGCTATTACTTGTCATCTTCGTTACTACCGTCTTTGCTTATGGAAACTCTATATCCAGAAGCCTATGTCTTGCCAAACTTCTAGACAATGATGCTATTTACTCTCCTACAGCTACCAGAAAGAGTACTAACTGGGGCGGGGCTGTGGCCCAAGCTGTAGCCCTATATATATCTTACTATACCGTCGTCGGCTCCTTTATTGTTCCGGATCCCAAGCCGCTATCCAAGGCAACCGGAGAAGGGCTATGGAAGGGCTCTACCTGGGTAGGAATTGATGGTTGGGACGATGGACCCGCTCTTTTCCAAGCGGGTATTAGCTGGTAAGTTGAGAAAGCAAAGGACGGCTCGCTCGTAACCAGCTTTGGTGTATGGTACGAGTAGGTGCTAGCCAATTCGGCCGGCTTCGAGAAGCCTTCAAGATTTTGGCTGGCGATATTATTACCGTATCCTATAAGACGAGTAACTCCTCTTATGGTATCTGTACGATTTATAACCATAATACGGGGATTGTATTTTCGCAACCGATAACCGCTCTATCTTCAATAATAATACTGGTTGGGAAGCATACTGAATGGATCGTAGAGGACTTTGTAGAGGGCGCAAACGGCGATCCCATAAAGCCTGTTCCTCTTACGGACTTTGGGAAAGTTAAGTGGTTTGACTACAAGGCTGCTACTGTCGGTACCAAGAGTTGCTCTTCCCCGGAAAATACTTTCGTTATTAATATGAATTTCAACGAAACGGATTGGATTTCTATTACGACTTCTGGCAAGAATATAATAATTAAGTATACAGGATAATCCAGAGAGATACAGTTAATTGGGAATAAATAGTATTAGTATTAATTATAGATATAATACCAGGCCGGATAAGGTTTACTACCTAATAAGACAAACTTATCAAATAAACTTTATTATATCATCTAATAATTCTATTCTTAAATATATAGATTTTGCTTAAAAAAAGATTGAGATTGAAAATTAGATAGCAAAAAATCTGATAGACCTTAAGAATTTATATATATTAATATTAATAAACAGAAAATATTATTTCGGGGATACTTGATTATCTAAGAATATTTATAGGAAGTTTAACCAGTACTTTTCCAACTTCTTAATTAGTATCGGTATAAATTATAAGAACGAAAAAAAAGAAGCAAATATTAATTTATATTAAGAATAATATTTAAGTCCTAAAGAGAGCAAAAACAAAGAAAGAGTAAGTCTATATTATTATTACGGCCTGAACAAGCTATAGAAGTGGAATATAGGTATATTTATATATATTATAAGAAATAATAGTGCCCTAAAAGCGGTAAAGAAGCTATATATATGCCTATATATAGTATATAATAATTGTAGCCGGATTGAGATATAATAGTATCTGGATTCTTTTTAACTTTTCGAACTACTATAGAACCAAAGTCGGGGGATTGGGATATAATAACTGCCTATTATTATATACTAATCCTAGAATAAAGAAAACCTGTTTCTATTCGGAAAGGCAAGCAGAGCTGCTTTACTAGCGGGGTTGGGTAAATTAAAGATAAGAGTAATAGTAAATAGATTATATTTAAAAGGATTCCCTTCTAGCTTCCTTGAGAATCGGTTATAGTTTTAATATTATCTAAAAATAGAATTTTAAATATTATATTAACTGTAATACAGCTATCTTTTTGAGCCTCTGAGGATATCGTAACAGTAGCCGTTCTCGCTCTTCTATTATACTTACCAAGGCTCCTTGCCGGAGCCGAGTTGGGCTACCCTTTTTAGCCAAAAATTTATTCCACTCCCGAGAAGTTATCCTTAATTAAGAAGATTCTAATTCCTATCTTATTTCCTTTGACTTATTTAATTATATAATATAATACTTAAACTATATTTTTTTATATTATAAACGAACTAGAAGCAGAAATCTGAACTTATTTCCTTCCTAATATTCTCACCCTTATAGCGGCCGTTTGGTAGTATTTCCTGACCTCTATAATTAATACTTCCTCCTCCCAAACCATCCCAGACCTTCTATATCTCGAAATCCTCTCGGTATCTCAAATGGAACAACTTACTCCCTCCCATAGCTATTATCCTATTAGGCTTAACCCTAACCGTCGACCTCCTCAACCGATATAGACATCCTCACTTTCGACTTCTCTATTATTAACCCTACTTACGGATCTATCTTTATAGAAAACCGCCGAGCCTGGTAATATCTTCAAGGTCGATTTTCTCTCCTTGAAATATACAAGCTATAGCTAGACCTTTATTTTCCCTAGCTTTATAGGATTCGAGTTACTATATAATAAATTTCAAGACTACAAATTAAAGATTTGGGATTTAGAGATATATAGAGAGGAGAGATACACATTTTTAAGGGGGGAATCTCTATCCCGCTTAACCCGTTCCTTGGTATAATTAGTCTGGTATAAGAGGAGGCTAGGGAGTAGAGTACGATTCCGCGTTAAAATAGGTAGGAATATTAACTGCAAATATATTACTATTAGTAATATACTATATCTTCTTATAAAAGTAAAGGATATATTATTTAGTTATAGGGATAGATATATAGCCCAGGGACTCGGAGATATATACAGGATTGCAATTAAGATACCGATAAATATTACGGTTAGGTCGAGTATAGAGAAAGGGATAAAGCAGGTAGAGAGTCCGTATTATATTATAAAAATTATAGTATAAAGTAACGGGATTACAGGGTATTTACGCTTGTATAGGGGTCTTAGCGGACTCCAGGGTATGGTTTAAGGTACTGTACCTGCTATAAGCATTGTAACTCTAGGCCTGAACCCCTAAAACAAGAACTATACAAAAATATATGGTATTGAAAACCGTCCATCTGTCAAAATGTGAGGAATACCAAAATCGTTACGTTTAGAAAATTATACCAAATCTCAATGGAATATTCGAAACTTTTCAAAGGTGCTTTATATAATAGAAAAGAAGCAGATCTAACTTTGGCGAAATTTTTATAATAATAGAATATCATACGGAATTATAAGAATTTTTGTAATACGAGTATTAAAATTACGCCGGTCCTCGCTTATCGAGTTGGTCGGATTTCAATACCGTATGCTTTTGTAAGATATTTGCAAGGTGTTTGAAGATCTTCAGGGGTTATAATATTACTGGCGGAGTAACTATAGTATTCGGACGCTGTGAGAGAGCTAATAATAGGACCCTTTAGCGACTCTGCCCCTGTATGTACAGGGGATATGCCTTCTAAAGGTGTGGTACCCCTTGTTTATAGTTTATAGCGTGCTTACAGGAGAGTAGCCTGGAAATATAGGGGGCTTCAGTGGGTGAGTGTGGTAGAAAGTGGCCTGAAAATGGACTTGCAGTACGAACGCCCTGTAACCCCGTCACTTTATGCCGCAATCTTCGTACCTCGCATTAATATACGACGAATTTAGTTAGGGGACGTAGGAAAGGGAAGTATATAAGTCTAGGGATTAATACTGATTAAAGAGAGGCGAGCAGGAAAGCGTTAAGGGGCTTGATTAATGGGTTGGTTACGGAGAAGGGATTGACGAGAGAGGAGTTATATTTTGGGTTGTATGGCGGCGAATTTGAAGATTATAGAAACAGTGGGTATGCCACACTTTGGGGTTGCTTGTAGTTTGCCGTTGCGTGTATTTGTTGGGTCGCTGTATGTTTAATAAGATGAAGCATCTTCCAAAGGGTAAAGAAGGTCGGAGTGTCGTCCTCATTAGTGAATAGATACGTCTCTCACAATTCATCATTTATTTTTCTCAACCTCCCCTTCCTTCCTCTAGCCCCCTACCGTATGGGTCTTTTCTCTCGTCCATTACCCCTTTCCATTTAAGTCGTAGCCGAATGTCACGCGAACACTTTACCGCTCAACATCCAATGAAATACTACCTAGAAGTGCACTAGACGTTGCGCACAATGGTTTAAACTAAAATATATGCATGGATCGTTACCGATTATAATCCTGGCCATTATTCGATTCTAGTGAAGTGCTGTGGTAAGATCCTGGAAAACTACAAACCCCTTACGACTCATTTCTTGATGAGATGGACCATTACACAACTACATATCTATACACTCCAATACCACTACCCCAAATCATTGTAACACAGCAGAAACCGAATAATTTCCCACAGCGCCCGCCAAAGAATCCAACTCCAAGGTCCCCGTCCCATTCTTCAACCAACAAAGCAGAAAATCATGTCCCACAAAGTCATATGTCACCGCTTTACACCCCGTGTTCTTATTTAGCGTATTCGCTGCATCACACTGGTTGATGCATCCATCGAGATTAGGGGTCGCTTGGTGATCGAAATTGATTTCTGTGGAGCTCATAATATCATAGTCGCAGTACTGGATGAACTTGGCTCCGGAAGAAGCAGTGAAGATAGTACCGTTAACGTCGGGACAGCCGGTATAACCACTCGCAGTTGAGATAGGTGTGGAGGCTGAGGGTGTCGAGGCGGAGCTGGTTGCTGATGTTCGGGAAGCAGTTGATTGTGTGGTAGAGCCAGAACTAGATTCTTGTAAGCCCAAATCAAGCAAATGCATAAATTAAGTAAACACTGAGTGATGAACTAACCTTTGCGTAACAGGCGGCCCACTGGACGTCGTCTTCTTGTTTGCTAACGAGCCCCCAACACCACCACCAACTGCGGCCACGATCACTACAACCACAATCGCAAGAACAAGCCAGAATATTTTCCTTCGCATGCCTAATATTGGTTTCCCAGAAGGAGTTCCATCTCCACTCTCAACTCCAATTTGGGGCCCCTTTTCATATGAATTTTGCAAGGCTGGTATTGGGGCTTCGTGCGAATGCTGCCCGACAGGTATTGGAGCTTCATAGTGCCGTTGTTGAGATCCATCGTGCTGCACAACCTGGAGCCCGTCGTAAGAAGACATGAATTCTCAAAATCAAACTCTTGTTGGCATCACCAAAACTTATTTGGAGGAAGGGAATGGAAAGAGAGAGAGAGGGAGAATAAGGCTGCGCAAAGGATTCCCCCCATGAAATCTCGGGTCGGAAGTCGACCCCAACGAGCACCACTGGCACGTACCTTCATCGTACAGCTACTTGTAAAAACATCGGATTTTGGTGCTAGTTTCGCGAAAACCACCATTTCCCCCCGTGCACTGAAAGCGGGGGTGCCTTAGGCAACTACAAGACCCTGTACATTTTCGAGGCACCTCACCAATTCTACATCATCGTTCTCCCATACCTTTTCTTGCACGGGAAAAGTAAAACGACCCCCCCACGCGCCTCCGCTTAGTCGTGATACACCAAAATCTGGCCCGAAAATCAACGTTCTCTACTATAACTCCCACAATAATTTATAATAAAAAATTACAATTTTTCTAGGAGTACTTTAGTTAAATGCGCATAGCCCGACACAATTTTTAAAGTGAAAATACGTTAGTTAGCGTAGTGAAAAATAAACAAGGGAAGAGGTTTTCAGTTTCAATTCGCTAAAAAATTAAGCTGGTGTCCGCTAACAAATTTGGGCTGTGTATATCACGACTAAGCGGACGCGCGTGCGGGGTTCGTTTTACTTTTTCCCGTGCGCGGGGGGAAATGGTGGTTTTCGCGAAACTAGCGCCAAAATCCGATGTTTTTACAAGTAGCTGTACGTGATCAGACCTCACTGCTTGCAGCCTCAGCCAACCACCAGGGAAAACTTTAGAAGATCTCGGCTCGAGGCTTGATCATCACCTTCCAGCTACCTGTTTTGAATTGCATTGTGATGAATTGACGGAAGTCGACATCCTGTCCGATGATTTCTTCCAAGTCAAACCTAGTGAGGAAATTCGCTGCCACCATCCGCATTTCCGCCCATGCGAAGCTTTAACCAGGAGTCAGCATGTTGCATATGAAGATAATCAACGAGGGCAGAAAACTCACTTAATGCCAATGCATGAGTGCTTTCCAGCCGAGAAAGGGAAATAAGCATTTATACTAGAATTATGTCAGCCTCCACCAATAAATGCCAAACCCTCCATATCAGACGGAGCAGTACTAACTCAGGTTCAGGCGCTCCATCCCTATCATCGCCTTCCAGCCATCTCTCAGGCCAGAAGCGTAGTGGCTCAGGCCAATACTTTCCATCACGATGAAGTTCCCGATAAGACGAGGAGACAACGGTGTGTGGAGGCAAATCATATCCACCCAGGAATACCCATTCATTACCTGTGCGACGTCCCATTTCCGATGCAATAGGATGCAGCCTTAAATTTTCCTGGATACAAGCGTTCAGGTACTTGTACTGCTCTGTATTGCGAATTTCTTTGCTTGTTATAATGGGGTCATCCGGCTTGCGGATCGGGAGGCTAGCCAGCAGTTTGGCTTTGACATCTGGGTTTCGAGCAACTTCCAAGAAGAAGCATGCAATCGTGCCCGACGTCGTCTCAGTTCCTGCCAGCAAGACCTCGGACATCTGGTCCACAATTTGCCGTGTGGACATTCGCGTATCATCGGCAGGGTTCATGCCTTCTTCAATCATGTGCTGGAGGAGGTCAGGACGGGAATCTTCACTGTTCGTCCTACGTCTTTGCACTATATGGTCGATAGCAGTGATCATCTACGCAGGCCAGTCGAACTCAAGGTTTATACCGAGAGCGCGGAAGAAACGCTTCAAATAGACATTCTAGGGTTATTAGTTTTATCTATCCAGGGGAAGAATAGTTCAATTACTTGATATCTTTTGGCCAGGCCGTCAAAGATGGCTCGTGGAATGGACTTCCATATACGGTCTTCCACGCCTACTTCTGCTTTCTTGTCTGGATTCGTTTGCCCGAATGACTTTCCAAACGAGCATTCGCCCATGCTGTACGGACATACGTCAGTGCATTCACCAAGCTACAAAAGTTTATGTGGGCTTACATATCAAGAGCAACATTGTGAATATCCTCCATGAGGTCAGTCTCTGTACCGTAATAGTTTGCATGGTCTTGGATGTCCAATTGGACAGCAATTTGGTATTTCCGAAATAGATCATTAATGCATTGGCTGAACAACGTATCGAGTTTGTCGACATATGCCACGGTGAAGGCTGGCGAGAGAAACTTCTTGAGCTTTCGGTGAGGAACCGGTCGACTACTACGCGTTAATTTCACGAGGTGGGGTAACGGTGAATGGATCTTACATCTCGCCAAAGAGACCTGGGTAGTGTCGGTCACGAGATATCTCAGCATACATAGCAACCTTAGGTAGATCAATAGAAACCAGTATCTGTCTCATGCACTCTTTATCTGAAATCCAGACTTGACGAGGACCTAGCCGGACCATTGGACCGTATTGTTTGTGAGCTGCCTCTGCCATTTTCCAGACTCTCCCAGTAGCAACTGGGCGTCTCTGGTAAGCAACTATGACAGAAACGTTAGAGAGCTTAACGACTTACAACCCCATTTTAAGTGAATAGTTGTCAAGGTTGCGTACCATCTTTACATCATTAGCAAGCGCTTCCACTCAAAAGACATGTAAACTTACGGTCCAGGGATCTTAGAGAGTGGAGATCTAAGAGAAATGATTACATTTCTAATTTTTTGGGCGATGAGCAAGATGAGCAGCAGACACGTTGCTAACTGATAGATTGTCCACGAAAATTTCGTGTCGCCGATATTGAAAGCCATTGTCACGAGCACAAGGTCATTTCTCTAATTCGAGAAAAAACCCAAAGTCAGTTGAAATTATTACTGGGTTCAACTTTGAAGCATCTTCACGAATCAGGAGCAAAGTTAAAATAAAAATCGGCTAAGCTTTTAACTTTCCGCTTAATATTTCCTTTCCTCCGTCATTAGTGCTTACTGGTTTTGGGAAAATGTAAAAAGACCCCCCCACGGGTGTCGATTGGGGGCCGGACTAACCTAAAGTAGAGAAGAACACCAAAAAATCTAGTTTTCCTTTAAATTTAATTTACTATATAAAGAATTATTATAATTTAATTATTTTTTTATATTATAGAATGCTAGATTATAAGCTAATAGGATATAAAGCTTTTATTATATAATAATTAGTAAATTTAAGAAAATTTAAAGAAGGTAGGGAAAGTCGGAATTTTTAAGGCACTATGAGAGCCTGAAAATTTAGCGATCAAGCGCCTGGAACTAATTTATCTCGTGCGCAATTAACCGAGATCCAAGGTCAACACACGACCAGAGTCAACGCACGGTCATTTTACACCAAAACTCCCAATTTTTGAACTTTAATAAATAAGGAACTAATAACCTAATTAACTTTAAAATTTCTATATTACTAGTATACTAGTTTTTAAAGACAATTATATTATAAAAGTTTAATATTTATATAAAAGGCTTCTTTTATATTAAAGTTAAAAACAGAAAATTAGTAATATATAGTATTTATATAATAATTATATAAAAGAAAAATATATATAATTAATCTTATATTACGAATATTGGTTCTAATTAAAAGTTTAAGTAAAATATTAATATTATAATATAATTTATTTAAAAATTCAAAGTTTTTAAAAAATCTTATTAATAAAGGAAAAATAGTATTATTTATTAAAAACTTTTAAATATATTACGTTTTTAAATAATATAAAAATAAATATTTACTTTAATAAATAAATAAAATATACTTTAAATTTTATTTAAAAATACATTGTTTTTTTATTAATAATAATTAAATTAAAAATAAATAAAAGTATTTTTAATTGCTTTTTCTTATAATATTATAATATTATATAAAGAAAAGAATATAAGATAAAGAATATATTAAATATAAACGAATATATAATAATATTTAAAAGCAGAAAATAAATATTTATATTATTAAATTATATTATAATAAATTATAAACTATATAAGTATTTAATACTAGAAATATAATAATTTTGAGTAAGTTTTATATAAAACAGCTTTTATTATATTATATATTATATATTTCTTATTTTAAGCTTCTTTTAAAAAAAATTAATATTTTATTTAAAAATTAAAATTAAAATTTTTATAAGTAATATATAATAATATAAAATTTTTATATTACACCTTTATACTTTCATATATAGTAAAGCATTCTTACTTATATTAACTTCAAAGAATATATATATAATTATTAAATATTAAATAAAAATTATTAGATTTTTTAATATTTTAATAAAAGCTAAGTTTAAGGCTATGAAAAATTATAGATTAAATTTCCGGCTTCTTTTCTTTATAGAACTTAAAGAATTTTATTATTTTAATTAGTAATCATTTAATAATTAAGCATTTAATATCGAGTATCCGGCTAGACTTGAGCGTGCATTGACCTTGGGCGTGCGTTGACCTTGGATCTCGGTTATTGCCTCGCCTATTTCACGCCCTAAATTAGAGCTCTGATATACAAACTTCCTTATACCTATATTAGGAAATCTGATTCGAGACAAGGACTTAAGTAAGTACAAGCAACTAATTAGGCATTATTAAAACTCTGAAATCCATTGATACGTCTAATCGACACCCGGGGGGGTGTCGTTTTACATTTTCCCCTGGTTTTGCCCCGTTGTGGCTGCCATCGGTTTCGTCCGGCTCCGACTAGCTATTCCACCGTCCGCATTGGGGTCAAAACAAAACCTATTCAAGCTTTGCGGGTATTTTTGGGCTTTACTTCGGCTTGAATCCCGGCCCTCGTTCGGCCCGCGTGGGGGGTGGAGATGTTGCCTGCAGAATGTAGGTCCTTTTTGCCCCATCTCCCCTTTGGGACACCGCCCTCAGCAGGTGCACCACCCTAGGCTCCAACCTCACCAGAGGAACTCCTTCCGAGCACCAAGCTTTGACACAGCGGGAAGAACCGCTAAAGAGCCGATCGGCCGGTCGATCGGGCAAAGAAGGTTTATTTATTGTCTTATAATTTAGGGTAGGAATCGCGAGGCTCATTTTATATTTGTGGTCTTAAGAGCAACCGATATGAAGTATTTCATTTATAAGAACAGACTCAGTCCGTTCCTAGCTTCCAGGGCATCACGGGTACCTATTCCACCGATTGAATATCTCCGATCCCCTATAACCCCGTCAAATCGGCATTTGTATAACACTAAGCTATTGGACTGTCTCGTCTTTAGTCTGGCAACAGGAGAGCCACATTGAACCCACCCCGGAGAAGGATTTTCGGATTTTCCAGCCATGCCAGCCACCGAAGAAGCCGCATCACGACGAACGAACTTACGGTGGGCGGTCCGAGCGAACTCTCGACTGTCAGTGCGAGTAATCGATGCAGTAGACGAATTGGTGAGGTTGCTAGACCTGGCGTTCTTCAGCTCTCCAGACCTTCCCAGCGGGTTGTTATGGACAACACCACCCGAAGGTCGAGTGTTCCTGGTGAACTGGGAATCAAAATGTGATCCCAACAATCCGGTGAACTGGAAAACGACGAAAAAGTGGGTAAATATTGGGATAATAAGCGTCATTACATTTCTAACGTATGTACCTGTCATGGTGATGTGAACCAACTGTTGGATTCAACCTTAGCTCGACTTCTGCTAACATTCTTCTTAGAACAGCTGCTTCTTCGATGTTTGCGCCCGGCTTACCTGAAATCATGCACGAGTTTGGCAACGATAATAACAAACTCTCTTCGTTCGTTTTATCTGTCTACGTCTTGGGTTATGCGGCAGGCCCAACGTAAGCAATTGATGATATCTACAAACCCCGTTACCAAGGGCAAACGTGGTTCTTCCAGGGCTGTCTGACCGAAGCAATTTCTGTAGAATAATTGCACCACTTTCAGAACTATACGGCCGAGTCAAACTCTACAATACTACCAACCTCCTTTTCTTCATCCTCACCCTAGCTTGCGGCTTGACTCCAAGTCTGGGCATGCTCATTGGGTTTCGTTTTCTTGCTGGTTGTGCCGCCGCTGCACCGCTAGCCGTCGGCGGGGGCAGCATAGCTGATATAATACCACTAGAACGTCGAGGGCGAGCTGTAGCAATTTTCTCGCTGGGCCCAGTCCTGGCGCCGGTCCTAGCCCCCATCACTGGCGGATATGTGACCAAGGTCCTTGGCTGGAGATGGATATTTTACATTTTAACTATACTGGTTAGTGTCTCTCTCTGGGTTACCTTCCTCTTCATATTGTAAGATTATATATATCTCACGGTGTGTTCTCTCGGCAGAGCGGTATCGTGACGATTATCTCTATAACCTTCTTAAAAGAGACATCGGCCAAGACTCTTCTCGAACAAAAGGCAAGACGCCTACGAAAAGAAAAGAGCGACGAGAGATATATATCTTGTCTTGCGGACGACTTATTACCTAGGGAGGCCCTGTCCCGCTCGATCCTCCGGCCGTTGAAGATGCTCTTCATGCACCCAGTTATCTTCTTCCTATCGATCTATGTTGCAGTCGTGTACGGATATCTTGTAAATAAATCCCCATCCCTTAACAACATCGTATAGAAAGCATTCTGACGCGAAGCTGACAAGTATATATTCTTCACGACATTTACGCCCATCTTCCAAGACCAATATAATTTCTCCATAGATATAGTCGGTCTTTGTTATTTCGGTCTAGGTGTCGGCTTTATAGTCGGTGTTGTCTCCAGCAGTTTCTTCAGCGATCGCTTGGTGCTCTATCTCACCAGGCGAAACGGCGGACTCAGCAAACCCGAATTCCGACTCCCGCCAATGACCTACACAAGCCCCATAACTCCAATCGGAATGCTGATTTACGGCTGGGCCGCCGAGGTGAAGCTTCCGTGGATCCTGCCTATGGTGGGCACAAGTATAGTCGGCGTCGGTTTAATGCTAATGCTGGTAGTTGATTCCTTCTCCTACTTTGCTCCCCAAGTACTAAGCAGTCGAGAGATCGTGTTAATGCATGAATATAGATGCCGCTCCAGACATACCTTATCGATGCATTTACCCGACATGCTGCGTCGGCAATGGCAGCGGCGACGATCATCCGGTCACTTTTTGGGGCCACACTTCCCCTCGCAGGTCCACCTTTGTACGACAAACTTGGTCTCGGTTGGGGCAACAGCTTGCTCGCCTTTATTATAGTGGCCATAGCGCCGATTCCATGGTTTTGCATGAAATACGGGGAAGGCATGCGTATGAGATATGTTATCACATTTGAATAATTAATGAAGATATGTAAAGCCACTCGGAAAGAACTGTTTTATGTCGTAACGAAAACAAAACCAATACTACTATACTCTTAATTCCACAGAAAGAATTACTCATTAAAACCAAACTTGAGATATTTGTAATTAATTTCAAGAAAATCAGAATATTGGTTATAGGGGGTAATATCCCGGGGGTATCGTATTAGTAGATATGTTTCCCCGATATACTAATACGAGCAATAGCCCAAGAGGGGCCCCAATTAGTCAATGGGAGCTAGAATACGATTCGGGCTCCCGATTGGGCAATAGCATAATATTGGAGTATTAGGGCTAAAGGAGCTAAAACCCCCTTACTTACTAGTTTGCCCTAAATATATTCTAAGCCCCATATTTCTCACTTGGCTTAATCCTTAATATTTATGCTATAGAATAGCCTCGCTATAATTAGTACTAAGTATATTCTTAAGCTTTATTTCTCACTTCGCTATACCTCATATATTTATGCTATACCTTATAGTTTAATTTATTTATTTTAGATATTAAAGGAGGCAGTAATAGAGGTAACAGAAATAAAGACACTTCCCCAGAATACTAGAATATATAAGGGCCCTTTGCGACCTTACTGCCTAAACTCTGTTTATAGTACAAGTAGCAAGATTACTTTCCTAAAGACAGTTACATGAGAGAATGCTCGTGGATTAATTGCATTAGTTCAGAAGGTTGGCAGAACACCTGAGAAAGCAAAGAACAGAGCAGCTATTGAGTAAACACGTGAGAATGGAGCTATAACTAGAGAATCAGGTAATTAAGTGAGCGTGAGGGTACTAAATAGGGCTAAGGTAGCTATAGGAGTACCTAGAAACAGTGGGAGACGTGTAGAGTAAAACTTAGTATGGGTGAAGTGTCTTAATATATCTTTATTTATTGTCCAAGATACCCCAATATTACTAGATTAGGCAATTGGGGGCGCCGATTGCCCAATCGCTCGTATTGATATCTCGGGGGAAACAGATATACCGGAGACTCTTGCACGACACTGATATTCCTCGTATTGATCTGATGACTAACTGACTTGGGTTGTGCAGTCCAGTGATATCACCCATCCAGTGAGCCTAAGACCGAGTTGCAACATGCTCTAGTACAAATTCAGTCCGAGACTGAGCAATTGTCTGCAGCCATGCCGGAATGGCCAGCAAGAATCAGCAGCCACCGATATTACATCTGCCAATACGCTCTATCCAAGTTGAGAAAGTTGGATTAACTCAACTCGACTTTAATAGTCGGACTTAACGTTGCTCTTAAAGTTCAGTGGCCTTTAGTCGGGGAAAGCGAGTTATTCGTGAAAAGTGAGCTATCTATACTCGTATATTTATTCCTTACTAAAACTCGAACGCTAATCTTTTTATTATATAATTATATAAATACATAAATATATATTAATATTAAATTTATAATAATTCTAATTCTTATTATTAAAAGATTTGATTATAATATCTAATCCAAGAAATACAAAGTACATTTTATTATTATTTTCTCTTTCTTTCTTTACTTTCTCTTCTCTCTTATTTCCTAATTTTGTCACGAACCTGCAAAGGGAGCTCACGAATGGAGCGCTTGCGAGGGAATCGTTTATTGAGTATTCTAAGGTAAGGAAAGAAGAAGAGGTTCAAGGAGAGAACCGAGCTTAAGTACAAAGTGTGCGCGCGTAGCTTAGCGAGCCGCGCTAGTCCCAATTAGGTGCGGAGCACGTGACGTGACGAGAACTGTCACAAATTTGAAAGTGCGCTATAAAGGCTTTATTACATGCCTGGAAAATATAAATATATCCTCAAACTTCGTCTAGTAATAATGAGTATAATATTTTATATTTAGACAATATAGAAACTATAACGGATGCTTGAGGAGCCAAAGAGTACCCTTCTTAAATATGCTTTGGCTAACTTAACATTGCGCTAATAGCTTCTAGCTCGGCTCAGGTTAGAGCAGTTACTGCTCAGGTCAAAAGACAGAAATGAACTTTCGTGAGGTCAGTTTTCGTCTGAGATTATATTAGTAATACTGCTATTATTTACTATAATAGCCAATATGCACTTTATAAGAGCTAGTATATTAGGGTATATTATATAAGCCGTTTATTAAGCTTTGTTTTCTGCAGACATCTGTAAGTAAATAAGAAAGCTTTATAAATTCTTTTAGATACTATTATTTTATTACTTATTATATATTATTACTTTTTCTATATTACTATTAGAAATGCTTTCATTATTAGTTAGCTATAAATACGCAGTAGTAAATACCCTCTCCTCTCTTATCTAGCTATTATAAAAACTTAATTACTAAGAAATTACTCAAAGTTTATACTTATAAAATAAATAAAGATAAGTACCTTACTAAATACAAGTTATAGCTTGTAATTTGTAATTATTTATAAGTATTCTAATTTAGAAATACTTATATTATAATATTAGTTATATATGTTTTTCGAGTACTAATAATTATTATTATTTGTATTAATCTTAATATTAAATAATTTAATACTATTAACGCGTTTTGTAATATATATAATATTTAATTAGTTTTTAATTAATTAATTTTTATTTTAAGCTAGTTAAAGCTTTTTATTATTAGCTAAAATTTCTGCTTTTATAATATAATTTAATTATTAGAAAATATAAGAATCTAAATCTAAATCTAGTATTAAATTTCTTATATTTCTTTATAAATAATATCTATAACTTTTATATTAATTTCATTATATAAACTATATATTAAAATACTAGTTATAATAAGATTTAGAATTACTTTTAAGTTACTAGTTTATTTACTTACTTTATAATTATTATTTAATTAAATATTTCTTTTTATATTAAATTATTTACTTAAAATCTTAAGAACTCTAGTATTAAATATTTAGCTATTACTTATAAATACCTCGATTATTCTAAAAATACTTAATTTTATATACTCGAATATAAAAGTAATATTAAATTTAAGTTTATATTTAATATAATAAGTAATATTACTTTTACAAATAATAAAACTATTAAATAAAGTATTAAAGAAAACGGTTTTATTTTCATTAATAATATCTTTAATTAATAAAGCTAATTATAATTTGTAATTATAATCTGTAATTATAAACTTTATTATAAAAACTAATTTCTTAGCCTTAGCTTATTTTTACTTTTAAATTATATAATAATTATAATTCTTTTATAATATTAATTTTAATATTAATTAAATATTTATTACTTTTTATAATAATTTTTAAATTATTAGCTTGCTTATAAAAGACTTATTAAAGCTTATAATTAAGCTTAAATATTTAATAATATTAGTTATATTAATAAATAATTAAAAAAAACTTATAATTAAAATAATAATTAATAACTTTATAAAATTACTTATTACTTAAAAATATTATATTATTTAGTAATAATTAGTAATTTTATTAATATAATTAGTTATATATTATTTATATTATAATAATATATATATAAAAATTAAAAAATATAAATATATATTTAATTTAATTTAACTTTAATAACTTTATATAAATCTTCGAGAAATATTTATATTAAATAATTAACTAAATCTAATTATATAATTATTTATATTTTTTGCTTTTATTATAGCTATTTCTAATTATTAATACTTGCTTTTCTTTTAAAACTTCTTTTAAGTTATACTAATACTTACTAAATAAAATCTCGAATTTCTTCTTTTAACTAATTATTTCCTTTAGCTATATTACTAAATAGTCTCTTCTTTATAATACTTCAGGTAAAGTAATTAAGGTTATAGCTCTTATTATCTAGAGCTTTCTAGGCAATTACTATTATAACTGCTTTCTAATAAAAATATCCGATATAATTCTTATTATAATTAATATTCTCCTAATGATTTGCATTTCTTTATCTAATAACTCCGGCTCTCTAACTAGCTACTCTCTAACCCAAGCCTTACTCACTGGTTTTATACCCCTTCTCTCTCTAATTTCTAGCAACGTCGCCGGATATACCAAGAAAACCACTATTAGAGCCCTGTATCTAATTATATACTCCGCTAGTAATATTATTATTATCCCAACCTTTTAAATCAAAGGATAAACCGAGGTATATTCTTACTGAAACTACGATTCTGGTTTGCTAGGAAATATGTGTATTGGAATTGGGGTTTATTTCTTGGTATTATAAAAGAATAAATAAGAGGAATGAGGGGATTGGGTTAGAGCCTGGATATACCAAGTTGGATAAGCAGGAATTTCTGGATTTGACGGATAAGGAGAATCCGGAGTTTGTATATACTCTATAAGCTGCTATAAGCTGTTGTCTTCTGAATTAGTCGAGGGCGTGATTATTAAATTACGAGGAGAAATAAATCCACTTTCATAAAGACGTGCACACCAACGAATTGAACGGCTCACATAGGCGTAGTTATTAAACAAATGAAGAGAAACGAATTATCCCATCTCACGAGGGCGTGTTCATTAAACAAATGAACAGGGGAAAAATCGCCCATTCTTGCGAGGGCGTGTTTATCAAACAAGCTCCAGCTCAATCCTTCCTTTTTCATACCGACGATGATAAAATCGCCATCGCCATCTGACCTCCTGACCCAACTTGAGTAATGACACCACAGGCGACAGGGAATAATAACCGATTTACATTCCCTATAGCTCGTGTTTACCGAGCTCTAGCATGCATGTGCCAGACGCCTAGATATACTCAGTAGAATAGGGGTCTTCAATCCTTACTCTAATCAATCAAGACAGTCCCCACCTATATGTTCTGTATCCCTTCCTTAGTACTACTCCTCTGCCAGTTACCCTTTTACTATTTCTAATTAATACCCCCTTATTCTGCGGCATTAATGCTTACTAGTTTTATACTTTATAATAAAGTTTTAAATAAGTTTATTTAAATGTACGGATATATAGTAGAGTTTCTTCCTTTTTTTCGATTAGGAAGATTTCTCACACTTGAATTGGGTGGCAATCACCACCGCCGTGGCTGCTATCTGGCCGACAGGCCGTTTCATCTTGCGAAAGAAAAGTTTATCCAAGCTTTATTTTTCCGGCTTTAGTTCTGCTTAAATCCCAACTCTTGTTTCAGCCTGCGTGGGGACTGGAGCAGTTGCCTATACAAGGTCAGTGCCTTGGAGGGACTGTCCGAGCACTAAGCTTTGATGCAGCGGAAAGAACCGCTGAAGACTCGATCGATTTGGCGAAGGAGGAATATTGTCTTACAATTTGCCCGTGTAGGGATCGTGAGCCTCATTTTATATTTGGGTTCCTGATTTATAAGTACGGACTCAGTCCATTCCCCGCGCACCTAGCGGCTTCTTCAGTAGAGAGGCAATTGAGTTGTACTGCTTGACGCGCAAGTGCAGTGTATTCCTGGTTAGACTTTGCGCGCGATTTTTGCCAATTGCATATAATCCTCCCAATCGTACGGCTTCCTCGTGCATGTGGTAGAATCAAAGCCAATAAGTGTTGAGCTTCTTCCTATATAAGGTTTCTTAGGCCGTTCATGACTCTTACTCTGTCCTGGAGAATCCGGAGGTTCATGTTATCTTGATTGTCATATGAACTTCCCGGAGCGGGTTGATTGATTGTGGGGATGCCCCTTGAAGCTATAGTCCAGATGTCTGCCATGAAGCAGTGTGGCATTCTGAGAGGGAATGCCAGTCCCTGTTTTTTTCTATGCCATCCATCCCGTAGTTGTCTTGTATCTCCTTCGTGCTAGCTTAGCAGCGCCCAAACCGAATATTGAGCTCTCACATCTTAACGACTATTGTGCAGTAAATTTCGTCTCTCTTTCTCGGATATTACTTCTGTCCTACCGCCGCCCGTCGAATTTAAATATCTCAATCGTACCTGCGAACTCGTTTCAAACATGTATGCAGCGATGTACAGACCTGTGAAGCCTGTTACCTCTACTCTTCTAGATACGGCTCAGAAATACGTTACGTTTGACGATGACCACGATGACGTCGCATTATCTACCGCGTTGATATCCCTTCAATCGAGACCTGATATCCGCGGCCTAATTGATTTCGCTCGAAAATATTCACCTTATTACGGCTCACTTTACTCGAACATTCCGATGAATGTTTCATCTCTGCAAGACTACCCAATTATTGATCTCGATTCATATTGGAAGGCAAACGAGTGCAAAAATTCTCAGGTCCTTACTATGCCACTCTCAGGTGGCATAGTTTGGAAGACAGGAGGTCAGAAAAACAGCTCCCAAAAACCCACATGTAGCAGGGTCACTGATAAATTGCCTTTCAATGTGCAGGAACCGTCGGCCATCCCAAAATAACTTTCATTTCCCAAGGCGAGCTACAAAGCATCAGCAGCCAACTGGGTCGAGCAATCATTGAAGCTGGTCTACTTTCGGCGGATCGCATCGCAAACCTCTTCTATGCCGGAGACCTTTATGGCAGCTTCTTATTGCATGTTCTGTCAATTCAAGATCTTTCTGTCCCATCAGTCCATATTCCCATTGGTGGATCCTGTGATCCGTCCGCCACGATCCAGTACATGAAGGAACTCGATGCAACTGTAATTTTCGGCACTGTCACGAAGGTGGTGCAACTCGCACAACATCTACTAGAACAAAAGGAGACCATGGACCAAATCCGCACATTCATGTTTGCTGGAGAAGCTTTTTTTCACGATCAAAGAACGGTGGTGCAGGCTGCCTTTCCATTAGCACGTATACGCTCATTAGTATACGGTAGCATGGACTCGGGGGTTATGGGATATTCAGCATCCGACACTGACTGGCGTTTGCATCGAGTGAATCGTCCGTTTGTCGAACTTGAAATATGTCCAGACAGCGCCGACACAGTCCCTACCACGAAGCCAATGGTTCCCGGCCGCCTCCTTGTGACGAATCTCAGCCGCCGGCTTCAGCCAGTAATTCGATATCCATGCGGGGATCGTGCGGAATGGGTAGATCAATCTGAGGGACTATTTAGAGTCCTAGGGCGTCATAGCGAGTCAGCACGCATCGGCCCTGTCTCCTTAGACGTTTCTCATGTCCGCGAGATCATTGATCAGGCTCTCCCGGGCGCATCCATTGCCGGAATCCAGCTCGTCTTAAATCGTGTAGACTCGTTGGACTCATTGACTATCCGTATTGGATACCGTCCACCAGATCTAGTGGAAGCAACTAAGGCAGTTGTTGCCAAGCTCAAGGACCAAAGGCCAATGTTTCAACAGCACGTTGATCTGAAGTTAATTTGTCCTTTACAAGTAGAATTTGTGGATGCTAAAGATTTGACATTGAATGCACGAACTGGAAAGTCTGTGGGTTTAATAGATCAGCGGTCTACAGAGGACGGGGCTAAAATTTGTTGCTAGTTAATGACTTCTAAGTATTTATTTAATTATGTTTATATATATTCTACTATTCAAAACGCTTTTATATATAAATATTGCGTAATTCAAGGGCCTATTTCTTTTTGCTCGAATGTACTTTAAATTACTTATATATTTCTTTTATTTAATTACGAGAATAAAGCTATATATAATTATATTTAAAGGATTTTATAAATTATAAAAATATTATATATTTATATTAATTTTTTAAATATAATAATATATCTTATATATAAGCCTTTCTTATATTTTATATAAAACTATAAGAGTAATATTATAAGTATTCTAATAAAAGCAACTAAGTTATTACTTTAATTAATACTTAATTCATTATATAAGAATTAACTTATAAATAGAAATATAATTATAAAAGAAAGTAAATAATAATAATAATCAGCTCCTCAATACACCCATAACCCCAAGCCGCAATTACTCCTTAGCTATAGATATGAGCAGCAGAATATCGAAATCGCGAAGCAGAGTTATGCATTGACCAACACTCCTCCTTCCCAAACCCTATCCTATGGTTCCCAAACCCGCACCTCCTCCTCACCCACCCAACCCCATAAAAGCACCCCAACACCCCAATTCTTGACTCACTTCCCCTGCCACATCCCCTCCTCACCCTCCGGATTCCCAATAGCTCGCCCCTATCTCATTACGACCACGTGCCCCCTAAACATGCCACCAAACCTCTAAAATATATACCCGCCACCACCCCATCCACCACGGAATAGCGGAACCCAAAACTCTGTTGCAGATCGCAAAAAGGCCGAAGATATCCGTACCGGATAAACATTTCGCTTCCCTCCCCTTCCTCTCCTCTTCCGGTCCCAAAAAAAACTGCTGTTTTGCGCGGGAGTGGGTTCTCGAATCACCCCCTTTTCACGTGTTGCGTTCTCGGCTGTTCCCACCCCATTTTCCAGGGTTTTAAGGGGCGAGAATCGCGGGACGGAGCGAAAGTCACCTGATATTCCCAGAAGCAACGCCATAGCGGCAAGAATGCAGGACGGAACGCGGAATCCCAAGGCGGGCTTGGAACGGAATTCTTGATAACGGTGGGCTGTTTTGTGGGGCAAGTGGATTCCGCGCTGCGGAACTGGTTGATACTTAGTTTGTTGCATACCGAGTAAGGTGGGAGGTGGGAGTGAGCTGGCTGCGGGTGCTGTCCGACGGGGAAAGGAGGCGGCTGAGGATGTAGCCGTTTCGTTGTACGAGTGCGGCATTAAAACAGCTCATTAATTAGCTTGACGGAACAACACACAGGAGCGGAATGCCGGATTCTTGAGATCTGCAACAAAGACAAGGTTGAATTCCGTTCTTTCGTTCCGTCTTGTACATATGGAGCCGGAGAGGGAAGCAACACGCGTCAATATTTCCCTCTTGTCACGATACAGTATCACGCCCGGGTTGGAGATCCATCCAAGCACTTGTATCCCCCACGCGATCTTGAAAAGAGGGCGCGGGAAATTCGTTGATTCTAATTACACGCCGTGATAGGCTCGGGCTTGTCTCGTAAATACACTTCTCCCTTTCCTCCCCCTTCGGTCGAATATTTACAAGAAAGAAAGGGTTTCTCGTCCAGGTTGTCTCGATGCTTTCCAAAGACCAAACCGAACCAGCCAAGCCACGCTAAACGATGCGTTAATAAGCCCCAAACGCCAGTATGCAGTCATTGTACAACATAATTACCAGTCCCCTCATCGCTCATTCCTCATCTATCATCGCTTTCCTTCGAATCTCTCATTACCGTGGGGCCTTTTCTTCGCTTGCTCGTTCTTCGTCTTCGTCTCCTCCGTAATAACAACGCCGACGTCGTCCGGCCCAGCATTCGGACCAGCCTTCCAATCCAACACCATAACCGTGTCCCTCCCCTCATTCACCCCCTTCTCCCCCTTTCGAAAATAAACCTGCCGCACCGTATCCTTGACCCCATCGCCGGCATCCACGAGCTGGGAATCCAATAACCGATAACTGGTCTTACTTTCCGCCTCCATCTTCGCTCTCGTCGGCGCCAGGCTATGAAGGACGTTAATATCATCCCCCCAAGTCCTCTCCACCTCATTGAGATCCACTTTCTCAATCGCTCCTCCCAAGACGCCGGGTTTGGTGCCGCTTATGTGGCCTTGCGGGTAATGCACGATCGAGAACCCGTTCGTCAAGACCAGATCATTGGGGAATTGCCATCGTTGCAGGAAACAGGTCTCGCATACATCAGCAACGAGATGCATCTTATCCAGTTCCAGTCTATACCCCACGGATTCCTTCCAATGGTGTAGGGAAAGTAATTCTCTTCCAGATTCGTAGAAGCCGGATAGGTCGCCGTGCATGTCGACTTGATGGAGGGAAGGGATATGGGTGAGTTTTGTGAGGGAATGCGCGTATATGCAATCCATGACCGAGATATCGCCTGCTGAGGTCCGCAGGTGCTCTTCGCAGTCCTCGGTGTGGTTTGCGATGGTTTGCGCGAGCGGCAAAGATATCATGATGCCTGCGCCGCCGAAGCCCATTAAGCCATAACGGTTCACTGCCCACCAGTCTTCACTCAGTGCGCCTAGGTAGTACGGCTTTGAGGCGTCGTATTTGGAGAGTAAGGCAAGGAGTTCGTGAATGCTGGGGAAGAAAGTGTCGTCGTCAATGGTGATGACCCATTGCGTTTTGGCGTTGCGCATCCTGTACATGACGGAGACGAGAGAGAAGTAGCGCTGTGCGAAGGTATGGTCTTCGCGGACGGGGTGTATCAGGTGTACGTTCATGCCGGCTTCTTTGAATTTCTTTTGAACCTTCTCCATCTCGCGGTCGTCGGCGGGGGTCTCTTCGTTTTCTATCACTATGGCGTATAAACGCGCCCCGGTATGCGGCAACCAACGGGCCAAATGTTTGACTGTATCCTTCAACCGAGACATTGTAGTTTGTAGGCCGAAGACCAGGTTCGATGCGTCCGCTGGTCGTAGTCTTCCGTGGGGAACATCCAGTTCGAGCGGGGGAAGGCACTTCTCGATTTTGACCGTCGCAGATTCCGCCAGATCGATCGCTGTAGATTCGTCAAACAGAGGGTATTCTTGGATTGAGAGGGAGGGTCGATCATGGGTGGGGGAAGTCGAAGTTATGATCTTGCGGGAGACATATTGGATAGGATAGTTGAACTGGTATTGGTCCAGCCAACCCAGATGTTCGACGCACGGTGTAGGCTTTGGAGTAGGATCTTCCTCTGGGCCTCCTTTCCGTAGCCAACCTCCCCTCTGTCCATCGCGAGAGCCGGTGCGCGCAACGAGCACGATCAAGGTGAGGACGGTGAGGAAGGCGATAAGGAGAAGTTGTCGTCGTGGGGGCATGGCCAGACTACATGAAGTCGCGGGGTGGTCGCGCGCAGATGCAGTCGAGGGTTGAAGTGGGAAGAACGAGTACGAGACTCGTCGTTCATGAGGTGAAGTCCTAGATTCACCCGTTAGCCCAGTTTTTGCAAGACGGCGACGACTTCTTCACATACAAGCAACTAATTTCTGGTGGCTGAGGCTAAGAGCGGCAACATCTTGGACGGCCCACTCCCCCCACTATTGACAGGCGCGGGGCCACTAACCTGCTGAACATTCCACGATAACTTCATCTCCTCAATGTTGTCCTGGCCAGAGAGGAGATAGAGCACGGAAACGATGGCCGGGAATGACGCGAAAAACACCCAGTGAGATTGGCGAAGCAGCCACCCTCGGGACAAGCAAAAAGCAAAGAGAGACAAGCATGCAGCAGGAGCGAGTAGTGGCTATATCTGGAAGAATTCTCTCTGAAGAGAAGAGAGTCCTCTGTTCATCGATGTCTGCTTGCTCGGTTCGACCCCTAGCTGCACGAGGCACGGAATTCCGCCGGGATGGTTACTTATTCATGTAGTGTTCTGGGGCGGCCAACACCTGCGGTTGGTTGCCTTCTATCTCCTCGAACGAGGCGCCCCAGAACATTAGAACTGAGGGGAACAGATAGCTTGTGCTGGTCCTCCATCAAGCTCATCTTTTTTGTCCCTGTTGTGGGCAGCGGGTTATCTTCTCAGGGATACGGTAGATTGCACTTCATTTCCTTGAAGCATTGCATTAGGGATCCATTTTCCAGTGCCCCTGTGTCCAACAATTTCTGTATGGACTTTGGTGGCACTATACCGGAACCGTCGTAGGTTAGCACAGAGTCCTACACAAGCACTCCTCAAGATTTTCGAGGTGCAGCGTTGCCGGCGATAGCAGATACATAAAAGGAAGGTCTGTCCGGAAATTATGTCTGAGAAAGAGACACAGAAAGTGGAAGCAAGACTCACGGCGCTCAGTCCTTTGCGGAACCGACTTCCATCCCGTCCGCGTGGGTCCCGCCAGCCCTGACCTGGCAGCATTCTGGAAGGCTGATAGAACGTGGTTCCTGCGGCCCCGGCCCTGGAACTAACGTGAAATCTGGGGGTGTGGAGAAATGGTTCACTCTCGATGGATGGGAGGAGGAGAAGTTCGTGGGTGACGTTGAAATTGACAAATGATTTGGGCACGAGAAACGGCGTGGCTTAAATGCAAGGGCTGACACAGTCAGACTTCGTGTAACTCAGCCGAGAGCGCCGGCTCACTCATGTGAGCTCCTTTGACTCCACAACTTGTTACTCCGTAAGCCTGTGGAAATACTCGCTTATCTTAGTGTCAATTGATAAAAAGGATATAAATATTTATTCTAAACTTGAAGAGAGACCGGAGTGAAATAAAGGAAGAACCCCGGATTTGGTTAGTGGCTTGACGATCGCCTCGGCTCGCCTCCCCAAACCTTACGCAGCCTGACTAGACTCAAACATCATCATCGACGACGCCTCTGCGTCAACACAGCCGTGCGACAATTGAAGCTGCACACCTACAATGCAATAACATCCATCTCAAGCATTGCTCCTGAATCTACTCACGATGGCCTCAGCCCCATCACAAGCCTCACGTAGGCGCTCCTCTCCGTCCGAACAACCAACACCACCTCAAGCTTCGACCTCGAGCAATCGACAATCCCCTTCCCCAAAAGACTCAGGCGTCGTGGCCATCAACGCCCCCCAAGCCGAATCTGCAACTTCCCCCACACCACAACCACAAACACCCGCGCCAGAGATACGAAGATGCTGGGTGTGCATGGGCGACGAGACAGACGATCCAGAAAACAACGTCTGGCGAAGTCCATGTCCCTGCTCCCTCACAGCCCACGAATCCTGCCTCCTCGAATGGATCGCCGACAAAGAAGCACCTCCACCCGGGCAAATTGCACATAACCACGAGATCAAATGTCCACAATGCCAAACACCGCTGAAGATCCAGCGGCCTCGAGATGCACTGGTGACTTTGGCGGACGGGGTCCATAAGGTAGCGAGGACTCTGATATTACCGACCGCGTTGTGCGGTATAGCTGGATGTTTTTATTCGGGGTTTCTGAGCTATGGGGCGAATGCAATGGCGTTGGTGTTTGGCACAGAAGCTGCAGATGCCCTGCTTGCTCCGCAGACCTTCGACTCAATTCATAATTCACATGTGGTGAGGAGGTGGCTGCAAATTGCGGCTGACTATCCACTGACCGCATTTGGACAGCTGTTCCCATTCTTCCCACGGATTCGCTCCCCGGCCAATATTCCGTATTACCTTGGCTTACCACTGATCGGCCCCTCCCTGGTTCTATGGCGAACGAGTTACGGTCATCTCGGATTCACGATGCTGGTTCCCATTGTAAGCTCACTGACTCTTCATCCATAACCCTCTACTAACTGAAACAGTATTTCTTCGACTCAGCCAATCGCGAAATCGCCTGGCCACCCACCCCAGGCCTCGCATTCGCAACCCTCCCTTACCTCCGCTCCTTCTACGTAGAGCTCTATAAATATACCGTCGGCGACCTAGAAAAGAAATGGGACCGCGCCGTACAGCGAACACCAAGGGAAGGCGAAACAGCTGAGCAGATCGCTGCAGCGCAGGAGGCGGAAGAGGAAGAACATGCTATCTTTGAGCTAGAGATTATTCGGGAGGTGGAACATGAAGATCCGGAGGCCCTTAATCGTCACGAAGTAAATGAAGGGCAGAATCAAGGACAACCTGCTCAGGCACAGCCACAAGCTGGGGAGAATGCCCCGGCTGAAGATGGAGACGGGGCTGCTGGCAATGGTAATGGTAACGGTAATAATAATGCCCAAGGGCAAAACTGGCCCAACGGCCTCGAATTCCGACAAGACGTGTCCGCCACCTTGTCTGCAGACACCATAATGGGCGCTCTGTTCTTCCCGGCGGTGGCAGCAGCCATGGGTGAAGTGCTCAAGATCTCATTGCCAGCGAAATGGGTCGGACGCGGTGTTGGGGTGAGGGTAGGGGGCAGAGGACTCCTAACGGAGAAGTGGGGGCGGAGTCTGGTGGGAGGCTGTCTGTTCGTCGTGCTAAAGGATGTAGTTACGTTATATTGCAAATGGAGGAAAGCGCGGGATTTTGGGCGGAGGAGGGTGCTTGATTTCGTGGGGAAGAGGAAGAATGGGGAAGCGAAGACGAAATAATGATCACGATTGAGATGTAGAACTGCATTGCGTGGCGTTTAGCGTTCAATCAAGGGTGCGGGGTTTCCCCCTCGAGATACAGTGGGCGGTGAGAGGTTTTTTAGATGGGTGTGCCGAAAATCGAGCACAAAGATTTGCAAGTCGGTTCGGTTCTCTTTTGTTCTCTTCTGTGCTTTGTTGCTGGGGCTTTAGGTGCTTTGTCGTGCTTCGAGTGAAGCAGTTCTTTGCAGATCTACATTGCTCTTGGACTGGTAACTTCTCGGAATGGAGGCCAAGTAGATGTGTGAAATTGCGAAACTGTGGTTGTGGTTGGCTTCTTGAGATAGAAGCCAGTGCATTGACAAAGTACCTAGTCCTTTGAGTCAAGATGTATTGCCTCGTAGAACAAGAAAAGAGCTCGTAAATTCGGTGAATCAAAACTCTTTCCTACTCCGGGTGAGCTTCTTAAGACATGTAAAATCAAGAGGTTTGTGATGGTGGGGGAAAGAAGTCTTCCTTTTTGCGGCCAATGTCGGTTTACTAGAACCAAACGCTCGCATTGCCTAGGTTTAGCGGGTTTCAGAATTCGAAGAGGATATATAGGATCACGAGTCTGGTTGGAGAAGAGTATCGCATTGCTCACTAGTCTATCTGTATTGTTTTTGTTACTCCCTGAAAACTGCCTGGTGTCTTAATTTGGGCATTTACTCCATCTCTACATCTCAATCCCACAAAAGGCGGCAGCAGCGCCCAAGCTCTGAACCAATTCATCTAGTCTCTCAGAGTTTCCATCAACTCCATCCCCACGCCTACGTCTTATTATTCGTAGCGACGTAGAAGCCACCAACATCTCGTTCGCTCAAGATCTTATCGTGACAGGATTCATGGCCTTCTTGGAATGTCCGACCACGTTCGCAAGCATGGCTTGAGGAACCCGATCAAAACAGAGATCGGAAAACTCCTTGAGACGGAAACGTAAAACCCGAACGCTGATTTTAACTAGAGGATTATCGCTATCCCCACGCTCGTGGGGGCAATCTAAGCGAACTCTCTGAAGTCTATACAGTTCGAGTTGCTTCCAAAGCTGGCGTAGATTTCGTCCACTACTTCGTTTTTCAGCTCGAGAATCAGGAAACGTTCAGTCGTGATCTAAAATTTTGCCAAGATGGCGAGCGAGGGATGGTTTCTAATCTCGGTGACAACCATCTCGTTACAGAGCCAAGTTTACTACAACACCAAACGCATTCTCGTCGAACGTTATGGACTGAGTACTTACCTCAATGAACTCGCCATTGAAGGCTGCTGAGAAGAACGGGGAGTAGTGGCAGATCATGGCGGAGGTATGGTGTGTAATGTGTGCAGCCTGCTTGTCGGCGCTATTGTTGCTGGCCGCACAGTTGGCCTTCAGGAGGAGCGAGCTTGCGACCTTGCCGTTCATATTGTATTCCATTAGCACCATACTGATGATGGTCATGAAGGGTTGCAGTGTGCTGTTCACTGTTCATAGTTAGAACAATCCTTTGAGAACAATAGGGGATCCTTATTAAAGGTTGCGATGGGACTTTGCCTTTTGTTTCGGGGACAGAAGTCGAAGACATGTTGTTGATTGTATTGTCTCTCTAACTCAAGTAAGATTGTAGTCGGAAGATAAGTGCAGAATTGGTGTCATCCAAGGCTGGACCACTTCTGTGATTCTTTGGGAAATAGTATAGTTTAGGAAATCAGGGCGAGTTTCTGTTCGTGAGAGGATATTTTATATTAGGGTTCACACCGAAAAGCCTTGACTGATAAATTAGAATAAATTTGATTGCAACATAACATCTAAAAGTCTTCAAAATACTTTTGCGAGATAGAAAGGAAGCAGATCTAACTTTTGTGGAATTTTTGCGATAATTAAATGTGATACAGAATTACAAGAAATTCTTATGGCGAGGGTCAGGATTGCGCCCGCGCTCGCTTAGAGAATTCGACGTCTGCCTTGGCATCTCTGACGTGGTATCTTGGCTACCTCAATGTCGGGCTCAACAGAGTAATCCCCTTTAAGAGTCACCATACTGAGGGCAACTCCTTCGATTCCTAGACCTAATTCCCATCCACGAAGCTTGGTACAATCCTCTAACAAAGCCTTGGTGAAATCAACTAACATTCCTCCGGAATGTTATTCATCACCGCATCGATGTTATTTCGATTGACAGATGAGAGAGTCTTCTTGATAGCAACCTTCTTCAAGTCTGAATCCTCCTGCTGGTCCACAACAAGGTAGACATATTGTTGAAAATCCTTGAGAGTGCTTCCAGACTTGGCATCAGAACTCGGTAAGGTATTTTCCGTCTCTTTGAGCAAGATGGCTTGGAGATCGGGCATTAGGAAGCGCTGGGACAATGACCATAACTTGGCATATTCGATTAGTTGAAGTCGGTTGCCATCCTCGTTGACGACCTTTTGGGTGTAGAGCCAATTGTTAAAGAAGCCAAAGATAGGAGCCTCGACATCCTCAAAGGACATGCTTTGTGTCTTTCCCTCCTTGAAGACACCATTGTAGGCAGCGGAGAAGAAAGGTGAATAGTGGGTAATGACGTTCTTGTTGGTGCGGAATGGTTGGACAGCACCTTTGCAGTGGATGGTGACGAAGCTTTGAGCTTCAGGAGAGCTATTTCCGAAAGTCAGCTAAAATGACGAAAGTGGAGCACTGAATAAGCAGTGCTCAAGACGTGGCCTTACGAGAAATTGAGAGGTGTCTTTGCGGTTGAAGATGAAACTTTAGTAGCGCTTGGCAGGGGGTTCGAAGATGTATCTTTGACGGCGCCGGGAGCGGAGTTGGAAGCTGAGGCAGAAGAAGACATTGTGATATTCTTGATGATTATCAACTCTTGCTAAAAGCTCAACGTTGGGTGTGCTCGTTGCGATTCTTGATGGCCAGGGAGGGTAGTGAGGATGGTTGCTGTGGTTGGAGTTGTGAAGATGTTGGTAGAAGGGAGAAGATTGGAAGACGCGAGGGAGAGAGGTCTTTAAATAAGCCCAAAAAGTAGGATTGCAAAGCTTTCTATGAAGAATTTAGTGAATGTAGAAGGGTGAGCGACTTCTACTACTTGATGTGAGTGCGTTGTGATACTTGGGCTTTACCCCCTGGCCTTCAGACCGGTCCCTCCTAAATCTTCATTAGGGTTAGCTCTTGATAAGTGGAACATACCTGAAGTTACAAACTCCAAAATTTTCAAGCATATGTGTTGATAGCAAGAAAAATTAAACACTTGACCATCACACCGACTAATTTTAGAAGCTAAATGTAGAAACTGGGAGCACATGAGTAGAACAAGACAGGTTAATGCACTGCAAGAGACATAGGGATTATTCTGCTAATTTCAAAATAGAGAAGAAGGTTTGTGTGATCTGCATTTATTATCATCGATGTACAACTGCGGCTAGGAAATGCTGCAGCGCCAATCAATGAAACAGACTTCCCATGTTACTGAGAAAATGGAGACTAGAAGAAGCCTATCTAAAAACGCCACCACACGCAGGAACTACCAGAAAGGTGCGCCTTTTCTACTACGCCCACGGCAACTACCCCATTGCCAAGTTTACTGAGCTTGTCTGCTGACTTTCTTGACGCATTCGTCAACTCCTCAGGGGCACCCATACGTTCATCCAGAGCCTTGTCTCGCGAAGTGCCTCAACCTTAGCGATGATCGAGGAAGAAATCCCCCAGCTTCTCAAGGTCAACCGATAGCTGGAATATTGGTGACCCACTCCCCTAGAATCTCCGAGAAGCCATACCCTTCAACAACACTCTCGACACAGAATATTCCTTGAAAAGTCAAACCGTACCACCTCTTTGAACCGCGGAAGATCTTAATCGAACGTTTCTAGAACGTATATAACATTGGACGACAATCTTCCATAAATGCCTGCACGAAGAAGCGATCTTGATACTTGACGAATGCCGCCCATGCCATAATGTTTACTCCCGAGGGGAGCGAGGATGAGGGACACCGTAGGATATAGCGCAGCCAACCGAGGAAGAAGCAACAGACGTGAGAGTCATGCGTTCCTGACTGAGCGAATCTCTCGGGGGCCATCGTAAGTGCTTCTAAGATGCCCAGAGATGATGCTAGGAGACCTCCCGATGGCTGATGCCATGATAGATTTGCTTGAAAACAGTCAGGCTCGGTAGGTGATTAAAAGCGGATTAGAAACAATTTAAATTGCAGGCAAAATCACTTGTTGGTGATAGTTTCCACGCTAGCCAATCAGAAGCTGCAAAGTGCTCAGCTTGCCCTCACCTTTGCTATGAAATAATGATTTACGTGTCAATTGAATGCCATGAGTCGGGCTGGAAAAGGTACTATTATTCACCACCCGTCTATTCACTCTAGCGCAACTTTAGCTCGAGTCTAGCTGAAGGATATTAGCTCTCCTCGGGATCAGCCTTGACCAACTCCTCAAGCTCAACATAATACTCCCTCGCGTCACACAAGCCCTTGCTTTCATTCGCCTTTCCACGAACGTGCTCCTTCTTGAGGCTCATCACAATATCCACCAACATACCTTCAGGCAAATGCTCAATCCAAGCACCCAAGGCCTGTGCTGAAGTACACCAGGCCATTCTATCAGCAGCCAACCGCTTAAGCGGACTCATCTCCTTCGACTCGTAAGCATAATGCAAGAAGTCTTTGAGGCTCTGCTTCTCCGCAAACTCAACCATGATCCTCAATTTATCCATGATATTATTCTGGAGCTTGGAGATCATGAAACGCTCGCTGATGGTCCAGAGTTTAGCAAGGGGAAGGACGTTTGCGTCGCGGTCTTTGGGATCGAGGTCAACTTGTTGAGTGTAGAACCAATGAACGAGGAGACCGAAGCTATCAATGTCGATATCGGGGAGGCTCATGGTCTTGGTAGAGCTTTCGGTGAACTTGCTGTTGAAGGCTGTGGAGAAGAATGGGGAGTAGTGACAGATGATCTCTTTGTGGACGATGAAAGTCTCCTTCGACTCCTCGGGGCCAATGGTAATTGTCACCACGCTCTGAGGACGTCTATGTACTTGTCAGCATTGATGCAAGTGGCACCGGGGGCAGTTGGGAGTCCTTGCCTAAGACTCGGAGCCTTCTTTTCGGAGACCTCGGGGCTCATCGTGCGCATCCCTGTGGACTGTGATAGTAGCTGCATGTCTCCGACCATGGTGGAAGAAGGAGCTGGAGATGGGGTTGTGGTCTTTGTTGTCGTCATATCGAGGGTGTTTGTGCGCCGTTCGGATTCTTTGTTTTCGTGAAAGAAAAGAGATCGAAGGTGGTGGGAAGTAGAGCCTGGCGATGTATAAGTGAAATCGAGTTCAAGAGCCCAATGTTCAGTATAACATTTCAACAAGAAAATTCACTTTCAAATCAATGATTTTTGTGGAAATTTAAGCGAGAGCAGCGACACCAAATTCCCTTAGAATTAAGGGGGATTATAAAACGGAGTCCGTTCGGCGATTAGAACCATACGTTCACGGCAAAGAACTTATCATTATATTTCAAGGTTGGCATTACTGAGTTTGGGCAGGACGCTAAGCCTGGGTTGCTAATCAATCACGAACATTTTTGTTTACTTACCCCTAAATAGTCGTCGCGAGATAATTTTTTTTCGCTTAATTAAGTGATGGAACCAAGGCCTGAAAAATCTCTTTTTCGTCTATCAATATTTTCTCCTGATACAACAATAAACATAATTGTAGCATTGACTAAATCGAGCTGGGGAGTGGTACTTCAAAAAACTGGGAGTTAGGATGTGGATGATAATAGCAGAACACAATTATGTTGGCTCTTAGCAAGTAAGATCTGCAAAATGCTATTCAGAGTATAGATGTGTTTCCATGAAGTGGATAGGCAGGAGTATATCGGTACGTAAGGTGTTTATAGTTTAGATATCCATCCATAAGCTTTCCCGGCGAAGAGTTACCACAATTTAAAGCTCTCTCAACAAGGGTCCGACCCTAGTGGGCGCAATAATTTAAAAGTTCAAATATGGCGGAGGATTATCTTAATTCCAATAAGATATTCCATGCCTCAACGAGTGACTGTAAGTTCTCGGTATGTTGTCAAATCCTCCGTCGACTCTCCACAACGAGCCCAAAGTCTCGGCTCCTAACTTCAAAATCATTCCATGGGCAAGCTTGAAGCTGAAGCTGCTCTGTAAGCAAGCCTCAACAATGGCCCGCACAAGCCTCTGATCCTCGCTTTCAACTTCCCCCTCCTTTGGAAGTCGAAGAGACATTAGCTCAAGCGCACGACGCCCATCCCAATCTGTAAGTTCGTTGATGAGCTAAGAACATCCCATGTAGTCTATCCCATACAAATTTTCATCCACATATTTTGGTCTATACTAACCGCCTTCCTCGCCTACGAGCCGCATAGCCGCGGTCATGGCTTGTTCGTGAGTGCGGCAATCCGTTAAGTCCTTCTGCTAGAATTCTGAATTGTGTTTCATTAAAGGGATGCCAACCAACAACAAACTCGCATGCATTTCCTGCGCCGATATCGTAGCCCATTCTAGTTCCACATTGCAAGAAAAAGTTTGTGACAACGCTCAAAAAAGAGATTTTTACGGCCAGTACCCATGAAGTAATTTGTCAGACTTCGGCCATCCACACCGCCCCGATTGTATGGTATAACCTTAAATCAAGATTGTTCCCAATCGCCTCGTTCTATAACCGATCAAGGCCGCCGACCGCATCACTCCCACGTCGGCATTGATTACCTCCATACTTGATGAGAAGAGGAAACCGCACGAAATCCGATGTATACTGTGGTCCGAATTCTCCACCAATCGTCTCATTAATAAATACTCAAGGGTAGTTTTCTGGGTCTTTTGTATCAAAAAAATCCTCAACATGCGAAGCAGATCCGGATGCACGATCAGCGATTCGAACCGTACAGCCTTGTTTGGAGAATTGTCTGGACCATGAGCGCACATTCCTCTTGGTACAGTTATGCACGGTTGAGTAGTTGGTGTTTCACTAAAACCAGATGTTCTTCTCGGAGGTTGTAACTGGAGGGGGATTGAGAATGGATTGGTGGACATCTGGATTTGGCGGAGATCGAAGGGGTGTGAGGGAATGACGTGACAACCAGAGGAAGCGTGTAGTATTGAGTGATTGAGTCCATGGTATGGAATTGTGCTCCTTTGGTACACCCTCCAAGGTTGATATAATGAAGATATGCCTTTTAATCTACAGATGTCTCATAACCGAGCCTGTCCGGTACCCTTTCCAATGATGTAAATGATCTGAAAGTATTTCTGGCCTTAATAAACAGAAGAGTTTGATCTTGTAATTGTACCTCGAGAAGAGATTCGTCCCAACTTTGTATGTTTATGCGGTCTGCAAAATAGTAAGGAGTTGAAATGACTGCTCGGGGAGTGTCTTATCTTTGATGGGGAGTCTTGAAGCTGGCACCCAGAACTCTGATTGGCTGGAGCAAAGCCACGACGAGGACATTTCTGGAGCAAGCTCTGAAGACTCGACCTGAATCAATTTGTGGCTGTCGGAAAATTGTAAGATTCAGAGAAACATTGAAGGGATGTTCATATAAAAGGTCGAATCAAGGAGTGAAAGCTTTGGCTTAAGGAAGCTTGGAATCAACCATGGGCCGCTTCGAATTGTGACAAGTCAATCACCAGAATTATAACCCCAAAAGTTTCGTTCTCGTCGCCCTCCCAAGCAAATCAAAAATTTCTACAAGCCTCGCAATAGTCTTGAGAACTTTCTATAAACGCGAATACGAACGCTCATGTCGACCTGCAGCGAAAATGGCACAATCATCGTTCAACCAATTCTCCGTCTATTTCTTATATTTCTTTTTTATTATATATAATAGCTAGTATTATTATAATATTAATATAACTTCTTTTATAAGTCTTAATTATATTTCTTAAGACTCGTTTAATATGGTTTCAAATACTCTAATTAAGGCTATATAAACTACTAATATAGTTTCTTAATTTATAATTATATTATACAAGCTTATATTTATTAAATAATCGCCTTTAGTATGGTTTTATTTTAATTCTAATATTACTTACTAAATAATAATATCCTCTAAAGTTCTCTGTTCTTTATTAGTATTAGAATTATATAAAGCTTCTTTAAAAATTAGGTTTGAAAATAATTATTTAACTCTATTTATAATTATAAAACTATATTTAATCTTTATAAAGTAAATTATAAAAAAAACCAATTCTTTATTAAAGTGTTAATATTTGCCATTTATTATTATTAACTTCCTTTTATATATTATATATAATATTTAGTTAATTATATAACTTCGAGATTATTTCTTACTAGCTTATATTCTTTACTTATAATATAATTTATAATTAAGAATAATAATATTAAAAATATACGGCTTCTTTATTATTTCTTATATTAACTTATAGTTTAGCTTGAAGCTAAGCTATAGCACTCTATAGCTATATTAATAAACGTTATATAACCAAGTCCAAATCTCAAACCGCGGCTGTAACCTGACACAGAATCGGCAAACGCTTGAAAGTATATCGAGTAATTTCATTCCTATATTTGCTATTTATAATTTAGTTTAACTTTATTGTAATTAATTCAGATAAACTAGTTCAAGTAAGACTTTGAGTAGCCGGTAAGCTCAAGCAAGACTGCAAGAGATGTTATTGAATAGTCCAACTTCCTTCTGCTCTTGGAAACAACCTACTATATGTCTTAGGTCCATAATTACAATAGCTATAGGGGGTCCTCACTTTCCGGCCAGTCTCTAACTCTAAGGAGAAGAATACACTGACTACATTTTCAAAATTGTGGAATAGAATATCCAGTGACATCCCCGGCTTTCTTCACTATAGCGCCTCTGATTGCGCAGGTTTTTGGGCCTGATCATTCCGACTTAAGATCTCCATGCATGACTTCAGCTCGGGCTCTGCGCCAAGACCCAGTTTGAGCTCCAGCTGAACAGCCCTATGCAGGATCTCGGACGATTTGACGGGGCTGAATGCTCCTCAATGAGGGGTCGTTTGACACAGCCCCAGTTGCCCCACCATTAAGAGGTCCGTTCAGGGCTATCTGCAGCGCACATTCCCAGCCCGTTGCTTGGCTTGCATCATATTGTGTAACACAGCCCTCAAAAACCAACCTGATTGATGCCCCCCCCTATTGTATGGCCCCCGCAGCTGCAGTGAGACATGGGGAAAAGCGTGAGGCAAGCTGCCCTCTTTTCTTCATGTGATCCAATTGGAATGGAAACCCGTGTTAAGACGGTTAGTGCCGGAGAGTTCAACTTTGCTTCTTTTGTTGGGGTATGTCCGATAGGCTATGCTGTCCCGTGTGGGCGTCTACTACCCTGCCTGCCGTGAATTGTGGCTTGCACCGAGCCTAGTTTTCATCTCACCGCTCTGTATATAACCACCGCCCGATTTCCATGAAAGTGTTACTTGGTAAGTTCTCTAATGATCAAATCTATCAAGTCCAACCGCTTTCCAAAACAATTAGCCGTAAAGAATATCTTTTCGAGATATCATTCCACCATGGCTGCCGCTCAGCACTGCACTAAGCCCCATGTCTGCTTCATCGTTCCTCCCCATCTTCTTCTAGATATCCTCGAACACGACCAGGTATCTGAGGATACCCGTGTTGCCGTTCAGAACACTATCAACCACTGCGGCAAGCTCAAGACACAGAGGATCCATAAACAGGCACAACTTCGTGGCCATGGACCTGGTGCTGAAGGTCAATCTATTATCCCAGGGTACGTGTTCCAGGAAATAGCGGAGTCTGAAGATACCTCCCAGGAGCAGAAACAGCGCGCTCATCACAATTTGAAAATTAGCCAACAGGTTCATGGTGAGCGTTCAGACACCGACCAAGGAGCGAAAGCTCCCACTACGACAGAGCATGTAATCAGAAAGATTTACGATTCACACAAGACAAACAAGCTGCGCCAGAAGCTTCTCTACACGGAAGGGAATGATCTATCCACCCTCAAAGCCAACGAAAGCGCCCTTGAGGTCATCGACTTCTTCGGAAAGACGTATCAATTTTATGCAGAGGTGTTCGGTCGTCACTCTGTTGATAACGACAACCTTGCGCTCATAGGTAACCTCCACTACGATGACATCCCAGGGCCCCCAGGTATGGACAACGCCTTCTGGAATGGCAACGAAATGGCCTTCGGCGATGGAGACGGCGAGATCTTCGGCAGCTTCACCAAGAACATCGATGTCATCGGACATGAACTCACCCATGGAGTTACTCAGTTCACAGCAAATCTGGAATACGAATTCCAATCAGGCGCTCTCAACGAGTCCATGTCGGATGTCTTCGGTTCCATGATCAAGCAGTATTTCTATCCAGGCGGCAAACAACTCGCCACAGATGCGGACTGGCTCATCGGCGAGGGTATCTTCTTGCCGTCTATCACCGGTGCAACGGCGTTGAGATCGATGAAGGCCCCGGGCACAGCCTACAACAATCCCAAGATCGGGAAGGACCGACAGCCGGCTGACATGGACGGCTACGTCAAGATGCGCAACACCGAGGCTGGAGATAATGGAGGCGTGCACATCAATTCTGGGATCCCCAACCGTGCCTTTTACCTTGCTTCAGTGGGATTTGGGGGATATTCGTGGGAGAAGGCGGGCAAGGTTTGGTATGCAGCCCTTACCGACGACAAGCTCCAAGGCATCGATTCTTCGACTGCTTTCACGGTCTTTGCAGATCTTACTACTCAGCATGCAAAGGACTTGTATGATGCGGAGGGTGAGGCCGTAGTCAAGAAGGCTTGGACTGATGTCAAGGTGTATGAGGCTGCACCGGGAAAGGGTGATTTGTAATTCTTTTACTGGGCTGGCGGGCTGCAAACGCTTCTGCATTTGTGGTTTTTTGTGCCTCCTGCAGTTGAAAAATTGTTCTTCAATCTATTGATTGCTCCTCAACACCAAAGTTCCTCGAAGGACTTCAGTGTCACTTACGCTGTTATTTGTATCCCTGAAGATCACATAATGGGTTCCCGACTCCAGCATAGCGTACCTAATTATGCTAGTTCTTCAACTCGTCCTGGCTTCAGACTCCCCCAATCCCTACCTAAAAGAGCGGACACAACCTTAGTCTTTGGAACCACCCAGTCAGGATGAGCCTCCGCCACAGCATTCATTGCCGTCTGGAAATAAGACATAAGATCATCCGTTCTGTCGTCTGCATCCCAAGTAACCACGAGCAATTCCTCCAATCCGTCAAAGCGGCGAACTTCCTCCCAGCAGAAAGCCGGTCTGCCATAGATACTCTCATCGACATCCAGAAGGACATATCTAACATTCTCTGCTTGAATTGCCTTGGAGTCATTACGGCGGTTAGGGTTGTAGTTTGTCCCATGCCATAGGTTGAGCAAGTAGTTGCTTGGGCTTGTATCATATCCAGCCTTGCGTTCGGGAACAAGCTATGAATATCGGGTCCGTCGCCAAAGCAGAGAGTATCGATTTTATAGTTGTAATATGCTGTAGGCGGATGAGTTGATGTACCGAAGGATAGAATGTAGCATTTCAGAGCCTCTTCGCGCGATTCATGACACACTTGAAGGGCCACTGGCGGAGCGGGACTGCGTTTCCTAGACATCCAGCCGCCGAAGCCAAAATCCTTGAACCTGATCTGTATGCCAACGTTTCGGGGTCCCGGGAAGGTGAATTTCCAGATCTTGAGACGCAGTTCGAATGGCAGGTTTGGAAACATCCCGAAATTCTCCATTTTGATGACGTTCCTTTCTTATCTTTTGCTTTCCTGTTCGGGAGGTGGTGGAGATTGTACGAGATAAGCTTAATAGATTGTCGATATCTTGACCGAGAGTCTCCGGTAGCCAGAGGGAAAAGGCACTAGTGATTTGAAAAGATGCAAAGTGATCTATTTCTAATGGTTTCAAGGTTTGACTCGGGCAAGATACGCTATTGTTCTTACAAGCCTTGCCAAGTAACGTTACTTCTGCACCCCTGCTCAGCACCCACAACACCTCTTGATTTGTAAGCAGGCTTCCTCTTTCGATCCGGCCTTATCGCCAACCTTGTGTTCTCGAGGAAAGGGAGGCGAATGGTTGTGTAAACTAGTGGCCAGAATAATTTTTGTTCGCGCTTCTCTATTGCACTCATCCGAGCTAGCTGAGCCGAAAATCAGCTGCGGGGCAATTGACACTTGAGTAGGAGTGGCTAAGCTAGGGCTGCAGCTGAACGTGAAAATTTTGAATTTTTTGAATAAGTGCCCGATTTTTTGATTCAAACGGCCTTAAACCTTACTTCAAACTCATCGAGCCATTTTTAGAATACTCAAGGAATTCATGAACGCGTTTGTGAAGCTAGGGGAGCTGAAATATAAGAAGATTTTAAGTAAAATCGGGGTTTAATTTGGCCGCGGAGTGGCCAGAGATTCTTTTGAGATCTCCGCACAAAATTTGAACTATAAAAAAGATTCTACTTAGTTCATTCATAAAATTTGTGAATTTGTAAATTAAAGACCCTAAAAATCTGATTCGTTAAATTTGAACGCTAGGCTCGATTCACGTTCATTCAACTCAAGGCCTGGAATCCTGATTCAAGCTCAAAATCTTCAGATACCAGCCCTAGGCCAGGCTTACCAACCAATGTTGGAGCGAACATTGAGAGATTAGAACTGATATAGTTAAACACAAATGAAGTTGGTCATACTTTTTGGACTTGAGAAGGGGCTGCCAGATTGACTAGAATGGATTCAAGAGGGTGAGCACGCTAACTCATAAGGCTGCTAACCAGTAACGAGGTAACGAGCCTGCTGACAGGAGTCCGTTTTATTGGGCGATTTTTAAGCGATTTTTAGGCCTCACGACCCCGTCGTTCCCGTCTTCAGGGCCCGGACCTCTCGATTTATTGGAATCACTTTATAGTTTCACGACAACAATAAATAAACAGAACTTGCAATTTAGTAAATCAGAGGTTATGAGAGGTCACCGGAGTTTCTATCAAAAGAGCTTTAAAGGTTCACAAGTTTAATAATTAATTTAGGTGTGAAACACGCTAAAAAAATAGACTTTTGTCAGCAAGCTCGTAGGACACCGCTTAATTTTAAACGAGTAGCCACTGAATTTCAACGTCACCTCCTCGCGACAACCTCACCTCAATCCTGAACCTCATTTCACTACGTCGCATCCATGAGCATCTGGGGCCAGCTGATTAGTTGGCTGGATCTTCTGTGGACTGAATAGAGCTTGAATCTATCAATCTCGTTCTTACCTGATTGAGTTGCTCGTAAATGCCCACGTCACAGGCACCCTAGTTGCTCACTGCGTGCGACATGGTTTGTTTGGGCGAGCCAAAGCTGTTGCCCATTCACTTCTGTACAATCTTTCTGGGATCTTGCTTTCTTCTTTCTTTCTGTATTACTGGATATGGCTTCAGGAAATACCATGAAGCGTTCTCTATTAGGTGCACTATGTGACCGCCTCTGGGACAGCAAATCCCGCGTTGTTGCCGACGGATACAGATGCCTAGATCCCAACCGCGACCCAGTGGATCTGGCGCAGTTGGACCTAACCTCGTGCGCCAACCGTTTCCAGAAAGGCCTACACGTGCGCTTGGTTATAGCTGGTGGCCAGCACCTAAAGTATATGGGGTGTCTAGGCACAGATGAGAGTCCAGTTTCTGGAGCGATCGGCACACACGATATATCATAGTACAAAGAAGATACCGTGAGTCATTCTAGCAGTGGGTGAGGTAGCGACATAGCTTGTTCGAACACTCCACTTATAGGCATAAGGCTCATTCACGTTTCCGGATAGAGTAAATACAGCAGCTGATGTTTATAGTCCTACCTCCTTTGCCATTGTCTCCTCCACCAGATATTCTCTCAAGACCGGCGAAGCTACACTGCGTCCTATCGTGCAAAACACTCTTTCACCAGTGGTTGATCCGTCCAGACGCCGTTACTATTTGTCGGTGTGAGACTCAGAGCGTACTCGGTGGCAAAGCTGCCAGCTCCCCAGCCAACGTATCCAAGGAAGACGTTTGAATTTTGGCTTTTCTGTCAATACAAGTCTGCAGGGTAAATCCGGGAAAGCTTACTTCAAGAATGCGATCTGCTCGCACATGTATTTTGCGCATGTAGTCGAGCTGATACCACCAGTTTCGCTCAAGAGCGCCTGTCTCCCGACGGAATTTAGCCATGTGGCGAGTGGTTGGAACGCAGTTGCGATGTTGTTGGTGACACAATCTCCGCCACCGCCGCTGTTATCGCTGTCTAGATACTTGTGAACGTCGAATATGAGATTGGTTGTTGTTCCATCAGGGTTCTTGACCGCAGCAAGTGCTGCGGCACTTCCGTCAGAGATGAATGATCCTGCGCTCGTGTAACTATGGCACTTAGCATATCATTTGATCCAGGAGGTCATGGATACGCACTCGCTGCCAGGAAGTAGGATCATTTGTGACGTTGCACCAGCTTGACGGATGGCGGTCACAACTGCTTGAACAGTCTGTGCCCATGTGGTAACAGCCACTGGTGTGCGTCAGTGGTCATTTATCCGGAATGTTTTTTCCACTTACAGTCATGAGGTTCATTCACGATGCCAAATAGTATCTTGGAGTCACTTGCGTAGTATGTCGCAAGTTGAGCCCATAAACTCACGAACTGGGCATTTGTAGGGCCACCCTGCCCAATGATTCCACCATTCCAGCGAGCGTCTGTTATTGATCAGTCTCTATCTGTGACTTGGGAATGAATTCATACAGTTGTGGATATCGATGATGCAATAAGCTCCTGTGCTCAAACAAGCTTGAACCAAAGTGTTGTATTCAGATAGGTTTGCGGAGTTCAAAGTCCCGCCTAGTACTCCATTCACGAGAAACTGCCATCCCACAGGGAGGCGGAAGATGTTCATATGATCATCTTTGACGAAATGCGACATTTGCCCAGGGCCATCAGGTCCTCCATAACTTGGCAGTGGAGGATATGGTCCGCTTGTCCCAGTGATGATACAAGTGCCATCAGTAGTGCAACCGAAGTCAAATCCAGCGATGTTGACTCCAGCAAATTGAGTGAGGCCTGTTGATGTTGCAGTTGCAGATGCAGACGTTGCAGAAGCCGAAGATGATGACGAGCGAATGCTTGTTGCAGATGTTGATGAACGGACACTCATTGTAGAGGTCACCAGAGTAGTGCTGGAGCTCCCAGTTCCTGGGAGACATTGCGAGTACCATTGGTTCGAATACGTACAAACATATCCGCTGACACAGGTAGTTGCCCCCGTCCAACCGGATCCTCCGCCTGAAAAGCTTAGCACATATTCAACGCAGTTAGAGTTGGGTAAACTTACACTGCCCCCAAGCTCCTGATTGAGCGGTGACCGTACTCACGAAGAGGAGGATGAACGTCGAGATACCCATTCTTTTTTTTATTTTGAACAAAATCTATTTACAAGAAGATGGTTTTAGAGAAGTGCAATGCCCTGGGGGACGACAACCTCAATCTGACCTCTTATATTTCCAATCAAGTTTCTTCCGCACGCAATTTTTCATCTCGCGATTGTACGATCCGAAGAGCCGCTGCACATTCAAAGATGATGGCTAGGACCCTGGCGATGGCGTTAAATGAGGAAGAGTTTCAACCAGAGTTGTTTTGCGGTAGTACCTCCGACTGGAGTAGGCCCTGGAAAGGCACAGGTCGAAAGACCAACCATGGCAATTTCCAAAACTTGAAGAGATTATCTTTTTTTAATTAAAGAATTTACTGTCTCTAGTGGCTGCGTCTTTGCTGTGTAATCTGTGCCGTGCAGCTGCGTCTAAACGATTGGGGGAAGATTTCAGGCACGATCCGGGGAAGGACAGGGGCAAGGAACACCCTGCGGGAGGAGCCGACCCCACACCAGCTCCCTTCATCAAAATTCGGAACTTGGCTTCCGTGGCAGGTACACCTTACTGCCGCAGTCGTCGTTGCTTGCCCTGAAAACCTTCGATGGGATGCATCTCGCGAGTCTTGAAATCGACAAGTTTGGGAAGGTTGAGCATGTCGTCTCTTCCATCTCTCCGGCTTGCTATCCTTCCCTTTTGCCGCTGCACAGAGTTCAACCCATCGTTCGATATGTGTGCTGTGGGGTGGTTCCCGGCCCTCCTGACCTCTTTCTCCCACGAATTTCGGAAGTCTTGCCGAACTCCCAAGCCTTGGGGGATGCGATTGGTCTAGCTCCATCCTGCAATCTCCTTCTCCAAAGCTGTCGCCATCAAATACTAGAACCTGTTTTGCTACGATTTCAAGCTTATCCCCGCATTTGCTTATCATCCACGTTCCCTTCAAGCCGAGGCACGCTAGTCTGGGGTAAACACATCAGAGTAACACAAAGCATGGGAAGATCGTGTAGACTTTCCTTCACATGGAATTCTGGAGTTTACCCGCTCTTAGCTTGAAAGTCCTGAGCTCGGTGTTGCCTCCTTCCTCTGAGTTCGGCATTTGACATACAGTCCAAGACCAAGGAGATTGAGTGGTCTCGGTAATTGGCTTGCTTTTTCTCCGAAAGAGGCGACTGGGGAACCCCTCACTGAATCTGAATATATTCGAAGTATAATCGTGCGCGTTTTTCGTGCAACACACCGCAGCTGGATTTCAATATTTCGCTCATCAGATATTCCGGTAGCCCGCTTCTGATTGCTGCAAGATGCAAGGTTTCCTTGAGACGTAAATAGGACTATAGATTTCTTAGACGACTGCGCTTCACCAGGGGATGAATCTTAGCTGGTGCACCAAGTTGCTCGCTTTTGGGGCTTAAGCAACGCTTGGTTAGCTCCTACGTCGCTCGGTCTTTTAGTCTTATTCGGTTTACTCGGTGCGGATCACCTAGCCAGTGTCACCGTCCCCTAGCTTGGGTTCTTGTGTTTTTTTACTCTGCTGGGACCGACGGAGCCGGCGGATCTAATGCAGCAAAACTGTTCAAGAAAGGAGTCTCGGGTGCAAAAATTTACGCACCCCTGTATTTCACCGCTGCAAATTTAGAAACACCGCGTTCCATAGAAGTGACTATTTAAGTTGGACTCCCAAACGCATATGATCTTAAACTTAAAGCATTAAAGCGACAATCACCATCAAGATGTCTTCTACCATCGCGTTGATTTCGCTCTTTGTGAGCATCGCCCGTTCCCAACAAGTTGGCACTCTCACAGCAGAAGTTCACCCCGCCCTCACCTGGCAGACCTGCACTGCAGGAGGAGCCTGCACTACCAACAACGGCAAGATAGTTCTTGATTCGAACTGGCGTTGGCTGCACTCGACCTCAGGTTCCACCAACTGCTACACTGGGAACACCTGGGACACCACACTCTGCCCGAACGATGTTACTTGCGCGACAAACTGTGCCTTGGATGGAGCCGACTATTCTGGTACTTATGGTATCACAACCAGCGGCAGTGCTTTGAGACTCAACTTTGTTACTTCTTCAGCACAAAAGAATGTTGGGTCACGCGTATATCTCATGGCCGATGACAACACTTACCAGGAATTCAATATGCTCGCTCAAGAGTTTACTTTTGATGTGGATGTCTCTCATCTTCCATGCGGCATTAACGGCGCCCTGTATATGTCAGGTGATTATTCTCGAAACTCTGTCTGTATTCTACTAACACACCCAGGCATGGCAAAGGACGGAGGTCTGTCTCAGTATTCCGGCAACAAAGCTGGAGCCAAGTACGGTGTCGGCTATTGTGACTCTCAATGCCCTCGTGATCTCAAATTTATCAACGGCCAGGTATGCCACTCTAACAATATTATGAGGGGCCTATGCTAATTATCTGCCAGGCCAATGTGGAAGGCTGGGTTCCCTCGAGCAATAACGTTAACACAGGCATCGGTAATCATGGGTCATGCTGTGCGGAAATGGATATCTGGGAGGCGAATTCCATTTCAGCAGCCTTTACTCCCCACTCTGCCGATGTTGCAACGCAGACTATGTGTACCGGGGACGCATGCGGAGGTGCAGCCTCTTCCAACCGCTACGCCGGAACCACAGATCCAGACGGATGTGATTTCAACTCCTACCGTATGGGAAACACTACCTTCTACGGCCCAGGCATGACCGTAGATACCAACTCAGTCTTTACCGTGGTCACCCAATTTCTCACGGATACCGGAACTTCTTCCGGAACAATGAACGAGATCAAGCGCTTCTACGTCCAGAACGGCAAAGTGATTCCTAACTCCATGTCGACGATTTCCGGTGTCACCGGCAACTCAGTCACCCCCGCATTTTGCAATGCTCAAAAAACCGTCTTCGGTGATACCAACGATTTCGCAACCCATGGTGGCTTCAACTCCATGACGACCGCTATGAAGGACGGCATGGTCCTCGTCCTCTCTCTCTGGGATGACTACGATGTTGACTTGCTCTGGCTCGACAGCGACTACCCCACGACCGCGAACCCAAGCACGCCGGGAATCGCACGCGGCACTTGCTCTACCAGCTCCGGTGTTCCTGCCACTGTGGAAGCCAATAGCCCTAACTCCTATGTCATCTACTCAAACATCAAGGTTGGGCCTATCGGCTCTACTTTCTCATCTGGCACGGGCTCCGGCTCTAGCAGCTCGTCAGCGACCACGTTGAAGACTTCAACTACATCGAAGGCCTCCACGAGCACCAGTCCGGCAACGAGCACTACCTCTGCGGCCAGCGGGACTGTACCACATTACGGGCAGTGTGGTGGGCTCACCTACACGGGTGCGACGGTTTGCGTTAGCCCATATACTTGCACTTATTCCAATGCGTACTATTCTCAGTGCTTGTAAGTGCTTTACGCAGTGGACTTCGTTGGGTTTGGGCCAAATGGTCATAAAATGGGGTTTTGTGGAGGAGAAAGTAGCTGGAGTGGTCGGTGTCTGGGTGAAGTGGGGACATACCGTGTTTGATTCTTCTGATTGTTACACGGCCATTTATTAAACAATAGCTAGTTTTGCCCCATTCTCATATGATTCCATTCCAAATAAGCATGCCATAACCGTCCTACAAATCAATTGAGGACGCGCACGTGACCGGGATCTAACACTTTCTCAAAAGAGAACTGTGAACAATTGAATACCAGTCGCCCTTGGTCTGAGTCTGTGCTGTATTGAGTTGGCCCGGGACATCTTAAGAGTCCTTCAGATCAATTCCCTGTGGGTTGAACAAGTTCTTTACTCCCCCTTGTATCTCGAAGGTGAGTCACCCATAACCACCATTCTTGTGATCCACATTTTCAACAACTTCGAACGGATTCAAAGGAGTCGATGAATTATTCACAAAATTTGTGTAGAAGTACAATCTGTGCTCCTAGATTAATTCTCTAGTGACGAGCTCTTCGTCGATCAATTTAACATTAATCCAGGCGCAGATAGGGCTTCTGTAGACCATTCCTCTCTCTCAGCCCAAACATCGCAAGGAAAGAACGGTCCTGTTTTCGAAACTGGATGGCACCGGCATCTAGGTTGCCAGGAAACGGGAGGCTATAACCTTCCAAGCGAATTTTCTTCCAGTGCCTTGAGGGGTAGAAAACTTTCGTTACGAAGCGGACCTACTTAAAAAGTCCTCTGGGAGGAAGAAGGTGGTAGGTAATAGTGTGTTTCTAAATGTGCTCCGTCCTCGATCCCACATGAATAGCGAATGTTGCAGATCTTGCCGTCGAAGAAGCATGACCGGTCTTCTCTGTGCTAAACTTGCAGATTCCTGGTCAATCGTTGACAGCCATTTGCAATGAAATCGGCTATGCTCGTGGCCCAAGACCACATAAGTCTGAACTACCTCGGAATTGATACCAGCATAGCGCAGATCGAGACCAATTGGTCCACGGACATCATCTGGGTACCTATACGCAAGTATCCCACAATCCACTTTGTGCTCGGTTGTATTGACAAGCGGGATATGAATACTGACTCCGGCATTAGTCATGGCGAATGGCTCAACAATACTATATCCTGAGCAACGGTGGCATGCTCAAAGTTTTGGCTCGGTTGACCAACACGTTGCTCTTAACTCTAGAAGGCAAACACTCTCGGACAAAAGACCAGGACAGTGTCAAGACGACAAGCAGTAGTGAATTTGCATCTACATCCGATCCCATTTGTCAAAAACAAAACAACAGTCGCCTGCACGAGTGGTTGTCAATTTTTCGAGAGAAAGCCCACCAGGGCAAAAACTGCCAAAGTTGAAGTACCGTCCAATAAGGATTAAGAATGAGGCCAGAGAGTAGAGGTGTCGGCAGCATAGAGAACAGGGGAGGAAGCAAGAGGAGCAGTGGGAGGGTGCTTATGGGATCACTCATGAGCCTTTATTGACAAACACCTCTGCAACCCTACGACGTCCTGATACAGCTCCCGAGTCTTACGAAATGGCAGGACTCCAAGGAAGCACCGCGGTGGAAGAGGTTTGAAAGTAGCCCGTAGTTGTATTAGTACCTCAATCCTACGTACAAACCTTCAAAGATAAGATAACAGTGTTTGAGACGTATGCAGAACTCCAGGGCCCAAATGGAAGATACTTTGCAACATGTTATCAAAAAAGGCTTGCAAAATGCGACTTCCTGGCCAAGCGTCCCCTTGCAGCTGAGGAGATCTTGGAAGGATACTTCCTAAAAGCCTAGTTTGCGATTCTGCATGAGGGACTTAGCTTTATCATACACCGAAGTCTTATCTCCTTCTTCTGGCGCTTGGATGATGGAAAAGAAATTTACCATGCTGCTCAACACTGATTGGGAGCTATATCTCGGTCAGAGAGGTGGAGTGGGCTTGATTGGCTTGTCCTCCTGCAAGTCTCGCAAAAACATTCCACCACTTCCTAAAATGGTGACCGAGCTCGGTTGGACTTGACTCTGATCCTACAGCCTTACAACACCAAGATATCAAACTTGTGTATAAATACCTGGTCTTCATCGAAACAAGTCTATCGATAATATACTCGGACATACGTGGACTTGCATCTTCACTTACAGGCCTCACACATCACAACAGCACTACTACAGCCGATACAGCTGAGACTTCTTCCACGATGGATGCCGCAGAAAACTGGAATGGCCTCGGTGACTACTCCCTTTTCTTGCCAGAGGATTCTTTTAATCTGTTCGGAGAGTACGATCTCGATCTTGGCTTGAATAATTCCTTTTTGCCAGCCCTCGATGAAGCCAGTGCTACGTTCGACATAGCTGAATGGGATCAGATTGAAGCCATGATCCCAGCCCTGCCTAGGCTTGACGCCACACTACCAACTTCCGGAGAACCGCAAGACTTGATCCCGAACCCAGAAGCAGAGCTCCAAGCGTCCAAGTATACTTCCACATCTTCTCCAAGTTCAGCTCGAAGCCCAATTTCCGAGGATCAGACGTCTACGGATGGCTTTCCAGTATCCGGAAAAGAAGTTGAACATCAAACGAAGACTGAATTGAGAAAAAGAGAGTTCTTGACAGCATTTTCCGTAGAATCTGGGGAGGAGATTCAGCTGCACACCCGAAAGCGATTTTCTAAAGAACAGCGGCAAGTAGTGGCACTCAACAGAATAATCGGAGTGTGTCTTCACTGCCGACTACGGAAAGTTGCTGCAAGTTCACGACATAAAGCCAACTCCCACTGAGGCTAATTGTTGGGTGTATAGTGCGACGATGGAATTCCATGCAATCGGTGCATTAAACGCGCGGGAAGTATCTCCTCCGGGCAGGAGATATGCATGCGCAGAAGCTTGGTTGCTACACGGTTTGATCACATAGGTAGTGTCTTCAAATTCTCTTGACAAATAATACGCGCCCTTCTAAGAACATTCTAGACTTGATCAGAATCGCCAGCGTAGAATATACGGTGAGCAGATTGCCTCTCCCGGCCGAACCAGAACTCGATGGCTCGGGATATATTTGGTTTCCCGATTCCCACAACAGATATAACCCTGAAGCATATATCAAGGTACCAATTACTCATTTGAAGCAAGATGGCTTTCAACGCCGTAGGGTAATTCTCGCAGCGGATTACTACTCGGGAACCTTCCACGACTTGCCAAATATAAACCAAGCGATTGCCCCGGAATCAGTTCCTTCGACTGAAAGATTGCTACAAGCGTACCTTACTTCAAGACAAAACTTCTTACCAACGCCTAGTCCTTTTGCTAGGTTATCCAAAGCTTTTCGTGACTTCGCAGAGAGCTACTGCAACAGCGCTGCGGAACTGCCTCTGGTAAGCATCTGTTCTTGGATTAGTGCGGGATCCCTTCACTCGTTTCTAACTTGATTATTTCTCTAGAAAGGATTGCTATCAAAGATTGTAAAACTTCAGCGCTTGTTCAACATTTACCGATCTTCGCCTGTCATCAAGTCAGCACCTTGTGCCAATGACGGGGACGGCGACGGCGACATTGTGTCCACAGCTATATGGCAGCAATTACGTCTACCAATTGCAAAAGGAATCAAAGCAACCGAAACAGACGTCTTAACGGAGATTGACAGAATGATACAGAGCAAGGCCGGCATCGGAAGACAAAATCCATTGGCAACCTGGGCTGCATTGTGGGTCTTGGTTCTTGCTTACAAGGATTATATGATCTTTTGCAAAGCTTGGCGTTATGGCTATGTTTCCGGTAACCTTGATTCATTCCCTTGACCAAATAAATTCAGGCTAACAATAACAGAAGGCGAAAAGATATACAATCTCAACGAACACCTCTACAACATGCTCACCTCAATCTACGCCGCCCTATACAAGACAACATCGCCACTTACACTCGATTGGCGAAGTAATGAAGTAGCAGTCATGTTGGGCAATGACTCTCAGATTATTAACCTATTCTGCAATATCAAGACCGAAATGTTCTGGTTCCGTAAGTGCTGCTGATAAACGACTACGATCAAAAAGTCGGAACTAATTCTAGTACCAGACGCAAATGCACACGAATTGTTTCCAGAAGATATACTATTTAAGACACTCATTCTGGACAACGAGAAAAAATTGGCCAAGGCACATATAAAAGCGGCACAACGACAGGGAATAATATGAGCCAGGCGTTTCTTTATTACCGCAATCTGAATTCTTCTCTCTGCTCAGTCTTTCTGTGCCGTTCTTGGTTGGTTAGGAGTTTTCAAGGGAGACACGGTTCAATTCACCCGTCGCAGGCAGGGGAAGTAGTTGATCCCAGGACTTATCGAACCGGAGCAAATGAGACGTCTTGTCAACGAGGGGTCTGTGATGTACTAGTTTCCTTTTCCTCTTCACAAATATCCCAGTTTTGATGTTTCATGTATGAGACGAACAAGTGATGCACATTGTTTTAACTATGGTGAAGAAGATGGAAACAATACCCTCTCATTCTCGAATTGGAAATCTTTGGTTCACCGGATAGCTAGGCTGCAAGTGAACTTGATTGGAGGAAGCTCCTGCAGCCTCGATCAAAAACGCCACCACTTCCGATCTTGGTCACCGGATTTTGGATCTCGCTTGTCTCTGACACATCTACTGCACAAGAATGTATAAAGTGAACCCTCTTCCTACTTCCCGTGAATGGATTCATTACCCTCTTTCCATCGCCAACTTTTGCTCTTATTCTATTCTGAACCCTGACCAATTATTGACTGTCTACCAACATGGACCACTGGCAGACACCTGACAACCTCGACGACTACTCGTCCTTCTTTGACGATTCGTTGGACGTTTTTGGAAATGTAGACTTCGATGCTAATCCACTCGACCAACTTCTCTACGCAACGACAGCACCGCTTTCCCCAACTTTCCGGCCATGTTTTCTGGGTGAAAGCTTGACGCTGCCATTTCCGGCTGAGGCCCTTTTAGGAAATGATGAGATTGATACCAACTCTCTCCAAACCATCGGCGATTGCCCTGAGCCCTTAGAGCAACATCTGAGATCTCAAGCAACATCCATTCCAGTCCGAGATCCGTCCAAATTGCTCAAGGTCGACCAGCAAGCTAGACTTTGCACACTTCATAAAGAAGGATTATTGGAGGTCGAGAAACCCAAAGCAAAGAAAACAAAGTGGGACAAATCTGTTGTTGTGTTTTCCTCGAAGCCAAAGTCCACGAAAGCCCCAAGGCAAAGAAAGAGCTTCGGGAAATCGAGGCGGGAAGAGGTTGCCCTCACTCGGAAGGTCGGGGCCTGCATTCAATGTAGAATTCGAAAAGGATCGGTAAAAAAACAATCTTCTGTTGGATCTGAAAGTATTTTTGCTGATATTAGGATAGTGCGAACTTGGTCTTCCTTGCGAACAGTGCATCAAGCGGGCAGGAAGTAACGCCCTAGGTAAGGAACTGTGCTCCCGTCAGAGTCTCTTAGCGGTGAGGTTTGATCATATCGGTGAGGCATCTTTTCGTTACCTAGATCTCATATGTCTAATGTTGCAGAAGATCTCTATCTCGAGTATGATGAGTACGAAGAAATTAGCATGAGTCAGTGCAGGAGAATTCCAGGCACAGAGAAGACAGTGTTCCTGAGCTACCCAACGTGCTGCGACGACAACAACCAGGAAAGGGTGTGGATCGAAAGTCGAATGCAGGACCACGAGGGACTGCCAAACCCAGAATTTCGACCATCAGTTCATGTTGAATGGAACTATGAGGGACTGGAATATTACGAAGTGGCGGACCCTAATTGGGCACTTGACCCAAACACGCTCCCTTCTATCGACCAGTTGATTGAATGTCGGGGAAGGAAAAAGTACCACGGGTGCAGCTCAGGAGTATTTGCTCCTTTGCATATTGCTTTCAGCGATTTTGGAGAAATGTACTGCCGCTCAAGCGCCGCTTTGCCTCTGGTATTCATCCACAGGAGCCATTTGCTCTCCAAGATTTGACTGGCTGACACAGGATAGCAAACACTGATGGCTAGTATTCTACGACAAAAAGCCTTACTCGGCCTTTATCTACATGTGGCCATCATCAAGCGACCTGGGGAAGGCCAGGTTGACTGGGCGCCAACCTTTATGAATTTCGAGCTCGACATTGTGATTCGAAAAGCTCTAAACGAAACGGAAGCTAAGATTCTCTCCACCTTCGAAAGCATCCTTTTTCGACCTGGCGGCGTCAACAGGCAGAACTCGTTAGTGGTGTGGGTGTGTCTATGGCACCTACTACTTCATTACAAATGGGTGATGCCATGGGTTGCAGTAACCTGGAGAGATCATCCACTAAGTAAGTCACCAACTGTCGACATAGTCACACACGTCACTTTTTAGATATCAACGACTAAGTTACAAATAGTTGTGCAGCCGATTTACGGCCTAGCGCGACATCTATACAATGCAGTCACCGCCATCTACTCTGCGTTGTTTAGGACGAGCTCTCCACTTCTGTTCGATTGGCGCACGGAAGAGGGCTCTGAGATGCTGGGGAGAGATCCAGAGCTAATTAGGCTCTTTTGCAATATCAAGACAGAACTTTACTGGTTCAGTAAGTCCTTCACTTCAATTCCTCTCAGCACTCGGCCGGGACTAATCGCCGAGAGATTCATAGATGCAGGGAAGGACCGCCTTTCATCTGAAGACACGCTATTCCAAACACTCGTCCTCGAAAACGAAAACAAACTTGTCACGGCACATATTAAAGCAGCAAAACGACAGGGGATTTTATGAAGGAGGTCTTCCATTTATGTTCCTGTTCCCGAATCCTATTCACAATATGCTACTCCCTGCCCATTAAATATGCTGTAACTCATCCTAGCAAAGCACTGAGGAGAGACAGCATTCCATCGCTTTTCCATAATGTTTCCCATCTTAAACATCCCATCCATATTTCCCAAGATGTGCAAACAACCCCTCCTAGAATTTATGAAATACCCAGATCTTCCTCCATATTCACCCCTCCCATATTCCTTCCTTCATATCCCGCGATAATACCCATCTCAAATCCCACAAATCCAGTAACCGGAGAACGAGCCGCTCAATCCAGTCTAAGCCCTACCCTTTCTCTCCACCGAAAAATAAACGAATGTAAACCCCACCCCTTCGCTTTCCTATCCAAGAGCCCTCAAACACTCCGACGTCTCTTCGATGGACTCTCGCCTTCATTCTCGTTTTCACTCTCTCCTTCAAAACCACCCTCAATCTGAACGGCTTCGTCGTCGTTATCAGCATACATAAGCCCCTCTTCCATCTCCCGATCGCCGTCCTCTCCCTCTCTACCACCCTCAAATCCGGACGCAGTCTCCTCATCGGCTTCCCTCAACGCACCCGTTCCATCACGTTTCGTACTCTCAGTAAGCACCATCAATCCACTCATCCCCATTCCTGACTTTCTACCCCGACTTCTCTCCTTCTCCTTCTCCTCTCTCGACAATCCATTCCTATCCCTCTTGCTACCCCTACCTCTCTTCGCCTTCTTAATCTTCCTCTCGATAACAAAAATCGAGTTCTCATCTTCTTCGTCCTCAGCCGCACTTCCCGCCGAATCATCGGCATTCTCATCATCCGTCGTATCAAGAAGATTAACAACAGACACCGCAACGCCTTTTCCAGATCTCTTGTTTCTGTTTGTGGTTTTCGCGCCTCCACCACGGCCACTGAAAAGGTTCGATCCTCCTGCTTTCTGCCACCTCTGAGAGCCTGATGAGCTGGTGCCTTTCTCGACAGGAACCGCTGTCATTTGTCCCTCGATTGGAGGTGTCCTGTTTCGGCGCTTACGGGACCTGGATTTTGAGTTTGAGGATGAGAGGGGAGGCGAATCGGAGTCGAATTCGAAAGGGTCGTCTAAAGTGAGGCCGGAGAGCGGAAAGCGGTCGCGTGTAATTAGCACCAGGTTTATGTAATGCTGGGTTAGTTTCGCCTTTAGGGCGTTGCCGGAGATGGAGGAGGAGGCGGAGGAGAGGATGGTGCGGAAGATGGACTCTTGATTTGTGAGGAGGGCGGTTATGGATTTGAGATCCATTTTGAGAGCTCTGGTGGTCGGATGACGGTTGCTATTCAGGGGGTGTTAGAGCTGCGGTGTTGCATGACTTGAAGATGGGGAGTTCTCACTTTTCTTGAGAGGTTTACTGTGTTGAAGGTGACAAGAAGGTGGAAATCCGTCGCAATCGTTACAACGTCGGACGAAGGGAGAGCTATTAGGTTCCAAGCAAGCTTTTGTGATAGGTAGCCGTCAGATCAGCCGAATCGGGCTCCTTGGTGCTGTGCAAGTTGGCTACCAAAGGAGGAGCAAAAGAAGCTGAGTTAAGACGAAGCTGAAGGTGTCTCAACGAAGGAGCTGTTGAAGTTAAAGGGTAGTGGTTGTGGTGTAAATTGAGGGAGGAGGAAGTTGCGTACCTTTCTCCTCGTGCTGATACAGGTGTTGTGTAGATGGAGTGGAGGGATTGTAGGGGAAGGGGATGAAGGGGGGAGATTGAGTTGAAGTTCGATGTGGAGGAAAGTGGGAGGGGTAGATGATTTTTAAAACTCGCTGCAGAAAGCTCAACTTGAGACGGGACTAGCGGATTGAGGGAATTAAATTTGAACTATCAGATGAAGAGCAAATACGAAGCAGGTTGAGTGCGAAGGTGACAACTCAATGTCCTCCTCGTGTTGAACATCGACTCCTTTAACACCTCACGTACCTTCCAATTTCCCAACATAAAGATAGGAGTGACTATCCCTTTAAGGATCGCTCGCGATAGAATAATCATCTTTCCAAGAAATTGGATAGATTTATTCGGCTTCAGAGCTTCTCATCTCCATGCTTGTTCATACTCTCCTTCTCCGGCAGCCCCTCTAAGAACCCTAACACCCTCCTCACCAACTCTCCCACAATCTCCTCCCCATCCTTCCCCAAATTATGCGACGCCCCATGAACAACCCCAGAGTGAACCTCATCCACGATTCCCTCTCCTCTCTTAACAATGCCCATCCACCTCTCAAATAATCCCTTCTTATTCACACTCTTCGGCACATGCTCATCCTTATCACTGATGAGAACACACAACGGACTCCGCTTCTTCAACCTCCCAAATGTTTTACCCAACTGCTCATCGCTCAAATCGCTGCTGAAGAAATCATCATCCCCATCATGATTTGGGCTCGCAAGACTCAACCACCGTTTCGCCGTACATGGTGCCGGAAACACATTCCCCGTTTCCTTCTTAGGCAAGATCTCCTCGCCGTTCCCTTCATCTACCATTTTCTGCGCAGCAAGGCAGGAATTGCGGTAGAGATCTGGATCCATCATCATTACCAACGCCTCTCTATCAGAAACTGGTGCTTGGATAATGCCACCCTCGATACTGGGACGGTTCTCATGACCAGCGCCAGTGAGGTACTCTATGATGTCTTGACAGCCTGTTGAGTTGCCCATTAGGACGATCTTCCCGGTCTTGATACCGCGGAAGTAGGAGATGCAGTCTGAGAGCTCGGAGGCATCTTTTTGTAGAGAGACGGTCCCCCAGCCGGTGTAGGAGCTGGAGAGACGTACTTCGGCTAGTGTCCAGGAGGGTGGGAGGGCGTCGGATATAATGGAGGTGTAGGGGACGGTGAGTAAGCCGTCGAAGAGTCCGCCGATGAAAATGAGCAGGTTTTGAGAAGGTGTCGAGGTGGAGGAAGGGGTGTGCTCAAAAGCCGTGAGGCGGTCCCAGCCTTTGTTTTTCTTGGGATTGGTTAGTTAAGAGCTTGCGATTGAGGCTTGAAAGTTGAGTACGATCGAAAGCAGATACCCAACTGAGAAGAGGGAATATGGGATAGCTCAGGGCGGGGAGTTCGAAAAATGAAGATATACTCACATAGAGATGAACGAGCCCTTTCCTGGGAACGGCCATCTTTCCCCTTTTCTATCAACTGCTTTAGAATTCTAATTGACTTGAGGAAACGGGATAAAGAGAGCTTTATGTACCTGGAAGCACGAATCGAGGTGCTCAACCATGCAAGATAACGTCAGCGCCAATTCTCACGCTCCTCAAGGACCACACGAACAAATTATAATTGGGGAAATCCTTCCAGATTCTCTCAAGTGCCCTTTATCCCAAGCCAAAATGGCATTCGAACGTTCTAGAGTTGTTGATGATTCTTGGTGAGACGGCAATCCCGGGGTTTCCGTCCAGGTTTGCCTACAGAGCGCAAGCAAACAATTGACTTCCTGCCGCGCGCAAGCGAAATGCTTCCAACTCACCGGTGCACCAATCTCGTCGCGGATTCGGGGGGGATACTCCGAGCACTGCAATTTTAGCGTAAACGACGAGGTTCGCCATCCTCACGTGCCCCAAGCTCCGTCGAAAAATCCACGCATCTCGAGCTTCAACCTGCTCCACATCAGTCTCTCCCCCACCTCCCACACAACCTCCTCACGCGCTTCACGATGGCGCCCTCCCACAATTCCATCCGGCAGATGGTTTCCCCTCTCCTGCAATCCTTCCGCAGCCTATCTCTCACCTCCCAAAATGTCCTCCCTTCCACCTCAAGATTCTTCACCTCGAGCTCGACGATGTCCGCGAAGAGCGACAAGAAGAAATCCGTCGACCCGCGAATAACCCTCATCCGGTACCACCTCCAACACACAGCGACCCCTCGTCCATTGAAATTCAGTCGCACGCGCGCGCTCCGCCACTGGACGATCCATAGAGCGTGGATGCTTGCTAGGAGGAAGAAGCTCGAAGCTGAGGAATTGGAATTGCAGCGGATGTATCAGTCAATGCATAATACGATGGAGGTGTTGAGAACGATGGATGAAAAGGATGGGCTTGGGCGAGGGAAAGAGGCGGGCAGGCTTTATAGGGTTGCGTTGGAGAAGAAAGGGATTTTTGGGCAAGGGGGCGTGCCGATTGAGTATGCGCGGTTGCAGACCGATACACCGGGGAGAGAAGCGTGGGATCATAGTTGGACGCGGTAGTGATTACGCTGAAGGGAGGGGAAGGCGGGAAGGAGATGGGAAGGTGCTGTGGGTTGTACCTGTGATGATGGATGTGCGGTGGGGGAGAGGTGTGTGATATTCAAGGGCTGGAGAGAGAGGTGCTAAAAGGGCTCTCTTCGTGTCATTGGGACTTGAACAAGAGATTTGATGACGGGGTGTATGATATCTTGCAGCATGGATGGTTGAGAAGGCCTAAGAGGAGATGGAAGATTACCAGAGTCAGCATTCCAGGCGCAACTGATGTTCAAATGCTGGCTTGTATGTGTTATACAATTTGTCCATATTAGACCAACGCTGTTGTTTCGCAAGCAATGCAGCAATTCAATCCAGATCCATCCCTCCCATTCCATTCATCCATTGCACCCGTTCGCAACGCTGGGTATGTAGTTGAAGAAAACAGCCCAATCAACTTATCAAAAGGAGTGTGATGTTTTCGACCTCGGTTCGTAAACAGTCGTTAATGTCTCTATCTGTCGTCTTTTTCTTCCCCTCCCCTTCCCTTCCTCCAAACCAGAACCGAATATGGCACAGTAAATCGAAGGGCTTTGAAACTTTTGATGAGCAGGAAGAAGGCCGTTGAGGTTGAAAAGAAGCCGTGTGCGTTCGATTAGAAGTTGTATTGTTCGAATTGTGCCTTCCCGGCCAAAATGTTGTGCTGTTTCTCCGTACGACCTGGCTGAAATCTGCAAACTCCAACTCCCGCTATAGTATGACACAGCATCCCCCTCCCTCTCCTTTCTCGAATGTGAGCAGAGCAGCTCTTGTTGCGGCTTCGAAAACATCATCCACGCCTTCTCCTGTCAGTGAAGAACATTCGAGGTATTTTCGTGCTCCGATTTCGTGACCGATTTCTGTGGCTTCTCGGGTGGAAACGAAATGTTGTGATTTCTTCCTCATCTCTTCAATGGCTACTGGGTCCTCTCGGAGATCCTTCTTCAGACCGACCAGTATGATGGGTACGCCCGGGGATTTCTCGTTTGCTTCTTCCACCCACTCCAAAAAGTCAGCATTAGGAGCCGCAATTGAACACAGGAAGCTTACTTTTTGCTTGACGTTGTCCAGAGAGTCCGGCGTGTCAATTGAGAATCCTACCAGAATCACGTGTGCTTTTGAATATGCCAAGGGTCGTAATCTTTCATAATCTTCTTGTCCTGCCGTATCCCATAACGCCAATTGCACGCTTTTCCCATCCACCCTACAATCTGTGACGTAGTTCTCGAAGACGGTTGGGACCTGAAGAAGGTTAGGATTTGCGGATGTTATGGGCATATGAAAGTGGGGAACGGACATAATGCTGCAAAACCGTTAGCAATCTGATTATGGGATCGAGGAGCAGGGAAACTCACGGTTGGGAAGTATCCCAGTGTGAAAACACTCAGCAGCGAGGTCTTTCCACACGCGCCGTCACCAATAATTACCAGTTTCCTGTCTCAGAATCAGCAGATGTTTGTGAAGGAACCCCCTCGCATGTTGCTGTGCAGCAAGAATGCAAAACGGATACAGAATCTCCCCAAGGCAATCGCAACCCAGCCGGCTTGCATGTGCCACTGGCAGAGCTCAAGAACATCCCAATTGTCCCCAGATCTGTTGCCAAAAGCCCCCAATTCCAACGTGAATCAATCTCGCAGAGAAATGTCACCCTCTTGTCGACGTACCTTCGCATCACATTTTGTGCTTGTTGTTGGGAGGCCATGGTCGGAGATCGGGTGGTGTGATGTTTTCGTTTCGAGGAGCAATTTCGAAGAAGTTATCGAAAGCCTGTACCAGTGAAGGTAAGGGAGAAGAGAAAAGGGGGTCCGGCCGTTTCTTGAGTTATCGACGCCAGAAAATGAGGGTTGTCAATACGAGCCTGGCGATTACAGCAAACGCAGGCTCGGATAAGCCGCTGATGGAACGTTGAGGAGCAAAAGAAACGCGACAATGACGCCAGCCCAGGGGGCAGGAGGTCGAGGGGGTCGAGGGAGGATGGGATTTATATCGACGGCCAAGAGCCTTGGGTGATAAGTCCCTATTTCTGCCACAGGTTAATTACCAAGGCCGAGGATATTCTTGGTCGTCCTGTGCTGCACCACAACTGGGAGGTGAACTGGGCTGAGTCGGCCGAACCGAGCGCCTTTCAGCAAGAAGCTCTCGAAGCGGCTTAGTGGCAGCGATGATGCTTCGCGTGCGAAGATCTGTGACAACTTAAAGCCGCTGTCACTTGGCGGATACGGAGTGCAAATATTGGAGCAGAAATTCACTGTGAGGAGCCAAGCGACGCCGATGCAGGAGAACCGAGAGAGAAGCTTCATAGAACTTCCATCGAACTAGTCAAAATAGAGCGGTTTCTGCTTGCGCGTGCTGACTGCATACTCATGGACCTCTCAGGCTCTCACTAGTCGCGGCTGGGAAAGAATTACCAGCCGTGCCTGATCGTGCCGTGCGCGCCTGAGGCTCGCCGTCTTCCTTGACGAGTGCCTCCATCTCTGAGATAGACTCAACCACCTCCCCTCACCATCCACCGCGCCCGGTCTCTGCCCGACTCGACAACCCCGCAACACGACGAACACACTCTCCCCCGTGCCCTCCGTGTTTTCAGAGACCTCTGCGCCTCCCTATCGTGCACAAACACTCCCATTGTCCCCCCGGCAAACGCATACGTCCTGGTGGGGCAATCCCTTGGATCTCCAGTTCACCTTTGCTGTGAGTCTCCGGAAGAAGTTCGTGTCCGGGAGCTCCATCCTTGGACAGTAGAGGATGTTCCCTTAGCTAACGTCTGCCCTGGGAGCAGTTGCCGCCCTTCCATGCTGCGAGATTCGCCCTCATCGGATCGGAATGCCCGCAAACCAACGACCACAGACGGCCCAGTCTCCTACCTCCCCGACCTTCAAAGCCACTGCAAAGTACACGAATAAGGATGGTTCCAAGTACATAAAGGTTCCCAAGTCCCAGATCACCACAGATTCATCTGAGACATCCCCAGCCATGGCTCAGACGACAACACAAGCAAACGGCCAGACCCCCAATCCTGCTCCAGGTACAAATGGTGCTCCTGCCGTAAACCGGAAGAAGCAAAAGCGAAGACAAAAGCTAGCTGCGAAACTCCAGTCAGAACAGCCAGCAGGCCCCGCGGCAAACGGTGCACGATCTTCAGGCCCTGAGCAAAGATTGCAGGAAGTGGAAGCACGTCTGCGAGAAACTGGCCTAGGTGCGAACCTAGACGAGGCGTTTGACGACAATGGACAATTCGACCCCGCTGAAGGAGAACAATATTACAGCGAGGAGGATGGTGACAGGTACTCAGGCTCCTATGGTCAAAATGGATCATCGTTGAATGGATATGCGGCCCCAACCTCTGGTACTGGCAAGAAATCCAAGAAGAAAAAGAAGTCCAAAGGTCTCCCGCCACAAACCTCCGAGCATGTCCATTCCCATGTCGGCACAAACGGCCTGTCACATAACCAGTTATCGCTTCCACCGCTCGCTTCGACAAACATGCCCCGAGGCCCCGGCATATCAAAGGAGAAGATTTGGAATACGTCCTCGGCGGAGGAACGAGAGCGTATCAAGGAATTTTGGTTATCCCTTGGCGAGGATGAGCGCAAATCTCTAGTCAAGGTTGAAAAAGATGCTGTTCTGAAGAAGATGAAGGAGCAACAAAAGCATTCGTGTAGTTGTACTGTATGTGGACGGAAGCGGACTGCTATCGAAGAGGAGCTGGAGGTACTGTATGATGCATATTACGAGGAGCTCGAGCAATATGCGAATGGCCAAGGAGATGGTCGGCCAGTACCTATGATGGCCCCCCCTCGCCGATTTGGTGCCTTAAGTGGTCTTCAGCCTCCGAATCGCTTACCACCAGCCTTTAATGGACAACCGTCTCGTGGTCGAATAGTGGAAGATCTAGGCGACGAGGAGGAGGAGGAGGAGGGTGATGAGGAATATAGCGAGGACGAAGGAGATGAGGATGATTACAGCGACGAAGAGCCTGAAGAGCTTCCTCGACCCATTGCAAGCGATTTCTTCAATTTTGGCAATAGTCTTACGGTGCAAGGCGGCATTCTGACGGTTGCTGATGATTTGCTGAAAAACGATGGCAAGAAGTTTATCGAAATGATGGAACAGCTTGCTGAACGTAGGATGGCACGAGAAGAAGACGCTAGGGAGCAATTCTCCAACCCGAATTATGGCCATCCACCAAATGGCTCCATGCACACTCATTCCCATAATCACAATCATCCACCTCAGCCGGACGACGAGGAGTATGATGACGACGAAGAGGATGAGGAAGATTACGATAGTCAGGAGGAAGATTATGATGAAGAGGAAATGGTACGTGGTGGGAGACGGTTACGTAAGAGACATGGTCTAACTTGCAGCAGGACTCGATGACTGAAGAACAGCGAATGGAAGAAGGACGTCGAATGTTCCAGATATTTGCTGCTCGGATGTTTGAGCAACGAGTCTTACAGGCGTATCGAGAGAAGGTTTCGAAGGAGCGACAGCAAAAACTTCTCGAGGAACTGGAAGAGGAAAGCAGGGCTGATTCGCAGAAGAAAGCTAAGAAGGCTAAAGATGCTCAGAAGAAAAAGGAGAAGCTAGCAGAAAAGAAGAAAGCTCTCAAAGAGGCTCAAGAGAAGCAAGATGCCGAAAAGGCTGCCAAGGAATCCGAGCTCCGCGCGGCTGAGGAGAAGAAGCTTGAGGAGGCACGTCTGAAGGCCGAGGAAAAGCGAAAGAAAAAAGAAGCCCAGAAAAAGGCTGAAGAAGAGGAACGCTTACGAAAGGAAGCCGAGAAGCAGCGGGCACGAGAACGAGCCGCAGAAGCCGAACGCAAAGCCAAGGAGGCCAAGGAAAAAGAGCGTAAGGAGAAGGAGGAGTTGAAGAGAAAGGAAAAGGAGCTGAGGGAAGGAAAGGAACGCGAACGTAAAGAAAAATTGGAGAAGGAAAAGCGAGAAAAGGAGGCCAAGTTGAAGGCCGACAAAGAGGCTAAGGAGAAGCAAAAGCGTGAGGAGCTAGCCGCACAACAAGCTGCTGCTCAAGCCGTCATTGCTGCAACCCAAGCCGCAAAGCGACCACCAGTCCCAATACCCGCAAACCTTCAATCGCATACAGTCGCTTCACCGCATATTCCCGTTGCTACTCCTGCAATTCCCAAGGCGCCCACCCCCATCAAACTTCGGACCACCTCTTCTCAGCAAGACTCGAACTCTTCCGTACCTCAAACTCCTCAAACGGGTAGCGTGACCCAAAATATCTCTCCCGTTCCTACGACACCATTGCAAGGCAGCCCAGGACCAATTGGGCCTCCAGGCAAGCAGGCACAGCAGAACCCTTTCTTACACCAACCGCAAGCTACTTCTCCCATGCACGCCGCCTTAAAGAGCCCACCCGGAATACCGCCGCAGCCGAGTCCATTCGGTATGCAACCGATGGGCATGGGCTTTCAACCAGGTTTCCCAATGGCTCCCGGGTTCAGTGGAATGTATCCTGGACCTGGACCCTTCGATCCGAGACTCGGTGGCCCAAATGGCATGCCTGTGCATCCCGGACTGATGCACCAAATTCCACAAGGTCGAGGATTTCCTCCGCCCCACGGTCCACCAGGTTTTCCTCAGAGAATTGCCAATGGCTTGGGAGGCGTTGGTCAACCATTTGCTCCGAAGGAGGGTCCGATGTCCCAGCCGCATTCGAGACAACAATCGGGATCTTTTGACAAGCCTTTCGAAGCACCAGGAAACGCGCCACAAGCACAGCCTATTGCGAGACCTGCTCCAATCGGCCGACCGTCAAGTGTTGTGCATGGTCAGCGTCGTAGAAATGATGGAAGCAGTGATATGGACGATTTGAGTAACCATCTTGGCAGTAGCGCTCTGTTGGATGATTCAGACGAGCCATTGAGTTCGGGAGCTGGCGCGAGACGATCGAGTGTTGCACATGGCCTCAATACTCGTCCGAACTTTCCACCCCCATTTGGTATGGAGCCATTTGCGAGCCCAATTGGTGGCTTCCCAACCTGGGGAGCCCCGCCAAATCCTTTTGCGCCATCGTCCTTGCCTGGCTCCAACTTCATGGGAGGCTGGGGACCGCCAGCTGGCAACTCATTTGGAGCTGTAGGAGGCGCTCAACCCATTCGACCATCCCAGCCTCGTTCGGTGGTAATCCGATTGCTCATCTGCCAGGCTTGCAAGAATCTCGAAGGTTCCAATCCTGATGGCTACTACGATATCAACGCGATCAAGGAACAGGTGGACCAAGCTAGCCAGCTTGACCAGCCAGCCTCGGAGCAAGAACTGCTTGATATCTGCGAAACCGAAGGCAGTGCAATCAACGGTGGTGGCTCATTCGATATCCGTAAGGAAAACAAGGGCCACTACTCTATCCGTTACGAAGACGACTTGCCTACGCCGCATCGTCCCGTTGGCGCCCCTGGCGAGATTGGATCGCCCATCATCGGCAGCGGTGGAATTTCTCGTTTCACAGGTCCTCCTCCGGGCTTCTAGACCATTCTTCTCCTTGCCGCAGCTTAGTTCCCGAAGAATTCTTCTTTGTATCATTGCATGGCGAAGCCCGACATGGCGTCCTTGCTTCAGCGTTATCAGCTTCAGCTCGTTCCGTCTGCCTTTCATGATGGAGGAAACTTGAGGTGGTGTGCGTCTTGCGGTGAGGCGAGACGAAGTGTATTAGTGGAGATTGGTGCTTCTGCTTCCCTTGGTGAGGCAGGGCGAAATATTACACATTTCAGACCCTGCTTGCTTGGATGCGACTTATGAACTTGATCAGCCTCTTCCAACCTACTTAATGTCGAGTGACATGCCTTGAGCTCTCGTCCAATGAGAGATACTAGCATTTTGATCTTTAACCTCGCTGTTTCGTCTTTGTGAATTTCACGTCTTGCCTCGGCGACTTTTCGCCCCAGTCCTTTGAAGACAAGCAATTGGTTCTTTGAGAGTCCTCCTATCACCTGCTTTGTGTGGCTGAGGCACTGAGAATAATTGCCCTGCATTCGTTATCATTTCGAGGTCTCTGCCCTGCTTTTCTCTCGTATCTGAATCTGATTTAAGCGCCGATCCTTCTGTCGCATGTTGCGCTCAATCGCATCTCCCCATGCGGTGGTCCGCTCTCCAGCAAATATTTGTCAAGGACAGATCCTGCGCACAAAGTTCTGAGATGTACGCGGGCAGGAATGCATGACAGTCGGCGGGATAACCCCCTTTTTTCTGGATTACGCGACGGGAGGCGCATCATTGACGCGATGCTTCGCCGTTTTTGAAGGATTCTCTGCCGCAGCCTTATAAACCTCTCCAGCCTCGGACCCAGCTTTTCCCCCCAAGTCTGCACTTCTCGCTGCAGCCCCAGCAACAATTGAGGTCAACGATGACCCCAGCCATATCGGCATCCGTGCCTCTCACTATGACATTCGCCCCAGCAGCACAATACTTCACTATTACATGACCGCGACAGATCCCTACACATACTACGTCCTGGGCCCGCCCTCAACGAGCCTCTGCCAGCTCTCAGGCGGGACTCAACGTCCCAGTACTTCTCCCCAGGAATCTGACCTTCCGGGTACAACATCGCCTGCTCCAGCACCATCGACGCCGGCACTGTGACCGAGACGTGCGCGACATTCTGCCCCACTAACTGGGCTTGCAACATGAGAACCGAGGCAGTGTCCTTTCCCTGGCCTTCCACTATAGGTTGTACGATCGCCCCGGACACACCACGTCTATTTTCCTGGGGACGATTGATTTTGGATTTAATGCACTGGGGGCTTTGATAAGATACCAGAGTTCGGATTTTGTGAGCTAGATGACATCGAGTAGAGCGATGAGTAGTAGTGGGGGGCGACGAGTTCGGGGCAAGGTGCCGCGCCTACGGGAAATTGTTCGGCTTCGAATCCGGCACCAGCACCGACAAGCGGTCTTTCGACGGGCGCGAAGGCGGGATTGGGGAGGGAATTTGGATTGTTGCTTTAGTGGTACTGGCAATGGCGTTGTTTTTTATAATGAGATATCGAAAGGGGAATAGAAGAGTCTGGGGGAAGGGAAGGGGAGTGAGCATCTCGAGAGCTATAGACCGGCTAACGCAGCGGAGATCAGTAGTGAAGAATGGATCAAAGGGAAGGGATTGGCAGGGACACCGTTAGGTGATGAGGGGTGGAAACCGATGGAGCAGTATACGGTTGGCAGGGATGAGAGGGGGTATGTGAGTTGCATAATTGAGGGGTTTTTGGTCTCTTGAGGGAAAAGGGGATGGCGGAGTGGTAATCTTACGAAATACCATTCGCCAAGACATGAGTTAATTCTCAATGGCCACATTCATCTCGAAATCTGAAAACTAATAATCGAGTATCCAGGCACGGAACCGCTTCCCACTCCAGCACTTGAGATCGTCGCCGTCGCCGTTTCCCTATCATTTTTGTTATCCATAATGCAAGCCTTCACCACGATGCTTTCGAACCCAGTGGTCGTCACGCTGACACTTGAGGCACTCGCGTCCGTGTTGATAACCTGCACATTCAGCTTCCCATCTACCATTTTGGCACCCTTGACTGTAATAGCGTGCGACAGATTCCATACGTGCGTCCCAGTCATCAGATATCTGGGGTCATGGCTGTCCCCCACGGTCTCGGCTAAATAGGGGTATGATTATAGCGAGAGAAAGGGCGGGGAAGTTTCTCGTTTTGCGAGGCTTGTTCGGCTGCACGAGTAAAGTTCTCCCAATCTGGAACATGGATTTGCAATCCAATGTTCTTCGTATTGAAAGATGGTTTGCGTCTGGTTAATGATTCAAGTAGTCAACTCCCTTCAGTTCGAACGAGCTGTCAAAATTCGGGAAAATCGAAGATATAGGGCGACTATCTGCACCCTTTTTTTTTGGAAGAGAGAGATCTCGTTGCTCTTTAACTCGGGTTCTCGTCCGAATAAAATGAGTCGTTCCGCTAGGTTTATACTTTTTCACAGCCCATGATTCCCGGGTCTGGACCCAATGTTTCGGAACGCCCAGGCTCCCGCATGCAACATAAATTGTTTCTTCCCGGGGATCCGCGGTTTCAAAACCCCAGCAGGAAAAGCTTGTTCTCGATCTTGTAGGAACCTTAATTGGCATTTGGCGCGGAACTGGCGGGGATTGAATGAAGTCAGCGAACTTCCCTTCATCCCCCACGATACAGACACTTTTGACCATGTCAGTCTTGTTTCCTGAAGTAAATTTATCTGGGTTGGGAAATGTATTAACTTAAGAACTTTATGTGCTTAATTCAACCTTACCAGAAAGTTTCTCGTCCAAACCTGAGCTCGAGCTTCCTCCAGCTACGGGCTTGGTTTCAAGGATGTCTGACCGTCTGACGTAATGTGTCAACGAACTATTCTTGTTTGAATCCTTGCCTCCATTCGAACTCTGCATCTTTATTAAACCTCACTTCATAATTTTTGGATGTTGTTCCCCTCTTGTCATGACTTTGGCAGGATTCTCGCACGAGAGGAATAATGTTCTATATTCTACATCGGGGTATTACAGACACGTGTAAGAACGACAATGGCGAGTCCTGCGGGGAGGACGAGAGGCTCTCCTTATGGAGGAAGACTTCAACCCTTCCGCAAACCTCATCGGTACAGACGTTTCCTTTAGTCACTATTCCAACGATTCTCACCCAGACTTTTCCTTCCGTGACGATCCCAACGGCACTCACTTCCACTATATCCTTCTCGGTCAGGCCCTCTCAAAAGTTCTCTGGTTTTTGTGCCGATGAAATTAACAGAACCGCAGACAGCTTCTTTGGGACCAACCTCTGTTCTAATCTCGTTTCCGGCCATCTCGCCATTCCAGCCGACAATACCCTTCACGAGCTTTCCCGCATCTTCAATAAACTTTTTCTCTACCTCAACATCAGTTCCTGTGAGTCTCGAGACCAGGCTGAAAGAATGACTGCTAACAAAGTCGCAAGATATTCTCAACACTTTCGACAGCGAGACCAACCGCCTCAAGTTTTACATCTTCAACAAACGGCTCGTCGCCAATGCAAACTAATACGATTCCCACGGCTTCTACCAGCTCAGTCAATCCTAGTGCAACAGCTGCTGGAAACGCCAGCGGTACTTCCAGCACTTCCAAGCCCAGGTTATCTCCGGGAGGCATTGCAGGAATTGTAATTGCTGTGTTCGGTATATTCCCACCTCCGCATTCCCCCTCTCCTTCCCAAGAGCTTCAGATTAACCGATCATGCAGTCGGTATTCTAATCCTCGCGCTACTCATTTTCTTCTTCTGGAAGCAATTCCGCAGCCGGAACAGGAATTCTTCGGGCCACTCGAATTCACTCTATGAGAAACAATTGATTTCACCAATAAGTTCTCCGTTTGACCGAAGAGGGACATTCTTTACGCCAATGGTAATTGCTCCAACGCAACCCCCAGACTATCCATCGGGTAGACCAAGTATCGAAGTATTGCAAAGGAATTCAGACAGTTGGCCAGGTGCTGCTCCGCGTGTGGAGGGGATTGGTGTGGCATAGTGAGGGGTACATAGGGTTGGGCGTGAGACACGAGTAATTGGTATGGAAGACTTCGCTGGAGGTCCAAGGTCTGAGCGATTTTGTTTACGAATTGACGATAACCATGATGTAATGCATACTCCAACGAGCTACGCAAAAGTTTCTCCCACCCCCACGCAGCTGAAATTCGATGTTTTCGCTTGCCGAATATCACTCTGAACACTTTAAAGAATCTCTGGTTTGGTTTGATTTGATTCAAGAAATCATAGAATGGATGTCTGGTTGTCTTTACTCTTCATGAGACTGAATTGAGAAGATATTAACAGTAGATAAAGATAGAATTTTGAAGTGTTTAGAGTGACTTTCGATGATTTGAGATTAAGCGAGAGTCTCAAATTCAGCTCGATAGGTCTGTTCAGATCGCAGTTCTAAATCGTTTCTACCATCATTACGCCTGGCTAGAAGGCTAGAAACTTCGGTCCCGAAATATTGTAGGATTTATTCTTGCTTTGATTGAACGCCCAAGCCCGAGGCAGGATGTTTCAAACGCCAAGATCGCTCGGCAGTATCAGAGATCCCATTTTCTCCACTAAACTTTGAGGCTGAAACATTGCCAAGCACAGGACGCCACCTCAAACTCTACTCAGATACCTAACGATTTCCGGGCCGCCCTTAGAAGTTGGTGGCGGCCCACCCCATTGGCCCGGACCTGACCACACCACCATGAGGCTCGAACTTCACCCTCCAAGCATTTCTTGGCATGCTGTCTCAACTGAGTTGCAAATGATATTGACGCGTAGAGGATGGTTGATCATGTTGCACACAGACATCTGCAGACTGCCGATCCTGGCTGAAGTCTGGGTCCCCCAAGTGCATTAACCAAAAATAGGAGTCCACTTCTACAAGTCCAAGATCATTTATTCCAGTGGCTTGGCCGCATCTGCAGTGAAGGACTTCACCCAGATGCTATACAAAATTTAACTTTAAGATGTCGCTAAGTGAATACCTTTGGGAAAGGGACCTGGCTTGGCGTGCGGATCTTATAGAACGAGATGATGGGGAAGACGATGACGAGAGCGAAAACGAAGACCAATCCACGACATCCACGTCGCAGTCGAAAACCTCAACTTCACAAACTCGAACCTCGATTACCCCGAATGTAATTTTGGATGGCACATCACCACAGACTAAGGCTTCGACAAGCTCAACTATATCCCTAACCAGCATATCGTCACAGACAAGAACCTCAGCGACTTCTATCACATTTGTGGCAAGTATATCCTCTCCTGCCACGCTCGATGCCCTGAAATTCGTTGCATTGTGGAAACAAAACTAACAAAAATCAGAAGTCAACGGCGATCAAAACAACGCTCCTCACCTCTGTCTCTACGGCCCCTCCCGGCATCACAGTGACACAACAGGGCAAAGGAAATGCCGGCGCAACCTCTAGCTCCTCAAGAGCTAGTTCAACAGGTGTTGTGGCAGCACAAGGTATCTCCAATGGCTTGACTTCACATCCATTGGCTGGAACTCTGGTCGGGGTTGTTGTCGGTCTTGTTGGTACGTAAAAGACTCTTTCGTACCCTTTCAACCTTCAGCTAATTCTCATGTAGTATTCATTCTGTTTCTTTTTGCGCTTCTCTTCTTCCTCGTCCGTCGGAGGAAGGGAAGAATACCAGAGGCGAACATTGTAACCCCAACCGAGGACCGCGATCCAGCCCAAGATCGACAGTCAACGTGGACGGCGACACTTCCCAGCGCTCCCCGCCGGCTGTTTATCGCACCCAAGAGCATGCGGTCGAAGCGTGCGCTGCTTTCACCACTCACGCTCAATCCTAATAATCGAGGAGAAAGTATGATTAGTAAAGATGGTGTGGAAAGACAAGAGCGTTTGGCTCGGGTTCGGACCGATTTGCTTGGGAATAGAGAGCTGAAGACTGGGCTAGCGAGAAACGGAGAAGGGGAGACTAGGAATAAGGGGACCTTTGGTGTGGCAAGGGGAAGTGGGAGTATTAATGAGAAAGATAGGGTTGAGATTGAGGCGAACTCTGGGTTGTGGGAGGATGCTATTACGGTTGCGAAGAGAGAGTCTGTGGCTGAGAGCGAGGCGAGTCTGCCAAGGTGGAGGACACCGGTTAGCTGGGTTAGAGATCAGAGATTGAGGAGGTGGGGGAGGTTGAGTGGATGAAATGGGACTCGATTCAAAGCCAAAATCGGCAACTGTGTTCCGATTCAGATTGTTCCGAAATCTCTGGAACAGTTGGTTGCCCGTAATGCTCAATCAGCAATCCTTCAGCCAGTTCAATATCTTCGTCAATGAGCTCCTCCCATTATCTAACACTCTGCCTTCCCGGTTCTATCCTTCACGAAGAAATTCTTTTCATCGTTAATCTAGGATGCCTCATTTGGAGTGCTACATGCCTTGTCCCGATACTTGATCAGAGCTTTCGAAACCGGTGCCACGATTGAGATCGGAGCTTCATCGACCCAGCGGTCAAAATTCTTCTTGCTCCAGCACATCATTTTGACTGCAATCCTTGACAAAGGATTGTCTTCGCGTTTGAGCTCTGCTACGATTCTGCAAAACCCACCAAATCCAGCCACCTCTATGTCGCGTGGTGCATTTGATCTAGTATGGATCTGCTTGGCTGCTTCGTTCTGCAGCTTCCTCATCAGAAAGCGATCTCCCAAAATCCAGATTTTGGCTCAGGTCAGAACATCTGGCTTCTCGTTTCATCATCTCTGACGACTTTGCTCTAGATCCAGTTCACCACTATCGCAAACAACGCGGGGTCGACATCGCATAACTTCATCGTTTGCGTTCTTCCCTCCTCAAAGTTGCCATTGAGAGCCACAGCCAAAAATGGCGAGTAGTAACAGATAAACTCCGTGTGAACCACGGACTTGTGCTCTTCTAGGATTGTCGAGGGCTTACGCGCGAAAATGTTTCTGCTCGGTGAACTCGGCGGAATCGCGATGATCACTGTCACGGTTGATTGAGATATCCTGCTTCAGTCAGCCAACGGTTCTGTCTTTTGTGGCTTCGTGAAAACTTACGTGAGGGAAGAGAACGTCGGGAGTTGCTTCTTCGCTTCCGTTACTACGGTGGCTGCCATTCGCTCTTCTGCCGGCCTGCCAATCAGTCAATAAAGAGCATGAAGCACGTGAAAATATATACCTCGATCTTCAGTCACACTCCAAAGGTGATTTAAGTGGTTGGTGGAGTTATAGTGGAGGCTGGTGCTTCAGATGTTGGTGTGGGGAAGGTCGGGAAGTTTAACAAGGGTCGATTCAATATTGATGTTGACTGGCTCCTCGCTTAGGCCAGCAGTAAATTTCCGGCCCCTGGCTGACAACGATCTTGGCCAGATGGTTGAGATAGTATTGAATTTGCAAAAAAAAAAAAAAAGATCAAGATTGTTTATAATCTTCTCCAATCTGTTTTCCTGGACAATCAAATTTTCATACGCATTGTGGAATAATGGCGAAGTTGCACCTGGCTGGGGATTGTGCCATTGTAATCTTGATTGTTCCAACTAGAACTGGCAGACAGAAATGGACACCTTCGTCAAACTTCTAAGAGTATCTGGAACAAGTGAATCTACGTGAACGGGAAAACTGGGAGTGCGTGTCATTTATGCTATGGAGCAGCTTTCTACGAGCAATCGCATGTCTGTAACTTTGGTGTTTACACAATGGATGGCTACCCTTTTCGATTCTCCTCCCATCATCGGACACAAAACCAGATCTGGGGCAGTGTGCCACAAAAGTAATCAAGATATTCCAAATATTCACGAATATTCATGATTGGCTTGATTAGAATATAATCAGTGAGTATTTTTGATGAATAGATTAGATTACGAGTAGGCATTCTAATCTAATCTATTTATTTGACACTGATCTGGGCCATCAATAGTAGAACACCTGACTCCAAACTCAGCCCTCTGCAAAGTAGAAATCCTCGACACACATCATCTCTTCACCCCACTTCAGAACTTTAGCAACATCCAACCAGGCTTCCTTAGGTAGACCATCAATAAGCTGCATGAAAATCTTCTCCGGGCAGCGATGACCTAGGATAGATACTGCCAGCCTTTGAAGAGTAGGGGAGCCTGCGGAGTAGGCAAACTGTACGAAGGACTTAACGAGCTCGGCAGGTGTCTCGTTCTCAATGGACTTGTATATTTTCACATCGAACATGACGTCTATGGCAATGAAGATTTCATCGACAACCCGGTTTTGTAACCGCGGCATGAGAAATCTCTCGCCCAGAATCCAGAGCTTCGCCAACTGAATGGGCTTTTGGTATAGTTTGAAGCTGTTGTCATGCTGTCTGGACTCGCGCGTAGCGATGTCGCCGGTGTACAGCCATGAGACCAAGAGTCCGAAGACAGAAGCATCCACATCCTCGAGTGTCATAGTTTGAGTCTCTCCCTCAAGGAACACCCCATTGAATGCTTTGTTGAAGACCGGAGAGTAATAGCACAAGGTCTCCTTGTGGACGCTGAATCGCTTTGGCTCTGGTTCGCCGCCAACCAGGATTGTGACGATGGACTGAGGCTCACTGTAGGTGGCAATGTAAATGTCAGCCTTAGAACATTGAGGTCGCTGAAACGTCTAGATAATTTTCCGACTTACGTGAGGGACGGAGGCTTCGATCTGTTCTTGACACTAGGCGTCGGCGCCGAGGACACTGACGAGGCGGGCCTCTTGCAAAGTGGTCAGCGTGCGGTTCACCATAGAATGGCGTAATAGGGGGCAATTCTAAGGAGACTAACCAGAATGAGCCTGATACGAGGATCTCGAAGAGGTTTCGCGGTCGCGCTCAACTCGGTGGCCATTGTGGATTAGATGAGTGATGTGGTTGGTGTGTTGGTATGGTTTTGAGGAAGAGGAAAGCCAAAGTTCATGGAGGTAGGTGAATCACTTTCTTCAGCAGATGGGCGTCATATGGGTTTGGCGATAGAAGCGCCTCACGTTTGAGCAGACTCCATGTGCAATTTTCTGCATTCAATTCCTTCTTGATTATTGTCATCGCCATTTATTTCCTGAGAAAAAAGCATGTCCAAGTCCAAGTCTTTCCACAGCCAAGGTGTAGCAGCAATAAGGCGGCAATCTTTATCATGACGCGCGTCATGTGTCTCATAGTTGCTTCCACTGCACCCATTCCTTGCAAAGACCAATGCTCTCTCAACTTAATTTTGCCCTGTACTTTGGCCTCCTTATATTGTCTGATTAAGATTCGTTTCGCTCCGGAATATCCACGTAGTGCTTCTGGATGGGGACTAAACTCTGGATGGGGATTGCTCCGCGTTGGTGGTTCAACTTTTGACCCTCAGTTCTCAAAAGTACTGCAATATCCGTGGCGATATCAACAGCAATTCGCGTATCAATTCCCTCCAGAAAATTTTCCAGAAATTTTCTGAGGGATTGAGCTGAATTAGGCGCCATAACATCGGCGAGGAGCTTCCTCAAAGGGCTCTGAATCTTGGACTTGTAGGCGAGAAGAATCAAGTCACGGAGGCCGACATGGGTTGTCTTCATAACAACACCTGTAGAAATTGTGTCTCGGATTAGAAGGATTACAGGATTTTGCAGCTCCGGGGTCATGCACAGTCTGCCAATCGCATAGACTGGGTTTGACCTTCGACAAAGTTGCTCCTGAATGCTGCAGCGAAGAATGGCGAGTGGTAACTGATTGCTGACTGGTGGGCGACAAACGTCTGCTCGGAGCCATCAGGGCCAACAGTGATCGTGACCATTTCTTGTGGCGAACTACGGGGTGTTAATGAAGCTAAGGGGCGGATGTTGTGCTAAGAATTTACTCACGAGAAGCTCATCGATGAAATACGGAACTGTCTTTGCGAAAAAATTGCCCGAGGAGCTAAGATATCAAGAAGTCAACATTTTTCTCATGTCAAATTACATCAGGAGCAGATAGAAGGACAGAGGCAGTTCAAGACGTTTTGAGAGCAACAAAGGTGAAACAACAGAGTCCGGTATTTGGGAAGACAGAATCTAGGAACCTAATCAGGCTTAACATCGGGGGTAGAAATAGCATTGGTGGAACTTGTCTAAGCGGGCAAGATCCCGAATTGTTGGCTTCGCCATACCAGACGCCATAATTGAGTCTGGTGAAGGCTGAAGCTAACGAAGGCAAACTCCGACAGTCAGAAGACGGGAACTTGACGAGAAACTAGTGAAATGGAAACCCAGGTATGGCGGTTGTAGTTAGAACTATTGTGTGTTAATAACGAGACTGGATGATTGAATAATAGTGATTGAATAATAGTGATTGAATAATAGTGATTGAATAATAGTGATTGAATAATAGTGATTGAATAATAGTGATTGAATAATAGTGATTGAATAATAGTGATTGAATAATAGAGCGTGACTAAGCGAAATAATCGCGCTATGCCCAATTGAGAGATCTCAACTGCAACAATTATTGGCAATATTAGCCGATCGATTGATTACTAATTATCAGGTTCATTAGAAAGCCAACCCCACTCCCCGGATTCGTGAAAGATGTGCGTGGACTAGGTCTGTGAGACGTGGAATTTTTTACCCAACTCCACGAACCCCGCCGCGCCTGGAGCACTCGCAAGCATGGCTGACTTCGCCCTTTCATGGGAGATATTCATGACCCAAGGAAAGCAACATATCGCCCATGCCGAGCTGGAGTACGCGTTGAGGGCATTTAATAGTGCACTGGCGCTGTGCCCGTCAGTTGAAGATTCCCCGAATGCAACCAGCTATAGACATCAGGTCCTCGGCATGCTTGGATATACAAACAGACTATTTGGGAGGTATGAACAGGCAAAGGACATCTTGGAAGGGGCACTTTCCGAGGTGGGACCAAGCCTGGAGCGTGTCTCCACAAGTGGCGAGCTTGGCATAGTATACCGTCATATGGACCGTTTCGAGGATGCGAAGCGTACTTTCGAAATTCAGTATGAGACCGCAAAACAGCTCAAATTTGAAAGAGCAATGTGTCGCGCGGTCGGTAATATGGGAATGGTCAACTATCAGCTCTCACTGATGAAGGGTCATGACGAAACACTGTTAAAGTTGGCGATAGCCCAGTTGACGGAGCGCGTTCAAATTGCACGACGCATTAAAGAGCATGATGACACATCTTCGTGTGCAGACCCAAGCACAAGAACTCGCCGCTGTAAACAAGTTGCTGCTTGGGAGACCATCGGCTTGGCTCGGCTCTCGCTCTGCTACACTGCCAATGGCAATATCAGGGAGGCTATTGCTACAGCATTAGAAGGATTGAATCTTGCCAATTCCTATAGCTTAGGAGATTCTACCGTGCTTGCACTATCACGTTTCTTCTACGGGCGGGCGTTAATGCGGGATGGGCAGCTGAGACAAGCACTGGAGCAGTTTAATCAACATGAAACCTGCTCGCCAGCCATTGCGTTGTGCAAAGAGCCCTCGGAAGAGAACCGACAGTATTTGCGAGAACTGGCGGAGGTTGGTGCAGACATGGATCTAATTGACGAGCAAGGCTACACGGCGCTAGATTACGCCGTATTCGCCGGCGATGCGGTGGCGGAGGAGATTGTGCTTGAAGGACTCCGACGGGGGCTCTATCGAGCCGCAGAGAACAAGCTCATCGAACTACGAGCGGAAGCAAGACTTCGAAAAGGCTACCGTGAGCTTTTCCAAGAGAAGTTGCGACCTGTGCTACTTGGAGGCCGTGGCGGCGACAGATTACGGATTCTGCGGGTTGTTTACGCTGATGCGCTAGCTGAAGATGAAAGTAAGAACCGGATGTTTGATGGGTTTAAATTCATGAGCTACTCCGACTTTTGCTTGTGTGGTAAGCTTCCACGATCCAGCGACGGCTTGGTACAGAGATGCATGGCCGAATCACTCACGACGCATCCGGATATTGCAGCCGAGTTTGTGATTTTCTTTTCGTACAGATGGATCAATCACGACCAGGGGGCAACATCACCAGACGACGACAAAAATACACAATATCGACGCATGATTCAAGCAACCGAGGAATTTCTGGGCCTTCATCCCTACGTAGATCGAGAGAGACTAGGCATCTGGATGGTGGGTCCAAAACTGAGATGATTCCATAGGTTCTCTTCACTAACACACATTTTTCTCTCTTTTTAGGATTATGCATGCGTCGATCAAGATGACCCGATATAGGGCGTTTCCGCCCTGCCAATGATCATTGCACAATGCAACGCTGTCATCAGCCTCGTCGACGACAAGTACCATTCGCGCGCTTGGTGTTCTGTGGAAGTAATGATGGTGCAAGCGCTCAAGAAGTCATACAATCTGCACCTATGGTATGAACATGTGCTAACACAACCTGATACCCTTGAAGAGGAGGGAGGCAGCAGAGGGTTTTTGCGAGAGGGACCGATAGATTTGAAGATTTCCATGTCGGAGAAAGACTTAACTTTTGAGGAGGATCGGCCTAAAGTCTTGTTTTTAGAGAGGCAGAGCAAATTATTAAGTTAAAGTTGACTTAAGTGACATTTCTGCCGTGTATGACTACCAGGGCAACTAATTGGAAAAGGGCGCACCGCTGTCCCCTCAAGGTCAAGGAGCCTAGATGGACATCGCAGGATCGCCTAGAGGGAACCGCGTGTAGAACATAACTAGACGGTGGCCTAATACTGGGAGCTCTTAACCTTGTCTCTACCGATACTAGGCAGCTTGCTTACAGGGAGATGTATTCACGTGTACCGTAGCTTGCTTATAAGGAGCTATACTCACGTACATAAGCAGGCTAAGTTGCACGCCCTTGGTACTTAACTTCCGTGCCTGGCTCTATCGCGTTGATATTAAAAATTAAGAATATACGTTAGGCAAGGTTATAGAAAATCTTTAAGGGTTATAATATTGCTAGCAGGGCAACTGCAGCGCCCGGAAGCTATAAGGGAAGCTTTTATAGGGATCTTTATCGAAGTTACCCTTATAAGTATAGGGGACAAATCTTAAAAGGTATAGTACCCCTTATAAATATCTCGCAGCCTTAAATTAGGGGGTAAGGCCTATAGCTATAGGCCTTTCTAGCGGGTAGAATCCTTTAGATCACGTATATTAGTGCCTTCGCAGCCTTGAACCTGCCCGTATGCCCCGTATTCCCGTCACTTTATGCCGTTATCTACGTAGTAGATCATTGAGAGTATTCCAAACGGGACTTTTTTTTATTTTTACGAAGAATTGCCTGCTGCCGATGACAATGCAGAGGAAAGATACTGGGAGTTCGGCATAGAGCAACCAAGCACGAATTTTCGGCTTTCTACTGTTACCGCGCACCGAGGAATACAATGGTGGGAGCAGTCTAAACTATTGGCTGTGGGAGGTGGGAGATACCTTGGCTGCGACTTCGTGGAAGAGTACGGGCTCCCTCTATCTCAGAAGACGGTCAGGGATGCCAAATAAGACTTTGTGTTCTTGATGAACTGAAGCAGCGACGATGGTCACAAGAGGGCAGCCAAAGAGTGCTAGAAATAGTCATTGACAGCACTTCCCATTTCCATCTCTCCCCGGCTTCTTGCCTTCCCTCTTTCAAATGGAGTGCAAATCTCCTTCTACCGACGTCACAGATCAACATGTAAATGAGAGCCGAAGATTCAAATGGCAATGCTCATCAACAAGATACTTAAACACCTCTAGAGAGTATAAGTATCAACTTGACCACGAGCCAGACGGTTGAAACCGCTTTGGAGTTGAGAATACGCCCAGGCATTGAGCCAGTCTAAGTAAATTCGGCGGGATTCAATCTGCACCAAATGAATTAGAAACTTGATTTGAAGGTATGGATGTTGAATACATGTTCTGTAAAGAAAAGGCATCTGCCAGATTTTGAAACGATGACCATTTTAAAAGATCGATACCGGGTTCTAAGCAGCAGAAGCCGAAAACACACCGCAATATAAGTTCTGAAAAGAGTTGCTTTCAAACCCAGATATTTTCCCAACCTTCAGCTACCTTGCCTCACGACTATATTCGTCGTCGAGCTCAGCTTGGTTTCACTCCTCCTCAGGCAACATGTAATCTTTGACCACAAACGGAGGATTCCTCAAGCCACCTGGGAGGGACCGATGATGCTTCATCAGCGCCTCAGAGATATCAACCATCAAGCCATTAGGGAATTCAGCAGCCCAATCCTTCAATGAGATCACAGAAGGCAGGACCCGAATCATCTTCTGCACAGCCAACTTCTTCAATTGCGTCTCTTCCTTAGCCGAGTAAGCATGGACAAGGAACTGGTGGAGGACGTTGTCACTGGTTTGCGTCGGAGGCTTCGGATCTTTGATGATCACCCTCACGAGAAGGCTCATGCATTGGTTTTGCAGGCAAGGGATCCTCCATTTACCAGCAGCAGTCCAGAGCTCGGCAACTTTCAGCAATCCCAGCTCTGTGGCGTCCTCCGCACGAAGACAATCCGGTTTGTAGAGCCAGTTGTTGAAGATACCGAAGACCTTCTCATCGACATCTTTGAGTCTCATGCTCTTCGTTCTACCCTCTTCGAATTCGTTGTTTGTGAAAGCGGTTTTAAAGTATGGTGAGTAGGCTATGATGACATCCAGATGGATCTTGAACGGCTGGGAGTTGAAAGAACCTATGAAGATATTGACGAATTCAGGGTTGGGCTTTCTAATTCTTTTGTTAGTCAATAATATTACTTGGTGTGGTGGACTTACGAGAAGTCAAGTGGATTCTTCTTCTTCTTTCGCTTTGGAATTGGAACGAAGAGTGTGTTGACATCGGACTCTCCGGGTAGTTGGCGCGCAGCAGGGGCTGTTCCTTGCGGATGGCTATTCCTGCCATTGGCATTCTGTGGACATTTAGCTGCCGTCTGTCCTCGCTGATCTTGATGCCTTGCGGCTTTGGTGGAAGACATGGCTGCAGATCTGGGAAGATGAAGAACAGGAGAAGACGCGGAAATCGTGTGTTTGAACTATACCGATCAGTTGTTGTCGTTCCTGAAGGTGAATGTTGTTGGGCGGTTGAGATGTGTGTCTGTGTCTGGGCCAGGTTTGCACTCTGCTAAGTCTCAAAAGCGAAATGCGTGGTTAAGCTGAGCATGGAAGGGATGCGTGAGATCTAAGGTCTGAGGCGCGATCTGGGTTCACTGGCCAGCGACCGCAGAACGCGCAGAAGTGAGGTCGTGCGGGACTAGGAGAATGGCGAGAGATGTGTGTAGATATGACTCAAGTGAGTTCACCTGCCGAGACAAGCAGGTGAGATGGTGCGAGAAGACGGTAAGGTGAAGGTGAGTGAAGTCGGGGAAGATAACCTAAAAAGACTCGTGGTGGGTGATTTGCAGTGCGGAAAGTGGCCACGACAGGATCACCAATTCGCCGATTGCGATAGTTCGGAGCCTCTTGGGAATTAATATTTGATTTTGGAGCGAGGGAAGAAGATGCTTTGCAGGAGTAATTCAAACCACGTGGCCCATTGGTTCAAGGATGGGATTGTTGAGAAGTTCTCGGCGCTGGAGGTAGGGGAGTGAGAGGGGCAGCGGGATATGGTCAGTGTTAGCCATCAGCCTTCTTCAACGACTTTGTCACGGGTCCTTCCCGGTCACCTCCCGGCAACCCCAGCATCAGGACTTGGGGGGAAGGATGAGCAAGTAGCTTTTCTGGTACATGGGAACGACAGAATCTCAAAATCATTCATGCAACTGCGAAGAATTTGCAAGAGTATGGAAAGACAAGTCCTCTAATGTCTGACAATGGCGTGCCAATTTTGTCAACCAGAGCGGAACAATCTAAGGATAAGAGAGACTGTAATCACTGGGGAGCTGTTTGTAAGCTCCGTTCCTTGTTGTATGGTTCTGCATCTCCAAGACAGTTCTTTTCTTCCTGCATTCAGGCTAAGGGAATTGATCGTGGCATTTGGCAACGAGTCCGCCGTGCAAGCCGCTAAACGTAAAGACAAATGAGATATTTGCAAGAGGGGACATCTCATGCAGCAACTTCTTTCGGGACATACCGTGCTGTCTGAACCTTGCTTGCGCCATGGAATATATTCCAAGAATATCTTCGTTCCTGACTTATCCGGATTGGTATTTTGTGAACCATTCATCACTTGCAATGAAGATTGAAAAATGGTGAAGCAAAGAAGGTTAAGGTTGTTGATGAAGTGAGGTTGAATTATCCATCCGCTAAAATGACAGAGGTTATGTGCGCCTATTAACCTTATGTCAGCATTCGTGGCTTCACCTCCACAAATTGAAGCCACATCACAATTCGGATTAACTTCCATCTCAACAACACACTCCTTTAACCATTAATCTCAGCGCGCGAGCTGGCTGTACACTTCGATTCTTCCGCTCCTTTAACACCGTTTGTTCATGATGGCTCCTGTTACCAAGGACAAGTACTCGGTCATTCTACCCACGTACAATGAGCGCCGCAACCTCCCCATTATCACTTGGCTCTTGAACCGTACCTTCACAGAGCAGTACGGCCTCCGAAATTCCCAGAATGAACTCATGGTTCTCGAAGCTGACTGTGTGGCCATAGGAAACTCGACTGGGAGTTGATTATCGTGGACGACGGATCACCAGATGGCACCCAAGTTGTCGCGAATCAGCTCGCAAAAGCCTACAGCCCACATGTTGTTCTCAAAGCCCGCGCTGGAAAGCTTGGTCTCGGCACAGCATACGTCCATGGTCTTCAATTCGTTACCGGCAACTTCGTGATAATCATGGACGCAGATTTCTCCCACCACCCCAAGTTCATCTCCCAGATGATCGCCAAGCAAAAAGAGCTCCCCACGAATGGCGGATATGATATCGTTACAGGGACAAGGTATGCTGGCGATGGAGGAGTATACGGATGGGATTTGAAGCGGAAGCTGGTCAGCAGGGGAGCGAACTTGTTTGCGGATACGGTTCTTCGACCAGGTGTTAGCGACTTGACCGGGAGCTTCCGGTTGTACAAGAGAGCAGTGCTGCAAAAGGTTATTGAGAGCACCGAGAGCAAGGGATACACCTTCCAGATGGAGATGATGGTCCGGGCCAAGGCGATGGGCTGTACAGTTGCGGAGGTACCGATTTCGTTTGTGGATCGTGTTTACGGAGAGAGTAAATTGGGTGGAGACGAGATTGTAGAATATGCGAAAGGGGTGTTGACACTTTGGATGAAGGTTTAGGAATATCCTTGGAGGGCGGAGTCTCGGATGGGATACTTAATACAATGACGTTTTCCTCCTCGCTGGTTTCCGCCTTTCTCTCTGCTCCTTGCCTGACCAGAAAATCACGCTTGCTGTCGGCAAGTTTGCCTGATCTCCGTTTTCAACGAGAGCGGCTGATTCCGTCAAGGGGACATTGCGAGCAATTTGATAGCTATTCATTCCTGCGCCCATCAGCTCTTGCTTTTTGATATATCTTCCTACATGTCTTTGTCCTATGACTGTGACAGCCACTTGCGGTCTGCCTCTACCGTCGTTGAAAGAGCAAGCGAATAATGTTAACAAACAACATGAAGCCAATGAAAGGAGGCAATCTTCGCTTTTCAGCTTATACTTAAGTTTGGAGCTCTGCCGCCCCATGCCATGCTCCAAACTTGATTTGATATAAATAAAATGGCGAAAGGCATTATTACCTCGAGACTACTAGCCCCAGACTCCCAGGTCTGGTTCGCTTGGGTTTATGCAACAAGACTTATCAACCAACTTTACCAAGAAAAAGGATAAGTTTGTGTTGAGCTACCACAAAATCAGAGTCTAATCGCACCTCCAGTGGTTCCGTTTTGTTCTGTGAACATGAGCACCTTGACCGCCTCTGAATCAGGGCGACATGGCCCATTGGCGCTTTCCGTCTAATATCACACCTACTTTGTACATGCCCGAAGTAGAACCATCTCCGAAGTAAGTAGGCCGGTGTGTAGCGGAGCAACTAGATGGCCGGGTTCTGTGCTATTTGGATGGCAAGGTAGTTACTTATTCAAAAATCTTCGAGGACATTCCCCGAGTATCTGAGGAGGGATGACTTTGGTTATCCATGGTGGAGTTGAGGCATATCTTGTTGGGTGTGATGGACATTTCTTGAGGAAGACTGAAGTCTGAGATGGGTTAGAGCAGAGCCTCAAAATTCTTTGCGCTGCACATTAGAGGGGCCCATCAAGTTGTACTTAGTCATACAGGAGCTCTGCAGCAGAAATGAGTGTTGACTTCTACTAAGAACTTGACTCAGTGCGAGGAGATAAAGGTCAATGTCCCGGTGCCATAGAAACGGGAAGCTCACCTTCACTAGGAAGCTCCTCCACTACCTTCAGAAATTGTCCGAGTGAGGCAATAAGAAGAGAAGTAAAGGTAGGTGTTCGGGCGGATGCTGTCTTTATCAGATTCATACAATAGCTGCACTTCAGAATTGATGCGGCATCTGGAACCCAAAAGAGAAAGAGAGATGATGGCGTATGAGCTTTATGGGAATATGTGAGAAGTCTGATTTGAAGGGATCCTATCTACTCTGTCAATAATTGATTGACGTGTGTCGGGTGGGTGCCGAATTTGTGGAAAGTGCGAAGGCTCTGGAGACATAAGGCATCACTCAACTAGTCACTTTCCTCCCAAGATATTCGTATTCCAAAATTCAAAAGTTGCTGCAAATCGTGGGTTTGTTGCATTACAACCTCATGTTGTGGTAAAAGGGGGGGAGGTCCAGAACCACATGACCTTGGCCGCGACTTCCGTGTTGACATCCAGACTCGCTTTCGAGTTCCTCTCCTAACATTCACCCCAACTCCTTCAATCATCAACCAGAGGGGCTGCAACAACCATCTTCACCAATTGAAGCTGAAGGGAAGCCTCGGCATCCTTTAGAATCATTCTGCATCAACACCTTTGAATCTCAGTCGAAGTATCCACCAGACATCAAATCGCGATGGACGACAACATCAACAACAAGGCGGGGGAGGAGCATGGCTGGTTTGGTGATTTTGCTTTGGCCACACGTAAGATGCTTGCGCATATCATATTTCTCTTGCATCGTGCTGATATAAGCAGTCTCCGCCATCCAAGGCGATGCTGCAGCGACCTCTTCGAACACCACGTCGATCGAACCTACCACTGTCTCCAACGACGCTCAAGGCCAGGTCTCCCATATACCTTTACGGTCTTCCCAGATCTCCCTGCCGAACTTCGTCTCAAGATATGGGAGCTGGCTCTACCCAGACCCCGCCTCGTGGAGCTCAAATTCTGGAACAAAAAGGAGGTCCACGTAGAATGTTTCAGCAAAGATGCGTTATTCTCCATGGTCCTCCTGGATGTTTGCAAGGAGTCATCACGCGTCTTTCGTCAGAATTATAGCAACTCAGCGATTACTTTGTCGGACTTTCGTCCATCGAATCTGGATCCCACGAAGGGATTGGTACAACACGGATACATTGGCTTGGAGAGGGATATCCTCTATTTCGACCCAAATGCCTTCAATGAATTCCTCAGAGGCAACAACTTTGGTTTGAAGGTGGCCGGCCTAAAGTCATTGGCAATCGCATCTCGTGAGTGGACGACAGTGTTGATTCTGCAGAAAGCGTTTGGACAATCTGCATTTCCAAGTCTCAAGCATCTCACAATCGTGTTGAATGAAGTCGCTCTTCAGGTTGAACACATCGAATTGGGGTCGAAAAGCAACACTTTCTCTTTGGTCACTAGCCCTCCAACCGACGATTCTACCCTCATGATGGCAACGTTCGACTTCGAGCTCGCAAAGGTTTCCAAGGCGATATTTGATCGGGTCAACAATTACGAAGGCAGCATTCAGACGGCGACTGTCATAGGAAGGGACTCAAACTGTTCTTGGATTTTCTTCGCGTCACAAGAGTCCTATCTCCTAGCGAGAGTCGCGGAAGGGCTGCTTCGGGAAACAGTCAAACGTGAGAAGAACATAAATTGTACGAGAGAGAGAGAACGATACAACAGCAACAAAAGGTGTTGCAATTGAATACGGGGACATGCAGGCTAATTGAGGCGTCTTGGACCATGACGAAACGCAATACTTGTCTTGGCGAACAAGTTAGCCGGCTGATGTTAGTTGGCATTTTTCTGTATATTGTCGCCCTTGGTTGCTTGTTATACTCCACCCAGTGCGTCAAAGGATTATTCAAGTTATTCAAGATGTTCATGAATATTCACGAATAACTTGAGTAACGGGGTTTATGCTTTAATAAAATAAGAGTAACGGCCATTATTCTATTTTACTCTATTCATTTGGCACACTGACTCCACCACTCCTTGTTACATCAAGAAATACTTCAACTTGTAATTACTTCGCATCTTTCTGAAAAACCACATCGGTGGATTGCGGTCACCCTGTGCGGGTGTGTATCAGATTCGTGACGGACTTTTCGGTACTTGCCGAGGGGATGAAAGTGGAGCCAAATCAATGCTATACATCCTTGAAACCGCGATCCGTGGCATCTACATGGCGACCTGCGGATCAACAGATAACAATGCCTGACTCACCTCTCGGGAAGATCGTCTTGACATTATTGAGAGGAAATAATTCTGTATGCTTCAAATACTCGGACTAGCATTCAAATTCTATAGCTCCTCACATACCACATCCCAATTATTACTAATAATGTCACAAAAAGCCCCAGCCATTCTTCTCGTTCCCTCAGAGTTCCCATGGAATCGTGGGGGTTCGTGTTTTAATCACGTGATGTTGATTCTAACCGAGAGCCCCCCCTATACTTCTCCCCTGGGAAGTCCAAGAAAGGCATAAGCGGCAACCTCTCACGACAAACTCGGCAAGCAATATGTTAACCACGGACACCATCGTACTGATTTCTGACCGCTTTGAGGCCAATTCAAACCCCTTAGAATTTAATTATCTTTCATTCGGGCGCCACGCCCCTCCAAGCCCTAATGGGTTGCCAGGGGTACAAACGAAAGCTGACGGGATGGATTCTCTATGGCTCTGTGACCAACAAGGATTCGCCAGAACTATTTATCGTTTAGCAATCCCAACATAAACCCAAACCTCTCCACGAGCGAAGTTTCTTTCCACTTCTTGACTTTCTCATCAGTTTTCATTCCAACAACCCTTGATTGCAAGGACGATTGAACCTGCATTTCGCTCCGTAGAACATCGAGCGCTTCTTCCTCCACCATTATGGATCTGGCCTACAATGCTGGTAAGTTTGATACCTGCTTACGAAAGTCTTAGTTAATGTGTATCTTCTTAATCCTGTTCCCAGCAGGTAAGGTTCGTCTAGCTGCCGGCGCTGTCTTGCTCAAATCGTTTCCTACCTCGCTTTGGGGAAGTCAAACCAACGTTATCGCATACACGCATGCAATATAATGCTTCATGGTTCTTTTCCGATGGATAGACTTCACTGTAATTCATGACCCAGAGTGTGATTTCTGTTTGTTTGTTTGTTTGTTTGTTTGTTTGTTTGTTTGTTTGTTTGTTTGTTTGGTTGGTTGGTTGATGATGCTGGGAAGAAGAATGATACTAGAAGGAAATCCGGTGGAGTTAACGGGCCATCTGGATCATGGGTGAAGTTGAAATGTTGAGCTGGTAATCCCTCAATCTGAGGTAAGATGGGCCCTCCCTTGAAACTCTATAGCAGTGCTAAAAGAACAGAAGAATCGGCTTAAATATCCAATGCGAAAGCACGCTCACTCCAGTTCCCAAATTCTGCCCTAAAGGCCACTGGATCCGCGAACTGCTTCACAATCTCCTGGAATTACTTCTTTACTGATTTAGTGACTGCCCTCCTCGTAAGATACGGCACCGACAGCCCATTCTTCTCCCAACCACGAGCGCAACAACTTCTCTTCAGCTTTTAGCTTCCTACACGCAATCCGCTGAGGGTGGACCTATGATATCCTAGCCATTTTCAGCGTCATCATTGGCCTCCGCACGCCCAGCGACCGGCCACCAACCTTTGGCTCTTTCCCGAGGAACTGCTACACCATTGGTGGTCTCTGGGGGGTTCTCTATTATCAGTGGTTGCAGACCAATATTTCGACTGCTAGAATGCCGTCAAAATAGACCGCCATCCCTCAGGAGAGGTCCAGCACGATGGCCAGTTGGATGCAGGAGGTTTGCAGAACTCCAAAACCTGAATGGCATCTAATTGGATCCTGGACGGTCTCGGTGCCGATATCCGTAGACTAGGTTCGGTTGAATACAAATCTGAGAGGAGAAGAGAATTGCGACTTCCTTGAGGCATATCACACCATCTGCAAGCCCCCACTGCCCACGTGATAAGCATATTATTTACATCGCTACCCCCAACTGGTTTCGAACTCTCCTACGTATTACTAAAAACAAAGCACAAGGCCTCTCATATCAATTCTCAATATTTCCAACTGCCAACATGCCGACCAAGAAGTCAAACCTCGCAGCCTACCAAAACATCTCGCCAGGCTCGGGATTCCCCATCGTCATGCACCCTCACTTCAACCCAAACATCAAAGACCATGTTCCCGACGAACTCCTCCGAAAAGAGATAACACCTCCCAAAGATCGAGCATTCTTCGCGGATCCGGAAAAGATAGCACTATTCTCGGTAGCGAAGCCCGTTGACTTAACCGAATCAATTGGGACCGTCTTGGAAGGGGCACAGTTATCGCAGCTCGATGAGAAGCAATTGGATGAACTTGCAGCTTTGGCTAATGAGAGAGGAGTTGTTTTCTTTCGTGATCAGGACTTAACTACTGAGCAGCAAGTCAAGCTCTTTGAACATTATGGTGAGTCGAAGTGAAGCGACGAAATCATCGAAACTGAGACAAGAAAATAGGTATCCTAGACAGACATCCAGCTCAAAAGGCAAGGTTTGTACTTATTGACTCTACTTGCGAAACTAACAATGTGGTAGAATCAACGCGTGAGTGTTTATTGTTAAGTGTTGGAGGCGTCGCCTCACAGTATATAGCACGTGACGATCAAAGGAAGTACCCTTGACCACCGTTCCGAAGCAGCCTATACACCATGGGTAAGCTTTATTGCATGAAGAAGCTCGAATATCAAAGGCTAATATTGAACTGAAGCCGAATGGAGACTTCCACGCCGATACCTCTTTCGAGATCAACCGTAAGTGATGGGCTGTGTGCCTCAAGCCTCAAAACTAACATTGGCAAAGCTCCCTTATACTCCATGCTCAGAATGGAAGAACACCCAACAATAGGTGCCGACACAGCCTGGGTATCTCAGTATGGTCTTTGCGACGCCTTAACCGATGCCATGAAAAGATTCGTCGACGGCTTGCACACAGCCCATACTTCTCGTCTCCAATGTACGTGTACTTCTCCACCATTCAACACAGTCATAACTAACAATTTAGACGACACGATTCTCGATTCTTGGCAGGTCGGTCCCAATAGACCACCAATTGACACCCATCATCCCGCTGTCCGTACCCACCCTGTCACAGGTCTAAAAGCGTTGAATGTGAACAATGGATTCGTAACTTCCTTCCCGGGGCTGAAGAAAGAGGAGTCGGATAAGTTGCTTCAGTTCTTCAGGTTTCATATTCATTCTGCCGATAATCATTATGTGAGGTGGAAGTAGGCTGTTGGTTCAGTTGCTATGTGGGATAATGTGAGTGTCCTGAGTCTCGCTTAACGGGAAAAGGTGGTTGCTGACTTGGAGAATCAGAGGTGTACGGTTCATCGTGTTATTCCAGGGAATTATGATGCTCCTCGGAGAGGTGTTACGACTACTGTGGTTGGAGAAAAGCGTGCGAGACATCGGATTCCTGTTGCAAGATCCTTGACTGACAATTTGCAGCATATTTCGACCAGAAGAGTGAGAGTCGAGAACAGTGAGCTGCCAGGTTAGAGAAAGCCGCGTTGAATGGCAATACCAACAGCACAACTGGTGTCAAGACCGGAGTTGAAGCGAAGACTGGGGACGCTTCAAATGGTCCTGCGAACGGGAATGGCGTCGAAGTCAAGCCAGAGGTTGCAAGCCCAAATAGGGACGGATTTAGATATAACGAATATGACGGCAAGGCCTGAAAGCGGCATGGGGTATGTAATACGAGAGCTTTTAAGGCACGTCACGATGTATTCATTACCAGGAACGTACGAGTAATCACATTTTGCTTTCTCGCAAGTCAAAGCAGTGGCAGAATCTTCTGAGATAAGTAGAAGTTCATCTTACGTATGTTTATTATGTCCCTGGGGCCAGAGCAGAGATCAAACGTAAGTTTCTGACCTTTGCTGAGAGTTCTTTAGTGCCGGCCCACGCCAGGCAACTATCAAGGCCCTGTACTTCCGTTGCATGTTTTGTCCCAGGAGTGACATGCTCATATGCCCTGAATCATATCGAAAAGTAAAGGTCGCGAATTGTACAAGGGCGAAACCGAGAATTGGAAGAGGGCGACGAGTGGCAAGTGAGCTGAGGAAATATGTCCGTCTCGTAGTTTTCTGGAATTGCCAACGTTAGCTTCCTCTTTTCGCGGTGAGCTTCGCATCTGATGAAACATTGGACTAAACTTACAGAAGGAAAAGTAACCGAGGTGTCGTCTGTAGTCATGTAATAGAGGTGCTTTCACCGTATGTCCTGGACATCGGTGAGACCTTGACAGCAGAAGGCTTCTCGACAACAGAGAATCAAGGAAGGAGTCGAAGAGATCGATCAGACATCCCAAGATGCCAGATTAGTACGATCCATTTCCACCCATTGATCCGTCTCTGAGAGAGTTGGTGGCTGAACGGCCGGGATCACCGAGAGGGCAATTCCTTGGTTTATATTATGATTGTTATTGTTGAAAAGATCAGTTGTGGCCTGTCCTTGTGGTGTGAGCATGCCATTTATAGTGTCGCCCCACGCATTGACTGCTGCCTGACTCATAGCATATTTCAATACCCCTCTAGCGACAGAGCCGTGAGCTCGAGGCTGGGTAGTGGCCCGGTTAATATCATTTTCGAGTTGCTTGAGGACCCGGAGAACCGCCTTCTCAGACTCTGCTTTCTCTTGCGACACCCAAGCACGAGGAATACGGGCGAGGATATCGTCGATCAAGGTCCAGCTCTTGTTTCCATATGCCAGCTTAACCGACTTCAGTCCCCTCAAGGCCATCAATTGCGCATAACCCGGAGCTTGACTGAAGTTGGTCAAACCAGGATTGAAAAAGTTCGTCATCCCTCCAATGTCGAGTATCAGGTGTTCAAGTCTATAACAAACCGCAAGCACAATGAATGCGGCAACAGGGACACCATGGTAGTCATATTTGACTTTGAGAGATCGAACGGCATTTCGACGTTCGGATGGAAGCGCAACAAGGTAGTTTAGGAGGAACTGCGTGCTGGTAAACTCGAAGGTGTTGTTGGCATAGAACATTTTGTCTCCGTCAACAACATTATGGAAGGTGTTGCAAGTTCTGGCAACGTCTAAGGCTGATAACTCGGCAGGAAGTGCACCCTTTTTTCTGGTTAAGGCTGGGCAGTAGCCGCTACCGAGAGGAGTTGCAGGATCGGCCTGGATAGAGAATTTTGCAGATCCGGGTGCCAACTGTTCGGGTATAATTGTGTCGTCATGAGTGGAAGCATAGGATAGAATCCTAGCCAGGACTTCCTCTGGCATAGCCATGAAGCAAGCCTTCGGCGCCGGTTTGGTAATGCGAGATTTCATCATATTGGCAATCAAGGCAATGTTAGCAAGGGCATATAGTAAATTAAAGAGTACTTACAGGTCGAGCAACTTTAGTGCCGGCGGGCTGCTTATCTTTTCGATTATTCAAGGTTGTTGTCAGAGTTCAGATGCTCGACTCGCAGGGTGGTGTTGAGCGAACGAGATCGCTGAAAGTTGAAAGGGGGGGAGATATTTATGCACCACCACGCGTGGCAGCTCACGTGCCACGAGTAAATTCACCACGGCAAGCCTGTACTCAAGATCGGTCGTTTAAATTAGAATGGATTTAAATAGGCGAGTAAGATTAGCAAGCTTAGTCATGGCTTAGGGAGAGATGCCACGAGAGTCTGGAAGCTCATTTGATGATACATTTAATTTCATGATATCGCGAGTATCCACATTTCGATATTACAAATAAAGGGATGCATAACTTGGGGTGGGAAGAGGAAAGTCTCATATCCAATGCGTTTGACATCCAGTAAGAGGCAGATGTAGGGAGCCCTCTTTGAGTCTAAGAGTATTATGAAGTTCTCCAAACCGAGTCCCAGGAAAAGGGGTTGCCATCATTGACTGATCTCATAATGTGCTTTCCTATAGGCACCGATATCCTAGAATGCAATGATCAAGTAATAAATTCCCCCGAGAAGTCAAGTTCATAATGTGACAAGGTCGAAAGTCAGGAGAGTGAGAATGACGAGATAGCGAGGAGGATCCGGGAGGCGTTAAGTCGCCTGAAGGTCTGGAATTGATAAATTTAGCAAAGCTTGCCTCTAATAACCCAATTTGACTTACTCTGTCTTGATATGGGCTTGAAATTACCAGGCATAATATATTTCAAAAGGAGGGGTTACTCGTTGGAAAGAATAAACGTCGCAAGTTAAGGTAAGTCGACGAAAAGCTGACCGCATATTCTTCCTTGACAGCAAGGTTCGAAATCAAAGGAAGCTTGGAAAATCCCAGACTACAAGGTTTCGTGTCGAGCTAGTTAAAACCACGTCTCTCGTTAGAGAGTGTGGTTTGTGAGCGGCTGAGCAGTTAGAAGGTTGCAGCCTTCCACTTTTGTTAGTTTAAATCAACAACAGATACTCAGTTGATTTCTTGAGAGAAAGAAGAAAGCGTCTTTAACTCCGCCTGAAGCATTACCCATGTCAATTCACCAGCCTGTTTGTTTATATCTTCATCTCGGCCTCGGGGCTTTGTGACAGCTTCCTTGATGCTGAGCTCCAGCTCCTTCACCTCATCGATAAACTCTTCCAATGGATCGCGTGTGCTCCATGAAAGGAGAATTCGAGTCACGGTGATGTAGACCACGCTTCTCTTTAAGTCATCAGGTTGACTATTAATATAATTGATTTAGTATAGGTCCTTGATTCCCTGTTCCTAACAGAGGAATTTATTCAAATTGATTTAGTGCCATTCTGCCGGGTTAACGGGTCATTTCCAGCATCTTGGTAAGTAAGATTGTTTCCTGTATGACGGCTTGGCAATCTGTACATATTTGAGATACATTTCCCATTTCACCTCTATTCAACTCTTCTAAGAACAGCTTCTACTGTAGAAGTGTTCTTCGAACTCCCTCGCAGATGCTAGGATTCTCTCCTCGCCACAGGAAGCATACATCCGGGGATTCCTAACACCCTTTTCCATCACCTATCACCTCGGAATCCGTGTTTTGCTCAGGCCCTACAGATGACTGGGATACGTCATTACAAAAACCGAATGGTCACACTGCACTATCCACATGGCATGATTTCGTTGCCGTCCCCAACACTTCCTCACTTCACCAGCATAACAGTTCTGATTCCAAAGACATAATCAAAAAAGGAAGCTACGAAGCATATCATTACCATATGTGGTCCCGGTCGTCGCTAAAGGCATGTTGTATGCAGATACTGGAGCACACCCCACCCCCCTTTTCGCTCGCAAGATCGGTCAGGTCCAGAACCTCAACAAAGTCACCGCAAGGCTGTAATTTCGGGAAAGACGTGGATTCATGGCACAATTCATGGATTGTACCCGCGCTCTAGGGCTTTAGCAGGAAATCCACAGGACAGCTACATTTATCCATATCCGTGCAGGGCACGAGGCCGAGACATGCCGCACCACGCCATCCGCGTATTGGCATTGGACTTTCCAGAAAACAAACCTGCTGGTTCTTCCCGAATAAGGAAGTTGAGAGTCCCAGAGGATTCAATGAAAACAAGAAACGGTTTTGAATGGTAGTTTGGTATTGGAAGTGTCTCCGTACATTGTGGTGAAGTGGGTGCCCGATGTCCCAATTAGGAAGGTATTTATGGATGCGAAAGCCATTCACTCAGTCCGAGGCTCTTCGGACAATCTCTGAATGGCATGAGCCAATGCATAACGGGTCAGGGACCGTGGAAGGAATAACATATGGCGCAACATGCCAAGGAGGTGGCTCGATCGCGGTCAGGGCCTGTCGTTGATTCAAGCATCTTTCAGGTGCATGTTAAGTTCATGTGTCAGCGCAACCCACACACCTCACTCATCCACCGCCACAACCCCCTCTCTGACCACCACCTGCTCCGCCCATTAATTTCGGCAGTCATCAACAGCAAAGACCAATTGGAACCTGCTTCTGCTTCTCTCCTCGCACATCAGACGAAGAGGAGGGATCGACAGGTGTGCGATAAGCTTCTTCAGCGGGCTCAAACTTTAATAATGTTGTACGCCGTCGGTCTTCGCTTCTACTTCTCTGTTATCTCTGTTCCTAGATCTTATAATATCTAACCTATTAAGCATTCCGGTTGCTGGAGGAATAGAGTTAGTAATCTCGGCAGAGCCAGATCACAGACCTCAGGCTTTGCTGCGAAGGGCCCAGATTCTGCTATCTCCCCCACTTTTCAATGCGGGGTGTTGTGCAGGGGTTTCGAGCTTCTTTTTCAGACCGCGAGCTAGAATATAAGCTTCTGCGCAATTGATTGGTGGGCCTGGCGTTCCGTCGAAGTCCTCCATGCCGTGTACCTGTTTGCTAGTGGGGGTAGTCCTTGCGAAGAGGGCATGGACCGGATCTTCCCCCGAGATCAGGAAGGTGATCTGCACAACACATCTTATGCACACAGTCAGGTTGTCCAATCACTCTTCGAAAGACCTTCTGAGAGCAAGAATTGATCGAGCCTGCATCCAACTCTGCTTCTTCTCCTTCCTTTCTTCGGGTCACCGCCGGGTAAGTCAAGCGGCCCTGATAAGGTAGTAGTATATGACACAGCGTTTTTGCGCTGAGTGTTGAAGCTAAAGCCTCGAGTGTGTGCCAGCTGTGCAGTGCACATCACTCAACTGAGGCTGTTCGGGACCGAACAGGTATAATACCTACTTTCCTTCATGATAACGGTGACTTTGTTCTCAATGTGGAAGGTAGCTAGAACACAGTTCTGACTGTAGATCCTTTATTTTCGAATGCCAGGGTAGTACTTGTATATATAAACATATAAACATATCTTGCTCGGTACTTCTCTTTCAAGTTCAAGCAGTCAATACCAACATTTCATTCGCTTGCTCCTACTCCTCCTCCTCCTCCTCTTCAAGTCCTTCAGCTCAAGCTTTTCTCCAATCAATATGAAGATCCTCACACTTGCAAGCACCCTTCTCCTGGCCGGTTCAGCAGTCGCTGCTCCCAACACCGCCAAACGTTTCGCAGGCCACGCAAAGCGTGCAGCCAATTCCCGAACACAGGGGAAACCAATCAATCGTGTTTCCTCCGGCCCGGAGGCTGAGAGCAGCAACAACACCTTCGTAGAATACAGCTCCAACTGGGCTGGCGCAGTTCTCATCGGCAGTGGCTACAAGAGCGTCACCGGAACCTTTACCGTCCCAACTCCCTCCACCACCGGCTCCGGTGCCGCCTGGGTGGGTATTGACGGCGACACTTGCGGGACAGCGATCCTGCAAACTGGTATTGACTGGACGAAGTCCGGGAGCTCTGTCACCTACGATGCCTGGTATGAATGGTATCCCGATTACTCGTACGACTTCTCTGGCATCACGCTCGCAGCCGGAAATACCATCAAAGTCACAGTCACGGCATCCAGCTTGACAGGTGGAACGGCCACCGTCACCAACGTCTCCACCGGGAAGACTGTCACCCACACCTTCAGCAACGAGGGTTCGTTGGGAAGCCTCTGCGAGACCAATGCTGAGTGGATTGTTGAGGATTATGAGTCGGGCAGTTCGTTGGTTCCCTTCGCTGACTTCGGATCTGTCACCTTTACTAGTTGCTCTGCGCTCGAGGGGACGACTACTGTTGGCACGACTGGGGCTACCATCATCGATATCAAGCAGAACAATCAGGTATTGACTGATTGCTCTGTCCCCAGCTCTTCTTCAGTTCAATGCACTTATGTCTAAGTCATGATTTGAGCTGGGTGGATGGAGGAGTCTTTGGAGGGAATGAGAAAGGACCACGAGGTGGACCGAGGAGCAATATCATCAGCAGGAGTCTATGTGGCATTTTCACTTCAAAGTATCTAGCTCTTTTGAGGAACAAAATTGGAACTTTCGCATCTAACTGCAATTGGACTCTGATAATGTGAAATGCGTCTCTAAATGAAGTTCGTGTCATGTGATCGCCTGAGAAGCGACTTCGGTTGCAGGAGAACAGGGGGCTTAAGCGAAATATAGCTCCAACACCTGCTCGGGACATAGGGACATAGGGACATAATTCGGATTGCTCAGAACCAAAACCAGAAATCGGACAAGTGGAATCTTGATATTGAATAGGTTGATCCCCTGCTCCACTTTGAGGCAATGGCATATATACGATGCTCCTTCTTTCTTCTACCCTCATCTCCTCAGAATCACCGCTTCGTCTAGAAAATTCCTGTATACCAAGAAGTCTTCTAACCCATGTCCACAACGCCTACACCTTCGCTCAAGTGCCTGAAGCTTCCTGCCACCATACATCCAACTCCACTTCCGCCATCCAGGGCCACTCTCCCGGCTTCATGACAGCATTCCACCAGCCTCTGATATGCCAAGACACAATCAGGTGGAGGAACAGAGAGGGCAAGGAAGGGAGTATGTGAATGTCAAGACTGTGGCAACACCGCACATATGTACCGTGACCCTTCTACTTGACACTTGAGCCCTCCCGCCTCCTGCTCTCCTGCGCTCCATATCCCTCTGTGACCCCCCGTTCACCAATACGAGCGATTCCCGAATCGGGGCCCCCGATTAGGGAATCGGACGCTACGATTAGGGAATGGGAGCCTCTTTACGATTCGGGCCCCCGATTCAGGAATCGGGGGCCCGAATTCCCAATCGCTCGATATTTCGGTATCGGGGCTGAAGGAGCTGAATTCCCCCTATTTACTAGCTCATTCAGCCCTGTATTCTTTACTCTATCACACCTCATATTTTGATTCTATCGGTCATAGTTTAATTTATTAATTTAAGATATTAAAGGAGGTAATAATAGGGGCAAAGACACTTCTCCAGAGCTCCTAAATATATATGGGGCCTCTCCTCCCTTACTACCTAGACACAGTTCACGGTACAAACACTAACTTTCCAAGCACAACCACTGGTTTGATATACCTCTCAATTGATTACCTCACTTCTAATATGTCTCTTTCAACCCTTCGTTCATCCCCATCCCCACGTACGCCTCGTTAGCGTACTTATGGGCGGGGTAATATTTTGATATTACTGCTCCAGGGGCTCGTTCTTCCGGACCAAGATTACCTTACCAAAGTCAGTTGCTTTGGGAAATGGCCGTGGATCAATTGCATTAGTTCAAAAGGCTGGTAGGGCATCTGAGAAAACCAAGAAGAGAGTAGCTAGAGAGCAAGCACGTGAGAATGGAGCTGGAAGAGGAGAATCAGGTAATCAAGTGGGGGGGAGGGTACCAAAAAGGGCTAAGGCAGCTATGGGAGTATCTAGACGTAGTGGGAGGCATGGACAGTAAAGCTTAGTATGGGTGAAGTGTCTTTAATATATCTTCATTTTGTTCCCAATACCCAAATATTACCCGATTCGTAAAGAAGCTCCCATTCCCTAATCGTAGCGTCCGATTTGGGAATCGGGGGCCCCGATTAGGGAATCGCTCGTATTGGTGAACGGGGGGTCACACCTCAAGTTTGTTGCGTCTTGGGAAATGCGATGCTGATTTTTTCGCCATCCGTCGTTGCCTCCTCAAATTTGGAGGCACAAGGAGGGGCAGTGTTTATTGCTACTGCTGCCATGGCAGGCATTCCAGCAAATGCCAACCTTTACTGTGCTACCTGATACATCAATATGAGAAGGCGTGTTGATGCCAGCGACTTTGTTCTCTGTGCTGTCCGTGTCACCTCCGGCTCGTCGTCATCGTCGGTATCATTAATGGTGATTTTATCCTCTTCCCTGTTGTGATCAACTCCCTCTCCTTGCGTCATCCGAGTCCCCTTCGTCATCCCCGGCATCGATGTGGCACCTCCGAGTGGAACAACATCCTGCTTCCCAATACTCTCATTGACACCGAAGTTTTTATCATAGAGTACCTCGTTGTCTCCTTCATATCCTCATAGGAGTCACATCTCCACCTTGGACGAGCTTTCAGAAGAGTCCTAGTAGATATAACCCGCTGTTCGCGGGTTGTCATGGATTAATCTCTGGCAGAGCAATCCCTCTTGGAATGCGAGTGTTAATCTTCTTGGTGGTTGGCCATCGTGAGCGGGGGTGCTCTTTTGACTTCTTGGAGCCAAGCGTCTGTGGCTCAACTCAAGTGTAGGGTCGTGCACTCCGTCCACTGCAACACCATCCATTCCTCGATTCACTCGCGCAGCCTGAAATGGATATTTGTGTACCACTCCATACAGCACACAGCGAGAAATATGCGCCATCTCCTCCATATCCCTCTGCACGCCTTTTATTCTTCGGGAGATGCTCGCTTCTATCTCCGGTAGAGGCGCCCTGATCTCCTGGAGGTATTCAATCTTCATCTGGGTAATACTCTCCCAGCCCAGACTCGAGAATGAAGGTCGATACGCGGGCCCCTCCGTGCTGCGTGCTGGATGTCGGTGTTTTCTTCCTTGCACCCAGTTTGACCATTCGGATTGGAAGATAACTCGGGATTATTCTTCCTCTGCACCTCCATTTGAGGAGCTTAGCCCAATTTGAGAATTTCCTCATACGCCAACATAACCTTGAGTACAACTTAGCTGCACCAGTCTCGCTGGGCAATGAATACACGTCAAGGGCATTCTGTGCCCTTACCTCCTTGATCTCAGAAGCAATGAACTTCTGCATATCCTGCAGAGCAGGAAGTTCTCTCTGCGATTGGCGGCATATCCCCCCAAGAGTAGCCAAAGTGATAGCGCTGGAGTCCAACCCCTCGTCTTGCTCCCAGTTTCTCTGACGAAAGATGGCCAAAAAGTCTAAGCTTCATCCTTCATACTGAGCGAACGAATGAGTTAGTCGCCACGATCAGACGACATTCCCTTCGTAAAGATATCAGCCACATTCCCATTTTTGACAACGCTTAAAGTTATGACATCCTTGATACTCGAGACACAGATTGGCTTGGCTAAGAAGTGACTGCTTTCGAGGCCGGAGTTTTCCTTGCCTCGCAAGCTCGCCTTCCATGCCGAGATGTGCCCGCCATTCTCATCTCCGTGTAAGTATAGACTCTGGGCCTGTTCCTGGTGGCAGAATGAGATGATCCTAGTGTGAGTGACTGGTAACAGCGGGGCCGGTTCACCACTCGGCTCCCCAGTGGGGGACGAGAATGATCTAGTTGGCTCACTGGTAGGGAGGGCTTCGTGCTGCTTTGCTGTCACTGTGTACCCCTTAGGATGAGGGATTTCTTTGCCGTCAATCCCCAAATCTTGGCAACGTCTCCATTGACGGAACGATTTTAGTTTGGAGATCACTCGCGAAGGTTGATAGTTGAGAATTGAGAGCAAAAGCTGCATTTTTCGTCCACCGAAGGATCGCGGGACCCTCCAAGAGCGCTGAAAGAGGTTGGAGAGGTGGGGCTGGAGAGGCTATAGAAGGAAACGAGCTATTGCGTATTATCTGCTGGTTGTTAGGATAGACCCAAGGCCTCTTCCTCTATTGCATAACTTTGGTTTGGTGTGTGGGCTATACAATTTGCTGGGGAAGTTACTTGAGACTGACTGATGAACCAACTGCCTTCAATCAATGCTTCAGCTAGGAAGAGGTTGCAGCTTCCGCTGATTATGTTAACTTTGGTAGCCGTGTCGTAGAGCAAGGATGAGGCAAGTGGATGCTATGATGCCTTCGAGACTGCGAGGTGCCGGCGTGGGGTTTCGATCGAGGCGATTTCTACAGCGCCGGTGAGTCTGGTAACGAGAGCTTTGCTGAGATCAGAGATGCCCGGTGACGTTGGCTTATGCTTGCAAATCCGCGAGAGGTTCGTCTGTTCTTTTGGCGGGTATTGCTGGTTGCTTTGAGCTAATGATGATTTCTTCAAGATTCCAGCGTTCTATAGCCTGAGCTTATATGTAAAGCGCTTTCGGGTGGTGACCCATAACTCGCTCGTAACCGATCCATCAGACGTACCCGAGAGAGGGCCGTTGATAAGTCTGCCGTGGATGAATCGCAGGTCGATGTGAGCACCGTACGGGCCTGGGTCTGCTTTTCGCCGCGCTGTAGTGCTTCTTCATGCGTGCGGCCTACTACGCAAACAGATACCACCTCATTTGAAATCAATCGAACTCGAGGGATGGAAACCCCTCCGAGCAGAGACGGTCTGCTGTGCAGCTGTCGACCGGTGACATTTGGTGGGTTCTGTACGGAGAAAGTCTCGAATGGGGTTTTGTTGAAGCTTGACCAGAGTTCTGAGTGTTGATTATGGGGTGGTGTCTTGGAATGACGAGGAGATCTTACATGTAGCGCCAGCGAGACCAGCCGCCGGTGGGTAGAGTAGCTTCAAGTAGGGGCTGACATGAGGAGATTTGTTGTGGAGGCGAATGGGATGTTGTATTACAGGCGGAATGTCGACTGAGATGATGTGAACATGTAAGAAGATGTTTCCTGGGATCCGTACTGGTAATGTCACGGCCAGATGTCGAATTCGAAGACGCACTTTTTGGGGGGGAGGGGCATAAGAATGTGAGGCTGGCGTTGTAGGTGTTTTTCGTACTGAGAATGGTGACTTAGCTCTCGTGTGGCTCTGCAGCTCAGATTAAAGTTATTTGAAGTATTGGTTGGGGTATATAAATAAAGTTGTGTGAAGAAGCAATTTTGTTGATGATAAGATGAAGAAACTGAAGGTAGGTCGAAGCCAAGAATATATAGGTGCAAGCATAATTAATGTTGATGAGTTATTGGGCAATATGCAGCGACTCTAAATGTAAAGTGTGTGGCAAGAGTGAAGGTAAACAAAAATGGCGACGCAAAGGAACGACGGTAGAAGTGGAATCACTTGATATCGCTTGCCAACGTATGGCAACTCAAGAGTGGATGGCCTTGAACCCGAAGTCTCATTCTACTATCATGGGGCAAAGACCAAAAGCGGAATCAGTAGGGGCTTGGCTGTCTCGGGAGAACACATTTGCAGGAAGTGGCAGTATCCAGAACAGTTTTTATGGCTCCTTACATATTCCTACCTCCGGTGACCATGATGACCTGCCCAGTAATGTACCCAAATAGCGGGCTCGCAACAGCAAGAATGCTGTTTGCAGCCTCCGTTGCCGTACCCGGTCTACCCAGTGGGATATCGGCATAAGCGTTGTCTTTCAGCGACCCCGTCCCCTTCGGGATACCAAGCGCAACTTTCTCGCCATCCGGCGTCGTGACAAACGCACCCTCCTCCTTCGCAGCCGTCAGGCGTGTCAAAATATGCCCGAACGCTATCGAATTCGCCCTGACCCCAAACTTCGGACCCCATTCCTTCGCAATGACTTTCGTCAACCCGTTGATGCCCGACTTCGCGAGACCGTAGTTTGCCTGGCCTGCATTGCCGTGCACGCCCGAGGTGGAGGAGATGTTGATGATGCAGCGGGGCTCGCCGTCTGTGACGCGGAAGTAGGGGGCGGCTTCGCGGACAAGTTTGAAGGGTGCGGTGTTATGCAGGGCTATGATATTCTCCCATTGTTTATCGGTCATCTGGCCACGAGACGAGATCAGCATCATGGTCTTCTTCGAGATTGAGGTCTAGGATCTCCCATTCCTCTGCCATGTAGCGTAGACCGAGCTGGTATTGAAATTGCTCTACCTTGTGGATTACCCCGTCCCAAGTATATCTGCAGAGCTGTTAAAAGCGGAACAAGTTGACAAAGGATTCAACGCTTACCCTGCATTGTTGACAATAATGTGGATCTTGCCGTTCCCAAACTCTGCGGTCTTCTTCACTAGAGTTTTCAGATATTCAGCATCTAGCATATCCCCCGGGACCGCGATTGCTTTCCCGCCTGATTTGTTGATGTTCTCGGCCACCTGTTTGGCTCTCTCTGTATCACAGTCAGTCTCCGACTTCCTATTGGCAATGGCGTGCTGTACCTGCATCGATGTCTGAGACCACGACTTTGGCCCCTTCATTCGCAAACAAACGAGCTGCTTCAGCGCCGATTCCTTGCCCAGAGCCAGTGATGATAGCTACTTGTCCGGCGAGGAGTCCATTGGGATAATTGAGGTGGCCGGCGATTTGGGCAGCGCGTTGAGCCATGTTGGAATAAAGCTGCTACAGCTCAATTGTATATTGAAAGGAGAATGCGGAGGTTGCAAAGTGAGGTGGTGTGGTGAGTTGAAATGAGCATCGGCAAGTTGGGGTTGAAGCTTCCCCAGATTCCGGATGCCGTGATGAACCGAGGCTCACCCGAGGCTGTGTGGCTGCGCTCGGCAGCCTCGTGTTAACTTAACAAGGCTGACCGAGGTCAACGAGAACTTGTGCATGATCAATTTGACACGCGGATCCATTTGATTTTGTGTGCAGCATGTGCGTCTCTTGGCAATCCGACCAAATCTCAGGATTTTATTCTATTTTTGCTCTGGACCCAAGGGTGTCTAGCATTTCAAGCCCAGGGCTCCGTGGTGGTAGTCGAACGCCTTCAGCAAGCCGTACAAATGCGATGCTGCAGCCATAACAACAAGCACATGAAAGATCTGATGCGAACTCCCCCAGATGTCGAAAGAGCCTGGCCATGATCGTTCGGGCCAGCGAGCCTGAGAAAATTAGATCCATCTTGGCAGGCGACCCGGGTGAACTTACAGCATATAGACCTGCCCCCATGATGTACAAGAACCCTTGCAGAACCAGCCAAGTCAATCCTATGCGGTTACGCATCTCGTCGGCCCCGTAAAGCTCGAGACCATGAAACACTGGAAAGATCGCAGAGAGACCCATTGCAACGAACATCCCAGCTCGGTATGGACGCCAGGCTGGGGTTCTGAATCGATCAAAGATGGAAACACAGGCGCATCCAAGGCCAATTGAGCATATCTGAAAGTAAGATTAATCACTGGGCTATGTGTATAGTATTATGGAGGATCATACCATGGTCCAATAGAACTCCTGCAGATGAGGATGGCAATAGAAGCCATAGAATACGCTTGGGATGAAGCTTCCAGTTATGAGAAAGACAATCCCAACATAATCCAGCTTATTTCCCATTCTGCTGACAATTGGAGAGTGGTTCGAGATAGTGTGGTACGTTCCGGACATCCCTAAACACAAAGCAGCTCCAGTAAAGAAGCAGGCAAATGCCCAAATATCCGACGTTGCCGCAGTGTCATATCTTGGCTTGATCGCTGTATACAAGACAACAGCCAAGCCCGAGAATACGACTGCTCCGACAAAGTGAGAGTATATGTTGACCGACTCATTGTGCAAATAGCCCAAGCTGGCAAAAGACCTCCTGAAAGACGCGGACGCGGGTCGATACCCGGACTGAATGTAGTGGTTGTCCTGCTGCCATGATGGAAGATCATCCCAGAGCACAGTCAGAGCACTTTCGATCTTCTTCTCGAGGCTCTTGGCTGCATCTGTGATGACTTCGGTTGCCGAAGGCCTCCTTTGCCGGACTGACATGGAAGACAGTTGGATCTGGTAAGAGGAGCTTTTGGGGAGGCACTGCGAGCAGCAAATGTACGGGCAGGAAAAGACTTCTGTTACGTTGTGAGATCAGAAAGGAAAATGCAAATGAGAAAGAAGAAAGGCACAGCCAGGCATTATATGGAAGCCTACCCACGATGAAATTTGTTGAGGATTGTGGAGCGAGTTTGGAAGGGTCGACCTCGGCGACGCGCTTGAAGAGGCGACAAATTTGGGTGGCCTCTTCACATGTTCCTGCATCACCGTCATCTCCAACTTTTCCCATCCACCCCCACGCCGTCCTCGAATATCTTCAATGTCGGCGCGCGGTGGCCGCTCGAACCCAGGGCCATGGAGTCGATTGAAACCTGTCAATGTCGACCCTCTCGAGGTCATCGGCCTGCCCTCGAAGGGCGACAACAGGTAGGTCAGCCCCGCGACCGCAGATGCGTGCTTGTTACTGACACGAGACACAGGCTTCTGGACTACAAGACACAAGAGCGATACTATACGAAGATTGTCGAGCGATACATGGCATTCTGCTCGGCTGCTGGAAAAGCCGATGAGCTTCTGCGAAGGCTTGGGCAATTGAGCCTCTCGACCGAAAACGGCAAGACACAACAACCTCCTCCTTCGACCCCAGGAGTGCGACCCAGCAACACTGACTCGAGTCTTGACGCTGCCGGCCAAAAGGACCTCTCAATTATAATGATGGCAATGCGAAAACTGCGCGAGGGAATTGTGGCTTCGGGCAGGGTGGACAGCTTCTCGATTCAAGCGTATATTTTCTGCATCCGCCTGTCGATACTGGTGAAAAATATGGAGTCATACCACCCCGCAATTCTGCACCTACTCAAACGAATGCACGCGATCTTACCTCTTTCAAAGGCTGAGCTTCAGGAGTTTGTGGGGTATCTGGTCTTGGATCTTGCCTGTCGACAGAATGATTTGGCTGAAGCTTATGTGGTCAGGCAGAAGTACCGACTTCACGACGCCAAGGTCGACGCGATTTTACAAGCTCTGGCTCATGACAATTACTTCATGTTCTGGAGAATTCGACGCAGCGTGGATGGGCACAAGGCCAAACTCATGGAATTTGCTGAAGAAGGGATTAAAAAACAGGCTTTGAAGTGCCTTGGACGAAGTTACCTGAGCATTGATTTGCCTGCCCTGGAAGAATACACCAACTCAACGTGGTACTCCTTGACCAAGGCCCATGGAGTTGGTTGGCAGTTGGAAGGCACGAAGGTCATCATTCGAAAGCCCAAAACAGGTTGAAGCACGATATACACGGAACCTACATCAATCTACTCGACCATCCGGATTATGATATCAAATCATGTAACCGATCATTGGTATTTCTTGGCAGTGTTCGACATTCTTTCATAATATATGATTCATGGCCGATGATTGAGGCCAGACCGATGTGGAGCTTTATTAACACCCATCAATTTTCTCAACCGAGTTGTCGAAAGTCTCAATCGGACGGTCTAGGATCATCACTATGGACGGCCCAATACCCAGCTCCCATATCACGAACACAAGGTCGATGATATGGGAATCAAGCAAACGATATGCTTCTAGGTTATTGGAGTTGGGTCTTCCGACGATGCAGACCGAAGGGATTCGATGACAAAGCAACACCCTTCGCCCACGTCAATGACGTCAAGGAACGGGCGCCCTCACTCCAACTTACCCTCTCAGTTGGGGCAAGAGAAGGGTTGCGATACTCGAGACTTGGGCTAGAGGACGGCGGATTCTCAGCGGATGTTTCCAGCTTGGCGGAGGGAGGGTGACTTGGTCGGCGATGTGGATTGCGATTACTGCATAACAAATTCTAGACATCTTATCTAGAAACTGGCGGTGACCACCATGAAGAAATTCTTGGCGAAATCGTTGGTCGTACTTCGTGAAGTATAGCCTTTAACTGTTCTGCAAGTGCATATCTTTTCTTCTACCTGGTTGTACCCGCAATTGAAACCAGCTGTATTTGCACCAATCTGTTCTGTCTTGTGGTTGCTTCGTTATTTCGTGTTGAGGATAGACTCGCGCTTCTCTGTCATCTGTCTGAGTCGTTCGAGACCGGGCGAGTTGACCGGGCGCGGTTAGCTCAGTAGCACTGAGCCACGAATTATGTTGCATGTCTGCAGATTTGTTTATTTTTTGTGCGAGTACTAAGATACCTCGAAACGCACACACGCACAATATTGTCTTCCAGAAATATGAATTGCAATGGTCAATTTCATCTGTGCCAAAAGCTACCCGTTTGCCCTAGGATGCTGGGCTCATACCTCATACCCTTCCCTGGAGCCGGGAATTGCAACCTGAGTTTGAGCCTCGCACCAAACCTCACACCACCCAACTTTTGATTTAGTCCTCGCTCAGTGTTGAAAATTTTCGATAGCATACCATCTCGTGTTTTTTTACCAACCAGGAACCATCCTACCTGGATGGAGCTGCCTCTTCCAATTTTTCTCAAAGCTGTCAACTTAAATCTAAGGCACCTCACTGGGGTAAATCAGGAGACTATGAACTGACATGAACCATATTTATATCCAGATGATATGCTCTCTGGATACTTCTTGGCAAGCCAAAGCTGGTTTGAAGACAGCGCAACCTGAGCCGAAATGACGCAATTGCTGGTAATCATGATGAGAATTATGAGGTCGAGGGTTTGGCCAAGTGCTGGAGTAAGTGGCTTTTTTTTATACCTCGGGTATGCATTGAGAGTTCTCGATGGTGTGAAGCCGGGTGGCCATATCACCATCCCAAGAGCCCTTCAATGCTCGACATGAAGTCTTAGCAGGCGTGTCCTACCTCAACATCGCAAGAGTGAGGAAAACAGTTAGGGAGGGATTGCTACTCAATGCGCTTGCACAGCAGTGACTGACTGTTCAGTGCATTTTGATTCCTTTCCTGAAAAGGGGGAGAATCGACACTGGCACGAAACAGGCAATTCTGATGCAGGATTATAGCTTAGGATGTAGTTTGTACGATTTTAAGGCTATTCGAAAATCACGAAACATCATCGTTGCACCCCAGGCAAGCGCCGACAATGTCAAATTGTACAAAAGTAGTAGAATTGATGCATTCTTCATCGTCTACGACCTTTTCTCTCGAATTTCTAAACCTACCCAGGAATCTATCTCAACGAAGCTTGTGAATCTACAGAACCTCTTCTATTCGTGTTTAAATGAATTCGGCTGCAAGTTCAGCATATTTACGCCCGAGTTTTCCTGTGTTTTCATTCTGAAGATTGCGACGTCGTCAAAATAAGGGGGTGCTTAGCGAGACCCCTTTTCTTTCTGCAGTCACGTGATTTTTGGTACTCGTTCCAACCTGGGACCCAAGGATTCTAAAGATCTCTCTCGAGTCTCTTTCGTGGTATCAGCGGGCCGGCCCACTTTGAAAGCCTCCCGAAGCCGAAATTTCCAGCACAGTTTTGCACCGGTTTCCCTCATCGCTCGAGTTTCAAGATTTGCTTGTCACGTTGTGTGTCCTCTCAGCTCTTTCCTCAAAATCCTATCGTGCTTCTTTGTCAATGTCCTCTCGGAGCACCCATCTAAGACTAGATGCAGGGGCTCAGAACGGTGGTGGACTTGTCCGGAAATCTTCAATTCGTTGGGAGGCACCTCGAAGGTGAGATCTCTTCGGACCAAGAGGAAGGCACAAACATTTCGGCTCAGACGTACACACAGCTTCCGTGCCCAAAGGCACATCGGGGCCAAGTGAAAACGTTTCATCGATTTATAGAGGGCACCGATTCCGCCGCGGTGCAATGCGAAGCGAAGATCGTGAGGCGTTGTGGGCGACTGAGCGATCGATTGGGATGTTTTTGTTCATTGTTTAGTCTTCGTCTTAGCTTCAGATATTGGTATTTGTGTTCAGTGCAATAAAAAATATCGTTGTAAAGTGCGGTGATGAAGTAGGAAGAGATTTGCCAATAGTGGAGAAAATGGAGTGTGCTGATCGATGAAGAAGAAGAAAAGGATTGGAGGAGTGTGTGGTTATGTAGGCTAGCTTATGACCCAGATGAAGGGTAGCCAAGTGTGGTGAGGTCTTCGACTTGCTACGCCCTTCCGAAAGCGGTGGTAGTGAGGCCTATCCAACCTAATAGAGGATGGGACCTAGACGGGAGCTTCGGGAAGGCGTCATTTTGTCGAAGTGAATACCTTCTTCGGGAAAGTTCGCGTTCTCTAAACTTAATTTCGGCTACCTTCTTCTCATCTGACCTCTGGCTGTAAACACGAACAGCACATTGCTGGGCGCAAATCACGTGGATATCACGTGACAACTCGGTCGATTTCGGAATCGACTTCAAACGCAACATATAATGCTCTCTCTCCAAGCCTGCCTCCTTATTCTCGACACTTCACATTATTTCACCTGGATATTGAGACTTCATCACGGGACGACAACATTTACGAAAAAAAAATCTTCAAAGTCACATGCTCACCATCTCCTACGCCCTCGACATGATCAACCTCGTTCTTAAGGCAGAACGGGGCCTCATTCCCCACCTCAAAAATGACAGCTCACAAACACCACCTCACTTCCGCATGAGAGGACTGAGAAAAAACAAGTTTCGTCGCATGGCATGTTCCAACGTCCGTGCCTCAACACCGCATGCTCCCTTGCATCGCTTCGGAGAGAGCTTGACATTCAGGCCTCTTTACGAATGTACTGAACCCTGTTCCCTTCCTTCACCAGCCAGCCATCTGTAAGCCATGTCTGATGTTCCATGGGAATCGATGTTTTGGGAATTTTCCGAGGGCAGGAATGTCATGAGATGGACTAGGGGACACGGGAGTGATGTGGGATGTCACTTGGAGGAGAATGAGATCTGCAGTTCAAACGAGGTCCCAACCCCTCCCTTGTACTGAAGCGGGAGGTGACAAGTGGTGTTATTCGTGGTGTTACAGGAGGGATGAGCAGCCATGGGGATTGGGATTGTGACTAAAGCACCGCAGATCGAATCTGTGTTCGATCGATTCGAGAAATCGAACGTGGTGGAGGCTTGAGACGATGGATTGGATGGAGGGAGGAAGCCGACGCCGTTTCGATAGCGTGGTGTTTGACATCGATCTCTGCCGAGGGAGGCAAGGCCACGAGTCGTGTCAGGATGCAGGATACTTACAGCACAGTAGCGGGGTGCAGGGGCAGCTTGCTATCGATAAGCTGAGGGGCTGGCTGGATGCAGAGGAAAGCGCTGACGGATTGTTGGTTCTTCATTCTTGTCACTCACTCCCGTCAGCGATGTCTGTCTGGCTGGGAGTCCCAACGGCGAGTCGCCGTTGATCACACACCCAAATCATGACCTGACCAATGCGCTGGGACAGCGACCTCGTGGTCTGGAAGTTACCGAATTGGACATTTCGATACCCTTGCGCTTTGACCGCAAACCCTAATTCAGAGGCGGCACACCGGTAATCTGCGGGTTTTCATCCCAAGGCCGAGGAAAACTTCATGCCTTGTACGCAGGCCGAGTGTGATGTGATTTCACAGTGCACAGAGGCATCCTATTTCTGGCGCAGGTATTCGGAATTTGCGCACAGATGACCGAGGTTCCGGCGATGATCACCCACAGCTGCGGGTTTGGAACTCGCATTGTCGCCCTTTCGTTGGTTCTACTGCGTGAGGCCGTGACCCTACACTACTTGCTTCTACTTTCGCACAGATCATCGCGAGAACAGGCGGTGTGAATAGGAAGAGGAGAGCAGGCGAATGGCAGGAGCAGAAGGCACGTTTGACTTCGTCAGCTTGTTTGACGGCGGCTTCTGGGATCTACTTTTGGGGGCTGGGAAGCTCCTCGTGCGCAACGATCTTGACTACTTGGCTGGTTTCTTGACTTTCTAGGAGGTTGGCAGGTAGAGGCGACACTGGAAATGCATCTAGGCTATGTGCAGACGAACGGGAAGCATGGTTTCCGGGGCTGGCTGCGAAGAAACTTCTGGAGGATGATTGAGTTCAGTCTAAGCTGCGATTCTTGGCTGCAAGTGGTTGGAACGAGAAGGCGTGAGATCATCTTCAAGTCTTGGAACTGGGATTGAGTTTCTGACCTCGCCGAAAGTCTTACAGGTACGGCGGCCCTGAGACGAGGGGTGAGAAGTCAATTGACTAGTGGGGAGGGTAAGACGGTTGGAGATTTTTGTGTGCTGACGATTCAGCGCAGATGGACATTTGTCCGAGGGTTTTGTGGATGCTTGATCATGTCGGATGCTTCGGAGGAGGTTGATGTGTTACGATGATGCTGCTGTATTTGATAAGGCTAAGGCGAGGGAGGCCCCACTTCCGACCTTGTGGTAGCCTTCTCGACGGGAAGTACCCAAACGGTGCTTGTCCGCCTTACGACATGCAAATGGGCTGAAATACTGTAAGAAGCCAAGATCATGGATTACGCGGCTCCTGGTCTCATTGGAGCCGATACTGCAAAAGTGTTCCTGAGCTGAACACTAACTCCACAGAAAAACGCACTTTACGTGCAATTTCGTCAGACGAGAAAATACAATGTCTCCCCTTCTCTGGCCATGGTTACATTGGGTAGTCACTAGATTTGAAGCCTCGTTCAACAAAGCTGACTCAGTTCAAAGAGCATTGTGTGTTGAACTCATGATAACCAAACTCTTCTTCATCCCATTCCTCAATTGACAAATCGTTCTACTCAACTCTGGGGCCTAATGGGTTATTCCGGTCGCACCGTCTATGTTCCAAGAGTTTCCTGCAAAATAGCTTTAAAATGTAACCACGGTTCAGAAATAGAAGCCGTCGACTAACCCCTGATCTAATTTTTACTGTCGAAAACCAAGTAGCTCCCGCTGTTACCGCAGTCCCAAAAAGGGGTACGGGCTCTCCGGTCCCAAAGTCTGAGTTAAAGTCAACTCCAACTTCAACCTACTCCCAAGATACCAAATTAGGAAGTCACTACACCTAAGCAATGAGCGTCCACCACATCAGCTGACCAACTCATCCAACCTCTCCCTCTCAGCCCTGACTCGCTGTCTCCCGATCCAACCGAAGCCTGCCCTACTGCTACTGCACATTCTCGGCCATCATCCATCTCATCCGCCATCCTGCAGGAGCATCACTGCAACTCACCCTCCTCACTGCAACCCACATATCGCCTCCACCAATCACCCCCTCCCTCACCTCCAACCAATCGCACTTTTCCCCAGCCTTCCATTCCCAGCCCCGCGCATCTGCATCGCTGCACCACCTTCTGCAGCGGGAACAAGGAAAACAAGTTCAGTCTTGCCACGCAACGCACACCTCAATCCCGGACGGACGCACGTTTTCCCGCATCCCCTGCCTGCACTTGTAATTCGCTGTGCATTTTAAGTAGATGTGTGTGAGAGGTGGGGGAGGTGGTGTGCGTTCGCTGGCCGCTGAGTGGCAGGTCGGGGAGGGGGAAGGAAATGTAAGGCGAAACGAGGCGGACGGAGGCTTGCTTCCTCATCCAATGAAGGCGGACAACCTATCAAGTGCGCTGATAAGCATTTTGGGTACGGATGGTTGCGATAGTAGGGAGGGGGCAGTGGTTGGGAGGGAGAGAGGGCTGATGCAGGTTGCATCGTAATTTGGGATGGGGTTTAATTCCCGTGCTGAGTTCTGGAATATGAATGGTTGGTGAAGGGAGACGAGGCAGGGGAATGAGCGGAGCGGTGAAGAAGGTGTTATGATTTTGGGACGTGAGATATTATTTTGTTGTTTTTGTTTGGGCTGGTGGTGTGGGATGACAAGAGACGACACGAGAGGCGTGAGGTAAGTGAGCCCGGAATTGTTGGCATTTTGAATCTGGGTAAAGTTGAGATACGAGGTTGGTATCCTGGGTACCGAAATCTTGGCATCGAAGGGGGGGTTTGATGTTGATTGTATGATGACGTTCTTGACATCATTGGGTTATGGCTGAGAATCACCGAATATCACTTTCAAGATGGATTGACGCGCATGAGGCAAGTGTTGTTTGAGGTAGATGTGAATCTGGTAGTGTATTTTCGTGCCAACATCGAGCTCGAGGGAGTCTCGGTTCATATCTTCATGGTCTTCGATACCTGTACAACCCGAGCCCATTTCCTTCCATGTGTCCTCCCTTCCAACCCAAAATTGATGCAGGCCAAGAGACCTACAAACGTATATAGTGACAACCACACGAATGCAGCGTCTAAATTCTCCAAGCCATCGAGACAAGCGTCTACCGGTATCTTCCCCAGCTCCAAAACACCACGAATCTGCCTGCAACACAACACACATCGGGTATTCTTCTCAACGAAAGTAGAAAACATATATGGTAGAAGAAACGTGCAACAAGATCGAGACATCTAGCCCAAAGACAAGACTCCAATGCAAGCGTTCTATTACGCTGCACAAAATGCTTCAGATATTCCCAGCCTCCCATTCCGCCAGAGCGTGCCAGCTCTGGACCAAATTAAACGCCAAACAAAGCAAACGAAAAAATAGATAATTAGAATAACTGTAAAATATTTCCAACGTCTTTCATAAGAAATAGCCTGCCATTTTAACGCTGCAAATCCGGTGCGCCTTGCTTGGATGAAGAAGAGAACATATGTAATAAAAGTCTGTACAGGAGGTTTTTGTATAACGACATGATCTGTTTAAAGAAGAAGTTCCAAGACAGGGCTTTCTTTCGCTTTTTGGTGTGGTTTTGGTGCCGTCCACGGCAGTGTGATGTGGGGCAGTGTTGCCTGCCTTGGTACATATGTCCTTGGCTGTGAGTGGCCATGGTGCGATTAAAGTCTTCATGGATTGCCGTGCTTGCCACCGAGACAGCGTCTCAAGTGGTTATGTCCATGGAGTCCTTGAAATGGGGCGAAGAGTCCAAAGGGGTGAATGATGACGGAACCAGTGTCCTGTTTTTCCACTGGATTGTCCGGAGTATCCCAAGCGGAAGCTGATGGAAGCAAGCTAGAAGAACTAACATGTTCGAGACCAGTCACGCTATAAAGGAAAGGGGAGTACCTCTCTACCAGACCGCTTCTCTTGCAAATGGGTAAGGAGAGGAGAAAAGGGCAGGTTGGCAAAAGGGATAAACAGCATGGACATGTTGAGGTACAGCATGCATCTGTTCATATTGTTGCTCATAGGTTTGTCCCCAATTCTGGGTCTGGTATGTCCAAAGGCTTGGTTTGGGAGGAACTCCGTACGGGTTTCCATTGTATTCCTGCTGGGAAGGAAGAACGTATGCCTGGTGCGAAAACGGGGTTTGTTCAACGGGCCGTTGCACTTTGGGCTGTCCAACTGCTGGGTCGACAATTTCGTAGGGCTCTGATTCCATGGACTCGTAGCCGGAATCGGAATCGGTGTTGTCGGACAGAGTTGAACAGGAACTGATTAAGGATCCTTCGTCGGAACTGATGGAGCCGTCGTCGGAACAGTCGAAAGAAATAGGTGATGGTGAAGCACATTCGGGTTCGAATGCAACTTGGCAGGGTGAGTGTGGTGGTGTAGGGAGCTGTTGTTGAGACTGGGGTGGAGCCGAGAAGTTGGAGCACTGAGAGATGCGGTACTTGAGCTGGCCAACGGTGATCCTCTCCTCTGGGTTGCGGGCAAAGATCATGCCAAGGATCTCGTTCAGCTCATCAGACAAGGGGAGAATTGTCTTCAAAAAATCTGGGTTCCTGGTGAAAGCCTTGTATGTGGAATCCTCAGCGGAAGCTTGTTTCCATGGATTGCGGCCACATGTAAGATTGACAAGAATGACTCCAAGGGACCAAATGTCGTTGGGAGCGCATCGGTATGATGGCTTCCTTGAAGATTGGTCCAGACATTCTAAATGAAAATAAAAATGGTTAGTGGGTAAAGGGGGGGGAGGAGTGAACAAGAAGGCCTACCTGGTGACATGTAGAAGGTCGATCCGCAGCCGTGGTCCTCTGACTCGGAGTCCGTGGTTGCAAGCCCAAAGTCTGCAAGGAGTACTTTGTTTCCTGAGTTGGAGACTAAGATATTCTCCGGCTTGAGGTCCCTGTGGTAGATACCCAAACGGTGGCAATGTTCCACGGCATCCAAGATTTGGAGAAATGCTTGCTGGACAAGCCTGTCATTGCTAACATACCTTCCCCTCTCCGTAATGTTGGAGAAAAGGTCGCCCTCTGGACAGTACTCCAGAACGACATATGTGCAATCTGGGTCGTCCAAAATCTTGAGCATGGAAACTATGTTAGGGTGTGCTGAGGCTGAGTAATGAAGTTGGATCTCCCTGGATTGGAATTCCCGCTGTCTTCTATCCAAAGGTTCTCCATTGGCATTGGTTTTGCTCAAGGCTTTCACCGCATACCAATTTTGGGTGCAGTGGTCGAACGCGGAGTACACAACTCCGTAGGCTCCCGTCCCTAGTATCCCCTTCAACTGCAGCGACTTCCCAAGGTGTTTACCTATCCGTGATTCGGGTGTAGGTGGCGGACACTGTGGTTGATGTTCTGATTGCGGTGGTGGTGTTGAAGGCGGTGTCAATAGACCATTGTTATACATGGCAAAAATGAAAACCAAGTTCAAGTCCTACGGATGGGATCCTGTGGAATGGTCCAAAGAACAGAAAGAAAATGTGGCCTTTGACCTCTGGATAGAGCGAATCCTAACAGCTGGTGCGAGTGCCTGGGGTCGACGAGGTGTTGATGGAGAAGTGGTCGCGAAGAGGAGGCTAGGCTCTCAGGTAGAGATGTAGTGGAGGAGTTCGATGAAGGCGACGATGAGGGAGAATGGCGAAGCAGGAAGCGTCGTGGTGGTGAGTTGATGGTAGCGGGAGGTTGAGATGAGGTTCGAAGCGGGGGGCCGGACGGCGGGTTTACATATCGACAATCGTTTTGACTGGGGGGGCTCCAGCGACGAGGCTTCCCAGAGCAGGGGATATGATTAATGGCCCAGGAGTGGGTCATGGACCCAGGTGTGGGCTCCAACCGTCACGGAAGGGGTCATCATCTTGGGGCCCAGTCCTCCCACTAAGATTGAGCCAAGTAATTACTCACGAAGCAGTTCGCCGGGGTGCCAGAAAACTAAGACGAGAAGCTAAGCCGAAAAGACACGCCCTCAAGGCCAGAGAAATTTGCGCGAATACTTGTGACCCACTCGTCAACCTGCATTCAGAGCCCGCTCCCCCAGCCTGCAGTCACAAGCCTGCTCAAAATAGTTGCATGGCCTAAAGGCATTCGCTGTCTGTGCTTTGCCAGGCAGGGCTGGGCAGGGCGGGCGTCGTGCGTGTGGGACGGGCCAACACGGCACAACCCTCTTGATGCTCCGTTCTGACTTCTGAGCTTCTGCGACTGCACCACGCCTGCTGCAGCCTGCTGCTGGGTCATGCCATGAGCATGGATCCTTGAGTGGTAGGAGGCACCGAAAGCGTCTGTGAGTGGTTGGGTGTCACAGATCATGGCTGTTTGCGTGTTCTGTGGCGCTCAGTACGATGAGCAGGCCCCAGCAGCGGACATCAGGCGTCGCCTTGCACCGCTTGGCTCTCGCATGAATTTGGCAGTCAGACTCAAGACATCTGAGACCAACCACAGATCAACCATGAGACCAGTGATGCTGCCGTCCTTGAGCACTTGCCGCACAAGCTGCCTCGTGGCTCCCAGCGATCAATGCGGGTAATCGACCTGTTTGTCGTGTCTTGAGCTGAGTGATTGGTTGGGGAGCCCTCTGCGCCTGGCGGTTCCATTCCACGACCTCCACGGCCTCCTCGGCTGTTCCTTCATCTTCTGAAGATCGTTCCAAGGGATGGATTGGAGAGGCCCAGAGCAATGGAGCATGGGTGGGGAATTGGTTGCTGCATCGTGATGTGTCATCGTCTCAAGCAAAGTAGGATCGCCACCAAACGGTTTGGCAGCCAATCTCCGCTTCAATCCTTCCAGACGCACTGCAAGACGATGGAAGCCGAAGTGCTCAGCAAATCAGGGGCGGCCAGCAGAACAATGTCGCCGCTGCGCCCGAGCCGATGCGACAGCCCTGTCGAGTTGGAGCCACACGGTGTCATTCGAGAATCTCCAGTTTTCCATATGGAGACCAATCAGTGCCCGACTCCACACAAAGTGAGGCTGTTCGACGCACGATCGTCGAGGTCGATTGGCAAATTCAAAGGGGGGCCCCAGTCGAATGTGACGGTGGCGCTGTAATACGCATTCTGGTGGCGGCAGAAGGAAAAACCAGAGCGAGACGGAGCAGGGATTCAACTTCGAGACTGAAGATGATTTGCAGAAGAAACGGAGAGTGGGACAAGCGGGTAAGACACGGGATGGAGAGCTAGAGAGCTAGGCGTCTACTGGTTAGCTGCCGTTCTTCGAGTGAGGCCGTCTCTGCACCCTCACTGCTTGAGGCCTAGCTCATCCAGGCAAAAGAAGAATTGTGTCGCCAGCACCATGTCCCCATTTGCTGACCAGCGTCCAACCACCAGCCGTGCCCCCTTGATTGGCCGCCTGTTCTACCCGTCGAGTGGACATCACTTGGTGGTCACAGCCTCGCTGCACAAGCTGCATCTGTCGCTCATTCTTTTGAACAGGCTTGCATAATTCCGCGCAAAGGATGCTGGTCAGGCTGGGCCTGGATGCCGGCGACTGCCTCAGCCATCACTGCCTGCCATCGAAAATACCGTGGTGCGGGACGCCCAGCGCCCCAAGGACGTATGCGTCGGTCAGCATCCGAGATCTCGAATCCTCTCAGCCTTTGACTGCCGCTGTTGCCGTAAGACAAAAAACCTGAAGGCTCCATGATGCACAGCTCGTGACCGCTGGGCCAGAAAATAGAAACTCAGAACGGCAAGCAGGTCAGCCGTTCAAACGCCGTTTGCCAAACATCAAACCAAACCGTTTAAACATCCACCGAACAAGCCGACTATCGACCCCTGAACCTCACCGCCTGTTGCCTCTTCCTTGACACAGATTGTATTTGGCTAGGAGTAAAGTTATTGATTCGATTTATGCAAGGAATCAATTGCCTCCCAACAGATCCTTATCGCCATGGATGATGCAATATTGAAGTCTGTGTGTCTTCGCTTTCCCACGGAACCCCGTACGCTTGTGCGATGTTTTGCAATTTGTACCTTGTACCGTTGCAGTATCGAATTGTGGCAGGGTGTTGTCTGAAGGGCGAGATTTCCAGTGGCAATATCTGCGAATCAGGGCGCCAGGGAATGGATGGGCTTGTTTTCACTAGCGGCACATCATTGCCCGCTAGATTGCTCGCTTACGACCCAGTCACGTGCTAATAAATCCATGCGGTCACACCCGCCCGCCTATTCTCACCTGACCTCCACATGCGCTAGCATCCTCCGTCTCACATGCAGCCATCGCATTTACCAAGATACAGCCAACCGTCTTGCAGCATCAATTTCCATACTGAATGACGGCCTCGCCATCCATGCCTGTCGCACATCCCCGAGTCACGGTATCAACTGCTCGCAGCGGCTGGGTACGTGCATCGCAGCAATTCCACCGCATCAAGGCCCAGCGATCATTTTCATGGGAACTGATTAAATTTTCTAACAGTTGTTGAATCATCTAAGACTAATCGCCCCGTTTCTGGCAGAATATGCATCCTCTGCAGTCATGATCCATGCGTGGTGCCTTCATTAGCCACAGCTTCCCTGTGGCAGATATCCCAGCCTTGCCTGTCCCACCAGATCACGGCTTCGCGCTGGGCCGAAACAACCTTACCTCCCCCGGCCCGGCCTTTGCAGGCAGCTGAAATTAGAGTGCAGGCTGAAGAAACGGGAAACGGGAAATGGGTGGGCACGGATCTATTGGAGGTTATTTCCAGCAAGTGACTTTGTTACAGAATCTGCAGAGCATGAAGTTTGGTATGCGCGTGCTGATGCAATGATCTCGGATGTGATAGAAGCTTCTTTCGAACATGGCTGGAGGTGGATCCAACGTTCATGCGCCACAGTGTGCTAAAAACGTCAATCGTGGGTGGATTCGACGAAGAACCCTTGTGCTGGATTTGGGGAAATGCGGGGTGTCATCACAAAAGCAAGTGTTGGAGTATTTTGACGTTGAAAATAGACGCCCTCTTGTGATGAGTCCCCGCACCAAGGCACAGGAATAGCAGAAGGTGTCGATGTCGTGACCAGCAAAGGAACCCGCTTGGGCGCTTCGCAAAACCTCGACTCCACAGTGCGCCATATTTTCTCCTATAATATCGTTCATCAGATACGTGTCCGGAAATCACGTCGGCCGAATCAAAAATAAGTTCACCAAGTGCTTCACTTCTTTTGGGTTGGATGCCAGTGTCCTATTTCCGGCTTTCCAAAGCTCATGAAGATTCCGCGGAAAGAGGACGATGTGGAGCATCGCTGAGGCAAAGCTTCTTGGCGGCCGCTCAAAGACCCCAAAGGTCTGTTTCTATTTATACTTTTTTCAAAGATATCATCATGCTGGTCTGTGTCTTTGGGCCCTTTGCTGGTTCGCTTCTCATCTGAGAAAGCTTTCTGAGGTGAGACCTAGTCAAGGAACGGAAGATTTTCACCTAGATTCAATGGAAGCCACCTTCCGGCAGTCAGACCAAGTGGCAGAAAGGCTACGAGGCTGCAGGCGGGCTGAGGCTGAGGCTGAAATATTTTCCGTCTGACAAGAATCTTATTCGTCTCCTTATATATTTTTTACAACCTCGCGGATTCTCATTCGTCGATCTCCATCATTTTGCGCATGAACGGGTGGCTGAGTGATCAACATCATCGTGACTGACATCGCCCTTCCCTTCTTCCTCCACGATGTGCGCGTCCCAAGTCATAAAGTTCGAGCTATCTCAAACCTCATTGGCTCTCTAATTGTAAATTTATATTGTTCAGAAAGTGTCCCAGACGAACAAATAAGGTCGTCTGAAACCGCCCTTCCCCTTTCGATTTCCGGAAAGCTTAAGCCACTCCCGCAGCCAGCAATTTCAGCGATGCTTTTTCTGACGTGAGAGATCACCGGCACCTGCCAGCGCACAGGTTAAGTCGTATTCAGGCTGTGAGGGTCGATCCTCATCTACATATTTGTCTTTCATTTGTCCCACCGTGTATTTGTACGATGGTTCACGCGTCCGACTGCCATCGGGCCTAATACAATTGTACATTTTCTAGTTGTACCCCCACAAACGCTTTCTTCATTTTTACGAGATCAAAACGAAACCAAACATTCATTCTAATGAAGCCTCTTCAAACACCATAATCCAGCGATAGATAGTAAAGGATTCTAAAGCAGGATTTGAAGAAGAGGGAAGGATCAAGATGTCCGTTTTCGCAGCAGCAGCCGCGGCCGTCCCGCCACGTTACCCAGGCACAACATCACAGCCACCACCCTACAAGTCATCTGGCTCTCAACCCCTCTCAACAACTTCAAACCCACTCTCCATGCCTCCGCCAGTCTACAGAACAACCAGCAATACTACCACCACATCATCACGATCTTCCTTTTCAGCACAATCAATATCAACCATCGCCCCGGCCGAACCACCACAATACGCATCCATAATCTCAGCACCGCGGCCAATCCCCCAACCAACCGCTACCCGCCAGCCCAGATCATCGACCCCAACCTGGAAGGACCCGTACGTGGAGACCGACGCCGCGGACTCGGTGTACGAGCTTCAGCAGCGGAATTCAAGGCAGCGAGCGCAGGAGGAGGAGGAAGATGACACCAAGAATTGGTGCTGTGGATGCTTTTGGGTGGGTCCTTCAGTTCAACAGCCGTGGGTGGCTCATCTAGTTCTCTGAACCAAACAGATTGCTGTGCGTGAGGGCCTAGGGGATGTTCATCGTCTCGGGAATTAAAGCTGACAATTCTGCAGAGGTACTTTGAGGTTCCCAGTGATGCACAGGGAGTTCACTGGAGTGCTTATGGGCCGTATATCTTCTTCTAAGAAGATGACCTTCTATGGCCCTTGGAGGGGACTGTAGATTGGGTTGGGAAGATGTGCTGGTGTATGGTTTTACACTCTTTGAATGGTGATGCTGTGGAGTTACGAATTATGAGAACTTAATGGAACCGGCTTCAAGAAAGACTGGACCGTGGCGTTGGGAGTTTGACTGTTGCTAGACTGACAGACCGGCTGCGAAGATACCATCATGCACACCTTATTATTGAAATAATAACGACCTTCTACCAACCTTCTTCGACTTGCTTTTGCTTTGAACCCACCTCGACCTACAGGACTCGCCTCAAGCTGGCTGTAAAGTTTCAGAACCATCGTCATCACCATCCTTTACCCGCCTACATCATCGATCAGCACGAGACACAACACAGTCATCACCCGCACATCTCCACCCTGATTCCTACATCACACAACATCACACAATACAATCATTCTCGCACCACACCCCAAAAACACACCCACCAAGCCCAACCAGACGACCTACCTCCCTCACATCATGATCCCAAATGCCTCTTCCGCCTACCGATCAGCCGCGGCAAATCTGACCCTTGGCTCAGCCCCTGAGGATTCACATGCGCCCTTTAAACAACTACCGAGCGAGCAAGTTCGGCGCTTGCGGCTAATATCAACAACCATCGCATCCTGCAAGAGGCAGGCTCTTCTCCACTTGACTTAGCCTAGCGAAGAGACACAGTCATTTGAGATTTGATGCGAGATTTTCGTTTTCGTCGAAGTGCTTTGATGAAAACAGATTCCTCCATGTCCTTCATCCACGGTACGGGCTGCAATGGTGAAAATGCAAAAGCAACGAAGGACAAAGATTGTTTGAAGACTACCATTGAAACGAATGAATACAAACATAAAGAAGTGATCGCCCCTTTTCAAAGCAACCCCGAGCCAGCCCGCAAAGGGGCGACGGAGGACCCTGCAAACCTAAAGGGGTACGTAGGGAGCAACCGGATCTACAATCCGAAGGTACGTGACGGCAAAGCTTTCGACGAGGGGGTACATCTGGAAGATGTAGAGCCTTGCTGCAAGGCTGACGGAATCCTTCTCCCCAGGGTGTTTTTGAATTTCATGGGAAAAGAGTTTGAATTCTCCTAAATAGGAAGTAAACTTCGAAGTGGACAATCGACAAAGAATGCAAGAAAGCAATGCAGATCCCTGAAAATGGAACACGGTTTCATAATCGTAAATTTGTGAATCAACCAGTAGAAAATTGATATGTTTGTTGGGTTATTGGCAAGAGAAAAGAAAATAAATGAAGTAAAGTTGGCAGGAAAGGGGGCGCGAATTTTCCCAAACAGGAAGTACTTTTCAGCACAATTGCCATTACGATCTATGTATTCCTGCAACCGCTCGGGGTAATCGAGCTCTCTTGAGGATGTCATATTCTATGTACGCCCAAAATATCTCCCGTTGTGATGGGCGACCACCTTTCCCTTCTATCCGCAGACACCAACACCATCTCACTTCAAGGTTTTCATGATGAACGGATGTCTCAACGCCTCAGCAGGGGTGATCCTCTTCTCGGGATTGAGTGCCAAGCAGCGGTCAAGCAGATCCCTGAACAGTTCTAGCTCCTTAATTTCTACATCACTGAGGCCCTTCGATGCAGACATGAGGCGCGTTCGGAGATCGCGAGACGGCTTGCTGAACGCAAGAGTCTTGATGGTGTCCTACAATGGACACACGTCAGTTAACGTTCCATTCTTAGCCCGGAGCCGACAGTGATGTGGGATTGGGGGTCGTTGGGGTCGTCGGAGTCGGAAGTGACAGATTTGTCACTTGCCGCACAGGCGCCACAGCGCTTCAATTCGAACAGATCACAACGAAAATAGACGTACCTTTCCAGTAAGCTTATCTTGCTCCACACTTCTAAAGTTGGCCATCTCATCGAAATGGATGTGAGCGAACTGGGCTCGCTTCAACATCTTAGTCGTGAATTTACCCCTGCAATCCATGATTGATCGGAGCATTTGGTTGTTGGTGCGGCCTGTGAATAGAATTTTACCTGTGTAAAGTTCGTAGAGGGTGCAGCCGACAGACCAAACATCGATCGCGAAGTCATATGGCATTCCAAGAATAATCTCGGGCGCACGATAGAATCTGCTGACAAGATACGGTGTAATTTCATTTTCGGATGCATCCGAAGCTGATCCAAGATCGCAAATCTTTAGCATATTGCGAGTCTCGTTGACCTATTCTTAGTTAGTTAAGATTCATTGCCTGTGGGAGTTGATGCTTACCAGAATGTTGTCAGGCTTCAGATCAGCATGCAGGATGTTGCATTTCCGCATCAAACTCAAACCAAGAAACATTTGCTGCGCGTAAGCTCGAACAGCTCGAAGGTTGATTCCTACATCGCGTCCAAACTTCTTCAGCACTTCTCGAAGGTTGATGCTGAGATTCTCAAAGACCATGCACAAGTGGCCTTTATGCTCGAAGTGTCGCTCAAGACGAATCATGTGCTTCTTGTCCTCGGGGTCTGCTTGATTGATCTTTTGAAGAATCTCGATCTCCTTCATGCCAGCTTTTCGCCTGCCAAAGGTCAGTACAGCCTCCAGTGATATAAAGGGGTGATCTTACATTGTCTCATTGTTTCTGATAAGTTTGATAGCAACCAGCTTCTTCGTCGTCACGTCCATAGCTCGAACGACCCCCGAAAACATACCTTTTCCGAGATTTGCCTGAACATGGTATCTACTGTTCAGCAACTCGCCGAGGATGACTTTGTAATAACCTTCAATGTCATCCCAGTTATCAAGCATACCGATATCGAGTTCTTTGGCTTGCGGAACAGGAACTGCTTTAGCGATATCATCTGAGGAAGCTGGCTTGCCATTGGGAATCGGATCTTCTGCAAACATGTCATCATCGTCTTCCGCAAACATGTCAAAATCGTCCTTGGACTTCTTTGGCTTGTCCTCGTCTTTGGCTGATTCGGTTGGAAGCAATACGTCTTGTTCAGTGGTTGGCAGGGTCTCGTCGTAGGCTCCAGAAGAGACGTCGTCATTGTGTCTGAGGTCATTTCGTTGTCTGTCTTCTCGCATATCTCCTGTTGGGTCGTAGTCTGCGGCTGACGGGCCATCCATTTCGTCACCTGGGGTGGTATCTCCATTGGTATTTGCGAGGTCTTGGTCATTTGTGATCAAGAAAGCAGAGGGCGATGCAGGATCTTGGGATTCAACTGGAGTAGCTGGAGTCGAGATGTTGGGGGAGGCTGCAAGACTGGGGTTAGAATGTCTACTGGAAGGTGGAGACAGAAACATACTGGATCGAGCAGATGGCGTATTGTCATCTTGCTGGCCGGGTGTCGAATCTCCTGACTTGTCTCCGAGTTGCAAGGCCTGCACAAGCAAGGGCGTGGCAGAACCTCTATACTTAGCTTTGATAGCTTCACGACGCTTCCGGCGTTGCTCAATCAGAGCTGCTTCATCAAGTGGCTCCTCTGCTGGAGCTCCCACAGAAGGCGTGTTGGAAGTGTCGTTCATCCTAGCAAATTTGTTAGCAAACATACAGAATGCAGAGCTGGGAAACTTACTTTTCAAACTCAATGTTCTTATTAGATTGGTCATTATGATGCTGTGAATATCCTTGCGTAGTTTTAGCCTCTCGTCTTGAATTATCAGCTGGCAGCGGGCTTGGTCCCCCTTTGCTCACTGACAGGTCCGTTCTCTCCCGACTGTAGTCCCCATTTCCGTAAGAATTGGGTCTGCGGTCTTCATTTCCACGACTATGTCGATCATCTCTTCTTGACTGTCCCCCTCGTCCGTGACGGTCTCCTCCACGATCTGATCGGTACGGTGACCTGCTCCGGGTTCGTGGTCTTTTCTCGGCATATCTATCTCGATCATCATATCGAAGGTCGGAAGAAGATGCAGGTCCACGATCTAGGTCTTCATACAAAACTCGTGAGCGGTATTTGTAATCTTGCGGGGCGTCTTCGTAGTGAACCTTGAATCTTCGCGGGTCTCGAGATCGATCAGTGTACTCCTCCTCTCTTGCTCTCTTCGAGCCTCGGAGTTGTCGATCAGAATAAGGTGACCGACTTCTGTCGCGGGATCTCCTATCTCTGAATCTACCACCATGCTCCGGTGACATCGATTTGGAATTGCTAGAGCGGTTTCTGTCTGGACGGTCAACGGAAGTGCCATCGTACATTGGCAGCGACGTAGTTGCCTTCTCTACATTCCCATCCCGAATCTCGCCCTCGTCCGAACTGGCTGGTGAAGCCATATTGAGTGCAGTTCTTGGACGTAGACCCCTGCCTTGTGGTGGAAAAGTTGTGTTAGCCAAAGCTCAGAACGGTAGTATCTCAATGTGAGAAGAGCCCAACCGGGTGCCTATCGTCTCTCCTTCCAGGCCTCAGCGCATTGTTCTCAAGCGTTGCGGGAGAATCAGGCTCAAGTCGAACTGGTGGTGTCTGTGGTGACGCGCCGAGGGGAATGTTGTTGGATATTAGAGAAGGCTCGACTCTGAGAAAGATGACGAGAAGGCCTGCCTCGGAGTCGGGCTAGCCGTATTTGGGATAGCGCGATATGTGCCAAAGTCTAAATCAAGAACCTCAGCTTCTCCCCGCCATCCTGCACTAACATCCCACTCTCACCTCCCAAAAAAACGCTACACGCTCACACGAATCAGCCTTGGTTCATCCCAGACGACGAATCTTGCATATCGCAATGGGAGGCGCTGACAGAGCAGGTATGCCGGGCACCGACAATCATCAGGCTGAAATCGCATATTAATCATCAACAGGAGGCAAGGCTAAGCCTTTGAAGGCCCCGAAGAAAGCCCCCAAAGCCGAGTTGGACGAAGAAGATAAGGCGTTCCAGGAGAAGCAGAAGGCTGGTGTGTACCCAGCAGTCTATGCAGCTCGATCATACACTAATCACAACAATAGATGCAAAGGCAAAGGCCGAGCTGGCGGCAAAAGCCTCGGGGAAGAAGGGGCCTCTCAATACCGGCAGTCAGGGTATCAAGAAGAGCGGAAAGAAATGAGCGACTCTACGATCTGGAGTGTTGTGCGTGAGATGGTTGAGCAGTCGATTTTCTTGGATAACACGGCGTTGATGGCATTAAGAGGATACAAGGCTGAGCATGGGATCGGCTAAAGCATGGCCTTGGGAGTCTGACGAATATACGATACACACTGCAGTGGCCTTTGTCGTTGGTTTTTCTGTAGTCATGATACGAAGCAGGATCAGGATTCAACCTCGCTTGCACCACCCCTTTCATGCAAGTCGCATTTCATTGCTGTCATGCCGAGGCTCATATCTCACCCGGTCAAGTTCCTACACCTCTGCCAGCAACCCTGGATCCTTTACGAGAGCTGTTGGATGTAGACGGGCTAAAACAGCCACGCGGAGTCCCAAAGGCCGGGTCAACCAAAAGTTTTGCTGGGTATTCTGGCCGCCATTTGCTCCCTTGACTTCTCTGTTCATGCCCAGACGTTAATCTGTATGCCTATGCATGTCGTCCCCAAATATCTGAGACCGGCGCCTCGCCCTACCACGAGCCGGCAAGTAGCTGTTCAAAATGGATCATTTCTTGGTATCATACCTTTCACTCCAATATTCCGTTTGATTTCTGCTCCTCTGGAGTGTGCTTCGTTATTAAATTCCAAGAGGAAAAGTCTCAAATGAGTCCCTTGACTCAATGATGCTGCATTCAAAGCATGGGGACTAGTGTTCTTTCACAAATTATGACTAGGACCCCCACCAGATGACTTTCCTTAAAAAGATCACTTAAAATGTCATCTCGAAGTCGAGACCGGGCACAAATTCAATCCAAAGACATTTCAGAGAAAGGTCAAAGTCAAAGAACGTCAAGGTATTCCAGTTGCAGGATGCGCAGAGTCCAAGAATAGTTCGCGTCTTCGAGCAGTCTCGATTCCTGGATTGATTACTGATCGAGATCACGTGCCGAATCTTACTTGCGTCGGTCCAACCCCACGTTGGAACCCTGAAAGATGGACGTGAGTAATCAGGCGTCCGGACTGTACTTGCATGCACCAAGCAGCCTATTAAATAATTAATTTGTAGGAAGGGGTCTACAGTGTGCACCTCGGCCTTCATCGTCATTGGCGACATCTCCTGGGCATATCTCTCGCTTATTGTCCTACGTGTGTTGTGTCACGTATTGGGGGGCATATTCGGACTTCATCCAACCCGAACCCCATCGGAGCTTCGGTGACGCGCATTCAACGGTGGTCTCGTTACCAATTCTGAAGCTTCGTTATGGCCGTTGATGTTCGCCGCTTAGAAAGCTTGATGGACGGAGACCATAATTATTGGCTTCTTCTCTGTCTGGGATGGAAATCAATCCCGCATCGCAGCAAACATGTCCGGACGACGCAGCATCATCAGTTTATCCTCCATCTATAAAAGAGGACCATCATCCCCTCGAAAATCATTCATTTTACATCAACATCGCCCTCGCTCACACCAAGCATCTTCACTTTCTTCAATCAAAAGCTCCACCTCCTACACAATCTCAACTTCAAATCAGCCTCACGATCATCAATCCCCAACCAACAAAATGGTGACCGGACCTCTCGTCGAGATGCTGGCCCGCAACAGGTAAGTCGTTTAGTCAAACAAGTATTCACACACTGACTCTTCCCAGCAAATTTTCAGAGACCTACACCGCACCTCCGCCATTGATGGAAATGAGAAAAGGAATGATCGCTACCGGAGCTGGAGTCGTCGTTCTCTCTTGTTCCGATCCCCGCCTCAACCCATATCAAATTTTGGGCATCGATGGCAAGACGGTCAAGGCGACCATGGTACGGAATGCAGGTGGCAGGGTATTCGACGCAATCAGAACTTTGGCCGTTCTCCAAACAATCGGACAGCCAGGAACAATCGTCGTAATGCACCACACTGATTGCGGAATGACACACTTCCACGACGATGCTATTAAGGAGGCATTGCTTCAAATTGCTCCGGAAGAGAAGGCCTCAATTGAAGCTTCGAAGTTCGGGGAGATCAAGGGCTCGTGAGTCTTCCGATCCGAGAGACTGCCCATTTGATGCTAATAGGAGAATAGAATTGAGGAGAGCATCAGAGAAGATCTTGCACTGATCAGAGCTTCGCCCTTGATCAAGAAAACTACTCAGGTTGTTGGCCTTAAATATGATATCCACACTGGTGTCTTGAGTCAGGTTGAGGAGACGAAGTGTGAACTATGATTCAGAGAACGTGCCAGAATTTGTAGGGAAACTGTATTATAGAATATCAAAATATGGTTATTTCATTGAAGGCCGTTATGTCATCCTTATCCCTTGCGTTCTCGTCGCAATCAATATGATGCTATTCTGATACGTGCTTCTACCCAAACCAAAGGATGGACGGCTCATCAGATGATGATAAACGAAAATCTCTAGTACCCCAAAGCTTTCTGTCTCACCAAGTGACACGGACAACGACAACTATTCCTCCTACACTTCGCATCCTCACACTTACAGGTCTTACCCGACTGCCTCTCCGCCGCAGGCAATGCCCTATGCCTCTCCTGCGCCGCGTTGCTAAACGCCACAGCAACATTCCCATCCCCAGCCTGTGCCCAAGCCAACCCGCCATCTACGCCCGCTCTTCCATTGCCTGAAGCCTCGAGCCGGATATCACGGCCATCTGTATACGCACCCGCATGCCCGCTTTTCCCTTTGGCTACTGCAAACGCGCCTGTGCCGTTGTTGATGACTCGCGCGTCTGCGTTACCGTATGAACCCGCTAAATTCCCTCTGCTGCTCTGGTTGTTTTCGAAGTTTATGGTGTCGCGGTAGCCTTGACCTAGTTTAGCCAGGTCTGTCTAGGATTGAAGGACAGGAGACTTACGTGTGACCTCCCCACTATTTTCAGATCTGTGACTCTGTTCGTTTCCCATGTTTATTCTTTATTTTTCTATCGGTAGATGTAGTTTGGGTGACGGTTGTTTTTGCCTTGTCGTTGACCTGTTGATACGGGGGCAGCACTACCGCCGACGAAACCTTAGTCTTTGGATAACTAGAAACATTCCAACTCGATTGAGCCTTACGTCTGGAAGCATGACTCCGTACGCTTATGCCACGCCCGAGTACAAGGCCCAAGATCGGCGGTTTGGTGCAGAAGGCGCGACCAGAACGAGTCTGCATGCAGCTGCACCATATTTGTAAGGACAGTGCTGTCAGTGCAGGATCAATGCTATTTGGTAAGTCCAATAGATTCACAGTGGCTTAAAAAAACCACTCCGAAAGCGTTTGCCGACAGATCAGAAGGGCGTTCTTGATGCAAGGCTCTAAGTTTCTTCAAACAAGCAGGGCGTACAACAGACAAGTTTTAAGCGAAGCCCCTCAATACCCCTACCACAGTTGATTCTTATCAACACCCACCTACATCCAGTCATGCTATATATTGCTCAAAGTCTAGACTCCTGGTCTTCCTGAGCCTGATCTTCCTTACTCTCCAAGGCCCCCGAAGATCCCCACAACTCCACAACAGCACAAGACTTCAACCTAAATCCGACACTTCAAGGCTCTCTCTTTAGCAACACATTCCGTACAAACAATGGGCGGTCTCGAAATCGGCGGAGCAGCAGCAGGAAGGTTTTCAGGCTACAAAGACGTGATCAGAAAGGGAGAAGGTTCATTTTACACGTCCGAGAGAACCATACAAGTGGGGGCTCAATAAACCTTTTATATCCATGGCCGTGTTCATATGATATATGGGCTAATACGGGTTTCAGGTTGGCAATAGCGTCTCGCGCCAAACGGACGTCGTATACTCCAGTGGCACTGCGACGGCGGTGATCAAGGAGAATGGGGACATGGTGGCTACCTCTAGAGGGGAGGGCTCTGCATTGGCCTACTCGAAGCGGGAGAATGTTAAGACTCAGGGGAAGTGAGATGCTGGCTTTGGCCTGTGAGGCATGAAGGAATGGCGCTTGTTGAGGGGATGGATGTGTCTAAGTTTTTCCCATTAGTTCAGCAGCCGAGAAATAACAAGAGGTTCAGAGTCGAACACTAACTTGACGCATTCCGGTTTTGACTCAGGAAGTGAGAAGTTATTTGAACTGCTGATGAAGTAAACTGACCTATGCTGAGCAAGTTTAGAACAGGGTCGGGTTTCGCTTAAGCCCCTTTTGCAAAAGGAAGAGGTCTCTCGCTTATGACGGTCACTTGACCTCGGGTTTCCTTAAAGAGAGAACCTTCACGTGGCATAAGATACCAAACTAGTTTGTACATAAAGTGTGTAAATACAGCCCTCCAAGCTAGTCACATATTCTGTCGCTCATTTTCAGTCCAGTCCCCCCCCTTTTCGCTGACCTCCGAGTTTGTTAATTTCTACGTCGGGATCTCAACGCCGCCCACCTTTTGCCTTTTGTGCATATGCGGATCTCTAATAGGGAACCTCAATGACACCGTTAGCTACAGAGTTGCAGTTTGGGTCCCCCATGTTGCCTCCGTTGCCAAACAACAACTTCTTCTTGCCTTGCACGGTGATGATCCTCAAGCTGCGCGAGTAAGCCGACCACTGGCCCACATTGACCACCTTCCACCCTTGCGGGCTAGCACTATCGTCATTAATGAGGACTGGTTCAAGAGAGCCGCTGCTGGCAATGATTACGCCTGAGCCGTCTGTCTTTGCTGGGTTAGGCGTCCAGATGACATAAGGGGAGCCCTTAGGTACGGTCTTGCTGGTATCGTTCCCGACCAGCGCAATGCCTGTCGCCGAGTTGAAGTTGAGCGGATTGGGGGCGGTCTTGTAATACACTGCACACTTTGCTGTACCGCAGTACTCGTATGTCATGATATATTGCTGCTTGGACGCGATGTATGCGACGGTGGTCATGCCCGGCCGATCATTTTTTGCAGAATAGGAGACGTCGTCGACTGCGGCAGACCAGGTATGGAGATCAGTGGTGGTAACGTGGACAAGCTTTTGGGAATGTGCTGAATCGCGTTGATCAGAGAAGTAGCACACCAGTGAGCCGCTGTACATCATGAGAAAGGGTTCCCAGATCGCTGCATGGCCAGTGGTGATATCCTCGGGACCGTTCCCGTAGGCGATGTGACTGACAAAGTTCCAGGTTTTTGCACTGTCCTGACTGACGTAGAGATCAATGTAGACTCCACCTTGCAGACTGAATGGGGCGGAAACGCCTGCAGCAAGTAATGTACCCGCGGGATATCCACCGAACGCTTGAGGCAGAGTGTACAAGAAAGGCTGGAAGCGCATGCCCCAACCGTTGACCTGGTCTTTGATGGCGGAGAAGTTGGACCAAGTTGCACCGCCGTCCACCGACTTGTAGATGGGGTGGTTGACCAAGGGAGGTTCTGCTGGATAGTTCTCCCATGTCATCAGGAGAGATTCATCTGGTAGCTGGAGAGAGCGTGCGTAGAGAGTCTTCCAATTGACGGCGTTGGCAGCGGGAAAGAAGAAAATGTTATCGTTAAAGTTCGTGAATGCGGCTGGAGTTGGGTTTGGCGTAACACAAGCCGATGCCGAGAGAATGCATGGCAGCAGAAAAAGGCTGCCGATGAGCTGGGTGTAGTGCATGGCGTTGATATGATATGAGTAGAGACGGCCGATCTGGCTTGTGGAAATGAGACTGTAGGATGGGATGATGATGGGAGGAGTTGTCGTTGTCCCAAGAAGGCAGACCGTTAGACTTTAAATACTCATCCTGGAACTTGAGCAGGTGCCATACTTTGGCAAAGCGAATGAGCAGTTCGGCTACTTTGAAAAAGTTAATACTTAGCTTAGCCCACTGGATTTTCAGAGAACCCGTAACAGGGCATCCACAGAGACGAGTGTCTTGAGAAGGTCCATCGAAAGCAATCATCCCTTGCACTAGCCCATATTCCCCACGGGGAATTTGCACTTCCCCTATGGAGTATCGGGAGAACTCCACAATTGAAAAGGTCATGAGATCGAAGACATTTGCTAGACGTTGTCTGTGGGTTCGCGCGGGATCGTGTGCAAGATTCTGTTAGGGCTCCCGGGTTGCCTCGCCGACAGGACTTGCTTCAACCAAATAACGCGGCTTTGATTGAATTGAGGGGCAGCTCCGCACCATAGTGCACGAAAGGTTCTTGGGGAGAGTCGGGAACTCTACTCCGCAAGGCTGGAGAAAACCAGGGGATTCCGTATCCCTCGTGAAGATGCTGACCTAATTATGAAAATAATGGACGCGCCCCGAGGCGCCACACGCCAACATTTGGATCAGCGACCAGCCACAGAGTTCGTTGTGCCCCGTCCCTGTCCATACGCAATAATGACCCTGCAGGTCGCGTCTTGGGTCTTGGGAGTCAGGAACACACGGGTTGATCAACGTTAAGCCAGGGACGGGTCGTGAGGTTCTGAAACGAGGGCCCGTTGTGACTCGTGACTGGGTTAGCCTGTAGTCTAGCCCACCGCCAGAATCAGGTAGAAGATCGAACTCTTGCGGAATGTCGGGAGCGAACAAAAGTTCTGCCACCAATCAGACTTTACGACAGCCTCACACTCATTACATTGTCAGGCAAGCGAATACGAGGCGTATATCTACGTGTACGAATAAGAGATTGCGTTACTCAAACAGGGGGGGGCCAACGCATCTGGGGATATGGGGGCCGGATTCATTGCTGGGCAACCCCTTCACACCAGATTCCCAGCATCTACTCTAGGGTGGGTACTTTACAGTAATAGAAAAGTAGAATACCGTTACCATGGTAATGTAAGGATCAGAGTAGATTACACCTTATATTACAGTCATGTGATGCACTAACCTATCTAGGTAAGAAGAAAGCGGGGGACTAGGCCCAAGAAGTACTAGAAACTCCCAATGGGGGGCATAGTCTCTTCCTTTGCCACTTTCCGACATGAGATCCTGGATTTTAGGCCTTAAAAGCCTGGAAAGTACGAGATATGTCCCGGTAAGCCCTAAAATTGTCCTCTTCCAGGCCTGAGAAGCCTCCTAAATTCTAGAACGGCTACGCCTCAACAACGCACGTGCTGTAACGATAAAAGCTCCTTACATTATGTAAAGATGAAAGTATAGTACATTATTACCGGTCTTGACACAATCACCCCACCCTAATCTACTCGTAAGCATTGCAGATCCCACAGAGACGTTGATCCAACGAAAAATCAGGGCGTTGAGTCAAGGTGTGGATTCTTGGACCTGTGTTTGGTGCGGGGTTTCCGTTGGTGGCTGGGCCAAAGCTCACCACCACTCACTACCGCTCTCTACCGCTCTCCACCCTCCCGTACTTCGTATATATGGCCCGATAATCCGCACCATTCGCTAATGCTGATTATGCTCATGCTCATGCTCGCTATGCAGCAGGAACGCTCCTCCTCCTTATCGCAGAGTCAGATCCGCTCTCCTTCTTCAACCAAGAGATCCATCTCAATTAGCAGGGGAAGTGCCGCCTATCCGAGGAAAAGAGCGGTTACGGCATGTCAGGTTTGCCGTGCTCGGCGAACAAAGTGTGATCAGAAAAAGCCTTCTTGTTCGTTTTGCGAGAGCATCGGAGCCGTGTGCAACTCAGATCCTGCCTCCCTATCCACCTTTGATCCGGCAAGCATTGCGATCATCGAGCGGCTAGACAGTCTAGAACGGAAGATCGATTCCATTCCCCAGCTCTCACACCTCCACCATGAGAATGGCAGCAGCAAAAATGCACATCCACATCACAAAAAACCGCTCGGAAACTTCTTGCCAGAAAACCTGGATGCAATTCTGAAGTGGCCAATTTTTCAGCCCCTGACTCTGCCTGTCACGCCAACTCCTAGTCATTGCAGCCCAGCCCCAATATGTTCCACCACACAGGCATCGGCTATCAGCCACGAGCTCCATCCACCAGCATGTAATCAGTGGCTAGATGCCTTCTTCCGTCATGGCCATTGCAAGAATCCAGTCTTGGATGAGCAGAGTACTCGACGTTTAGTTCGCAAAGTCTGCCAGGAAGGGGTGGGCTGGGATTCCGAATCATGTCTGGTACTTCTTGTTTGCGCGAATGGTGCTCTGGCTCGTCCTTTGCTCAGCCCTTCTGTCTCCACCGATGATGAATTTCATTTGTCAACTCCTAATGCCTTATTCGTGGCATCACTAAAGCGACTTGGTCCCACATTGGGGTCTGCAGGCGTTGTACAGGCGCAGTGTCTATTTCTCGCAGGTGTTTTTCTGATGTCCACTCTACGGCCGTTCGACGCATGGCGCATGTTTCTGCAGTCGCTCGCTATCTGTCAGAGTTTCACATACTGTGACCAACCTGACCCCCTAAGTGACGGCGAGTCCGGGTCCACCGTGGAAGCGGAAGGAAGCATTTATTGGTCTGCATGGAAGTCAGAGAGGGAGTTGAGGTGGGAGTTAGGCCTCCCTGATTTCGGCGACGTGGGTCTTAACACACCACGAACCTTTCCGAGCTGTTCTGAAAGTTACGAAGGCGACAGTCTCCGAGCCTGGTACTTCTATCTATCTGAAATCTCACTTTGGAGATTGGAGATAGCAGTAAAGAACGAAATGAGAAGCCTGGTGGCCGAGACACCGGCTCAGGTGCTTGATGCTCTAGCCGATATAGCTGACGAAAAAGTTCAGCAAGTCATAGCTTGGCAAGATTCATTGCCACCTAGTGTGAGCATTGCGGAACATGAGTTACCAACAGGAGATGACGGTGATATTCTTAGATTCGTTCTCAGAGGGCGCACCACATATTTCCATGAGCTGATTTCATGGCCGTTCGTCTTCGCGGTAGTCAACGACGAGGAAGATGCACCAAGAGTCAGAGAGTGGGCGGCCAGAGGCTTCGCTTTCCATCTTGAGAGATTGAGTATCAACCGACCAGGATTCTACCACAGGCATCACGGTACTTGGTTAATGGTGCGGTCTTCTGCTCGAAGCGCATGTATCTTGCTTGCAGGCGCCCAGGTTTCGTCCACATCTGAATTATTACCACCAAACTGGCAGGAGGCTGTCGAAGCTACTATTTTGATGCTCCAGTTCTGGAGTACCGATTGCGCAGAACTAGCTATTACTATCGATATTTTGAACCGCCTTTTCTCGAATATTTACCAGCAACAATGAAGACGCTCTCGAATGTTTGCTGTAGGAAGATGCCATACGTATATTAATAAGAAACCATAATGCTCGACATGCAGGTGAATGAATTCTTACTGTTCTACCGGTATCTGAGCTACTTATAATTCTCCATCTACGCTGACCGTGACTCCTCAAACTTTCCACTGTAATCATTGTGTGATTATGAAATGTAAATTTTCTTGGTATATGTCAGAAGACAACCAATGTTACACCTTTATGATTCATCTATCATCTAACGCGGACCGCCATTTCGCTCTTTATAACCAGGTAATTCCTCGTACTGCCTTGGAATCGCCCGCAAAAGCTGCCACCTCGATTGTGACCTCCTGGCCTGGTAACACAAATTCACCAGCCACCCACCGCTGAAGAGGTCTTACCGATACGTCTATTGTGACACCCTTGAGTTGTCCGATATCCAAGTCTACCGGAAGGAAGCCCAAGAGCACTCGAGACGGGAAGTCGGGCATCTTTACGAGTCCATAGACTTGAAGAACATGCCTTCCGCCACGCGGCCCAGTATTTGCGACATCAACATGAATCTGCATGGTGTCCATAACATCGCCGCAGCCCAAAGCGCCGATGCGAAGATCTGTGATGGAGAAGGTGGTGTATGACAGGCCAAAACCTAAGGGAAATCTAGCTTCTTGACCAAGCTTGTCGAGCAGGTTCTGGCCATGCCAACGATCATATTTGATCTCTGTCGCGTCAATGTCAAAGTATGGAAGATGGCTCTCGTCTTTGGAAATAGAGAAAGGCAACCTCCCACTAGCATCAATGTGGCCAAGCAAAACATCAGCCAGACCGTGGCCACCTTCTGAGCCCGCATACCAACTCATAACCAATGAAGGGACCTGGTCTATCCATTCCTCCATGATAACGGCACCTGCCGCTATTATGGACACAACCGTGTGTGGATTCGCAGCAGTGACGGCTGCGATCAATTCAGCATCTTGAGATCGCAACCTGAGCGATCTGCGGTCCCCACCAGCCCCAACCTCAAGTGCAGATTCCAGCTTGCCATCGCTTGCATCTCCCTTCACTATGGCCAGCGTTTCTTTCTCTTCCATTGTTTCGGCAGGAGGCAACAAGTCTAGCAGGCAAACATCAGACTGTAACGATGGAACAACGTATTCACCTTCGTCAGTCGCATCATATCCTACCACACAAATAACGAGATCGACCTTTTCTGCAAGCTCCCTTGCCCGTTCCACCGAATCAGTTTCCTCGAGGATAACATCAGCTTGGGGAAATGCGGCCCTCAATCCTTCGACTGGCGTCACCACATGAGGAGCAAAGACTTGAGACGAACCCCTGTCACCAGTATTTGGAACATTGGCCAGTCGTCCGACCACGGCAATTCTCGATACCTTCCTTGGATCGAGTGGTAGCAGAGGCTTGGCATCAACTTCAACTGGTTCATTCTTCAGTAGAACGATTGATCGACCTGCTACCTCCCGAGCCAATGTCCTATGTTCCTCGCAGAACACGACGGAGGATTCGGCTTTACTTGCACCAATGTTCGCTGCGAACTCAAGCTGCTTCCGTAGTATTCTTGAACAAGCCATGTCTACAACCGACCAGTCAAGCTCTCCGGATTTCAACGCTTCCATAAGGTGCATGGCCCTCTGTTGTCTGAAGGGAGCCTCGATATCCAGACCATTTTTCAATGAAAGTGGGGCATCTCGAAGACCAAAAATGAAGTCTGAAATGACGAACCCATCGAATTTATACCCGTGTCGTAGAATGTCCGTGAGCAGAAGTTGACTTTGACCAGCCCATTCGCCGTTCACTGCGTTGTAGGAGGACATCACAGATGCCACGCCACCCTCGATGATGCGCCTAAAATGCGGGAGATAGACTTCATGCAGAACGTTCTCCTCAACCTTCACATCTACTCGAAAGCGAGCATTCTCCATCGAGTTCAGCGCAAAGTGCTTAACACAAGCCATGATATGGCCCTGCACACCTTGTGCAAGGGCAAGACCGAACTCCCCCAAGAGTATAGGATCTTCGCTGTACGTCTCTTGAATACGACCCCATGCAGGATGGCGCGGCAAATTGACGCACACCCCGGCGAAATAATTCGCACCCTGTGCCTTTGCTTCCAGACCGATTGCATCGCCGATACGTCGCTCCAACGCGATATCCCAGGTTGCGCCGCGAGCCATGGACACCGGGAAGGCCGTCGAGGCGCCCATGACAACTCCACGAGGACCGTCTGTGAAGCGGATGCCGGGGATCTCCAGACGTGGGATTGCGCCCATAACAAAAGGCACCCGGTTGTAGCGGTCACAAAGGATTCCTCGTAGGCCTTCGTAGAATGGCACATCGCCATCGAGGAGGTAGAGACACTCGACTTTACTCAATTCCGAGAGCAGTCTTTGCGTTGTTTGAGACAAAGGCTCTCCGTTTTCAAGGGCTTGAACTGCCTGCTGAAATGTGTATGTCGGTATTACCGTGTCTGTCAGATGGGGATCTCTGAGCAAAGTAGAGCCTGTAGTGGTCAACATCTTGATGTCGTCTAAAGGGTGTGTTCTCAAAGGTCTGGGGTTCTGGGAGAAATGGAAATGGTTCGTGGTGAAGAGAGATGAAGCAGGCTAGAAAGCAGTTCCCCTTAATGAAGCGGAGACTAAGTTAAGATCTAGGTCTGTTTCCGTCTACACGCTCAGGGACTGGGAGCACATGATGTCGGAAAGTCCACCTACAGCTTCCAAACACCAAAGTCGTTTTTTGGATGTCGTGTCGTGTCGTAAAAACAATCCGTGGAGCAAATAAAGTCCTGCAGTGCCGACATTCCGCGTCATACAGTCGGTCCGATCCAAAAGCGACAAAACGGTCGCCCTTTTATATCCATAATAACTTTTTAATCACAACCCCGAGTATTGCAAATAGCAAGGAACAGTGATTTTGCATAAATGGTTGTCTGATTAAAAGAAGCTCTGAAGGGAGCCTCTGGATCTAGCTAACTAAAAGGGGGCCGCTGAGTAAGCGAAGCTAAGCTCCCTAGTACCCGTATCCATACGACACCGAGTAATTAATACTAAGTAATGCAATTATAGAGAAGAAGCAAGCGAATAAAACCTATTAATCAGATTTTTAATGCGATTTGTGATTAATTAGTAATCGAGTTTTGAAGTGTACGGACGTTTCTTACTTTTTTGATTTCTGACCATACAAAACGCCAAAATATTTCACGAAAGTCACGTGTACCTAAGTAAATAATAAATTAAACTTAGACTTATAAGGTCTTATAAAGCTCCTTAAGCTTCTATAAGCTTGGTATATCTAGTAAGAGCTTAAATTTAAGAGTTATTACTAAAGAGAATATAAAGTATAAAAAGTTTATGATTTTAATCACGTGCAGCCTCGTATACTATACGAGATGTGATTTTTTACTCTTACAAAACGCCAAAATTTCTATGCGAGCTCGTATAAAAATGGTCACGTGCTTTGTAACTTCTGTAATATTAAAGGTATTAAAAATCGGAGACCAAGGAAATAATTACTATAAGATATACGATAGTTCCGATTAATATGATTTATATCAATTAGTATTTTGGTAGACTTTTTTTTTTTGTCGCTTTTGGATCGGATCGACTGCACTCGTAGGCGATTTGATCGCCTGGGGAATATCGGCAGCAACTGCAACTGACTAATGCGTTTGCGCCATTGTAAATGACCACTAGCAGCCCCTATTCCAAGAATACGCTAGTCGGGAAGTATCGGCTGCGCCTGTCTCACGAAAATGCCACACGTTGTCTCTCTCTCCACTGCCGTCCGAGAACACCCCCTCTACCGAAGATGGTCCCGGTGTCAAGCCTATGCGCACAAATGAGAGACGACACGGACTATTCATGTCTCACTTCTGTCGAATAGTCTTTGGTCTGTCAAGTCAAGCAATTAACCTGACTTTTTATCCATGCGGCTGGGATGATTCCCGGCTAGTATACTGCATTACTGGAGTCATGATCCAACATTCTATCAAGCTGAGGCACGCTAGCGGCTGTGGGGACTGGGGACCCCGCTCGGTGCCATACGGTCGGATTCTCTAGCAGAAGGCTATATAACTCGCGACCTTCTCGACATCCCTCTCGACATCTCTCGACGTCAGTGTTGTCTCTACTCAACTTCCTCAACATACGAGCAGGCAACCCTTCCTATCCCCGGTTTCTTTACAAGTCACCCATTTGCCTCCCAACATGGCAATCAATCCTAGGACCTACCAAGTAAGTTGTCCCGTGTAACTTACTCTGGCATCTTCTAATACCACGAAATAGTTTTTGGTTGGTGTTTTTGCTTCGTTAGGCTCGTTCCTTTTTGGGTACGCATCTTGGGACAAAGTTCGAAAACTCGGCCGCTGAAGCTTGTAGATACGATCTCGGTGTGATTGGTGGCGTCGTCGCATCCAAATCCTTTGAGTCTACTTTCAAAAATCCAGGCGCAAATGAGGTGTACGTCCATACCGTATCCAGCTTGCGATGGGAGCTAATTTTTTGTTCAGCGGCGCTGTGGTCTCTGTTTTTACCGGCGGCGCCTTCGTTGGTGCTGCTATTGCCGGACCTGCTGGTGATTGGTTTGGTCGCAGAATGACCATTATGATGGGTGCCATCGTCTTCTGCTTAGGAGGCGGCCTCCAGTCAGCTGCTCAGAATCTCGGGTTTTTGTACTCTGGAAGACTTATTGCGGGATTGGGTGTTGGGATCATGGTTATGATCATTCCACTATACCAAGCCGAGATTGCTCATCCTTCTATTCGTGGACGTATCACAGGTCTCCAACAGTTTATGTTAGCCATTGGAGCCACTGTCGCTGGTAAGTGTCTTTATTCCCGGAATACCTCAACGGCGCTGAACCTTTCATAGCTTGGACTACCTATGGCACCAATCTCCACCTTGGTCCTACAAACAACAACCAATGGCGCATTCCCCTTGGAATCCAGATTGTTCCTGCTGGAATATTGGCCATTCTTATTCTTCTCTTCCCAGAGTCTCCAAGATGGCTCATCGATCACGGCAAGTCGGAACAAGGCTTGGAAACACTAGCTCGACTACACGCCAGCGGTAACGACCAGGACGTCTGGGTGCGATCCGAATATGAGCAGATCGAAGCTGCCATCGCCCACGAGCATGAAAACTCTGCTAAAGGGTATCACGATTTGTTTACGAACAGGTCAAGCTTCCGACGTCTCGTTCTTGTAACGGCTCTCCAAGCATCTGTACAGATGACTGGTGTATCAGCAATTCAATACTTCTCCCCGCAAATTTACGCCACCTTGGAGATCCCTACTCAAGATGCGTTGAAGTACCAAGGCGTTAGCAACATTCTATCAACTCTGGCAATTCTTTGCACGATTCTCTTCATCGACCGACTTGGCCGCCGATGGCCCTTGATCATTGGCAACCTGATTAACTGTCTCTGTTTCATCATCGTCACAGCCGCAATCGCCTCTTTTCCAAACGCGTCGCGCTCGAGTCAACATTCCTTAGGCTGGGCTTTTATCGCGACGAATTGGGTGTACCAGATATCGTTCTCATTCACGTGTGGCTCTCTCTCGTGGATAATTCCTGCTGAGATTTTCGATACCAAGACCAGATCCAAAGGTGTTTCTCTCGGCGCGATGGTCTCATTCGCCTTCAACACGATGATCGGACAAGTCACTAGCCCAGCTATCAACAGCATCAACTGGCGCTACTTTCTGCTGTTTGTTGTATGCAACTTTACTAATGCCATCTTCTTCTGGGCGTTTATGCCTGAGACTGCGAAGCGCCCACTGGAGGAGATGAACGCCTTGTTTAGCGGTTCGTCCTGGTTTGTTCCGACAATGAGGAAGGAGGACTTTGAGACCCATGATCTAGAACAGAGACTGGCAGAAAACGAACAGAAGGAAAAGGCAATAGCTGTTGAGCATTCCGCGGAGGACTGAGGCTCCTTTGGTGTGGATCTTGAAAGGGTGAAGCGATGGCATACGGCCCTTCTGTGTATCGTTGCAAGTTTCGCAAGCCCAGAGTCGCCCCTAATCTCACATGTAATCCGATATTTGCTCTCAATGAGAAGGTCCTACATTATACTTATTGATAGCGTCCACTACCATGTCTAGGGACAGCACTTCATCCCTCTATAGCAATTACATAATCTATATTCTTTCTATTGCTGTTGGCAGAAGTGTGGATTGGTCATGAAGTCATATATAGTGGCAGATGTTTGTCTTCATTCTCTGTTATCTCCTTGATTTGCATTTCTATTCTGTATCTCTTTTCCTAATATTTGGTGGCTGCTACGTCGTGCCTATCTTGATCCCCGGTCCATGTTCAGCGGCCATTCCTCTCGACTATACCAAATACAGCTATAACTGCATGGCCAAAGTCTAGGGCAGGTTCTTAGGTGGTCGTCAAGGATCAGAACATTAAAATGCGAACTTGCAAAAGTACTTAAAGTACACACCTCGTAGTGCCGTACTTCATGTATTTGCCCAATTTTCCATGATACCCATGTCTTTTGTCATCTTCGCGTGCGTCATCAATTTTTCTAGTTGAGATTATCCGTGTGATAGTTACTGGCTTCGTAAAGCTTTCATGTATCTCAGGCGCCCACAAGTGTGCCGAGGCTTCTGTCTGCCAGAACCAATGCGCACAGCGATTGCAAAGATGTGTTCTGAATCCTAATAAAGATGCGTAGTTTCCACGAGGGGGTATTGCATAACTGCAAGCACACTCGTCATTGACCTTGGTAATTGGTCACGTGATAATAATGCGTCCAGCAGGCTTTGATGGCATGGACAGTTGTGAGATACCGAAGTACAGATCTGTTGAACTTCAAGTCTACGCCACATAAATCAATATAATCTCACAGCTAGAATCCCAATTCTCACAGCTAATTCAATCCATTATCTGCCGTCAACGTGGCCGTTCTTTTTCATTCAGGGGCTCGCTTACTTAGACTACCGCCTCGACTTCTCCGCAAGCTTGTCTTCCTGTTCGTACGTCGATACGCCTACTTGGGCTTGCGGAGTATAAACATGATTGGGGCTGCAAAGTGAACCACAGTATAACTGGATGGTTGTTTGCTATTACAATGATTGTTATCGCTTCATTCCTGACCAACCTCTATCCCCTTCAAACACCACAGCTCCAAGAATCGCTTACAACTATATACAAAGCGACCTCCTCTCCTCAACTCTCCTAGCCCCCAAAAGCCCATTTACTTCTTAGCAGCAAAGTGCGGCGCATTAAGCACAATGCCCATCAATACGCCACCCAATGTGCCCGCAATGGGGATGGTGGCGATCCAAGAGAGGAGCAAAAGGCCGACTCGCTGAAAGTTCACGGCTTTGAGAGTACCATTGCAGAGACCGACACCCACAGTAGCACCAGTGATACACATGGATGTTGAGACAGGGAGAGAGAATTGCGAGAAGACGAGCACGGTGATGGCAGCGCCCATTTCCATGGAGGATCCGCGGGAGGGGGAGTGGTAGGTGATTTTGTTGCCCATGACTATTTAAATTCTTGTCAGCAAAAATTGGAAATGTAAGAGAGGAGGAGGGGACGCACCCTTCATGATGTTATATCCGTACGTAATCAGACCAAGAGAGATCATCGCAGACAGGACAACCAGCTGCCAGACTGGCACGGGTGCCTTGGCAGCCGCCGCAGTACCAGTGTGCCACGCACCGTAGATGACGGCCCAAGGTCCAACCGAGTTCCCAATATCATTCGCACCGTGTGCAAAAGATGCCGTACACGCGGTCAAAATCTGCACAAAAGAATAAGTGTGCTCGACCTCGTTCGGGTATTTCTCCGCGTGGTCGTAAACCCTCTGCATCCTGGCTCCATCAGGGGTACCAGCGATACCAGTTTGCGCAGCATGGATGTCGTAGTGCAGGCCGTAGAGAAGACCAACAGTGACCATGGCCGGGATACGCTTCAACAAAATCTTCATGTTCTGAATCTCATAGACTTGTCCTGGTCCCATAGGGTTATCGCGCAGCGTGCGCATGCCCCAACCGATCGGGCCGCGCTTCTTGAGGAGCTTGGCGTGCAGTCTGTCCTGGCCTTGAGCCATGAGTTCTTTGTAGGTTGGTTGGTTGGTCTCTCCTGCGACAAGCTTCTTCTCGTTGTCCTCGGCTGGGCTGGGTACAGGCTGAATTCCCATTTCCGTCTTTTTGGCATCTGCCTCGGAGCCGGATTCGACAGAGCGCGCGGAAGAGTCGACGAGGTCTTCGTCTTCTTGCACGACGGAGTAGTTGGGTACGTTGGCGACGTCGGCATTAGCTGGTGCAGGACGATTCAACAGAGCAGGGCCATAGATGAACATCCACCATTTGACGGTGTTATCTTTCTTGATGACTTTGGCGTGGACGTAAGGAACGAAGAAGATTGCTGACAGGAGAGCGAGACCAGCACCAGTGCCCAAAGTGACGGTAGCGATGTACCACGCCGGCTTCTTGTTCAGGCCGAGTTTGGGGGAGCCTTTGTAGACAATGGACAACGTGCAGATTGTGCCGGCGATCAAGAAGAAGAAGGGTGCGGTGAAGACGGCCCATGGGACGGGATTCTTGCGCATGTGGACGACGAGCTTGACGAGCATGAAGATGGTGGCGGCGAAGCCGCCTGAGATGACGGGTGCCATTCCGAGACCAGCAAAAATGGCTCCGAGTCCCTTCCCATTGTTCCATCCCCATTGTACCTTTGAGGCTCCGACAGTTGCAACACCGACTCCGGCAACGGCCGAGATGAGAGAGTAGGTTGAGGAGACGTGGGCAGAGTGTCGTGTGCACCACATGACCCATGTCGAGGCAGCTGCAAGAGCACAAGTGAAAGCGAGCATTTGAACTCCGGCATTTCCTTGGAAGGCGGCGTTTGGAATGATACCATTCTTAATTGTGTCTGCTGTCCGTGCTCCGACCGTGATGGCTCCGAGCATCTCGAAGATGGTGCCGAATATCATTGCTTGTCTGTAGCTGATGGACCTGGAGGAGACACTGGTCGCCCAGGCGTTCGCAACATCGTCTACCAGTCTGTCAATATTATGACACCAAGAGGAGGGGTTCTGAGATACGCACTTGCTCCATTGTTGAAGGCATCGAGCATGGCAAAGAACGTGCCGATCACGAAAATGTAGGTGTATTGGCTCAACATCTTGAAGAGCAGTCGAATATCACACAGGATAGATACTGGTGCTGGATGCAGGGGATACAGAAGAGAGATAGAGAGTGCGAGGAAACAGCATTTTATCATATCTCATGTGCAATGTAGTCGGGACTCAGCCATCAGGTCAACCCCACCATCGCATCTTGGCTGTAAAAACCTTCATCCTTAGTGGCAATCTCATATCGCGCTCTGCACTTAAAAAGACCTCAGCGCCCGTGTTCACCTGGCAGAATATGATTCGCAATGAGGCGTTGGACCAGCGCCTCGGTCCAGCATCTAGCCATACCCAGCTGCTGGATCCGTCCTGCAAAATTCGATAATTGCGTGGGATCAACTTGGCAGTCTGCTTGGCTATGACTTGGCATCGTCTTGGAACGTCCGAAGAAGGCTTTATATATCTTGCATTTAGTGTAGAGTTGCAAGTGAGGTTGGGTGCTGCTCTTGGCGGGGAAAGCTTCGCCGTATGAGAAGTGCGGGTGTCCCCACGTGGGTGCTCGCTCACTCGGGCCAAGCGCTACGGTGCAAAAGTGGTGGATCCCGCTGCGTGCCAAGAGTTCCTCTCCAGAACACGACTTTTTGCACTCGCAGGATTGGGCGTTGCGGGATGCGAACTGACTTTGGATAAAGAGCCAGGAGTGCAAGGGAGAGAAACCAGAGGGCTGGTAGTCCAATCGATAGAAGATAAGAGGTTGTGAATGCTGGCACCCTGTGCTTGAAGCCCCTTTTTTAAGCGAACCGAGAGCCTCGAACACACATGGCACTGAGCTCTTAAATGCACTCTCACTCTCATGCTGGACATAGAGAATGAAATTGATGGCTGAACTTCCATCTGTCCTCTGGTCTCCGAAACAAACTATGGTCCTCCAGGTAGGTCTTGCTGCAAACACAGTCGAGCCGTGGAAATATTCTAGCCCGGTGGAATGAAACGCACTGGGGCTAGAGACGCAAAATCGAAAGAGATACGTGACCATACGTCTCAGGGAACGCTTGAAATTATCTGCTTCGATAGGCAGACAAAAGAACTAATTGGAGGTAAGTCCTATACTTGCAAAAGGTGAAAGTTATGCCGGCCGCAGATTTCGATTGACACTCGCCGATTTCAGTTCTTTCAACAAATGTAGAACTTTCACGGACTAATCAATCGCGACTTTGATCTCGGAATGACAAATCCATTTTTAGCTGGACAACATATTGCTACCAATTCATAAATTCTATGACAAACAACATCTGATGCGCGAAATGTGACGCAAAGAGCACAAAAGCAGAGGTTGGAATCTTCCTAAGATCGCTAGAATGACAACCCCGGCTGTAAAGTGCTCCCTTAGTATCCCTCAAACCACGAAACAGAATGTAAGATGCTTCCCTGCTATCTAGACCGACGCGGTACGCCAAAAAGCAACAACAGCCTCCAAAAAGCCCACAAAAGAGCCCCAAGAATCCTGAGCAGAAGATTCTTCCACATCCTCCCCACGTCGAAGCTGCAGCTGCGGCCTGTAGCCGGACTCTCTGGCTGTCTTGGACCCTACCAAGCGGGAAGAACAGCGTGAAGAAGCAGTGAAGTTCGTGCTGATCACCTATGCTCCTTCCGCACAGCTGTGCATGCTACTCAGTCGCCACAAAACGCCACCCTGGCGGGTTCCGTCACCTATCGTTCTGCTGGCGTGCACATTGTGACCTCGCATACCCCACGTCTTGTCACGGAAGCTCATTATCCCTGAACACGCCTAGCCCGGGCGCCCATGAATCTGCGTTAGTGCCTGAGATTGTGACGCCATCACCGGTTCGGCAGTTGCAGCTTGCGAGATGGTCGCTTTCGCAGCAGAAGCCTTCATGTCCACAGCTGAGGACACCGGCGTCGGAGAGGGAGCTGTAGAGACCCGCTGTTGCATTGTCTGCAGACAATCCTACTTAGATTTGCACGAGGGGTTTTGAACTTGAGAGGCACTGACCGTGGGTACAATATTGCGGACAGCTTGAAGATGCCCAGGTTTTTCTGTGCAAGAACCGCGAATGTATCCTCCAACAGCACTTCCAAACGGATCAAAACATGATCCATTGTCGATAAAATTAGCTCCCGCTTGACAGCATGTGCTTGCAGTAGAGCTTGTGCATGCTGTATCGTTTGCTGAGACTTCGTTGTCTAGAAGTAGCATGTTTTCGCGGTGGCTGCTCTCGACCCGTTAACCAAAAACAGAAGTACAGAGCACTCGTACAACCCGACATGAAGGCTTCGTGCAACTTTGCCAAAGCCAAAGTATATATATTGCGACCAGAAAAACAGAGATCGAGAACGACAGTGACAAACAGGTGGAGAAGTAGAAATCGGAATTTTTGAATATGGATTGCTTGTATTGCAGGACTTGGGGCTGGAACCTTGTTTTACCTCTTTATTTCTCTCCCGTCGACGCCGCAGACCTTTTCCAAGTGGGTCAGAGTGGAGGAAATGCTTGAAAGGAACTGGCTCGATTCTGAGGGTGAAGCTGGGGAATGAACTTATTCAAGGGAGCAGAGGCTGTGCCTCGCCTGGCCCCGAAGTGGACTTGCTCTCATTCCAACCTGGGTGGTGGGTAGGTTCAAAGATACGAGAAGGGAAAGCTTCTGGCGTTTGAGCAGCAGAGCCTCGAAGGATTCATTCTTGGATCATGAGAGCCCATTCGATTCCCGCTTGGCTGAAGATTTTGAAGCTCTCCTGCCCGAGGTTGGACCAGGTTGTAAACGTTTTGTCACTCGACATCTTCCAACGAATCCCTCTTCCATTCTTGCAACTTCACAAGTTTAAACGTCCCAGAATTTGGAGTCCTTCTCAATTTCACTATTCTATATTTGGACAAAAATGGTGAGATTTTAGTGGAGTTTAAGAAATTTCCGGCGCTGGCATTGGCCCTCTACCGTGTCTCGACGTTTTTCAGACAGGCCAGCTTTTTCAGGAAGGGAAGTGACCTTCCATCAAAAGGATTAAAAATCCGATTCAAGCACTTTCGAACTGGATCAAAAACGCAAGTGATGAACAAGCATTTGATCTCTGGCTTGGCAGCTATTGGACCCATCGTCTTAAGCCAATCAGAATGCCCGGAAGATCATGATTTAGGGCCCGTCGCAGGGGCACAAATGCCAATTTCAGGGGCTGACGAGCGAAAAAGAAGACAGACAGCCAACAGCCAACGCGCTTACGTTGGCTTTACACTTCCATGTGAGAGTAGTGAGAAAGAGTTAAATCAGAGAGAACAACCAATTTTTACAGACAAAATACGATTCTGCAAGGCGAAGCTCCCTTAGCGGCCGCCGTCAAGCCAAAAAAGCTTGCGGTTGTCAGGGGCGCGGGTGGCTGGGGAGGCGGGAGCAAGCGAGCCAGCTGGAGATCAGAGGCGTTGACCCCTTTTTCAGGGATCTGCAAATGTGTCCGATCCCAGCACCAATCACTCTTTAAATGGAAACCTCAAACGCCGCGAACCTGCTTCTTGAGATGCTAAGTCATCATCTAAACGCGCCCACAGCTGCGAGTTGGCACGGCTTCAATGAAACTGCCGCCGTTCAGCCCCGCGACACTCCCTAAAGGCTGAATCTTGTCAACTGTACCGAGAACTTTGACGCCATCAGAAGCACACGACATCCATTGCCCTCTCCCTGCCAGCTATTCCTGACACTCGATGGACTACGAGCCCGTCTCTTCGTCCGAGTTTTTCTCCTATGAGTACAAGGCTCGCTATCCGCCATCGTTCATGAACAGAGCACTCCGCCGGCTGCAGCGGTATGGAGTTGCGCCGCCTACCCTCTCCACACGGCAGATCCGCTACATTGCCTTCGCCATCTTCGTACTTGTAATATACACTGTATTTATACCTTCCCACGAACCACCACCACCACCACCATCATCATCATCACCACTAGATAACGGAGGTTTCGGCGCCGGCGAAGACTTCGTGCCCCCAACGCCAAAACCTCCTCCTCCCTCCAAAGGCAGCTCGAACAAAAATGCTAGTCCATTTCGAATACAAGCAAAGTTTGGGACCGAGACTGCAGCTGCGAAGGGCATAAGATTGGAGAGGCAGAAAGAGGTTAAGGAGGCGTTTATTCACGCGTGGGAGGGGTATAAGAAGCATGCGTGGCTGCACGATGAAGTGCTGCCCATATCAGGGGGGTATAAAGACCCATTCGTCGGGTGGGCCGCAACGCTTGTCGACGGCCTCGATACACTGTATATCATGGGCCTGCAGGAGGAATTCGAATACGCATTAGAAGCTCTGGAGAGTATCGATTTCAGCAAGCCGAATGTGGAGAGGGTACCCGTGTTTGAGACAACGATCAGGTACCTCGGTGGTATGCTGGGAGCATATGATATCAGCGGGGGGAAATATCCGATTTTGCTAGAGAAAGCGGATCAATTGGGCGAACTTCTCTTTCGTGCTTTTAACACGGCGAATGGGATACCGGTGCCTTATTACTTTTGGCGGAAAGAGGATAAGAAACTGCAAGGGGAGACCAATGTTTTGATTGCGCAGATGGGTGAGCTCGGGAACATTGAAAGGGTAAAAGGGATATGAAATGCTGATCATCCCAGGGTCCCTCTCGCTCGAATTCACACGGCTTGCTCAACTTACTGGGAAGAAGAGGTACTTCGATGGGATATCGAGGATTACAGGCTACTTGGACCAAGCACAGAACCACACTCTGATTCCGGGGCTGTGGCCTTGGACGGTCGATACAACGGGTCCTGATTTCCCCTCTGCAACCTTCACTCTAGGTGCTTGGGCCGACTCCTTGTATGAGTACTTACCAAAGGTAGTCCCACCCCCTTCGCCAAACGTGGCTCGGTATACTAAGATAAATAGGAACATATCCTTCTCGGCGGAAAGAGCGACCAATACCTCCGCATGTACAACACAGCTCTGGTCCCCGCCAGCGAATACCACTTCTTCAAACCCAAAACACCAGGCGACCAAGACATCCTGTTTACCGGGAAGGTAGAAGCCAGCAGCGGTTCCCCCGTCCTCAGCACAGAAGTGCAGCACCTCGGCTGCTTTGTAGGTGGTATGGTCGGTCTCGGCGCACGCATCAACGACTCCCCCTCCGAACTCGCGATGGCCATCCGCTTGTCTGATTCCTGCTACTGGGCGTACACAAACACCGCCTCTGGAATCATGCCTGAGGTCTTCTACATCGATCAATGTCCCGCTGAAGGCTCTTGCACCTGGACCGACGAGGAGAAAACCGGGTTGGGGAAACAATATGGATTCACACGGGTCGATGATTCGACCTATCAGCTCCGACCGGAAGCGATTGAAAGTATCTTCATCATGTGGCGCATCACAGGCGATCCAGAGTGGATGGAGAAGGGGTGGCGGATGTGGCAGCCTATTGCAAATCACACGCGGACCGAGATCGCCAACGCGCGGTTACGCGATGTGACGAGCGTGAGTCCGAAGCAGGAGGATGGTATGGAGAGCTTTTGGTTGACGGAGACGTTGAAGTACTTTTATTTGTTGTTTAGTGAGCCGGGGACGGTGAGCTTGGATGAGTTTGTACTGTGAGTTGCCCCTCCCCCCTGCCGCGAGCCGGTGCTGACGAGATTTAGAAACACGGAAGCGCATCCCTTCAGACAGCGAGATCATTTACTGACTTGAGCACAAAAACGGCGTTGGGGAAGATTTCAGGATGCCATGAACACATACTGTATATAGAAAAGATCTTGCGGCCACTAGAGGCTGGACAAATGGGTGGGTTTCTCAATAATTTCCTTAGAGGAAGGGAGCTGGAGATCAATGGTATAATAGAAATAAGTACAATGACCACTGAACCTTCTTCGTCATTTCTTCTCTACTTTATTTTATTTTTCATCGCATTCAAAAGACAAACCCGCTAAAACATGACACAAGCCCTTGACAGCAACACTTCATTTACATCTGCAAGTCAGACTATTCCTTGTAACATCTCTTCAATGCTAGGAATCTTGCCAAGAGATTATGAATTTATGATATAGCAGCTATGCTTCTCCACATAGCTAGAAGTGCACACCACGCCAAAGTCCATTCGTAGAGGAGGCAGCAGCTTGGTTTGTGGAGAGGCATGGAGTGTGTAGGGGATATAGGACGGTTCAAGAGACAGGCAAAGAGGGAACGAGTATACGTGACGAGTCGAAGCTTGTTAGAATAGGAAAGCGGTTCATATGATGAGAGAAGGGGGCATGCGTTCGACTAGGAGTGGAGATTGACAGCACCATTTAAGGACACCCGTCAGCATTGCTAGAGGAGCGCAAAAGGAATTGTTCAGAACGGATATGGGGCTGTGAAAGACAATTCAATAGCCAGACTATCAGAAACACAAGTCGAGAGTCTCAGCCAGATGTGTTCCGGCTTGACGAGAAGGCTTTGTTGAAGGTCTAAATGACTTTTGCACGTTACTTTCTTCAGTAAGCCCGGGTCTATCTAATTTATACTTGCCTTTCAACTGACTCCAAGAGGTTCGGATCAAGTCAAGTTTGTCCTCAAACATCGAGCTCCAATGTTGTACACTCAGTTCTATGAAACAGATACCTTCGGCTCCTCGCCCACTTTCCTCTTCTTCTCTGCCTTAGCCTTCATCCCCTCCATGGCCCTCTTCTGCTGCCTCTCCCATCCCACTTCTCCCGCCTTCTTCCAATTGTCGAGGACAAACTTCTTTACAACCTCCAAATCATGGAATCCCTGCTCGCTCTTCTTCGCCGCATCGGGAACGGTTCCCTCCCACTCCTCGCCTTCCATGATAACCACCTTCAACTGCCTGATTGCCGCTCCTCTGAATGGTGGATCGACATCCTCGGGTATGCTTCCCTTGATTTCTCTCCAAAGCTCATCTTCATGTCTCGCCAGCCTCCACGCCCTCAACCTCTCCTCGTACTCCGTCTCCACTCCCCATTTCGCAAAAGCCTCTTCCATGACTTGTTCACGGGTGACCTTGCACTCCCCACACCACCCCTCCTCCCTCAAAAGCGGGATAAACTCCTCGATCCACTCGCGAAAAATAGGTCTCTTCGCCATGCGCTGTCGATCATTATGCTTCAACTTCTTCTTTCCCTTCTCGCCTCCCTCTTGGCCCCCTACCCCTCCCTCAACTTCCCCAACAACGTCACCCACCCCTCCCTCCTCCTCCTCCCCCTCTACCTCCTTCTCTTTAACCCAGAACATCCGACACCCCGCCGCAAACTCGAACATCTGCCTCCTACTGCCAAACTCAGACCACCACTTGCTCTCATCCAGCCCAAGGAATGCCAAGATTTGAGACGGGGAGTCGGTCAGGAAAATCATACTCTTCTTCCTGTCTAGCAGCTCGATTTCGGGGATGCGGAGGTACATGCCTTTGTCGTTCACGGTGAGGCCGAAGGGACGGATGGTCGTGCCGAGGATGTTCCAGAGGTCGCCGTGTGCGGCGTGGAAGAGGTTCCAGGTCAGGTCCTTTGAGTCTTTGCAGACGTGGATGTCGATTTGCACGTACTTCTGCTCCTCTACTTCTTCCGCAGGCCACGGAACAGCGAGGTTTATCGTCGGGTTCCCAGACTCCAATATCGAGGCAGCTGCGCCCAATGTTTTGGAAAGGTTCTCAGCGACGGTTTTGGGGGGCGCAGTTAAGGTGTCGAAATCTCGGGACAGAGGGGACGCGACCATGATGTCGATATCCCCGAAGTCTGGCTTGCCTGGTGCTTCGATGGGTGAGCCAACATGTTGATAGTGCTTCCGTAATGTATCTAATGTTTGCGAGAGGATCTTGGTGTAGATTTCTGGGGGCATTCGAGGCGTGGGGAGAGCTGGGGAATGTTTGTTGAAGGCGTTGCCGCCCATGGCGAGGGTTGTCGTGAAGCTTCGGAATAGAAAGGTCAATTGTCGGGCAGAACGGGGAATGCAGACTCGTGGTCGCGGTACATAAAGAAGAAGTGCAAACTTATAGAATGTACGGAAAGGAGGGAATAATTTCGTCATTCAATTCGTGAATGACCCAAGCAGCTTGCTGTGAGACACGGTCACAATGTTTGGTTGGTTCGTGGTGAGAGGGGAGGAGGGAATCAGAGGTTGGCTTGCCGTTCCTGCAGCCACGCTGCATGCTGCATGCACATGTCTCAATAACTTTCGACCGTTATTATATCGTGAGTAGCACAAGAACATTGAAAGTTCAAACGTTTAGCAACAGCTGCAATGCTATTCTTCGAATCATCCAGAGTTCCGCCGTCGCGAACAGGGGAGCCTGGACTCGACGTCATTTCAGCCCTATGCAGTGATTCCAGCGTGCGGTCGCAAGCTTATTATTATGCGAACCTCTTCACGATCCACTTCCCCTTAACTAATCCTACATCAGACCAAGACCAACCTCTCCTTCACATCTCCTTCGCATCGCAACACCTAGAATATCACACGACCGAGGCAGGCGCCTGCAAGTACACGCCATTGCCAAAGTTACACAAGTCCGAACACTCGCATTCCCTCCCTGCCCAACGCTCACAGCCAAGCCGCTTGCGGTGGCTGAAGCAGCCTCGCCCTCTCCCCACCTTCAACCATCCACACATCGTGCTGCCCAGCCCCAGCCTTCACCAGGAAGGCGGTCCAGCCTGATTTTACTCGTTAGCGCGCACTGCCCCTCCAGATCAGCCAGACATCATTGGGCTTGCGACGACCAAGGTACAGACTGTCGCCTGCACGTACGACGACCAACCATAAAAGCTTCCTTTCCGTCTTTGCTACCCCCTTCTTGCTCTTCTCTTAACTTCTCCCCTCTTTTATCACTCGCAGATTCGCAGACGGAACTGAATTGATACAGCAGGAACAGACATGGCGTATCAGGGCGGATATCCTCCTTATGGCGCTCCCCCGCCTCAGGGTCGTGAGTACACGCAATTGAGATGATGACATACGCTGATGGTAAACAGATTCCCCTCAACCGCCCTATGGACAGTATCCTCCCCCTCAACAACCGTATGGCCAACCTCCTCCTGGCCAACCGGCTTATGGTCAACCGCCTCCAAATCAATACCCTCCTCAAGGATATCCCCCTCAACAGCAAGCGTATGGTGCGCCACCCCCAGCACAGTACGGTCAACCAGCATATCCTCCTCAGCAGCCCCCATACGGTTCTCCAGCTCCACCGGCAGGCCAATATGGTCAACCAGCATATCCTCCACAACAGCCAGGTTATGGCCAACCTCCCCCACCGCAACAATATGGATCCCCAGCTCCTGGATACGGAGCACCACCTCCTCAGCAATATGGAGCACCCCAACAATACGGCGCACCACAACCATACGTTCAACCCACTCCTCCATCTGTAGGATACGGTCCTCCTCAACAGATTGCTTGGAACGGCGACGCAGACGCAGAAGCCCTGCGCAAAGCCATGAAAGGCTTTGGCACCGACGAGAAGACCTTGATCCGTGTCCTCGCAGACAAAGATCCCCTACAAGTGAATGTTATTCGTGATACCTACCAGCGCAAATTCCACCGTCAACTCATAGCCGACGTACAAAGCGAAGTAAGCGGCTGGTTTGAGGAGGGTCTATGCGCTATTATCCGCGGCCCATTGCTTACGGACATCCATCTCCTGAAAGGGGCAACCGATGGACCGGGCACGAAGGAGAAAGTGCTCAATGATGTGCTGCTTGGACGCTCGAATGCCGACCTACGCGCGATCAAAGAGGCCTACCTGAAGACATACCGCACATCTCTCGAATCTGATATCAAGGCCGATCTTAGCATGAAGACGGAGAGGCATTTCTTGATGGTACTTGCAGCGAACAGAAATGAAGAGAGCACACCTGTGATTCCGCAGCAGGTGGATCAAGATGTCATGGAGATATATAAGGCGACGGAAGGAAAGGTTGGCACGGATGAGCTGCTGGTGTGCAGTATTTTGAGCCAGAGGAGTGATGCGCAGATCAGGGCTATTGCGCATACATATAAGCAGAAGTTCACCAGAGACCTCGAAACCGTCATCATAAAGGTAACCCCTTACCTCCCCTCCCCCTTCCCCCTTACCCTCCTAACGCTCAATTCTTAGGAATTCTCTGGACACATGGAAGCAGCCCTCCTGCACCAACTCCGCACAGGCACCGACAAAGCAATGCGCGACGCCATGCTCCTCGAGGCTGCCATGGCTGGCGCTGGTACTCACGACGCCTTGCTCACGAACAGAGTGATTAGAATGCATTGGGATAGGAACCATATGAATAATGTTAAAGGCGCGTATCAGCATAAGTATCATCGCAGTGCGGTGAGCAGGATTAAGAGCGAGACGAGCGGGGATTACGAGAAGCTGCTTGTTGCTGCTTTAGGTGAGCATTAGGTTGAGGCGGGGGAGAGACAACGGGTTGGATTGGCACGCGGGAACTGGTTTGGGAGGCTGTATAGTACGAGTTTAATGAATTTGATACCAAGCTTTTTTCTTAAGCCCCTGTAGTCAAAAATCCAGTGAAACGGGGGCATTTCATGCCTGAGCTGGCTTCGAAGAATGTTTTTTTTACCCCTTCACTATACACTCGTCCTCATTTCTATTTCTAGTGGGAATCATTGTACCGAGGCCTTCCTTGTTAACCTCGGAGTTTAGCCCTTAACTAGAGCAAATGACGCTCCCTTAATATTAATGAGAGTAAAAGAACCGGTACCCCCCTCCAATAATCGGCAGTCTTCCGGTTTGAAATAAGAGACACGATAATCGGTTTCGGGTCGCTGATTTAAAATAGAGATACGGTAATCGGTTCAAGCTCGCCGATTCAAAACCAAAGGAAACTATTTTAATAAAACCACTCCCTAGTCGCGTATAGTACCCTCCGACCAATTCGGACGACTCGGACGATTCTACCCCAGGAGAAGTCCGTTTATAACGTTCTCCTGCCGACGATTTGCCCTCTTTTGCCGACGAGGGAAATGAGGAGTCAGACTCTAAGGAGACCGAGAGCCGGTAAGACCCCGGCAAATCTAGCTCACTAGGGCCGAGATTAAGTCGGACGTGGAGGTTAATTCTGGCTCTGAGGTCGAGATCGAGTCGAATAGGGACGACTCCGGTTCTATGGACGATTCCAATTGCTTTTAGATCGGACCTACTATATTTAAGCAAACTCTAGTGTATAAATATAAAGTTAAATACGAGTAAATTTCTAGAATATTATAATATTTTAAAAATTATAAATTATTAAAATCCTATTAATGGGATTTATTGGAAATAGTTTAGTTAAATTATATTAACTAGGTAATCTTAGCTAAACCCTTTTATTATAACCCCGGTGGAATAGAACAAGTTCCGGGAGTGTGTAGACAGGAAACCGTCACATGACTCCTGCTCTCTCTACTTCAGAAAAGCCGCAGCTACAGTATAAATCCCCCCTCTTGCTACCGAGGGTCTCTCTTTTCGTCCCTGCAGCAAAATCTAGGATATCCCCTCCACCTTTCACAAGTCCAGGAATAAGTAGCATCTTGCATTAACTCGAAGCACCCAACTCCCTCTCACAACCCCCCCATTCAACATGAGGTCCTCCGCCTCCCAATTTCTGGCACTCCTGACCCTCACTGCAGCTGCTCCTATCGTAGAGCACAGCCCTGTACGCGCCTCTCTCTCGCCTCTCAAAATCTTCCCTCTACCCCTATCTTAACTTTCCACGGTCTTCCAATCCATCCCTCCACGCTCTCCTTCCCCGTCAGGGAACGGAAGTGTGCAGCCTTCGTACGTCTCACCACAACTGCCTCCCCACTCCCCTCCCCCAAACTCAATCCCGCAATCCCCTCTTTAACAAGTGAAAAAGAACAATGCGGGATGTCGACATCGGGGGTAATGAAGAATTGCTGTCCGGACTATAGATGCTATTTCGGTAATAGCCTGAACCCTAAATCGGGGGTGTGTATAATTATAGTCGCTGCAGCTGGTTCTAAGGACTGATCATCGGAGGATGGATGGTTGGTCGATGGGATTGTTGGGCGGTTTGGAGTGCGATTACCTGCACAACGGAAACCCTACCGTGCAGAATATGAAGCAGTTGACGAATTTCAAATCAAAAACCGCGGCTTTGTAAGAACATATATCGCATGAATCGATATCAGCTGCCCGTCCCTCTCCCCTCTGATCTTTCACTTTCTCCCCTCTCCTAACAACCACCCGCCCTTGCGATACTTCGAAGTCGTGACAACGGGAAACAAAACAACAGTGCTCGTGCTACCAATGATTCTTCTGTGCTGCACAGATAGATCTTAATCGTGTGTTGCGCCGCTGGTAGCCTTGTATGCAACGGCTCTTCTGTCCTGTTTCGTGCCCGAGTTATCTGATGCCTTGAGAGTAGGTGTGAAGAAGAGTTTACTTTGCGAGGCGCATAATTGCCTTATAATTTAATATACAAGTCTCGCTCTCATCGAACTAGGTTTCTCTTCCCCAACGAAGCATGTCGAGCAGCCACAAGAACAAGATTTCCACCTCGTCCAACACCATCAACCTCAAACAACATGAAGTCACTCTTCACCCTCCTCGCCCTCTCTTGCCACATGCGCTGTCGCTGCTCCCCTCGTAGAAGCAGAAGCTGAAATCGATACCGTGGGCACAGCCCCACCATTTCTCAAACATCATCCTTCCTCCCGCCCTCCTCCACCAACTCCCCCCTTTTACCTTGAGATGAATTCAAATTTAACACAATGCAATTAGGCCCTCAACCAATCACGCTTCAACCCCTTCAGTCTCCATCCTGGTGATGTAGACGGTGGATGTGATGGCGGTATTCAATCCCCTCCCCTCCCTCTGGAAGAGAGAAAGAGCGAAGAAGCAGGAAGAGAGGGAGAAAGAGAGAAAGAAAACAGAAAGAGCAAAAGTTGACATTGAAACAGAAATCTTCGGCGGCTTTGGATGGACGTATATTGGTTGCTGCGCGGGGTATGTGTGTGGAGGGACTTCGGGGGCATGTCGGTGGGAATAGATGAGGGTTTGGTATTGAGACGAAGGAGGGAGACACTTGCACTTCCTTCACAAAGGAAAGTCTTAGCGGACGGTATCGAAGGAGGTTTTAATGGCAGAAAGACGGAAAGAAATTTAGATTAATTAATTGGTGCGATTCTGATATTGATGTAGAGGAGAAAACTGGTAAATGTGGATGCGTGGAATGCGAGATATTTTGAGGGAGAGAAGTGAGAGGTGGGTTGGTATTGTTACGCCTCTCAGATAGCACGAACACACCTTTGAAATTTCCTTGATAAACGGGACAGGATGATTGTTGAGATCTTGGTGGAAGTACGTTTCAATCCTTGGAAAAAGCTATGAAAAACAGGGTTGACAATGTCCCCGAGAACAGCTAGAAATTCAAATACGAGAAAGTTCAGAGTTTTGTTGCAGATTGCTCGAATGTCCCGAGTTGGTTTGGTATATTGAGCATGTCAAGTCAAATGTAGAATTTTGCTGGGTGTTGAAGGCAAGTCACTGTCGCCTTTCCCTTAGAGTTTGGTTGCTTATGTATTCCCCAAAACCCAGTGAAAAATCATCACTCGTGTCAAACATTGGGACGAAATAATGCAAAATCTTGTATGACAGAGAACCCCGCGTCGAATCGGCATCCCAATGTACCGGGAACCGCGGACCCTTGAATGCCATTTACAAAAACGGTTGAGGAGGGTCGGTTCACCCTGGACATCGAGACCATTCTCAATGTACCCAGAACTTTTGAAACATTGAGCCGATATGCAACAAAACTTGGATGGGGACAATGCTGATTCACTCTTCAGCTTCGCCTACATATCATATCCCTGTAACAAATGAAGCCCGACCTGCGAGACAAAAGGTGGTATTCTATCAAGCATCTAAGATCCATCTATTCTATTTTATCCTATCTAAATCCCCAAAATAAATGCTGCTACGCACTCTCCTCCGGCCACACATCATACCCAAACGTATCCTTCATGTTGACAAACCTGCTCCACCGTCCCTTTGCCACCTTATTCACTGCCTCGAAATCCTCATCGCTCAAATCCACCAATTTCGCATTCCCCTTAATCCGACTCTCATTGCTGCTCTTCGGTAAGACAGAGTATCCCCTCTTCAATCCCCACGCAATCAACACTTGTGCCAAAGTCCAGCCATTCTTCTCTGCAATAGCAATCAGGTCCTTGTTCGTGCTGACTTTCTCTCCTGTGCCTGGGACTTGGTCTTGTGAGCCGAGTGGCGAGTATGCAACTGGCATTATAGATTTCGACATGCAGTATTCGATGAGCGGCTGTTGCGGGAGGAAGGGATGGATCTCGATTTGGTTTATTTGGGGCTTGACTTTGGCGTATTTGAGCAGCGACTCGATGCCTTTTTCTGTGAAGTTGGAGAGCCCGATTGATTTCGTGAGGCCCTCGCTGTACAGCTTTTCCATTGCTCGCCAGGTGGGCTCTGGATTCTCGGTGAGGGACTTGTTGATCACATACTAAAATGGGCGTTAGCTTACGTATGCAGGAGGGAGGGTTTGCTTACCTTTCCGTCGGAGCCAATCTTGACCGTTCCGTCGGCGTTCTTCTCTGATGCTATGGGCCAGTGTACCAGAAATGCATCAACGTATGGTGTTTGAAGCTTCGCCAACGAGTCCTTCAAGCTCCATTCCACGTCCTCTGGTTCGTGGAGGTGGTTCCATACTTTCGTCGTAATGAAGATATCGGATCTCTTGACAGAGGGGTTCTGAGAGAGAAAGTCTCGAAGCCCAGACCCAACCTCGTCTTCGTTCCGATAGAACCAGGCACAGTCGAGATGTCGGTATCCAGCATTCAAGGCATGCACAACAGCCTTATGTGTTTCCCCTTTGCTGCCTTCGTTGGCAAAGGTTCCGAAGCCAAGAGCTGGCATCTCCACGCCATTGTTCAGCTTGAGTACCGGCCCTGTCACTGCCGTTGTCGTCTCTGCGTAGGAACCCATTGTTGTTTCTGAAGGATTGTATGTTTCGAGAAGAATGGGATTCGAAAGGTGTCTTCTACGAGTGGTCTGTGCTGCGTCACTTCTTGTTACCGTAAGTGAAGGATACTAGTCATCCCGTCTCAACAGCTGCAGAATCTGCACGACTATTCTCCGGACCGTGGACACAGCATGTTGCCATTCTCAACAGAGCGGCATATGACGTTTGCGTACCCGTATTATGGGATCTGTAACCGATACTCGGTGTTTCTGGTCAGGTAGAGTCAAGACCCTGAAAGAGTTGACGTCGTCCAGCAGAAGCCGTACCTGACAGGGGGAAGACGCTATCGCTCAGATCCTTCTAGCGCGTTTCGCTCTTCTCTTCTCTCCTCAGCATCACCAATCACACGCTTCACTCGGCACATCTTCATCATGATCGCCATCGCCCATCGCGGTGGGTCTTTAGGTAAGGCTCCAGCTTGCATCAGAAAAGAGGAACAGGCAACGTGCCATGTGGATCTCCCATCCGCCTGTCACTCGTCCTCGGCGAATTCATGGGCCTTCAAGTCGACGGCCCCGCGCTAAGCCTTCTTAAACGTCATCCCGGACCCCTTTGCTTCCACTCAAACAGCTTGATATGAATAGCTCAGCTTCAGTCTCCCGAGAGATCCACTCAGTGACCTTATCTAACCAGGTGCCGAAAGGCTATTCCAATAAGATTTTAGGCAGAGAGCTCCTAGTTGAAGCTTGGCTCAGCCTCAGCATCAATCCTGCGCTCCGCTTTTGATAGAGACTTTCCACACCGTCATGTTATACACTGGAGCTCGAGTTTCATAGTGAGTCCTGGTACGACGGACAACTTGCTCTTGTGGGACCTAAGGAAGATAACGGGAGCTCTCTTGGCCACCATGACGACATTCACATGCTGGGCAGTTGTGCAGTTTTGCGGCGAAGATTCTATTTTCTAGTGTTGTTTCATTGATTTCATTCCAGATATATACGACTTGGAGCCCGCACAGGGGTAGCCTGTTCATCCAGTCGAACTTCTCCTTTGCCCATTCACGTCTACAACAGAACCCAACCCAGTCTCTGCCTCCCCTTCACTTTGTTTCAACATCCTCAAGATGCCTGCCTTCGACGACTCCGACTTTGGCGTTGACACCCCACAAACACCAAAGTATGACCACCTGCAAAAGATCATCAGCCATGGTTCTCCTGCAAAGTACAGCCACACTATCCACCCTCCAACCCATCACAATGGAACAACTGGGACAATCGAAGTCCCAGCAACGAGATCACAAACTGCAGAGAGCGAAGCCCTCATGCACTCCTTGAGCATTTCACCCTCGCAGGTTGACAGACGAGGCTCACGAAACAGCTTCGGAGCTTCTCTGCCAATTCCAAAATCGAAACGCCAATCTCGTCTTTCATCGGTTGCAACTGCAGATGGAAGACCTACGAGACCTGGCATGCCATCCATCCAGCCAACCCGCGACATCCTATCTTCACAAGTCCAGGATATGTCATCAGTGAAGACAGCTGCAGCAAAGGACATGGCATTTGCCTTCGACATTGATGGGGTTCTTGTCCATGGGGACCGCCTGATTCCGGAAGGAAAGCGTGTTCTTGAAATTCTCAATGGAGACAATGAGCTTGGGATCAAAATTCCTCACATCTTCCTCACGAACGGATCCGGAAAGCCGGAAGCTGCACGCTGTGCCCAACTCTCAAAGATCCTCCACTCACCCATCTCCACTGAACAATTCATTCAATCTCACACACCCATGTCGGCTCTGGCAGAATATTACGACACCGTTCTCGTCGTTGGTGGAGAGAACTACCAATGCCGCGAAGTAGCCAAGCAGTACGGTTTCAAAGACATCGTAGTTCCCAACGACATCGTCGCCTCGCAACCCACCCTCTCCCCGCTCAAAGAATTCTTCACCGCCGAGCAACGGGCCACCTCCACCCCCCGCGATTTCAGCAAAGTGAAAATCGACGCCATCCTCGTTTTCTCGGATTCCCGCGACTACGCCACGGACCTGCAAATCATTATGGACCTGCTACAATCCGAGGACGGCGTCCTCGGCACACGGGCCAAACATCCTACCAATCAACGCATCCCAATTTACTTCTCACAAGGCGATCTCCTCTGTCCCACCGAACATCCTTCGCCGAGAATGTCCCAGGGAACATTCCGCATCGCACTTGAAGCAATCTACAAAGCCATCACCGGCGTGGAACTCGAGCGCGTCGTCTACGGGAAACCAGAACTCGCAACCTATAAGTACGCGGACGATGTAATGACATCCTGGATGGACACGATCCACAACGAGGAACGACTGCCCAAGAACATCTATATGATCGGCGATAATCCTCAGAGCGATATTATCGGCGGGAATATGTATGGATGGAATACTTGTCTGGTGCGGACGGGCGTGTATCAGGGGGAGGGCAACGATAAGCAGAATCCTGCGAGCTTTGGCGTTTTTGATAATGTGTTGAAAGCGGTGGAGACAGCGTTGAAGAAAGAGCTGGGGCAGGATTTTAGGACTGAGTGGAGTGATGCCATGAATCCTGTTACCGCCGGACACTCTGTTTCGGCGATTGAGTAAGTGCCTCGTAGCAGACATGGAAACGAATTTCTTTACCTGGGGCGGTGCACTAAGACGGAAGGAGCATAGACAGAGGGAATGGCGTACATAGATTAGATCGGCGTCTGGTATACCATCGCTCGCATTAGCTGCGAACTTGATAAAGGATCTCATTGAGTTGAAATGTAACGATTCAAGCCCCCCGCCCTTTCTCTCGCGCCACCCTTCTCCTTCCCGCCTCCTCCTTTCTATTCCTGCATTTCAGTAACCACCCGAATCCAATATTGAGCAAAGTCGTAATCCAAGCTCTTTCCCTATCAACTCTTTTCAACCCGTCTATCCCCGTCACGACTTTTCCTGTTCAATTAAGAACCCACAACCCAATTTTACCACTCTTCCTCACGAGCCCTTCCTCGCCCGCCGAAGACAAGTACAGTACATCTCACTCCTCCCCTAGTTCCGCCTTCTCTGCCCTACCCCACATCTCTCTGCATAAGTTCCTCCTTAACTTTGCCATTCGAATGCGGCCGTCCAAAAAGCTGGATAGGCTTTTTCGGGACATAGATCTTTTCGGGGGTTGTTGTCCTCGGCGGTCTAGGCGGGTTTGGATTTGATTGTGCGGCTGTCCAAGGAGGCGGAGGTGAAGCACCAATTTGTTGTTCGAGGGCGGCCCTCTTGGTTGCAGGTGCCTCGAAAGAGTCGAGGACGTCCTCTTGGTACTGGGGTTCTGCTTTCTGACGGCGAAGGGTTCGAGGCTGGCGATGGAGTGAGGGGTTGCTGGGTGGTTGTTGAGAGGGAAGAGGGACAACGTCTTCGTCGGATTAGAGGGTCGGGAAAGAGTCGAAAATGTCTTCTTCTTGAGCATTTTCTGTCTCGTGTGTTCGAGGCTGGGGATGCAGTGAGGGTTTGGTGGGTCGTTGTTGAGGGGGAAGCTCGACAGCCTCTTTGGATGCGATCTTGCTCGGAGGTGGATGGGATTCTTGAGTGGTGATTTGTATCGTTGTGTGCTCGTTTTGTGTTGGTGGAGAATCTGGGGTATTTCCAGTGAGTAGAGATTGAGGGTTTTCCTTCTTGACTGGGTAGTCGAGAAGGACGATTGACGCCGTTGGAGTTGAGATTCCAGCTATAGAAGGATTAATGTTAGGAGCTGGTGCGTATTCCCCCCGTGGGGAAAGACTAACGGATCCAGAGTTTCCCATTATTAAAGCTGGGGAGAGGAAAAGTAAGTGGCTGGGAATTGCAATCCGAATTAAATTTGGAGGCGGCCAACTTCAAGTCAATTAAGTTCCTGGAATGTTCGTCACATGACTTTAATGCCCTCCTAATTATAAAACCTTATAATTTTTAAGTTTATAAAGTAAAGAGCTTATTTCTTCTTATTTCTTCTTATAAATAAATCAAATATTACTTGTATAAGATTAATTTAATCTTTAATTTAATAAATTAATTATAAAAGTAAAAATAAAATAATTTTTTATAAATTAAAAATAAAAATAATTAAATAAAAATATTAGTAGTACGGAATTTTACTTATTTTCTTTGGGATACTTTTTATAAAGCCAAAAATAATTCTATTTTTTATTAATAAAATTTAATAATTTTTAAAAATTATTATAAAAAATATAATATTATATAATATATATTTATTTTATTTTATTTTATATAAAAATAAAAATAATATATAAACTAAAGCCTTTAAAGTTCTTTATATTTATATAGTTTTTCTTTAAATAATTTTAAAGTATTAATAAGAATTTTTAATAATTTACTTTAATAAATTTATATAAATTATAATAACTAATATAATTATATAATTTATTATAAATATTATATAAAAGAAATTATATCTATTAATTTATTAGAAATATATATAAAATACTTAGTATATAAATTAGTAAAATAATTAATATTCAGAAATAAGAATTATAATATTATAGTATTAATATATAATTTCTAAATCTATTAAGCCTAATAGGGACTAGCTACTAGTCGAGTTATTTATAAAATACGAGTTTATATAACTATATCTTATATTTTATTACTTATATTTTATTATTTATATCTCGTATTTCGAATCTTGTAATTATATATATAATTCTTAAAGAAATAGCTATATTAATACTAAAAGAAATAGCTATATTAATACTAAAAGAAATAGCTATATTAATACTAAAAGAAATAGCTATATTAATACTAAAAATTTTCTAAAAACGCAAAAAATAATATTTTTCTAATTTAATCTAATACTAGATTTCCTAAATACTTTATATATTTATATATATTCTTTTATTTTATATTTCTATTTCATATACTTATTTCTTATTTAATATATTATAATAGATATATATAATAATATATAAATAAGTATTAAATATTATAGATCTAGTTTCTTATTATAGATAAAACTTATATTAGAATTATATAAATTATATAATATTATATTTTCTAATTAAATAAAGGGCTTTATATACTTAGCTAAGTATTAAGAAATATATAGAGAGATATTTCTAGTTTTAGAAAGAGGTATTAATTAGTTTTTTTATTAGAATTAATTCTTGAAATTAGTTATATTTGTAAATATTACTTTATAGCTTATTTATCTTAATTACTTATATATTACTCTATTATTATATATCTTATATTCTAATTAATTTAACTTTTAGAAAGCAATTTATTATAAGATAATTAAGCTATTAATAAATAAAATTACTAATAGCTAAAATAATAATTAGAAAAAGCGCCTTTATTATTACTAGAATAATCTAGTTAAATATCTAGAAAAGTATCTAGTTAGGTATTCTAGCTATTATCTAATTAGGAAAAAGAAATAAAATTCAGATATTACTAAAACTAGTTAGTAAAATAATAATAATAGTAAAGCTAGTAGCGGCTTATTATTATATTATTAAGTTAGAAGCAGAAATATAATAAAAAGAAAATCTAGAAAAGCTAGAAGCTTAAATTTATTATTTTAAAAATATTCGGATATTTATTATAGAACTTATTATATTACAAGTAGTATATTTAGTTTATAGGACTCTAAAAACCCGAGAATTACTAATTTATAAAGGAAAAAGTATTAAAAAAGCCTAGGATTTCTTTTATTAGATAGAACTAAAATAGTATAAAAATAGTAGAATTATCTAAACTATAAATATAATAAAGGTTATATATTATATTTCCTATTTTAAAAACACAGCCAGAAATATCTAGAAATATAAAAAGTAATTAGTAAATATTAATATTATAAATTAAAAAACTTTTATTGAATTTATAAAGAATTTTATCTTAGATTCAGGAAACTATAATAATAATACTTTTACTAAATTTAAGAATATTAAATAGTAGCCAGATTAGAATATTTAAAGTATTATATTTTATTTAAATAATCTATTAGATAATTTAGGATATATAGGTTTATTATAAAAGTAAAATAATTTATTTAATAGCTATTAATATAGCTATAGTTATTAATAATTATATAATATAATTATATAATATAATTATATAATATAGAAATAACTAGAGGTAACGGGATATATATAACAAGTAATAATTATATAACCTTATATTATATAAGTAACTCGACTAGTAGCTAGTCTCTATTAGACTTAATAGATTTAGAGATTATATATTAATACTATAATACTATAATTCTTATTTCTAAAGAATAATAACTTTACTAATTTATATAAATAGTATTTTATAAATATATAATAATATTATATATTACTAATAAATTAATACTAATTAGTTAATATTTATAAATTAGAGATAAAATAATTATATTAAAAAAGGTATTTAGTAGCCTTTAGTAATATTAATCTAGCTATATTAAAGAAGGGAATTACTTATTAACTTTATAAAAAAGTATTCGGTAGCCTAAAAGAGAAGATTCTAGTTCTTACTAATTAATAAGTAATTAGCTATTTAATTAATTAATTATTTAACTTCTATTATTTTTTAAAATTAATTTCTTTTAGCCCTAAAACTACTTTCTTAGAAACTATCTTTTCTACTTATATAATACTCGTATTTATAAAATACTTTTTCCGGAATATATATTTTATATATACTCTTAAAGCTTTTTAATTACTACTTCGATTTTATTATTAAATCGAGTCTTTTAAGCTTTAGATTTTTCCGGAATTATAATATTTCATTTCCTAAATTTCTTATTATAAACGAAATATTTAAGAATAAAATATTTATTCTAATATCTTTAATACTTCTAGATATCTGAAATATCTAATATTTAATATCTAAATTAGATATCTAGTATTTTAATTAGATATCTGAATATTTTTATTACTAAATCCTTTCTATAAATCTATTATAAACTACTTTACTTTTAAATTCCTTTTATTATAAATTATATATATATATACTAGAAAGAGTTTAGCTCTAAAGATTCGAGATAGTAAACCTTTAAAATAAATATAAATAAATAAAGAAATAGAAGAATAGTATTAACTTAGCTAGCTCTAATTATAAGGAAATCCTAGATTATTTTAATACTGGATTATTCTAGTATAAAATAGAGAAATTAACTAATAAGAATCTCTGAGAATTATTTAAGGAAAATTTTAGTAACTTTAATCTCAAGATATTTAATTAACTAGATTAATATATACTATATTAATTACGAGCTACTTTATAATATAGTAATATTTATATTAAATATAACTATAATTATTTTACTATTATATAATCCTTAATTAATACTATTTAGAAAAAAGAATAATATATCTGAATTACTAATAATATTATTATTACTAGATAAAATCTTAAAGCAAGCCTTATTATTTTATTATATATATTTCTAAATAATAGTATTATAAGAAATTAATATATTAAACTAATTATTACTTATATTTTTTTATTATTTATTATTTCTTTATTATCTATAACTACTTTTACTAGTATTAAATTATAGAAAACTAAAACTAATAATCTCTTATTATTTCTATTACTTTTAAATAGCTCTTTTACTATAAAGCTAATTAGAGAAATAGTAAAAATATATATTGAAATATAAAAATATAATAGAACTAATAATAGTTCTAATTAAAAACTTATTATCTTTCTTAATATTTATTAATATATAAAGCTTCTATAAAAGGTATTAGTAAAAGCTTTCTCTATTATATTAAAGAAACTAGTATAAGATTACTTTTATAATAACTAGCTCTTTTAAAATATATATGAAAAGGCTTATATAAATATTTATAATTTCTTTAAAGGCCCTAGTTTCTAATATTAAAACTTAAATAAGTAAAATACTATTATAATAGTAACTATAATAACTTAATATCCTAAAAAAACAATATTTAAGCTTATTTAATTACTAATTAATAGCCTATATAAATTATAATATAGACTAGTACCTGCTTTATAAAATACCGAATTCTTATATAATAAGATTATTATTTCCTATTAAGGTATATTAATATACTAATATATAGTCTCGGATTCTTTTCCTAATTTCGGCTAATTTATTAATAAGCTCTAATTATTTATTACTATTTATAAAAAGAAATAATAAATTAATATTAAGATTCTTTTTACTAATTAATAATACTATTCTTAAAATCTTTTAAGCTATTATTTATCCGGAAATTATTAATATAAATCTAGCTATAATTTTGAAACTTATAATAACTATTTCAAGTCTTATAATTATAATAATTATACTTCGAAATTGTATTTTATATATACGAGACCCGAATATTACTTATAAAAACATATATTAGAGAAATAAGAGACTAAAAAGACTCGATTTAAAAATAGAAATATTTACTAATTTAGATCTCGAAACTTTTATAATTTTAATAAATACTTTAATAATACCTATATATAGTATATTACTAAAATAAAAAAAATAAAAATAATAAGAATAGTAAAAATAAACTAAAGAATAATACTTTTAAAGCCTTATTAGTAGAAATAAATAAAAGAGAGAAATATTATTTAGATTTTTATTTTATTTTTATTAAAAGCTTTCTAGCTATTTCTATTACTTCTATTTCTATTATTTTTATAACTAATATTCTTATAAATAACCTTATTTCCCTTTCTCTTATATACTAAATAATAGGCGAAAACTATATTTTAAAGCCTATTAAATAAATAGAAAATATCTAGATATTTATAATTAATAATATATTAAAATATAATATTTACTATTTTTATAGAATTA